TTGCCGTCATCGCAGGCTCCGCTGCGTCCCCTTCCGGTCCCCACGGAAGCCTGGCGCTCCGTCTCGATGGACTTCGTCTTCGGTCTTCCACCCGACTCGAACAGGCGCACGGGAGTCCTCGTTTTCGTCGACAGGTTCAGAAAGATGGTGCATCTCGTCCCCGTGGCTGCCACGGTTACTGCGGAAGAGTCCGCAGCCACTTCGTTGACGCCGTCTTCCGCCTTCATGGTCTGCCCGACTCCATCGTCTCGGATCGGGATCCGAGGTTCACGTCCGCGTTTTGGACGGAGCTGTTCAAGTTGCTTGGAACGAAGCTGGCGATGTCCACCGCGGCTCACCCGGAGACGGATGGACAAACCCAACGCATCAACCGCGTCGTCGAAGACGTGCTCCGCAGCTACGCTACGTCGTTCCCGAGCTGGAGCGCTTTCCTGCCCCTGACTGAGTTCGCTCTGAACAACGCCGAGCACTCGTCGACGGGCATGACTCCATTCTTCGTGAACTCCGCGCGCCACCCGCGTGTACCCGCTATGCTTGCCGTAGGCCAACCCACGGAGGCTCGTGCCTCTACGCTTGGTGGGGGAGGAGCAACCGCTGAAGACTCACCGCAGACCGAGACGCCGGCGGAGCCGTCGCCGGTCAATTCACCGGCGTCGCCACGCTTCCCAGTGACCGAATCAAGCGCAAATGCAGTGACACGATCCCAAAAGAAGAAGGCCCTTGCCGCACCGCATCGTGCGGTGACGCCGCTCGCAGACTGGACAGAGCGAACTCTGATCGACCCCGCTGGCGCTCCAGCGACGATGCAGCAACCAGCTACTACCGCCAACTATGCACCGAAGTCCTCGGCGAGTCCCACGGATCACTTGGCGGTTGCCGAGTTTGTGCAGCAGCGTCAAGCAATCACACGTTTCGTGCGAGACGCACTGCAAGCCGCAGTGGACCGGCAGGAGGAGAATGCAGACAAGCGTGGACGCAAGAGCAAGACTTCATTTCGCACGGGTGACCATGTGTAACTGTCTACCGAAGGCATCCGCTCCTCCGCCGTGACCAACCTCGGTGCCAACAAGCTCACGCCGCGCTTCATCGGCCCGTTCAAGGTGATCAAGGTCCTCGGCGACGCGTACACACTGGACAATCCGTCGTCGCTGCGTCTTCACCCGACGTTCTACGTCGGGCGCCTCAAGCGATATCATCCTGCCGATATTCCGACCTCTGATCACCAGGATTCACTGGCGGGTAATGTACCCGAGGCTACTCGCGACGCCAACACCCATCACCCAAGCCTGTACCGTCGCGATGGTCCTCCTCCGATTGTCGACTCGGCGAGTGAAGCGCGCTGGATTGTGGACCGCATCGTTCACCACGAGGGCCCATCTCGTGCAAACGGGCGTGGGCGTAATCCAGTCCGAGCTCCTCGTGCGATCCCAGCCGCGCGACGTTACCGACTACGCTGGTTTGGGTTTCCACCTGACGAGGACACGTGGGAGACGCGTGCAGCTCTTCTTCGGGGTGTCCCCGATGTTGTTCGTGACTATGAGGCGAAGGTCGCTGCTGCTGAAGAGACCACGGAGCTCCCCGCGGAAGCTGAAGCCTCAAGTGAGCGTGATGATGGAAGTGGACCCCCACCGCAAGCTCGCGGTGGCGTTCACCGCGAAGACTAAGAAGAAAACCCGACGACGACCGCTGGACTCGAACCGGTGACCTCCGCCTTGGTGGAGCAGCGTTCGACCACTGCGCTAGCTGGACTTCGAGTCCGCACGACGACGCGCGCGACCTGATCAAGCTTGGAGCGACTGCGCATGGCAAGTGGCAAGAAGGATTCGCGTGGGGATCGAACCCGCGCGTCACAGCTCAGCACGGTGAGCGCTTGCCCACTACGCCGCTCCACCGATGATCGCCGGTGTCGAAGATGTCCAAGCTGGTCTCGCTGCCACGTCGGTTCGAGTCGACGGTTACGTGACTCTTCGTCGGGAGTTACTTCGAAGGATCGTCGCGAAGAGCCACGCCACGCTGATCGCCATCCTGTGTCTCGACACTCGCCGGGTCTCCGCTCTGTGCGCATCACAGTTGCGCTTGTCCTCAAGCGTTGTTGTCGCTTCCCATGCTGCGTCGTTGCCACGACCGCCGTCCCTTCGGGTGTCCGTCGATGTCCGCAGCCACTTGGGGCGCTGCGCGTTGCTTCGGCGTGTGCGCCGACGAGATTTCTTGGTGTGTGTAAGCTTGCTGCGCTTGCGTCGTCCTGTGTCGCTCGGTAGCACGAGCGCCGTCCCTCCGCCGCCTCGGTCGTCCATGGTGTTCTTCGGGTGTTCTTTCGGAAATGTGTCTTTTGCGCTTACGCAACGTAAGCGCAACTTTGAGAGGGGGTGATGTAATGGGTCCCATTTACATAAGTAGGTAGATTGACAGTACATAAAGTAGTTAAGTCAGTACACGCTAGCCGTGTACTGACAGTCATCGTGATTGGCTGAATTGGGGGAGCCAGACCCCATTTCAGCCAATCAGGCGTTGAACTGCATTTGAGTGGCTCACATGTGACCAGGGGTAGCCGCCCTGGTCCTTACATAAAACAGAGTTGATTTTTTTTTTTTTTTTACCCAAGACTGACTGCTTGGTCTCACTAAATCCGAGTCTTAACTAAGCTTCCTCACCGCTACGTGTAAGCTAGTAACGGACACACACCTGGCCCGTTACAAACGAGCTGCCGCACATACTGTACCTGAGGCGTAGCTAGTGCGTGCCGCGCGCTTTGGACATGTAGGGCGTCGTCATAAGCCGCGGCAGCGCATTTGATGGTGTGGGCAAGATACCCACGGGTGACGAGGGCGCAGTGTCATTTAGCTCCCATGCAAGGCCATCACCGTCGGCGCGGCCGCGGACGCCGCTGTTAAGCAGGTCCTACCAACGGGCTTTTTGCAAAAAGCGGAGTGATCCGGAAACTTTTTGCATTTGGAACCTTTTGTTACAAAAAGCGGAGTTCGCAAGAGCGGAGTTGGGGCCCGAGGCCCAGCAGCACCATCAAACTTACAAGAACTTTGAGCTCGTTCTTCCGCAACTGTCACCACTAACTACATGTATTATGAATTATCATGCAGCTGTAACACAATACAACGTGCAGGCGCAGCACGCGCACGAGGGACAGCTTCTCTTGTCGTGGCCACTTCCACCGCAGTTTAGTCTCTCCAGAGCGGCCAGAATTCCGGAGCCCCGATCCGAGAAAAGCGGTATGGCCTTGAGATCAACACCCGCCTGAAAACAGCACCGAAAAAAACATCCACAATTCTCCTCACTCTCCGTAGCGCACACTGCAATGGCCAAAACTATGTTCATGTTGTTCCCATCTCTTCCTACGAGTACCAGGTGAATGCTGCGACTGATGAAATAGCCGCTCGATCCTTGACGCTATGATCGCAGTGCAGCAACCGTGAAGCGGCATTGATCCCCGCCGTCGCACTTGTACATGAGCATCGCACCACCGTGCTGCTTTGGATCGAGCTTGATGGTCATGCCGTGTGTGGCGAGTATTCGGATGGAGTAAGCGGAACGCAACAGAGTGCAGTGAAGAGAAGCGCAGTTTGAAGGATACTCGGGTTTCCTGTAAGAGGCAGAGTACACTAAGGACCTGACAAGCCAAGAACATCCGAAGACAACATCCGGTTCAGGTGCGAGGACGGGAAGCGCAGCAGACCACAGTAGCGAGGGTTCATTTTAGGAAGAGTAGCGGTAGCACACAGACAGAGTGAGCAGCGTCAAGATCGACATCCAGCAGGACGCTAGCTCGCAACCCGCCCACCACATCCCACGGGGCTAGTCTTTCACAGCCCTGCCTTGCAGAGCAGTTCAAGCCTCGGCTCCTACTCAAAATGAACTTCTCGTTTGCCCCTACGATGCCGCTTTTGAAGGAAATTGCTGCATACTTGCGCAAAGCCTTCATGCACGACTTCTGGTCAGGAAAGCACATGCCCTCAGTGATAGTGTCGTCCGTCGTACCCTGCGCAGGGTGCGGCGGCGGCGACGGCGGTGGCGACGGCGACTGCATGGGGCTCTTCACCGTCTAAAGATCTCTTGGGTGTGCGGCCCCCGGGCCCCAACTCCGCTCTTGCGAACTCCGCTTTTTGTAACAAAGGTTCCAAATGCAAAAGGTTTCCGGATCACTCCGCTTTTTGCAAAAAGCCCTGCGGGTCGGTCATGTAAAAATCGTACCTAATGCGATTCATTTATCTTGTTAAGTCAGTACTTATGAAGCTCTGCAAGATTTGATTTGACTTGAGTTTAGTATATTCCTTCAGTACTTGAATCGTTGAACCCTTTCTTATTGCCGCTACCGAATAACCTTAGTTATGAGCTACACCTGATCTGCAGCGGAGAGATGCTGCGGAAAAATTGCATAAATGGTTGATACATATTGTGCTTTGCATACTTTTTGGCACTTCGGACTGTAACTCGTACGACTTATGGAGCATGACTTATCTATAAATCGTACTCGAGTACGAATTGCTATAAGTCGTGGATGGTCAATGAGCACTAAGTAGTGCACAAACGCCATCTCCTGCATGATTTAGCACATCCAGCATGGATTAGCATCTGTTAGGCACTTTTAGAAAGTGCCATTTCCGAGCCAAATCGGGCTCGAAGCACGACTTGAGCAACTTGCATTCAAAGCCTCCATGATTTACCACTAAGTACGAGCACTAACTAGTGCACAAATTAGGAGGGCAAACTGGATGCAAAGCACAATACAAAAATCAAATGTAACACCGGGAAGAGCTGTAAAAAGTCGCCTAGTTTTGCGAGTTCTGATTGGCCAGATTTTCCTGTATCCCTTAACTAGTTGTATCCCATAACTAAGGTTATTCGGTACCCTCTGTACGTAAGTTGCGTGAAAAAGGCCTTTCACTTGCAGTTTGTATGTCAAGAGGTTGCGCGATGAGGGGGCCTTGAGGGGCCGAAGCAGCTCATTCCAAGAACCGCATCCAGACTGCACCATCAAGAAGACAACAATGGCCGGAGCTATCAAGCAGCACGCGCTGTCGGCGCTGAGCAGCCGCAAGACGGACGGCAAGGGCCTGCGCGTGGCTATTGTGCACGCCAAGTGGAACGCCGAGGTGGTGAACTCGCTCGTGTCGGCCGCCAAGGCGGAGCTGCTGAGCGCGGGCGTGGCCGAGAGCGACGTGGTCATCGCGGACGTGTCGGGCGCCTACGAGCTGCCGTACGCCGCCAGCCGCCTCATCGCGTCGCAGAAGCTGGACGCCGTCATCTGCATTGGCACCCTCATTAAGGGGGACACCATGCACTTCGAGTACATCTGCGAGGCCGTGTCCCAGGGCATCATGCGCGTGCAGCTGGACACGGGCGTGCCCGTGCTCTTCGGCGTGCTCACGGTGCTCAACGAGCAGCAGGCCAAGGACCGCGCCGGACTCTCGGACAAGGGCCACAACCACGGCACCGAGTGGGCGCAGACCGCCGTCGAGATGGCGCGCCTGCGCGAGGCCACGCTCAAGGGCGGCTGCCCCATGCGCCCCCACGAGCACCTGCCGTACCACAGCCTGACGAACTGCCCATTCTTCACGGTCTCGACGTGGCTGCACATCGCCACGCTCGGCGCGCTCGGCTTCGTGGCTGCTTCGGTCGCCAAGAAGCTCGCGTAGGTCACAGGCATGCACAAGACATAGCGTAGCGTAGCGAAGAGTAGAAGCACTCACAGACCTGAATTTGACAAACAAGTTCTCCTCTCTTTGGGTGTTTCAATGCGGTTATACTGTAGCTGTTAGAACCCGATACGAACCTTGCTCACGGGCGCAGCCATGCGCACACCCAAGCCATTGCTGCTGCTGCTGCGATGAGACCCGTTGCTGCCGACGCTGCGCACCGACCGATCGCTGCACATTGACGACACCATCCACCATCGCGGTTAGTTGATCCCCGTGGCAACAAAAACCTGCAGCAAGCACATCAAACCTTTTGTCGCTGCGCGCCGACATGGGGCGCTGCAGCCCTGCTCCGTCGGCTCTTGCTGCAGCCGTCCGTCCTGGTGGCACCGCCGGAATGTGCATCCCAGCTTCGCGCACTGCCATCTGCAGCGGGTCTGCGATCTCTGGGAACTCGTTGGCCAGTTGGCCCAGTGTGTAGAGCAGGCTCGCGCTGATCTCCTTGAGCTCCAGCGCCTCCAGCATTATCTGCTCCTTCGTACGCCAGCCACCGTCGTCGTCGATGCCACTGGCGCTCACAGCGAACTGCCGGTGCTCCCGTATCTGGCGGTCAAGCTTCTTGACGACCTTGCCCCACTTTGCTCGCTCCGTCTGCACCTCGCGCTCTACCTGTGACATGGCACCCTCGAGCTGCGTCGCGTTGGCTCGAGCGAAGTCGCGCTGAGTCTCTACTTCACGGAGCCGCTGGGTCTCACTTGTCACGTCCAGCTCCACGCGCGCGAGCTCCTTCTTCTTCTTGAAGAAAGTATCCTCCGCCATCTTGGCCTGCGCCTCAAATGCAGCGAGGCGTTGTGCGTCATCGCCAGCGAGATCCGCGCGATGGAAGCTCTTACGGTAGGCCGAGTTGCGCTCCTCCAAGTGAGCCAAGGTCTTCTTCAAGGCGCGCACGTCCTTCTCAGCAACGCGAATCTTGTCGTCTAGCTCGTCGCCCTCGCGCTGAAGCTCCTCGCGGCGCTGGGCGGCTCGAATCACGAAGTAGGCTTGGCTGCGCTCTTTGCCAGCTTCACCTGCGTCGTCGCCGTCGTTAGCGTAGGCGCCCATCTTGCACAGCGTCTCGAACTTGGCCTGCAGCTTTCGCACTCGGTTTTCTCGGTCTGCTAGCTCGACGGAGACGCGGTGTCGTTCTTCTTCAATGGCTTTGTTGGCCGCACGCTGCAGCTCTTGGTGCGCTGCGATCTCGCGCTTGCGCTCCTCCATACTCTTCTTGAGCTGAAAGTCACGGTTCTCGAGCGACAAGACCTCATCGGCACGAGCGTGAAGCAGGTCACGCAGTCGGCGAACTTCTAGCGCTTGTAAGTCATGCTGGATCAGCAGCTCCTCCTTGTTCTTGAGCGCCGCTTTGAGTGCATGTGCACAGCTCTCATTGCGCAGCTCGTGCTCGGCGATCTGAGCATCCACCTCCTTTTGCTGCGCCACCAAAGCTTTGCGAGACCGCTCCTGCGCTCGACGCTCTTCTTCCAACTTCTTGCACTGCGTCGTGAGCATGACCTGCTCAGCCTTCACACGGTCGAGCTCCATCTGCAGCACCTGAATCTGGGCTTGAAGCGCCTTGGTTTCATCTGCACTGCGCTCGCCACTCGCTCGCGCCACCTTGCGCTCCATTTGCTGGATCTGGAACTCGCCATTGTAAACGAGCTCCTGCTGGCGCAAGGCCTGTGCATCCAGCGTTCGCAGCTTGGAGCGCAAGTTTTGTGCTGCGGCCTTTGCACCCGAAAGCTCCGCCACCAGACTAGCTTCCTGCTGCCGCAGAGCAAACAATTGCTGGCTCTTGCGAAACATTTGATCCTTTTGAACAGCGATCTCCTTGTCCAGACGTTTGACCTCGCTCTCCATGTCAGCCAGATCAGCCTCAGCTTGCTTGGCCAGTGCTTCTGCGTCCATGGTGGAGTCACGGCAGCGGTCAAGTGCCTGCCGTGTTCCTTTGAACCTCGCTCGAGCCGCCTCGAGTTCTTGCTTCATGGCCTCTAGCCGATCATCGCGGTTGGAATTGATTGATCGTTGCTGGTTTAGAGCAGCTACAGCGCTGGATAGCTCACTCTTCAGCAGTTCCACCTGGTCACGGAATGCCTGTAAACGTGCCCCAGTCTGTTGCAGTTCTTGCTGTGCTTTGGACTGAGCTCGTTCCTTGGCTGCAAGTTGACCTTGTGCTTCGCTATTCGCCGTCTCCTGCTGCTTCAGTCGCCGTTTCTGCTCGCTGAGGAGCTCTTGCTTGCTCTGGAGACCACGTTGAGCCACAGCATACTGCTCACTAGCCTGCGTGATCTCTTCGTCACGGGCTCGCATAGCCTCTAGCGTGGATTGCCACTGAGCGACAAGCTTGGCGCGCTCAGCGTGAAGCGAACGGAATTCCTCGGCTGTTTTGTCCAGCTCGATCTGCTTCGCCTGTGTTTCCGTAGCTTCATCATCCACCTCACGCTTGGCTCGAGCGAGCTGCTGAGTGAGCTTTTCTAGAGCGAGCGTCAGCTCTTTGATGCGAGCTTCATCGGCCCGCCGGTATCGCTCTAGCGCCATCGCGTCCTCTTCCTTCTGCCGCGCTGCCACTGCCCACTGCTCCATCTCGTCCTGGTTCCAGTTCATCTGAAGCTTGAAGGCATCCATGGCCTCGTTGCCCTTGAACAGAGAGCCCTGCAAACCTGCGAGCTTGCGCTCCAGCTCTGCTGCCTCGGCGTCAAGGACCTTGGCTTCTTGAGCCACTCGCCCAATCTCACGCTGCGCCAACTGCCTCATGTGCTCCTCGCTGGAAACCTCCTTGAGCTTGGCACCGTGCAGCGCTTGGGTATGCAGTAGTTCTTGCTGCACGTTCTTCAGATGCTCCGTCATGATCTCCACACGCGATGCAGTTTCTGAAAGCTCCCGCTTGGTTGCCTCGAAGCGAGCTTCCTTGACGCGGATCTGCGCATGAAGCTCGCGGTTCTTCTCATCTGCAAACAGCGGGAGGTCATCGATGCCCGTGGGCAGCGTGCGCACCGCCCTTTCGTCCGCCTTGCCACTGACTTCGCTGTTATTGTCAGCTTCGTCTTCGTCCTCGTCCTCTTCGTCGATGCTCTGGCTGCGTTGCTGCCCGTCAGCGCGCTTCCAGCTGTAGTGCGCGGGCTCCGAGTCGACGCTTTGCGGTGATTCGTCCTTGAGAAGATCGTCCTGCTGCGCGCCGTCGTCCATCCAGTTGTTACCATCGGACTTGACGAGCGACGACTTCAGACCCGTCTCACCGCCAGCGTCTTCACTATCAAACTCCATTTGCACCTCCCCGAGGGCCGCTTCACCGGCGTCATCACCGCCAACGCTGCTGCCTGGCATGCTTCCACCTCCTCTTCAATATCGAGCTTTGCTCGGATCGTTTCAGCCCATTGAGACCGGCGAAACCCACCAACTAAATGCGGCGACAGGTCCGTTACGGCCACGCAGCTCGATCGTGACTACCATTGCCGTATCCGCGCGACGAGCAGCAACCAACACACGCACTTGCACAAACTACCGGCTACGAGCTCGATGACAGTCACTTGGCGCTTGGCCGAGGTGCCTTCTTCTCCTCCATTCCTTGCGTTTCCGAGGCCGTGAATGGGAGGAGCATTGGACTGCGCTCGTAACGAAGCAGAACGCGCCGCTCTCATCTCCGAACCTGCTCTCTCGCTTGCTGGGTGGTGGGGAGTGCGATCACAGCGACAATGGCCCGGCGTTAGCTGGCGTTAGCAGCTCCACCAGGCCCGCTTCAAGTTTGGCCTCGAATTAGGTCTCTTCCCCCTGACATTTTTTTTTCTTCCAAAAATAGAGAGTCGGAGGTCTCTCCCCCTCCGATTTATTTTTTTTATCACATAGTACAGCGCGCTGATAGGCGAAAAAAATCCTTGTTTCATCCAATGGCTAATGGTGGCCTAAAAATCGACGTGAGTCTAACAACTGTTCGGCTCACGTCGATTTTTAGGCCACCATTAGCCATTGGATGAAACGCCGACTAGGTTAGCACTTTAGACCAGTCACACTTACCGTTTCTTGAAAGTGATATTTGACTAACGGGAGGCATCTCGGTACTGAAGAAAAGAAACGGGCGCCTGAGAAGAAAGAAACGGTGCAGGAAGAGGACCATGACGAACGGACAGGGCAAGGGCAGCGCGCGCGGGGCCTGCGCCGCCAAGCTGTAGCTGCTATCTACACGGAGGCTATCTATCCTAAGAATCAATCAGAAAGACGCGCTGTCCGTCCGTCACAAAATCGTCACGCTTATTCACTAAGTACGATTCCTACTAATTCCGATTAGCTGTCGAGCGCAGCGAAGGCGGTTCCGTCGCCGAAGGCGACCCCCTCATACGATATTGCGGGGCCGCAGGACCCGCCCCGGCCTCTGTAGTACTAACCTAACATTGAGAGTAGTGCAGCGAGCCGACGAGCCGTAGCGAAGCGTAGGCAGTCTGCTCCAATAGCGGAGCGAGCATAGCGAGTGAAGCGCCAACTAACTAAAAATCCCCGCCGCGGAGCGGCGGCGCTCGGCTAGTGGAGCACAATAGGTTCCTCCCTACAGTGGGTGATATTGAAGCAGCAGCCAAGCAGCTTGGGCTCCCAATTGCTAAGATGGATGATGCCTGGCGCCTGCGCCGCCAGGAGGCCGTCCATCCTGGGACCCGCGGAAGGGACATATCCGAGCTGGTGGACACGTTCGTTCACCGCCGCGAGGGCGATATGTCCACCGCAGGCTTGCAAGACGACGCCGTTGCCAAGTTGCTGGGCCTAAGCGTGAAGAACTACCGCAAAACCTACAAAGCCGAGTTTCTCATGGAGCTTGACATACGGGCGAACATCATGGAGGAGACTGTCGTTGGGACTGATGTGATCCTGCCGAAGCTACTGCTCTACATCTCCGGCTCTCGGCGATCGATTGTCATCTTTTGCTTTGATTTTACTCTGTATCTGGTGGCGAAGGCCCTAGTTGTGGCCATGGAACGTGGAGTGAGTGTTGTGATTGTTGCGGATTTCGCGAACGCGCACACTAAATGGTGTAGGCGCGTTCTGAGCTACGTTATCCGGAATGGGGCTCATGTTTTCTTCGTGGAGAAACCGTCGATCTGCATCCACTCAAAGATGTGAGAGTATGAAATGCAGAAGCTCTTTGAACAACGAGCTAATTTTGTTTTGTTCTAGGGATTATCGATTGTTTTTTGGTGATCGATGGATCGTTTAATTTGTCAGCTCGGGCTTTAGGGAAGAAGCTGGGGGTATCGAAGCGTTAACATTGAGAGTATGACTACTACCATGCCAGGTTTTGACGCTTGTGTGGAGCTGGTCGCGAAAATGAAGGGGTTCGGCGAGGTTGGCCCTATTGACCAGATCGCTGATTCGATAGCTGGTTATTTTTCGAGCGCAGAGGAGGCTGTGGACGGAGATGTCGAGCCTGATGCAGACCCAAGTCAGGTCGACCTGAACGATCTGGTTGAGCCCGAACCGGCGCCACAACCTGTGGCACAAGAGGAGCCCAGAGCAATCCAGCCCGTTCCATATGGGGGAGCTTCACCCGCGTTTGAATTACGACGAGAGCGGGCTCTGAGTCGGTACACAGCTCTTTCTGCCCAGCTGGATTGGGCTATGGCTGGCGAAGACAGGACGATCCCTGGGCCCCAGAGCTTGCCTTGCTGGGTCCATTCATCGAGCACTTGCCCCAAGGTGAAAGAGCTCACAATCCTGAATGGAGGGACCGTACCAAGCGAATTGACAAGCTGATTAAAGATTGGCAGAACGACAAGCGCAAGAAACTGGAGGAGGAGGTTGAAGCTGCGAATGCAAGAGCCTGTCCAGTACAGTAATCGCATGGTGCGCAACGATAGCCATAGGTCGCAGCGTGGCAATCTTCAGACTGTGGGTCATTCCGCATTCTGCGCTCTCCAGCTCAAGCGGCCCCACAGCCCCTCCAGCCCTCCCCACCCCACCTTCACCCACCCACCCCCACATACCCACCATGTCTGAGACGCCTCTCACCAGCGAGCAGATCAACGCGCTGCGCGACGCGGAGCTGGACCAGTGGAAGACGCAGGAGAACGCGGCCGACCTCATGGTGCCGCTCATCGGCCGCCTCTACCGCGAGAACAACGTGGTGAGCGTGCTCTTCGGCAAGGGCCTCGTGCACAAGAACAGCATCGACCTCATCAAGCTGCACAACTACGTCTGCAAGTACGTGGGCAAGCGCATGCAGCCCACCGAGACGCTCGTGGTGCTGCTGGCGCTCGTGCAGTACGCGCCCAATGCGCGCGACATGCGCATCGACCTGGGCCGCACCTTCGTCTTCATGGAGAAGGAGGTGCTCGACGTGCAGGCGCAGGTCACGCCCGAGGCGCGCGACGCCAAGATCCGCGCGCTCGGCGAGCTCATCAACACCAAGATGGCTCCGCTCACGCAGGCGCCGCCCTCCTTCACGCCCAGCGACGTGGTGCTCTACGGCTTCGGCCGCATCGGCCGTCTGCTGGCCAGGCTGCTCATTGAGAAGAGCGGCCCCGGCGTGAAGCTCATGCTGCGCGCCATTGTCGTGCGCAAGGGCACCAAGGAGGACCTCATCAAGCGCGCCAGCCTGCTGCGCCGCGACTCGGTGCACGGCCAGTTCCAGGGCAGCATCACCTTCAACGAGGAGGCCAACGCCATCATCGCCAACGGCAACCTCATCCAGATCATCTACTCGGACGGCCCGGACAAGTGCGACTACACCAAGTACGGCATCAACAACGCCGTGGTCATCGACAACACGGGCCGCTGGCGCGACGCCGACGCTCTGGGCCTGCACCTGAAGTCCCCCGGTGTGTCCAAGGTCATCCTCACGGCGCCCGCCAAGGGCAGCGTGCCCACGATTGTGGCCGGCGTGAACGAGAACATGATCTCGAGCTCGGAGAACATCTACTCGGCTGCGTCGTGCACGACGAACGCCATTGCGCCGTCGCTGTATGCGCTGGACAAGAAGTTCGGCATCGTGGGCGGCCACATTGAGACTGTGCACTCGTTCACGAACGACCAGAATCTGATCGACAACTACCACATGAAGGAGCGTCGTGGACGCAGTGCTGTGCTTAACATGGTTATCACTGAGACGGGCGCTGCGGCCGCTGTGGTCAAGTGCCTCCCCTCGCTCAAGGACAAGCTGACTGCCAACGCCATCCGCGTGCCGACGCCCAACGTGTCGCTGGCCATTCTGAACCTGCAGCTCGACCCGACCAAGGCCGAGGGCATCACCAAGGACTCAATCAACTCGTTCATGTCCAAGGTGTCGCTGGACTCCCCGCTCCAGAACCAGATCGACTTCGTTAACTCGGCTGAGGCTGCGTCTTCCGACTTCATTGGCAGCCGCGCCGCTGGCACTGTCGACGGCAAGGCCACCATCGTTGACGGCAACAAGGTCGTCCTGTACGTCTGGTACGACAACGAGTTCGGCTACAGTTGCCAGGTCGTGCGTGTGCTGCAGCGACTCATGGGCATCAACCACACGCGTTTCCCAGCCAAGGAGCAGGTTGAGGAGATCGACAGCGCTCTCAACCTCACCTGGAACATCTAGATTTCAGCGAAGTCGAAGCCGCAATAGCGTTAGCTGGCAGCTAGTCCGAGACATCGCAGCGATATATAAACACATGAACATGAACTTACCCAACTTTAGCACTTCTTCCGTTTCACTTGCCATGAGTGCGACCTGATGCTTGGAAGTCCGAATGCATCCAACGCATGAAGCACGTGCATCACCAAAGAAGTTTGGTGCTGCAAGTCCACCCAAGAAGAAAAGTTCTTCCCCAAGTCGGGCAACGAAAGTTCAGGCACAGCAAGGTAGTTCCTTGTACTTCTCAATAATATCGAATGCACGCGCTGTTCTCACGTTTCGGTGCAGCTTCTCCAGACAGCAGGCGAAAATGCGAGCTATGCGTTGCTATGACAAGCGTTCGTCCTCGCAATGATTTTTCCGGTAGTCCAAAAGGGCTCACCAGGGCCGACTTGACTACATTCCGCGATGGAGGTACCGACAGCCTCGAGCCTAGTCTCAATGAAGATGTGCCGGTTAGCGATACCATCAGCAAACTCGACGTAATTCATGGCCATCTCGCCGGAATGAGCGGCGAACCTCCAGAAGCAGCGAAGGAGGTAACAGGTAAAGTTGTTAAAGATCTAGAATCGAGCACTGTGCCTACATCTACGGAGTTGGATGAAATGACCCATGTGGAGCGACTTAGCCGACCGAACGAGGAACTCGAGCGCCAGCTCGTTCAACAGATAGCAGAGAATGAGTCCTTACATCGGGAGCTTTCTACTCTGCAAGAGATTGAGCAAGAGAATGGAGCGAGCCTCCAGAGGGTAAACCTTTTAGAGAAGCGGACGTACGACCTGGAGGAAGCATTGAACTCGAAAACGATGGAGCTGGAGGCTGCTTTGGAAAAGCTAAGTTGCGTCGAGCAGGAACGCGATCAGTTGCGCAGCGAGAGTCAAAGTGCTGGACAAGAGCATCAAGAACACACTAAAACGCTAAAAGGCAAGCAAAGAAAATTGCTGCAACGAATTGAGCAGCTTGAGCGTCTGCATGAAGCCCAATCGGACGACCAGAAATCGGCCGAGCGTCACTGGAAAGAGAAGATGACGAATGCTACGCGAGCAAACTCGCAAACGATTGATGCCCTCCAGCAGCAGCTCGAACAAAGCCATAACACGACAAAGAAGCTCGAAGCGGAGGTGCAAGAACTCGAAGAGCAAGTTCAAAAATTACTAGCGACGACAGTGCGACAGACAGGTCTAATCGAGGAGTGCGACCGCGCGCTGTCCGAAACCAAAGCACAGCAGCAGCAAGCCGAGCGCAAGTATGAGGAACAGCGAAAACTTTCGTGCGAGCTGAGTGCGAAAACCGAGAGACTAGAATTGCAAGTGGCGTCGTTGCCAGTGAAGTTGGAGAAGGAAGTTGTATTGCTGAAATCTGAGCTCACCAATCATATAGACGCGCTGAGAGACAAGGACAAGGAGATCGAGGCCATCCAGCACGCCTTCGTTACTAAAGAGGAAGAAATACTCCACGTGGCCGAGGTTCGTCCCTTGTTATTTTACTACTTTCTGGTCCTTCGGCTTAGCTTAAAACATTGTTCATGTCGAACAACACGAAGATGAATAAAGGGCTCCAGCGCAAAGAGAGAAGATGGAAGAGCGATATTTCGGAGCTGCAAATTGTATTACGGGTAGGTTGGATTGCGAGCTTTAGCTTTTGATACTTACTTTTGACGACGGTTAATGTGCACAGGACGCTAAGGATGAGATCAATCTGCTCAGTGAACAAGTCCTAGCACTACAAGGTGCGTCTAGCCCACCAAATTTCGTCGATCAATTGTCTTACAGTCTTGGTTGCAGAGCAAATGGAGAGCGAGCGAAAAGATCGATCTCGCTGGGCCACCGCTAGGCTGAAGCTACTCGCCGAGTTCTGTGATGAAGACAGCAAAGTCGGTTCGGTATTGAATCACCATGACGCCTCTCTCGATGGTCAAGAATGGGCACACGTCGAGAAACAGCAACTCACCGCGCCACAAAGACGTAGTATGACGAAGGGCAAACGGACCACAAGGAGCCAAGTAACAGATGATCAGAGCTACGACGGCGACGATAGTGACAAGGAAGATCAACAAAGGCGAAGCTCCATAGTCTTTGGATAGCGAAGACCGGGCAAAAAGGATACTAACGTTAGCATTACTCGGGGAGGTTACTTGTACGATGGTCTATCGTGAACGCTACCACACTTCCAGCTCCATTAATTTAGTTACTGTTACTTCTTCGATGCTGTACGCGTGTTGGATTTCAATCCCACTGGAAACGAAAAATATTTTACAATAAAAGGTCAGTGAAACACGCTCAGCAGCAAACAAAATTTACATCAGATGTCGTACCTCGTCAGAATTGGTCAAGGGAGCGTACGTCTTGTGTGACGGTCCAAGTCTCTGGCGCACCATGTTCTTGAGTTCGATCACCTTTGCGTCCTCCTTCACCTGGCGCTTCAGATCAACTTCGCCAACCACCGGAGGCTGGTATCGTTTCAAAAGTAGCGACGAAATCACCACCGACACGGACGAAAACGCCATCGCCAGACCAGCACACGCAGGCGGCATCATCCGGTGGATCAGAGGGAAGAACATGCCGGCCGCCAGCGGAATGCCCACCACGTTGTACACGATCGAGAAGAAGAAGTTCAACTTGATGCGCGAGAACACGACGCGGGCCAAGTCCAGAGCTACCACCACGTCCGTCAGAGCGCTCTTCACGAGCACCATGTCGGCCTCCGCCTTGGCGATCTGCGTGCCGGCACCGATGGCCATGCCGATATCCGACTGCGCCAACGCTGGCGCGTCGTTGATGCCGTCGCCCACCATGCACACCACGCGCGGCTTCAGCGTCAGCGGGTTCACCTGCGACTGCAATGCCTTGATCTGAGACGCCTTCTCACCAGGAAGCGCCACGGCCTTGACGTGGTTGATGCCCATCTGGCGCGCGATCGCGCTGGCCGTGCGAAGGTTATCGCCCGTGATCAACCACACGTCTAGCCCCATCGACTTCAGGTGCTTCACGACATCCGCCGCTTCGGGGCGAGGAGCGTCAGCCAACGCAATCACGCCAACCAGCTTGTTCTCCACGCACACAACCACAACGGTTTTTCCCTCGAGTTCCAGCTCGTGCATGTGGGCGCGTATCTTCTCGCCGATCTCGATGCCCTTCTCCTCGCAGTACTCGGAGTTGCCCACCATCACGTTGGCCGCTGTGGTGCGTGACGTCACCTCGCTGGCAGCCACAGTGCCTTCAATGCCGCGGCCAGGGACCACATGGACATCGGTCGGATCCTGCAGTTCGAGCTTCTCATGTTCCGTGGCCGTCACGACGATGGCCTTGCCAAGAACGTGCTCACTCACACACTCCAAGGACGCGCCGTAGTACAGCAGCTCGCGCGGCGTGTACGCACGGTCGGCCACCACCACGTCACGAACCGAAGGGTGGCCGACAGTCAGCGTGCCGGTCTTGTCGAACACGATGGTGTCGATGTAGCGCGCGGTCTCGAGCGCCCGACCGCCCTTGATGAGCACACCCTTCTTGGCGCCGACGCCACATCCGACCATGACAGCAGTGGGGGTGGCCAGTCCTAAAGCGCACGGGCACGCGATCACGACGACCGAGATGGCGAACAGAATTGACAGAAAGAAGTCATCAGCGTGGCCAGTACTGACGGACACTCCCAGATCAAGTTTCCACTGCGCAGGAATAATGTCCATCGAGAGTAGCAGTAACCAGGTCGTAAATGTCAATACTGCCAATCCCAAAACGCAAGGAGCGAAAATTGAGGCCAGATAGTCTGCATACGCTTGAATGGGAGCCTTGTGGAGCTGTGCCTCCTCGATCAACGAGCAGATTTGAGACAACGCCGAGCTTTCCCCACCCATGCAGCTCGACTCGATCACCAGCGTGCCCTGTTGGTTCACAGTTGAACCGAACACGTAGTCGCCGGTCTTCTTCGCCACCGGCATACTTTCACCCGTCAGCATCGACTCATCCGTCGAGCTAGAACCAGATTTCACCACGCCGTCTGTCGGGATGTTAGCACCTGGAAGGATGCGCAGAAGATCACCGCGCTGCACCAATTCGATCGGGATTTCGCGGTCGCGTTTACCCTCGACGATAAGTAGCGCCTTCTTCGGCTGCAGCTTGGCCAGTTCTGACAACGCATCTGCTGTCTTGCCCTTCGCCATCGACTCCATGTACTTACCCAATGTCACGAACGTCAGCAGCATCGCTGATGACTCAAAGAAGTGGTGGCCGTGATAATTCTCATGCACCGCCGAGCCAACCAATGATACAAAGCTGTATGTGTACGACATGGTGGTGCCTGCCACGACCAAGAAGTCCATACCCATGGAGCCGTGCTGCAGACCCTTCCACGCGGCCACGTAGAACCGCCAGCCCACGCCGAACTGGATAGGAGTCGCCAGCAGGAACAGCAGCAACAGCTTAATCGATACGGAATTAAACACAGGCGTCATCAACACTTTCTCCACCGGAGGGATGTACATGAGCACCATGTGGATCAGCATGGCCGGCAGCGAGAAGAGCATGGCCGTCGTCAAGAGCTTGCGCCACTTCTCCACCTCCGACTTGCTCAGCGCGTTCTGGTCCGTCGTATCCAGCGCTACCTCCGCCGAGTAGCCCAGGCCGTTGATGCACTCCAGCACGTCGCGTGGCCCCGTCTTGGCCAGCTGCTTCAGGTGCACGTGCGCCTTGTTCAGCGGCAGGTTAACCAGCACCTTGGTGACGCCCGGCAGCTTGCCCACGGCCGACTCGATCTTGCCCACGCACGCGGCGCAGCTCATGCCCGTGACCGTGAACTTGAGCTCGAGCGAGTCGCCGTCGCCCGGCTCCACCACGTGCGAGAACGTCGCCTTGTAGCCGGCGTCCTGGATGAGCTGCCGGAGCTGCTGCTGCTCGTCCCGGACCAGGTCGCGGTCGAACGCCACCTCGGCCTTCTGGCTGATGAGCCCCACGCGGCAGTGCAGCACGCCCTCGGCCTTGCCCACGTGGTCCTCGATGGCCTTGACGCACGCGGCGCAGCTCATGCCTTCCACGTGGAACACGGCGCGCGGGTGGCCGGCCGCGTCGGGCCGTGGAGCCGCAGTTCTTCTGGCACATCATGCCCTCCACCAGCAGCTCGATCGTCAGCGCCGTCGCCTGCTGCTGCTTCAGCTGCTCTCCTTCCTGCTCCAGCGTCGACGGCTTCACGGCGGCGCCGAAGCCCACGCACTCCACGGCGTCCACCAGGTCGTCGGCCGTCACGCGGGCGCCGGGCTCGCACTCGACGCGCGCGCTGCGGCGCTCAAAGTCCACGACGGCGGAGGCCACGCCGGCCACGCTCCGCAGCGCGCTCTGCACGGTGGAGCCGCAGTTCTTCATGCACATCATGCCCTCCACCGCCAGCTCCACCACCAGCAGCGGCGCGTTGTCGGTCGGAGGAGCGCGCGCCGCCATCGTCATGGGCTCAGGAGACCTCCTCTACAGACGGTCAGTCTATTTGTGCCGAGAAGAGCTGGTGGATAATTTCGGGATTGGAGCCGGTGCAGTTTTATATGGCACGCGCCTCTTGGATGCGGATTGGGCGTTCTGGTGGTCGGCGGGTTGTATGCGCTCCAGTATGGGTTGGGCGCGATGGCTACACCGCTGGTTTTGGGGATATTTAGATCTGGCGGCGACGTTGGAGCGTTTTGCTGTCGCCACATCGGCCACCACCACCGCCAGAACGGAGCTGGCGACGGGGCGTGTGTGTGACTGAGTGGCAGTACCGTATCGGTGTGCGATCGGCGCGGGGTCGTCAACGCCAAAGATGAGCGAGGCTGCTTCGGAGCAATCCGGCGGCGGTGCTGCAGCTCAACTGGCTGAGCCAGGCACAAAGGACTGCTTGGTGGAGTGCGTCGGACCATGAACGTGACGTGAGCACGGCAAAGACTCCTCGACTACTGAAAGGACCTTGCATTCCCAAGCAATCGATCAGTTCTCGGTGTCGACACTGCATGCTGCAGAGCCTGTCACAACAATCGCTCGAGCCGGGTGATAGTGGCTGCTTGCACCGGGCCAGCCAGTAAGAAATCTTGAGATGTGCTTAGAGCTACAGCTGGTGATTTGACGTTCAACACTCCAAAATCGGTGAAGGAACTCCTTCATTTGCGAAAAAGACGAGAAGAGGCAAGCGGACGTCGGCAGGTGCGAGGCCGTCGAAATGCAAGCCCCTGCTAGCTAGGAGAGGGTGTGCGTGTGTGCTAAGATCATGGTATCATTTGCGTGTTAGCTGGGGGGGAGTTGTGCGCACAGGGCCAACACAAGCACGCGGTATTTGCGGAGGGGGGCCCTACACCGAGCTTTCCAGCGCCTCGTGCAGTACTCGGCTCGCTAGACTGCTTGGCGCGGGGGCGTCCAGCCAAGCGCAGCCCGGCAGGCAACATGTTGTGGTAACAAGTAGTTGGCACTAAACATTAAAGTAGATCCAGCGTGTGTTGCTTAGCGCCTCGAAACACTTTTGTCAGTACTGTAGCTACTTCAGACTACACGCAATGGTACAGTAACATACAGAATACAGCATTTAGTGCAGCTCAGCCGCTTGCTCTCGAACCGAAGTGATATGTAGTGTTACTGTGAGGACACATAGACCCAAGGACTTGGCGATCAAGTCCTCCAACTCGGTGGCCAAATTGACCAGACTTGGCCACTTGGCCCATGCTCGTGCTGGTGCTCGCTCGGTTGGTTGGTTGCTGGCAGCAACTTGCTGCCAACTTGGTTGGAACGTCCAACCAACATACGGAAATGTTCTCGACAAAAAACAGAGTGTCAGCCTATTCTTTTACCGTGCACCGGGCCAGTCGGTGTGGCCCGGTGCACCACGCTGCACCGACTGGAGCTGACCCGGTGCAAGTATCCTCTGTCGAGCCGGGTGGTTGCCGCGAATGTATCCACCGGTTGATTGCAGGATCAGACATGAACTGATCCCTACGCTTCTCCACGCCTCTCCACCGTCGTTTGCGACAGGATCACTCGTGCGAATTCGACAACGCTCGTCAGCAGAGTGTCCTCATGCTGTCCGCATTGGCAGCAGGCTCAGACAACCCGTTGTGCATGTAAAACATAACCACGTTGATTGATTGGTTAATATGTTTTATGCCTTATAAAAGGTAAAAAAACGATATTATAACGGACAGCCGCCATCAGCCAATGAAACGGTGCGTCACTTCGCATTCAGCAGCTCAAGTGCACTGCTACATCGGACGCCATGGTGCCCATGAAGGTTCGGCTCACGGGGCTCATCAACCAGTCCCCGCAGTATGTGATCGACCAAGCGCGCGCACCCATCCAGTTCGTGGCCTCCAAGAAGGACTTCTCCTACTGCGCCGAGCGCTTGCGCAGCGCGCAGCTCATGGGTCTCGACACGGTGCGTCCGTGCATGGGTTGAAAACGGTTAATATCCTACTACTTCGCTGACTTTGAGCCACCCCATACAGGAGACGCGCCCTACCTGGGGCAAGACCCGCGGCCCCAACCCGTGCGCGCTGCTGCAGATCGCGGTGCGCGACGCCAGCCACACGGAGGAGGTTTTCATCCTCGACCTGCGCCGCCTGCCCGCCACCGTCTACAACAGCACGCTCACCAGCGTCTTCCTGTCCAAGAAGATCATCAAGCTGGGCCAGAGCTTCCTCCAGGACTTGAAAGAGCTCGCGCAGTCCTACCCGCAGGCGTCCTGCTTCACAGTCTGCAAGGGCGTCGTGGAGGTCAACGACCTGTCCATCGCGCTGGCGGGCGCGCACAACCCGCTGAGTCTGCAGAAGCTCGTGTTCTTCTACCTGCACCGGAAGCTCGCCAAGACGCAGCAGATGTCCAACTGGGAGCGGAGACCGCTGACGGCCAGTCAGCTGCACTACGCTGCCGCGGACGCCCTCGTGCTCATTCACCTGTACGACGAGCTACTGATGCGGATCAGCAAGAAGCAGCAAGGCTTCGAGTTGAGTGAAGTGACGAATGTGCTTGATATCAACTTGCCACGGACGCCCAAGTGCTCGCTATGCTTCGAAGTCTTCGACACTGCGGCTGAACTGAAGAAACATCGCAAGATCTGCACTGTGGACGTGCGCATGCTGGTGATCTGCGCTGTCTGCGAAGGGAAGAAACTCGTGACGGAGAAGGCGATGGAGCACCACGAGAAGCACTGTGGAGTGGACGAGGAGACTGTGGAGCCTATTGTGCAGGTCAAGAGGAAGCGCTCGCTCTCCATGGAGAGCCGAAGCAGTTCTACCAAGACGCATAAGTCCATTAGCGGCAAAAAGCGCCGTCTCGGAGCATCAGACGCAGTAGATTCCAAGGTCATACAGGTAGCAGAGGAGGTCAATGCCCGAAGCGCGGATACCAACCATCAAACGGTTAAGCAGCGCCGTAATGCGTTGAAGAAGGCGAAGAAAAGGGAAGAGAGAGCGGCAAAACTGGAGACAGCAGAGTCTGAGACCCAGTTGGGAGGAGAGCAAGTTGATGCATCAACTGCTGCCAGCGCACATCAAGACGAGAAGAAACGCCGTAAAGCGCTGAAGGCGAAGTTGAGAAGGAAGAAGAAAGCCCTAAAGGCCAAACTTTCTGCTACCCAGGCTGAACCTCAAGAGTCTGAAGCACCAAGCTGTCGCGATCAAGCGTACAAGAAGCGGAAAATGAGCATGGAGTCGTCACTCTTGGCGTCCGATGCCATGTGGTCTCAGATTTCGAGCGACTGCTCCAGTACCAGCGCCGCGTAGTTGCCAACAACAGTAGTGTGAATTCAGTAACCAACACTGCAGGTCCTTGGTTCAAGTACACATACAGCATCAAAATTCTGAGCTGAAGACATTTCGGTGTTGAACACGGGGACGCTTTCGCGAAAGTTCCCGGGAGTAAAGGATGTGGCCGATTCAGAGACCGGGCCGGGCGTGTAAAGTGCTGAGTTTGTCGCCGTTCGCACCGCGCCACCCGCTTGGGATCTGCTGCGACGAATGCCCTTGCTCGAAGCTGCGTCTGCTGTAGCCGACCTGCCAGCTCCATCCATTGCGGTCTTAGTCCTCGTGAACGACACCTTCTGGCGAGCTCTTCTCTACGATCACTTTGCAGTGTGTGCTATTGTATTACCAGCTTACGAGAAGTCTGCACAGGAGGCCGATAGGATACGTACGACCAGCTCGCCGCTATTTGAACAGGGAAAGGGCCGTCTCTAACGTTAATTAAATGCATTGGAAGATCGTGAAGCAAGCAAGCGACGATGGTGGCAGCCACAATGAAGCAAGTGTCTTGACTGTACACTGGTGTCCGTCCGCTCAGCCGCGACGCCGCCATCAATTTCCTTCCCAGAGGCGTCTTCTGGTTCGGGGCGCCACCTGCATTTCTCGCGCTTTCGACGGTGCTGGTCCGGCCCCACGGCCCATACAAGCGCAAGTCAAGTGCCGCCTTTCGGACACACCAGCTGGCGCGTTCCGAGGGCACAAAACCGTGGCCGCTCCATCGAGATGGCGGCGCTGCTGACCCTCGATGACTTGAGCGCGCTCGCTCGCGGCGAGCAGCACGCTCATTTCCCGTCCGTCCGACCAGAGCGCAGCAGCAGCAGCGAGAGGACGAGAGGAGGACAAGATGGTGGCGCTTGCTATCGGGGACGATAACGTGCCGCTGCTGGTGGTGGAGCTGGCGGTGGAGGGCATGATGTGCCAGAAGAACTGCGGCTCCACGGTCGAGAACGCGCTGCGAGGCGTGGACGGCGTGGCCGCCGCCGTCGTGAGCTTCGAGCAGCGCAAGGCCACGGTGACGCTGCGGCGGCCCGGCAGCGCGACGCTGCAGGAGCTCGTGGACATGGTGGAGTGCGTGGGCTTCGAGGCCAGCGCGTACGACGCCGCCAAGGCCGCGGCCATCAAGCTGCAGGCCCAGAGGCAGAAGGCGGCGCAGCAGCAGAAGGAGCAGAGCCTGGCGCTGGACGTGCCCGACGCGGCCGGCCACCCGCGCGCCGTGTTCCACGTGGAAGGCATGAGCTGCGCCGCGTGCGTCAAGGCCATCGAGGACCACGTGGGCAAGGCCGAGGGCGTGCTGCACTGCCGCGTGGGGCTCATCAGCCAGAAGGCCGAGGTGGCGTTCGACCGCGACCTGGTCCGGGACGAGCAGCAGCAGCTCCGGCAGCTCATCCAGGACGCCGGCTACAAGGCGACGTTCTCGCACGTGGTGGAGCCGGGCGACGGCGACTCGCTCGAGCTCAAGTTCACGGTCACGGGCATGAGCTGCGCCGCGTGCGTGGGCAAGATCGAGTCGGCCGTGGGCAAGCTGCCGGGCGTCACCAAGGTGCTGGTTAACCTGCCGCTGAACAAGGCGCACGTGCACCTGAAGCAGCTGGCCAAGACGGGGCCACGCGACGTGCTGGAGTGCATCAACGGCCTGGGCTACTCGGCGGAGGTAGCGCTGGATACGACGGACCAGAACGCGCTGAGCAAGTCGGAGGTGGAGAAGTGGCGCAAGCTCTTGACGACGGCCATGCTCTTCTCGCTGCCGGCCATGCTGATCCACATGGTGCTCATGTACATCCCTCCGGTGGAGAAAGTGTTGATGACGCCTGTGTTTAATTCCGTATCGATTAAGCTGTTGCTGCTGTTCCTGCTGGCGACTCCTATCCAGTTCGGCGTGGGCTGGCGGTTCTACGTGGCCGCGTGGAAGGGTCTGCAGCACGGCTCCATGGGTATGGACTTCTTGGTCGTGGCAGGCACCACCATGTCGTACACATACAGCTTTGTATCATTGGTTGGCTCGGCGGTGCATGAGAATTATCACGGCCACCACTTCTTTGAGTCATCAGCGATGCTGCTGACGTTCGTGACATTGGGTAAGTACATGGAGTCGATGGCGAAGGGCAAGACAGCAGATGCGTTGTCAGAACTGGCCAAGCTGCAGCCGAAGAAGGCGCTACTTATCGTCGAGGGTAAACGCGACCGCGAAATCCCGATCGAATTGGTGCAGCGCGGTGATCTTCTGCGCATCCTTCCAGGTGCTAACATCCCGACAGACGGCGTGGTGAAATCTGGTTCTAGCTCGACGGATGAGTCGATGCTGACGGGTGAAAGTATGCCGGTGGCGAAGAAGACCGGCGACTACGTGTTCGGTTCAACTGTGAACCAACAGGGCACGCTGGTGATCGAGTCGAGCTGCATGGGTGGGGAAAGCTCGGCTTTGGCTCAGATTTGCACCTTGATTGAAGATGCTCAGCTCCACAAGGCTCCCATTCAAGCGTATGCAGACTACCTGGCATCGGTTTTTGCCCCCTGTGTTCTGGGCATGGCGGTGATGACGTTTATTGCGTGGATATCGCTGTTGACACTCAACCTCATTCCTACCGAGTGGAAGGTAGAGCTGGGCGTGGATGAGGATGCTTTGGCTGATCACTCCGACGACATGTACCTGGCTGTGTTGTTTGCCATCTCGGTCGTCGTGATCGCGTGTCCGTGCGCTTTGGGACTGGCCACCCCCACTGCTGTGATGGTCGGATGTGGCGTCGGCGCCAAGAAGGGTGTGCTCATCAAGGGCGGTCGGGCGCTCGAGACCGCGCGCTACATCGACACCATCGTGTTCGACAAGACCGGCACGCTGACTGTCGGCCACCCTTCGGTTCGTGACGTGGTGGTGGCCGACCGTGCGTACACGCCGCGCGAGCTGCTGTACTACGGCGCGTCCTTGGAGTGTGTGAGTGAGCACGTTCTTGGCAAGGCCATCGTCGTGACGGCCACGGAACATGAGAAGCTCGAACTGCAGGATCCGACCGATGTCCATGTGGTCCCTGGCCGCGGCATTGAAGGCACTGTGGCTGCCAGCGAGGTGACGTCACGCACCACAGCGGCCAACGTGATGGTGGGCAACTCCGAGTACTGCGAGGAGAAGGGCATCGAGATCGGCGAGAAGATACGCGCCCACATGCACGAGCTGGAACTCGAGGGAAAAACCGTTGTGGTTGTGTGCGTGGAGAACAAGCTGGTTGGCGTGATTGCGTTGGCTGACGCTCCTCGCCCCGAAGCGGCGGATGTCGTGAAGCACCTGAAGTCGATGGGGCTAGACGTGTGGTTGATCACGGGCGATAACCTTCGCACGGCCAGCGCGATCGCGCGCCAGATGGGCATCAACCACGTCAAGGCCGTGGCGCTTCCTGGTGAGAAGGCGTCTCAGATCAAGGCATTGCAGTCGCAGGTGAACCCGCTGACGCTGAAGCCGCGCGTGGTGTGCATGGTGGGCGACGGCATCAACGACGCGCCAGCGTTGGCGCAGTCGGATATCGGCATGGCCATCGGTGCCGGCACGCAGATCGCCAAGGCGGAGGCCGACATGGTGCTCGTGAAGAGCGCTCTGACGGACGTGGTGGTAGCTCTGGACTTGGCCCGCGTCGTGTTCTCGCGCATCAAGTTGAACTTCTTCTTCTCGATCGTGTACAACGTGGTGGGCATTCCGCTGGCGGCCGGCATGTTCTTCCCTCTGATCCACCGGATGATGCCGCCTGCGTGTGCTGGTCTGGCGATGGCGTTTTCGTCCGTGTCGGTGGTGATTTCCTCTCTGTTACTCAAGAAGTACAAGGCACCGCAGCTCTTCCAAGCAAAACCGCAGAAGGTGCACTTCGAAGAGGACGTGCAGGTTGTGGACCTCAAGAACCTCGTGGGACTGAAGGCCAATAATGTGCGCTATGCGCCGTTGACAAATGTGGAAGAGCAGAAGACTCGCCTGAAGCCCATCGGTCAGTGATCTGTGCTGGTGCGTGACAGCATAGCAGATGTGTTTCGGCCTTAGCTGTGGCGTGATTTTGGATTTGTTGTGGCGTTTCGAAAGTCGTCGGCCGTGTGAAGGCCGCCAGTAGTTTGATTCCTAAGTTAATGCATGTATCCCATTATGGTCCGCTTCAGAAGTTTAGGATTCGCTTGGTTTTTTCATCCACTCAAACCATAGAGAAAAATCCGCGCCTACGTAAAAGTATTACAGTGAGATGCTATCCTTCGGCCGCAGCCTTTAGACCACCCAATCGTACCAAAGTGCTTAAGTCAGCGTGAATGCGATCCACAGCATCAGTTGGACGGCATATGCGTTTCCAGCACAAACCCTTAGCTGATAGACCGTGTGGATCCCACAATTTCTCTTCATGATCACGGCGACTATACCGAACAAAATGAGCTCTAGTAGCGTTTCGATCTGGACAATTTTTGGTCTGCACAATTTGAATCAACTTCGTGTCGACAATGTCAAGTTTCTCCGCTACGGTTCTTCCCTCTGGTAACAAGCGCTTGAATATTGAGGAATGCACACGGATATCAGCGCTCATTTGCCTTCGGAGTGGTTCGGAGTAGTAGCACAGCAGCCGGAGTGTTGTGAGTAGGTCACTCTTGGCATCGGTTCTGACATTGTGTGAAGGCGCCTTAAGATACTCTGGGTTCGTTGGTGGAGACCCAGCAATTCGAGCACTGTCTGCACATATTGAATAACGAGCACTGCGCCCAAGACAGATTTGGCATGATAGTGGCCAGATAAAATGAATCCAAAAATTCGACCGTGAACACAACTTGTTCCGGTATCATGTGCTGAAGCTGACGCAAAGACCGCTTTCACCACGAGCTTGAATATTGGCATCAAGAGCATCGCTGATAGTTCATACTTGATAGGGTTCGCTGCATTGAAAAGTACCTGGTAGGCAGGGTATGCTACTGAAAGAAACGCATGCCGACTTTGTTTACTCGGCGGAGTTGGTCTTGCCGCGAACTTGTTTGCTGAAATACTTCGGCCCCAACAACAACTCGTAAAAATCCCACAAGCAGCACTGGCCACACCGTGGATAGCGAAAGGACGAAAAACGGAATGGGAAATGCCCAAGATCTCTGCCACTGGTTGGAGGAATTTCCATAAATCAGTGATTTTCACTGAGATTTGACAAAATGATTGTGATAGCTTGAAACTACTGACTCAGTGATTTGGTAAATAGTAATACTACAGTAGTATTTATTCACTTCTTTCGATTACTATATTATTCCGAACTGATGGGTAAGGCCCCAGTCGATGTGAAGGAAGCGGACACCACGACGAAGGCCGTAGCCTACTTAACTATGCATCGACATGTTTCCCCCCTTCACAACCGAGCAGAGTTGCCGCGGTAAGAGACTTGAAAGAACTGAGTACCGATGGAATCCGACATATTAAACTAAGAACATGAACCGAAAACCTTGTGACGCACACAATGTTTGCAGGTGGATGCGGAAGTACTTTGTCTTTCTACGTTGTGGGAATCCGCCAATTTATAAGTTGCCGATACACTACACCTTTGCCAATCCAAGTTGGCAGTAGTGTAAGGCAAAGCCGAGAGTCCCGTAAATACGAAAAATATTTTTTTCAAAAATTTATTTTCGAGGATTACTACAGACCAATGTGGATTTAGTCCACAGCAAACATCTAAGTTCCATACTCCATGGACTCGCTACGAATAGCAGCGGCGACAGACCTTGCGTCCGCTTACAGTACAGGTTGTAGTTGGTCTCGTCATAATACACGATAAAAGCACCGTTCCGCTCATGCTTCAGCAACTCTTCACCAAACACCCTCCTCTTCTCGATATTTACAGCATTATTGCAGGTCTCGGGCTCTACGCGAACCTATCACAGGGAACATACTTAGTACAGTAGATGGTAAAAGTGATAGTATAATAACTTGAAGGCGTACCTGCTTAACAGTGTAAAGCTTATCGCAAAGCTTCTTACTGATCAACGAAGTGCTGATGTGCACCCTGAAGTCGAACGCAAGCGTTTCCTGCATCTGCACGAGTGTGTACTGGCAGTTGTCTTCCAGGTAGCCCACGAGAGCTTCCTCCATTTCTGGAGTACACTTCGTGCACGCCGCCCGCGCGCCGCCTCTCTTCTTGACATCAGCGGCTTGGCGCTGGACGATGTTGCGGGCAGTAGTGGGAGGGATGCCGTTGCAGTCGGCAACCAGCACCCAGTCACGCCCTTCTCGGTGTGCATCGAGCACACCCGCGCGAGCGGCAAACCCACGCTTCGGATCTTGGGGCATGTTGCCGGCGGATACAGTCTGTTACTGACCAGTGATTTGAGTTTGCTCTGCACTAAATCCACATTGCTCTAAATACTAATTTCAGAAATTATTTTCCGATTTTTGGATGTTACTTAAGTTACTCCACACTGTTTTGCTTTACACCGCTGCCAACTTGGATTGGCAAAGGTTACTATATCGCAACACAATATAGTATCATCATCAACGAGACTGTTATACGAACTGCGTTTATTTTTTTGGTAAGATGTCTCTATTTACATACTACATTTATTCTGGGGTAGGAGTAAAGCTGCTAGTGCAGCTATTTGAAGCCGATCAAATGAAGACGAGAGCTATGCATTGGCTGGGATAGCTATAGAACTTAGTGTGAGCATCTTCACCACAGCGGCGCAGTCACTATCGCTATCGCAATTCAACGAGATACAAAGTCGCGCGCGTTGCATGAAGAAGCTCTGAAATCTACGACTTACCTGTTACCTACAGTATCTGTGGTATGTAAATTTGCGTTTCCATTACAACGTATCTCCTGCTACATTATTGACTAAGAGCCTACCAGGATGTTTATGAGCCTTTCGCCTGTCGACCATTGTCATCTTCTGCGGACGCAAACTTAACTCGCACAACAGGTGTGTGTCCTGTGTGACGGAGGACCTTGAAGCGGTTGGCACTCCGCAAGGCTGTCCTCATTGCTACTTTTCACTTTATAGGGCTGGGTACTTGGCTTCACAAAACCTTGGACTATTAAAGCTAACATATTTCATCTGAAGCTACTATCGATGCATGAAAGCCAATACGTTGTGCGCATGACAATTTTATTTTAGTGAATGCACCATCTCCTGGGTCCGTTGAGCTTATATGCGTAGTTCTATCGCGAAAAAAATCTGGGTTTCGGCGGAGGGGGCAGATGTAAAACAATTGTGGAGAAGCTGGACCCTTGTATTTCGTTCGTAGTGAATCCTCGAGACGACTAACGAATAAAGTTGCTTTAATGTTTGTGCAGAACACCAGACAAGTTGTATAGTGCAAAAAGTATAATCACCAAAAAGGCACTAAACGCAGCAAGCCCCCCCCCCCCCCCCCCAGTTTGTGGCTGGTAGTTGCGACATCCCACACCTTAACCGCTAGGAAGGGGTCGCCTGTCTACTGTACCGTAGCAACCGGAGTATGTATTAATAACATCGACAGTGATACTATATTATGTAGTACTAGTTGTAGTAGGTAACATGCTATCTACATGTACTATTTCTAGTATTACTATAGGTCTACATTTGACTTGCAAATTGTATAGACGCGCTAGTACGATACTACTGATGCTGCATCAGTGATTTCAGGCAAACTATCACAATCATTTTGTCAAATCTCAGTGAAAATCACTGATTTATGGAAATTCCTCCCACTACCACGCCAACAGCAACACAGCCAGCAGCCTTTTTAAATTTAAAAATAACAAAATATTACTGTCTGTCGTATAGAGACGACCGGAAGATCTCCGATCTGGCTTGCTCCGGCATATCCGATGACCGCTCCTAGAATTCCCACTTGAGCCCAGAATCCGTAGTTCGCCTGCCAGCCGTCACTCGGATTCTTAGGGCCGTTCCTACCGGGATCATGTGAGGATCATGACCCGTAATTATGCTACCTGATTGGCTAAAATAGACACATATGGAGCCTGGTGCCATGACCCCATGATCCAAGCAATGGCTCATGCCCCAATCTCGGATCACGGATCACTGCCAAATGCCGTCAAAGGATTTAGACTCCAGCAGCCTTCGTAGCCACGGTTTCGACTAATGTTCGCCCGAGTGTACACTCTATGAGTGCAAGGAGTTCGTTAAAGCTATTGTGGAACCTAGAAGGCTGTATACTGCAGTTTTACGCAGTCATTCTCTACTGTAGCCACATTGAAGCAGCTTGCATCAAATGCATTGTCGAAGTGCAAAGCAGCGTTCGATCGCAAATGCAAACGAACACAGCTCGTGAAGCTCATAATGGCGGCCGCCCTCAACGCGAACTCGAGCCTTTCGTTATGTATTTGGACATGGATCACGATCTACTTAGGAACGGCTTTGAGATCATGCCTCCTTCTGTAATAGACTGGTAGCGCAAGCAGGCCATGTTGAAGCCGGCATACCCAGCGTCGTGCGAGCTGACGGCGAAGGGAAGAGTCGGAAGCACAGGAGCGGCCACAGGATTCTGGTTCGGTGGCAGGAAAATTGGCCAATGAGAATCGGTGACTTTGACTGGACCCCAGTATGAAAAAAACGGCGAGCTCCAGATCGGACTGAAGAGTGTGTGCGTTGGGTGACACCAGCGTTGACTCGACATTGAAGAACGGGGGGAAAGGAGCGACAGAACGGATTTTGCGGCCAAGGACGCAGAGCGGAGCAAGAACGGAACGTGCAAAGCGGTGGCAGGAGGTCTCTCCCCTGTCCATCGTTAGTGCGAACGAGTGTACGAGAGGGCCCCAGGAGGTTTGTCCCCTGTTGGGTCTGGACGAGAACGCGTGAAGCGGTGACAGGAGGTTTCTCCCCTGTTCACTGTGTGCACGAGCGAGCTGTAACTGGACGAGCGTGAGTCAGCTGATTGGGTCGCAGGCGGCACAGAGCGCGACGAGGGCACGTGCATTGAGGCACGAGCTGCTCCCCGGGCGTACGAGTGCGGGATCTGTGGACAGTTGGTGGGCGATCGGCGAGGACAGGTGCAGTGGACGAGAACGAGGACGAGTTGTAGTTGTTGGTGGACATCCAGCTTCTATTGCGCTTAACGAGTAATAACAAAATTGGGACGGATGTGCAAGCGGACGTTCCGGCAGGGGGAGATCAGGTGGATCTCTGACGGCCAACGAGGTGTTAATTGCGTCGACGACTGCAACGGACGGACGCAGCGTGGCTTTACGATCTGCCTAACAGCCGGGCAAGACAAGAGGCCTGTTTCACTTCCACCCCAAACCACAGCCGAGATCATGCCCCGGTGATCTCGTTAGGAATGACCCTTAAGCGCGATGCTCTCTTTGCCTTTCAGAAGAGCAAAAATGAGGAGTAGTGTGCCGAGGATGACCAAGACCACCGGAATCAGGGACATACTTCGTGTATATTCGTCGATGGACAGCATCCGTTCGATGGAGTATTTGCCGCTGTAGTGGGTGAATTGGAGTGCGAAACGTGCGCGTAGTAGCTTTTCGTGCAAGCGTCCACTTGTCGTCATTCTCCGAGATACAACTTCAGCGGGGTGTGTTGACACAAACAGCTTATGCACGATAAGTGTGTGGTGTATTCAAATGGTGAAGTTGAGTATTCTTAGCCGTTGTGCATATGGAATGCATAGCAAAAACTTTTTATGACACCTGAAATAGACGTACCTGGACACACGAATTAAAGAGTGTCGTCCGTCGTTGAGCAGGAATTGCAACTACGAAATGAACCTATTTTGGCTATTTATCGAACGTATTTGGATACGCGTCACTGCTAAAACAACAACTTACAGGAGACGTCGTATCTCGGATCTACAGTGCATCAACGAATTCGGTATGTAGAGTTGGTCGTGCCTCAAGTGTTCACAGTTCATGCTTTCACCGTATCCGAGCAGTTGCTAGCGAAAAGATCTCCGGTTTCGATGCTACTTTTGCGAATCGACAATTCGCAGTTCGAAGAACTGTCGATTGGGGAAGGTTTTTGGATGACATCGAACGACATTCACGCTACATTCGTCACTTCACCCCCGTGCGGATGACATCAAACAACTTTCACACAACATCATACAGCAATCGGTCTGGGTTTTGATGGATGCCTATTCTTTTTTTTTCCTTCTACTGTAGATTTATGTCAGATGCCATCAGAGGATGTGAGGCTCCATCAACTACTACGACTAACAACGTATTGTGTATTAGCGGACTACTACGACGAACAACGTATTGTGTACTAGCAAGCATTGTATTCTTTCGATTAATATGAGGCATCGGTGCTAATGATGCTAACCTTGGACACAACTGGTGCCACATCACTGCATCGTGTTATACTACTAGCTTCAAAGCACTCAACATAGTACTTACTCATTCCATTAGCGGTAAAATTATCGATTCGATCTGTTATGAGTCATAACTTATACCCTCCTCTTTCAGACATAGATTTTCTTCTGCATGCATAGTTTCTCAGAGAGAGATATTGAAAATCGTGTGGTCAGCTGAGTTTGCCGTGACATAAACTGTCGGCGGGCTGATATTGTGTGAATCCCCACACTCATTGGAATTAATCCGGATGGATTAGATAAAACATTCCACTAAAACATTGCAAAAAACTACTTAAAGTCCTAGGTTGTGCGATCCAAGATAGGAAGTATAGCTCGATTTTTTTTCGTTCAACAATTTTTTTAATCCGAACCCAACTCTATCCGCCGGCAATGCGGTGACGTCCTATTCGGTGACGAACGAATTCATTCAGCGGAGACTCAAAAAGAGCTGCTCCTGGTGGTACGAAAAAAGGCTAAAGGCTAGCTGCACTTAGCTTAGGCATTTATCTATGAAGACTTGGATGATTTAAGCTTGTCTTGTGTGAGACTACAGTGCGACCCGCAGAGATCCACCTGTAGAATGATCTACTACTTGATCCTGTTCTTGTCAAAACAAGTTCAAAGTACATTGTTACCGATATTAGTTCAGATCATCCTAATGCTACATGCATACAGTACCTTCAGATTAATACTTGATAAATGGCAATATCACACTTGGACGAATCGAAGCTGACAGTTTTTTGTTGTTGTTAGATCTTCAGGCGACCCGGACAAAATATGTGTGCGGTTGCACCATGTTTTATTAAACAGAGTTTGAATGCTCCTACGTTGTCGCTGTACGCCGCGCATCCTGTGCGAGAGGAAGGGCGGACATCGTCAAAGCGAAGGACGAACACCCGGTGTATCCTACTCCTACACGCGATCGAAATCTGCTAGACCTTAGTTTTAACTCATCAAACTTGAAACAAATTGCTGGCTTCATCGGGTTATCCTGCAAGTTTGGTTGAGCAGTTATCCTGGCAGCGCTAATTATTCGAATGCACGTTTTTTTTTCTTGTTTTATCGTCACCTGTAAGTTTCCGAGCACAACACTGCAATCTAAACAATAAAGGATTCTGCCTGGGCATCAGCGCACATTTCAGTAGCAGGAAGGAAGGAAATTACGTTGATTACCTCGCTGTTGATAACCGTTCTACTAACTACAAAGAACTAAAGTTAAAACTAAATCCGTGGAGCCCTCATTCGACGAGCAGGAGGAGGTAGAATCATCACGGTGGATTTTTCAAACCCAATCGTTGAAGTACCAATTCGTTGGAGTGACGATACATGTATATGAACTGGCAATGCCTTTAAAAATAAGCGATCAAACTTTGTACACTTGGTTGTACCGTGGTAGATTAGGCAGATGCTGCGGCTGCGAAGCAGGCGCAGGGGATGCCGAGTGCATCGTTTCTCTGTAAGGGTATCCGTACAAGCTAGCTTCGAACTGCGAAACCCCCCGGGTCCACCACCCGGGTCCCCAATATCCGATTGCTATGGTGATTTGTCCGGCCTAACTGGCTTAAAGTGACCCGAACTCTAAGGTCTGACTGAGCTCGATACAATCTTGCTTTCCGGATCGAAGATCGATGTCGTCAGCTCATGGCGTGTTCCTTATTGTTGCTAAGGTAGGAGTACCACTAGCTAAGTTTCTCCGCTTGACTGCTTCATCCACTCAAATTGAAATGATAAATCAGCTCCTATGAAGTATCACACAGGGTCAGAGAGTACTGATTGTATCCAGACAAGTTTTTAGCATGTACGTACCAAAGTGCACAACGCGGTAAGTTAACGTGAACTCTATCCACAGCATCAGTTTGGACAATACGAACTGCATCTGCGTCTCCAGCACAAAGCCTAGCTGATACAGTATCTGGATACCACAATTGCGCATTGAGATCACAGCTAGAAGTATGAGCGATACGAGCTCTAGAATCCCATAAAGGAACATTCGTGACACCATGCCTCCAACATTCTCACGAGTGATCCCAAACATTTCGGTATGATACTGCGCGCTAGACAAATGGGCCATTCCCAGCACATACGCACCATAGAGTATGGGGATGACGATTTCCACGTACTCGATCAAAACAAGGCATTCCGACGTGAACAGTACTTCGAGAGCTTCTTGCAGAACTGTTGAGCTATCATTCAACGAATGCCTTCGCTTGAATGACTCTCGACTGAATCTGTCGATATCATTTTCTGAATGCGGTATCATAATGTTTGAGCTCTCAAAAGGCGGTTCACGGTCAGGAATCATCTCCAATGCTGGTGATCTTGGCATCACTTGAGTAGTGTTACTAGTGTAGGTAGTAGACGAACAGGGTTGCTGGCGACTGCCGAGTTTTACGAGGAAAGCTCTTCCCTTGGGAGACAATCCTTGTCGAATAGACGAATAAACGCGAATGTGTTTGCGAATTTGCGGTCGTAGCGGTTCTGAGCTGTAGCACAATTCCCGCAGTGTTGCAAGTAGGTCCCCCTTTGTGCTGTTGGTAGTGACGCCAGTCGCCGCGTGAAGACGGGTCAGGATACTTTGCGTTCTTTGATGCAGGTCCTGCAATTCTAGCGCAGTTTGCACATAATGGATTACCAGGACTGCTATCAGCGATGTCCACGATAGTTTTGGCATGAAAGTTGCAAGATAGAAGGCATCGAAAAAGTCGACCGCCGTGAACACAACTTGCTCGGGTAGCATGTCTTCTTTGTGAGCTGCTGCTGACGCGAATATCGTTTTCATCACAACCTTGAATGCAGGCAGCAGCAACAGAACGGGTAGTTCATAAACTGTGTGATTCGCAACCTTGAACAGCACCTGGTAGGCTGGGTAGGCTACTGAAAGAAATCCTTGCAGGGTCCCAAGTCTATTTAACCGACGGAGGTGATCCTGGCGCGAACGTATTTGCTGAAATGAATGGGAACCAACGACGAGCCGCAAAGAGCCCACGAGGAGCATTGGCCAAATCATTGAGAGCGAAAGCATGAAAAACGGAACGGGAAAGACCCACATCTCCACTGCCGCGATGCCAACAGCGACAAACCCAGCCGCCTTATAACAACAGAAGACTGCTGTCTGCCGTGAAGAGAGGTCTGAAAGCTCTAGCCACGTACCGAGCTGGCATGCAGCGGCATATCCGATGACTGCTCCAATAATTCCCACACGGACCCAGAAACCATGATTCGCCTGCCAACCATCACTTGGATCCTGGAGCGCGATACTCTTTTGGCCTATTACAAGGGCAAAAACAAGGAGTGGGACCCCAAGGACGACCAAGACGACACGTATCAGCGACGTGCTTCGAGTATATTCGTCGATGGACAGCATCCGTTCGATGGAGTATTTGCCGCTGTAGTGGGTGAGCTGGAGTGCGAACCACGCGTCTAAAAGTCGTTTTCTTTGTACTTCGAGAAGACCGTGCAAGCGTTCATTTGTCGTCATAGTCAGAGATGCGGTCGTCTGAGTGGTCTTGAACGAATATGTCATCTGCGCGGCACACTGTATTTCGTTGTGTATATTGAGCAACAGGAAGTTGTGTGATGTATTCTTAGCTGTTTTTGCAAGGGCAGAGCCAGCGCTAAAATGAGCAAGAAATTCATGCAATCCGTCCTTAGACCTGTGGTATAATGAATTACCAGAAATAGAAGCATCGCTAAGAAAAGACAAATAGCATCTGTGGTGGTAGGCTGAATAGTACTTGTAGCCTAGCTAGGTGCTACCAAAATGATCGATGACCCGTGACTCATGGTGAAAGAGTCGGTCATTATTCTAGCATTTTGAATTTTACCTTTTCGTGTTGGCTATGTGTGACCCGAGTTGCAGATATCGTGACCAAATTGAACAGTATCATCTGCAGCTACTGCTGCTTTGGTCGTCCATTCGGTACCAGCTGGAAGATTCCGCCTCTCTCGAACAGCGGCGTGAAGGAGTGGTGCCGCATAAGTGTGGCAAGGACGCCTACGTTCACCGAGAAGAAGGTGAGTCCAGCTAACCAGAGCGGGAAAAAGGTGTTTGAGCCTTGCATCTCCAGATAGTACGCCCAGTACAACCAGTGCAGCTGCGAGGAAGAACAGTGTGCAAGGTTAAATACGAGATTTCCGTGGAGTTGGAAACTTACGAAATGCCTTACCTCGCCTCCAAGCCACACAGCAATCATTGCTAGGCCCTTCCACTTGAGTCTCAGGCTTGTCAGTGGGAAAATCAGCGGCAGGAACGCGGTGTACCACAAGAAATACTGCAACAAAAGAATATTACGATGATGTAAGGCAGAGCTCAGTTGTACATGAGTGCATATACCTTGGCTGCGTACCTGTGCCGTGCACACTTTGTTGAAAATCACGAAGACCATCGTCAACGCGAAAAGTGCGAACGGTAAGTCACGGCCATAAGCGAAAGAGATGGCTACGAGTGACGTAAGCTGGGGCAAGAAAGCTAGAAGCCCGACCCCGAAACCCGACGGGGTATTGTATCGCAGATACAGATCGTAGAAGTAGACGGAAAAGTTGTGGCGGTTGTCTGTACGCGTAAAGTGATAGAGGTATGCTTCGTAAAGGAATTGAAAGCCGTAGCTGAAACAAGGAAGAAATCATTGTTAGCTTGCATTGCCGCATCCATAGCATGGGTATTTACACGTACAGGTAGTAGAATCCACCAGCCAGTACGAGGAAGAATAGTCCACTCACGACGCCAAAAACTAGGCGATCACGATTAAGCAGCCCGGCAAGCTTCCACCAAACACACGCAGAAGATCCGCAGGACTTGGCCCACTTGGCATTCGACGCACGAAAGTCTCCATTCAAAAACTGATTGAGAACGAAAACAAAAAGCGAAACGATTGACGTTAGTAAGCTGAGGTAAGACCTCTCCAAATCAGAACTATCGTACCACAAGGAATGCCAGCGCATAGATGATAGGATAGATCTTGAAGTGAACGGCGGCGCCATACCTACAAAAAACAAAAATGCAGTTATCGACCACAATGTAAAATTGCAGAATGAACAGTGACTGATATACGTACGCAAGTGCCGAGAGAACAAGCTGCTTGCGCATGATCAGCAGCAGCGACAGCATCACCAGCAGCACCACAATCGAGTCCGCATTCCCCCTCGTCGAAATATTTACCGAGAACGGGTGAAACAACCACACACTGTCCAATCCATTGTAACGCCACGATTGTCAGCACCTCAACAACGGAAATAAACCCGAAAATAACAACTCACCAGCAGTAATTCACAGCGTCTACATCCCAGCAACAACAACGAACCAAAAATTATTAGAAACAAAGATTAAAAAATACGCCTTCTTGGTCTCACGTTGATCCGGGAGTCCTCGTAGCCTCAGGATCCGGTACAGCACGTAGCCCACTAGCAGGTCGCAGGCGACAAACAGCAACTTGCCGAACACTTGGTGCACGTAAATGTTCGGCAGCAGCATAAAAGCTCTAAAAAAATAATCAAATAAAAGATAAATACATAAATAATGTTAGATAAAAATTTAAACGAACCAACTCCTGTTGCTACCCCCGCCAGGATCTTACAGCACGGGCGTGTAGCGGTACGTGGTGCGGTCGAAGGGCGAGTTTCCCTCCGCCATCTCCCGCGCCGCGTCCGAGTACACGTCGTAGTCCACGTCCGTGTACTTGACGGCCATGAGCTGGTCCTGCACGTGGCCGTAGAGCAGCAGCGCCAGGCGCAGCGCCAAGGCGCCGCCGAAGAGCGCCACCGTACGCCGAGACATCGTACTGTCAGGGATAACAATCGTACTTAGATGGAAAACTATGCGACGTGTGAAAAAGGCAACTTTCTAGGGGAAAATGTGACGTGATGGATCTTGCTCAGCAATCTAATAGGGAGGATAAAATATACGCGTCAACCAGAGCATTACAGTATGAAATGCTCTGGTTGACGCGTATATTTTATGCCGATGTAGTGGTACGTGTTGTCTAGGATGGACTGCTTGTTCTTCTTGGACTGCACGCCGGCCTCGTCCAGCAGCGTCTTGAGCTGGTTGATGCGGTCGTTGAGCTTGAACATACGCTTCTTCTCCTTCATGTTGAGCTCCTCACGCGAGCGCTTGGAGCCCGAGTGCGAGGGCGTGTGGCCGCCGCCCAAAATGTTGGGGGCAAGGGTATTCCTTACCGCACTGCTGGAACTCCTATCCTTCCTGCTTCTAGCTGTGATCACGATGCGCAATTGTGGTATATCGCCTGGATACCACAATTGCGCATCGTGATCACAGCTAGAAGCAGGAAGGATAGGAGGTCCAGCAGTGCGGTATCGCCTGGATACCACAATTGCGCATCGTGATCACAGCTAGAAGCAGGAAGGATAGGAGGTCCAGCAGTGCGGTAAGGAATACCCTTGCCCCCAACATTTTCGCGAGTAATCCCGAGCATTTCCGTATGGTACAGCGCGCTGGGCAAGTGAGCCATGGCTAGCACGTAAGTACCATAGAGTAGTGGGATGACGATCTCCACGAACTCGATCAAAACAAGGCATTCCGACGTGAAAAGTACTTCGAGAGCTTCGTGCAGAATTCCGGACCCATCTTCTAGTGAATATCTGCGATGAAGCGCATTTCGCACGCCTCCGTCGGCGGCTTTCGCTGAAGCACTGAACATTACGCTTGAGCTTCTACTAGATGAACCGGATATCGTATACCGTGCAGACGGTTCAGGGCATACTTGACCAGAGTTGTTTGTCTGTCCAGTACTCATCCCATTCTGCCGATAGCTGCCAAGTTTGTCGAGCACATCTCTTCCTTCTCGAGATAGGCTTTGACGAACGGAGGAGCGCACGCGAATATCTGGGCGTACTTGCCTTTGAAGTGGTTCTGGGAAGTAGCATAGCACCCGAAGTGTTGAGAGTAGGTCACGCTTTGTGCTGTTTATAGCGACCCCAGTAGTCTTGTGAAGACGGGCCAGGATACTTTGAGTTCGTCGATGAAGATCATGCAATTCGAGCACGGTTTGCAAAAACTGAACGACCAGAACCACTACGAGCGATGTCCAAGACAGGTTGGGCATGAAAGTGGCCCGATAAAACGCATCGAAAAAGTCGACTGTGAGCACAACTTCTTCGGGGACAATGTCTTCTTTATGAGCTGCAGCTGACACGAATGCCGCCTTCATGACGACTTTGAACACAGACAGCAACAGGAGAACGGGTAGTTCGTAGTTGGTATGGTTCGCGGTCTTGAAGAGAATCTGGTAGGCGGGGTACACTACGCACAAAAATCCTTGCATCGTTCCAAGTTTGTTCAGCTGACGGAGTTGTTAGGGTCGAGAACGAGCTTGATGAAACGTATCGGCCCCAATGGCGACACGTAAAGCGCCCACGAGCAGCAGGGGCCATATCATCGAGAGCGACAGGATGAAAAACGGAATGGGAAATGCCCAAACCTCCGCTCCTGCCATGCCCACTGCAGCGAAGCCAACAGCCTTCAGACAGCAAAATACTACTGTCTGCCGTGGCGACAGGTCCGGAAGATCGAGCCATGTATGTACCGAACTGGCACGCAGCAGCATATCCTATAGCTGCTCCAAGTGTCCCCTAATTCGCCTGCCAACCATCACTCGGATTCTGGAGCGAGACGCTTTCTTGGCCTATCACGAGGGCAAAAATGAGGAGTGGGGCTCCAAGAATCGCCAACGTCACACGAATTAGCGACGTGTTTCGAGTATACTCGTCGATGGACAACATCCGCTCAATGGAGTATTTACCGCCGTAGTGGGTGAGCTGTAGCGCAAACCACGAGTGTTGAAGCTTGTTTCCTTGTGCTTCGAGAAACCTGCGCAAGCGCTCCCCTGCTGCCATGATAGCAGAGGTTGGTGCTTACCCGGTACTTAGTAGTCTTGGTACAATCGGCTTGGGGTGCTTTGGTCGTCTTATACTTTTATGGTCGTCTTACACGTCAAGTCTTGGAGTGCTGGCTGTATTCTTAGCTTGCATTCGAAGTCCTTCTGGTCGCCCTACATGGAGACAAAAATGTTAGGACTTGCTGTTCTGAGTAAGGCTCCACCTGAAATAGAAATGTTTAGAGAAAATGATGCTGGCGCCACGAAATACACGCGTTAGGACGTGATATTAAGAAAATACACAAGCTAATGATCGAACATGAGGCTTCTTATGGAGCAGCACTTCATACAATGATAAATAAATAAATATAAATGGATACTGTATTATGTATTGCGATGCCGTCACAGTCCGCTCATTTCATTCAGATTTTTAGGCCTTGGTACCATTTTTCGTCGGTTTATCAATCCTACGTGCAATGACTGCAGGATACTAAGGATCTCGTCCTCGGGTTCTAATTTTCTATAACTACGTGGGTTGATTTCCTTGGATCTCGTTGCTAGTGCTACTGAGAAAAGTATCATCCATTTAGGACTGTGCCGTGCACACTTTGCTAAAATGACAAAGCAGCGTATAGATGATAAAAAAGATCTTGAAGTGAACAGCGGCGCCATAACACGAAAACTAATTCGTTTCGATCCGGTACAACGGCAACAGCATAAAAGTCCTAAAAAGGCACAAAAAAGTAAAATCCACACTTTTAGCTCTACCACCCTGGATCATTCTCCACACACTTGCGTCAGGAGTTGCTTCGACGGGAAAAATCTGCGACGTGTGAAAAAGGCAACTTGTTATCTTACAGCTCAGTCGCCGCTCTTGAGACTGAGATGCGCCAGTCCGTACACTACGGCGTTGTAGCGGAACCTGTTCTTGAGCTGCAGTTTGCTGCCTACAGAGCCTTCGGTTGCTGCTATTGGGCTACTGGGGTCGGTTGGGGGTGAACCTAGTGACGTCGCGCTTGCAGAAGCTGCGACCGTGGACTCGCTGAACTTCTTGAGCGCTTTGCCGATGTAGTGGCCTTTGCCCAAGTTCTGGAGCAGGCCGTTGGCCAGCCGTCGATTGCCGTTGAAGGTCGTCGCCCACTGGTTGATGGTCAGCACGTTCACGCCACAGAGCGTCAACAGCAGCGCGCGGCAGTAGGGATCGCACTCGACTTCTTTCTCCCACGCGGGCTTCTCGCTGTCGATTTTGCTCTGTCGACGTGAACTCTTGGAGTTTTCCGCGTGGTCGAGCAGTATCATCGCTTGGCACGTGAGCGCAACGTTCATGCCCGTAAGTTGTTGCAGCGGCAGAAACGAACCGAGCACGCGATTGGGTCCGACGTAGATGAGTCCGCCGCCACGGCGAGCCAGAAGCGCCTGCTGCCAGTCCGTCACGCTTGGGATCTGGCCGTGCTCGAAGGCGTCCTTCCATCCAGCTTGCTTCACGACACTCGTTATGGTCTGGCCGCTGGAGCTCCCAGGGTCTTCTTTGTGTGGATCTACAATGACGCGAACCTCGTTGGGTCTCAGCGGCTGCTTCTTCAGCGCCATGAGCCGTTGATGCAGCATTTGGATCGAAAAGTCCCGCGCGATCGCATCGGCAGCTTGCAGAGCTGGGAGGGCCTCCATCGGGAGGCAGGACAGCACTTGATCCAACAAAAGTACGAGCGTATTACCAGCGAGATTGCTTTTCAGCTCTGCCTTCATCGCCGAGTGAGTAAACAGAGGCCCGAGTAAATCGATTGTGTCGTTGATGATGGCTGTGAACTCCTCCTCCAAGATATCGCCACTGTGGTCTGTTGCATGAGGCTCCACTGACACGAACTCGTACATCTCGTCCTGGTGATGTGTGTCTTCATACGCCAATGTCTCTTTCGAGCATTTCGCTCTCCATGCCTCGATCCTCTTCCGTAATTGCTCAAGCAAAACTGTTTGAACATCAGTAAACTCCATACGCGCAATCGCTACGCGTCTCTTGGTGCTGCCCAACAACGCGGCGTACAGGAAGCACCGGTCCGGAGAGAAGTGGAGACACAGCACGCGGATGGTGCTCGGTAGAGCGGCCACGATTGCATCAACTCGGAAGCCGACACTCATCCGCTTGAACGATTCTGACTGCTGGGTCAGATAAAGCTGCGAGAGCTGGAACGGAAGACTGTGTGCTGCAGCGCTGGTGTGAGTCTTCTGGAGCTTCTTCATCCGTCGCAAGTGCAGCCGCTGCACGTTCGACTCGGAGACGCACTTCTCGAACAAACTATTGGTCACCTCGATGACCTCCGCGCTCTGGTGCTTGAGCACGTTCTTGGCGCAGTCGAAAGGATGCCGACAGCCTAAGAGCTGGATCAATTCATTGGAACAAAGCTTTAACAGCTCCGCGCACTGCTTCTCGAACGCAAAGACCTGGTACGTCTGTATCTGAGCGGCTCGGGCAGTCAGCATTTCGTCGAAGCGGGCTTGATCCAGTCCTTCCTCCTCTTCCTCTTCTTCTTGGTCGATATTGTCCTCCTGGGTCTGAGGCTGGCTTTGAGCTTGAGCTTGGGTTTGGGTCTGAGGTTGGTTAGCAGCAGCAGCGTCGGCAGCAGCAACAGCCAGTTCAGCTCGGGCTCCGTGACAGCAAACCCACGTCACGTTAGGCGAGTCAGACGAGGTATACCTCGTCCATAAGCGATGTTGGATCGCATCCGCTGTCTGTCGATCGCAGCCATGCAAGAGGGCGAGGCGCTGGCACTGAAGGCGGATCACTTGAGCTATCGCGTGCTGAATGTCCAGCGTCGGGTTCCCACTGAGTTTATCTATCGCCGAAGTGATCAGCGTCATTGCGCGTGGTAATTCCCATGATAAGCTCTTCTTCGTTACGGACCCCGTGGCGTTTAGCCATTTCTCCACTATGCTGCGCTGACTGTCTTCGTAGTAGCGGTACCAAGTCATCTCTTTCTCTTGAATAGCTGCCGTAGACAGCTCAGGGGCCACAAGCAGTCGGGCGAGCTGCAGTTTTGTCATGGAAAGGTCCAATTCCAGGGGATTCACAATGACTTCTCGCTGATGAGCGTCCGCCAGAAGCGCTTTAGTACCCGAGTATCGGAAGTGCTTCGACGAAATACTCTCGATCAACGCCACAACTTCTTGAACAATGACTTTCGGATCCAAGTCAGCGCTAGATAGTTGCAAACTCCCCTGGGTCTGTCCATAGGATCGTAAGGCGCTCACAAATTTCAACATCAACTGAGTGCGGCCATAGTCTGCTTCGACGAGTTTTAACACCCGCACACTCCTTTCGAACGCTCGCTTGCTCTCCAACAAGTGCGCCATCACACCAGAGCCGTTGGACGCGGCAGAAATCTTGAGTAAAATCGTCGCTTGCTTGAAGATGACTCGAGCCAATAAACACACTGATGAAAGGTCTGAGGGACTAGATGCTGCCCTACCTGACGAGTTGAGAACCCTGGTCAAAGTACCTGGTGCTTGCACAGCGGGACGCCGTACAGCAGCCACTATGGTCTTAGCTGCCTTCTTCTCAGTCGCTTGTAAGGCATTAAGAGACTGAGCGAGGTTGCGGTCCAGCTTGCAGCTTCGGAGTGTCCACTCTAAGAAACGACAGAGATCAAGCTGAGGACACTTGAGCGCGCTAGTCATCCGAGCCAACGCCCACTCACGTTGTCCCTCAATCTCTAAGACGAGGCTCGATAGAAGCTCACACTCGCTAAGCGCTTCAGTGGCAGGAGCATTGTTCCCATTGGTATCTCCATCATTGGCCGAGTAACGCAAAATCTCGAGAAGCATCTTCGCCTGACGAACAAAGCCGAACTGGAGAAGCATCTTGACTGAATCCACAGCTTTGGCCCGTGCCTCCAGGCGATCACTGTGCAGCACAAGACGCTTCCTCGAGGTGAGGGCACTATCTGGAAGTGTTTTAGTCGCCTCTGCATCCTGAATTTCCCTCATCAGCAACTCTGCGTGCGTCTGAATCATGTCGAGCGCGCTCTGTAGAGGCAGCGAAAACTTGCTCAAATTCAAGCGCTCCATGACCTCAAACTGCAACAACTCCAGCCAAATTTGCGCGACGTGAGTTCGATGCGGAATGTAAGTGTGGAATACTACGACGTATAGGCAAAATGCTGGCGTCATAGCGCCGAATTGAAGCCCCACGTCACGCAGCATCGTCACCAGTTCTTCGAGGTAAGCCAGCGTTAGAACCGGCTGAGTAATGTGGACGAAAGTCGGCGACTGCACCGACTGAAGCGCTTTAGTCCATGGCGTGTGGAAGCGATGAGCAGCATTCTCATCGTGGTCTAGGAAGAAGTGGACCCAACCACGCTCGGACGTCGGCTTCGAGTATTTCGGCGCTTTATCCTTCTTCCACTCGTCATACTCCACATTGTTCGCCTTGTTGGATGGGTCCGCATCAAACGCAGCTTGGGATTCCACCTCATTTGCCACTAAGAAGATGTGTTCCCACGCTTTCTCCACTTCAATCAGAGCCAAACGTAAATACTTTGAGCGCTCGGTGAACGTCTTGGCCAGTTTTCCTTGCATCACGAAGACGCGAAGCTGCTTCTCGGCAAACCACAACGGCGAGTACACCACAGTTGATTTAGGTCGTGAACCCACGGACATCGACGCCTTTCGGGACGCAGCCATCTGCGAGGCGATAAGTTTCTGTCTCTGACAATTCATCAGCGTCGCGGTCGCGCATTCGAGATACGCCTCGGCATTTTGAGACGGAAAGCGGTTGGTGAACAACCACTCCGCGACATCGACGAGCACCAGCGCCTGCTCTTCTAGCTGGCCGTCGAGCTCCACGTACGCGTTGGATAGCGCCTTAAGTTGCGCAGGCGGGTCTTTCCAAGACGTAAACGCCACTTTCCGTAAGATTTGAGCTTGAACAAGAGATTCCTTGAGTTGCTCTGGCGTCTTGGAGCTGCCTCCGGTTTTAGGCATCGCGCTCGGCCTCCCCAGGTGCGCTCCGGATATCGCAGACGCAGTTTGGATCTCCTTCATGATCTCACTGGGAAGGGGAGCTCGGTGGGAGGTTGGTCCGAAGGCTTTCAGCACCGCGTCACAGATCGCGAACTGATCGGTCCATTTGTTGGCCTTTTCGCACACTGCGAGCGTTAGCAAGACCATTTCACCGTAAAAGGACAAATCAGCTTCGGGGGAGGCGATAACCTGGTCCAGATAGCGCAACGTCTTCCTCAAGTGCTGCACGACGCGGTCGAGGAAGTCATCTTCCGCTTCGTCGTTATCTACGGTGTTGCCTCGGTTAATAGCCGATATCGTCGCGTTCCAGATCACTTCACACGCCTGAGTGACAAGCGTGGAGATGCTCCCACGAAGGCCGTACTCGATCGCACGCACGAGGTGAGACAGCGAGGCAAGTAGCAGCTTTTGCGCCGGAGAATCCCCTTGTGTTAGCGCCAGTATCGCACGTCCGTAGAGCAGTTCAGCCAGTGCAAACCATTTCCAGGTGCTCCCTACGACAAGAAGCTGCGTCATCTGCCTGGCCTTCTTGCCTTCCCCGGACTTAAGCGGCAGCAACGCCTGGTCAGCGCACTCGATGGCGTACTTCGTACTGTGGAGACGGAACGCGCCGCAGCCGACACGGACCCAAACCTCCACGTAAAGCTCCAGCAGTTGCTGCTCTTCTTCCAGCACTCGCTCTAGGTCATCGCTCATAAAGGCATTGAAGATCTCAGGAGCGCTCGATTGCCATATCCCGACGGCTTTTTGGTATAATCCTTGGGCTTTCTCCATCAATTGAGGTTGTTGCGCTGCAGGGAGCAACATTTGTCGGAATACAGCCTCCATCGCTTCCAGGTACGCGACTACCTTGAGTTGGGCTGTGCTGGAGTCCGTAGGCGCAATCTCTTTTGTATTCTGAGCAATCTGGATTCTTGACTTCATCTCTGCAAACCTTTTCAGGTGCAGCACCCCCACACTGCTCTGAAGGCTGAACCCTGCAGGAGCTGCTAGTGGTTTCCGCTTCAAGAAGGTATCAGCAATTGCGAGGGCCTTATCCAGTCGAGCAGTCTTCTCGTAAATACTTGATAGACCAAGTCCAACACAGGCGAGGAGGTCGTTATCAACTGCATTTGCTGCAGCTTCTAGAGCTGCGTAAACGGCTTCAAATGCACTGACACACTCCGGCAGAATCCACTGCGGTTCAAAGAACTCTGGCCGAGAGGACTCTAGCACCAGGCGGAAGACGTGGAAGTGATAGTTCCACAGGTAGATGCACGTGTTCTCCAACACAAAAGTCCACCCGATCTTCGTCGCTGCCTTCAAGGCCCTGGCCAGATGCTTCAGTATCTCACTCTTGACAGCGTGTACTTCACTCTCCAGCTTGCTTTGCCGCACTTGTAGTATTGCGTCTTCATCCAGCTCTACACTCTCGCCCGGCGGATCCATCGGTGACGTCGGCGATGCTTCTGCATGTGGCCGCGGCCGCTGGATTCCAAGCACGTACGCCTCCTTTCCCAGTAGTACCAAAGCTGAGAGATCAATGCTCGACCTTCTTCTCCCACCGGCTTTCCGTTCAACACCCTGCGACTCCAACCAATTTCCGGCAGATTCTGCTTGACGACGTACATTGTCAACTTTGGTCGCCTGGTCTTTAAGCCTCGTCGCGAGAATCTCGACTAACAGCAGACGCATATCAACCTCGAGGATCATCAAGCTCTTCTCGCCAGAAATGATCTTCGGGGCCACAACCTCCCCCGCTTCAGTTGTGGCGAAGTATGTCGATAGAGCACTTTCAACCGCTCTCTGGGCGAGCTCACCATCGTGCAAGCCGTTCCACGCAAGAGATGAAATCTCACACCAGAGTCTGACGTGATCTGCAACATCAGTAGACTCCTCTGTTGAGCTACTGATCTCCGTCATCACGTCAATGGCTCGTTCAACAGTGGGTCGCTGCTGATGAGGGTCTTTAGCGACTTTGACCTGCTCCAACATCGCCAACACTTCGCTTGACTTTGAAGGTGAGCTCTCGGACCCCAACTTTAATTCCAGCTTCTGCTTGATGGGGAACAAATGCGTGTCAACTGGTCGAGCGATCCAGTCCTTGTGTGTACTGAGAAGCTCGACAGTCATCGCAGTCGCATCGTTGGGGCGGGCGATCGTCCCATAGTCGAGAGTAAGCGCCTTGCTGACATTCGAGTTCGCTTTGGCCAGGAAATCGGACGCCACTTCAAGCTTCGCAACCTCCAGGTAGAGTCGAGCGCGCAATCCAAGCAGCAGCGAGTCCAGTTCTTCCAAAATCGAAGACGAAAGACCCAACACTCGCGCTAAGTTGCTGCGCAAGTGAGGCTGTAGCAATGGCAGCGACAAGTTCCAGGCGTAGATGCACACCCTCTCAACCAACTGCGGGTCCTGCTGGCGCTTGCTGGCTAGAAGAGTGCGCTCAAAGGCCTTCATCCCCTCCACGCGCCGAGCGAGCTGCGTCGCTTGACGTTGTCGCAAACTCATCTTGCTACCAGTATGCTGAGAGGGCAGTACGATCAGCAATATCGCGCCCAACACTTGGTACAAGACTCGAATCTTTGGCGGCATGTTCTTGCCTTTGCGTTGCAGAATGACATCACACGCTACCGCTATTGCCAACGTGTTGTTGAAGGCAGCATGGATAGCGGTCTCCACGATCACTTCAGCGTCGATGTCATCCATCGCGCGCGGTTCCAGCGACGCCACGAACGTTTTGACTTCGTCTAACTGCGTTTCAGGGGCGAAAGCGAGAAACCCAGTCGCTTCCTGGAAGATTTCAACGTACGCCGCCTCTAACGTCCCCGAGAGGTTCCCGGACTTGACACACTGCAGCTTCACAAGCAGAGACGAGCGCTTGTTGGTTGGAGGAAGCAGTCGCTTGACATTCGGCACGATCTTCTGACACTCTGGGTCCTTGAAGGATCCGACGTGGACTTGGATCCGCAACGCTTCTTCGTACAAGGCTTTGAACGACTCGTCCGCAGCCTTCGAGGGGTCAGCAAGGCGAGGGGCGATCTGTACGTCGACTACGTCGTTGATAGTCTTGGCAGCATTTGCCGGTTGATTGGCGTCCACTTGAGCGTAAACGAGAGCGAGTTGGAGTTGAAGCATCCACGCCACATCCGCTTCTGCAGTCAACTTGAGTGCGTCGATGACCTTCGTCAGCGACGGCACGAGGAACTGGAACGTAGACTGCTTCATGAGCTGGCGGGCGATCTGCCAGTACGTCACGGACGCATTGTAGACGAGGAAGTCGTACATCGGGCGCTTGCGGCTGTCGGTAGCGATCGGGATCACAGCCAGAATGAAGTGGATGGCGTTGAGCACCTTCTTCAGCTTCATCACTCCCGTATCCGACTGAGCGTCGTGAGACCCGCACTGCGCGCGAACGAATTGCGCTCGGCAGTAAAACTACACACAACAAGCAACCATCGAGTCGTTAGTATGCTTTCAAGAGCCCTGCAGCTTTCAGTGATACTTGTACGCACCTGGTTCTTTAGCTGACACTCGCTGAAAAACCACTCGACACTTTCAGACGCGGTGTCGAAATCTCCCTGGAAGATCGCAGCCTCTGCAGTCAAGACCAACAGCTCTGGCAGATTCATGTCAGCACTCACACCCATGGACGGCACGCAGGTCTGCCGGTGGATGCCGATGATACGGTCCAGAATACCACGCGCAGTCGGTCTCGGCGGATTCCCATCTTTCGACGAGGCATTGTCAGTCTCCGGCAGCCTCGCGTACTCCAGCAACCGCCGCAGCTCGCGATCCAGCGCCATGACTTGCAACGCGATCCAGAATACAAACTGCCGATCCAGCGAGCGACCTTTTACATAACCTGAAATGATCGATCTCCAGCCCCTCAGCCCCTCAAAGCATATATTAATATCCATGCGGTTCACGCTCGTTGCGATATGAGATCACCTGACACCTAGTTCTTCTTCTTGGCCAGGCCAGACACAATGTCGTCGATGCGCAGCAGCATGCACGCAGCCTCCACGGCTGTCTTGATGGACTGCGTCTTGACCTGGAAGGGCTCCCACACGCCCAGCTCCTCCGACGGTGTCACCTTGCCGGTCACGCCGTCCACGCCGTACGACTCCTCCGTCTCGGCCTGCTTGGCGCGCAGCGACGTCATGACGCGCACCACGTCGGCGCCGCAGTTCTGCAGCAGCGTGCGCGGGATGACCTCGAGCGCCTCGCCCACTGCCCGGAACGGGAACTGCTCCACGCCCTCGATCTCGTCCGCGCGCTTCTTGAGCTCGTGCGCCAGACGCATCTCCGTGGCGCCGCCACCGGGCAGCAGCAGCGGCTCGAACACAACGTTGCGCGCCACCTGCATGGCGTCCTGGAGGTTGCGCTCGATCTCGTTCAGCACGTCCTTGCTGCCACCGCGCAGCAGGATGCTGCAGGCGCCCGGGTCCTTGCACTCCTCGAAGAACGCAAAGTACTCGTCGCCCAGCTTGCGCACCTCGAAGAGGCCGCACTTGGTGCCGATGTCGGCCTCCTGGATCTCGTCCGCGCGGCTCACGATGGTGGCGCCTGTGGCGCGCGCCACGCGGTTGTTGTCCGTCTTGCGCAGGCGGCGGAAGGCCGTGATGCCGGCCTTGACGAAGTAGTGCTGGGCCAGGTCGGACACGCCCTTCTCCGTGATGACGACGTCGGGCTTCATGGCCACGATCTGCGCGCACAGGTTCTCGATGTACTCCTCCTCGAGGCGCAGCAGCGTGTTCCAGTCCTGGTCGTTGGTGAGCTCGACGTTCGTCTGGCTCTCGCCCTTCTTGTACTCGAGCGGGCAGTCCAGCAGCAGCACGCGCGGGTTCTCGATGCGGCGGCGCATCTTGGAGTGGGTCACGTCCTTGTTGAACATGACGCCCTTGAGCACGCGGCTGTCCTCGAGCTCGCCGCCGGGGATCTTCTCCACCTTGGCGTAGCGCTTGACGTCCACCTCCTTGCGGCCCGAGGCCGTGGTGCGCACGACCGTGAGCACGGCGTCCAGCGCCAGGTCGCTCACGAGGTTGCCCACGCGCGGGGAGAACTTGGTGCCGATGGACGACTGCACGAGGTTGCGCATGTCCTCCTTGTTATCGATGTCGATGGTGCGCGCCAGCGTCTTGGCGATCTCGATGGACGCGTTGAGCGCGCGGTTGAAGCCGCGGATGATCACCGTCGGGTGCACCTGGTGCGACAGGAAGGGCTCGGCCACGACCAGCAGCTCGCCGGCCAGGATGATGACGGACGTGGTGCCGTCGCCCACCTCCTCGTCCTGCGCGCGGCTCAGCTCGATCATGCTCTTGGCCGCCGGGTGGGCCACGTCCACCTCGCGCAGGATGGCGTTGCCGTCGTTGGTCATGACGATGCCGCCCATCGGGTCCAGCAGCATCTTGAGCATCGAGCGCGGGCCCAGCGTCGTGCGCACGATGTCGGACACGGCCTTGGCGGCCTCGATGTTGCCCAGCTGCGCGGTGCGGCCCGTCTCGCGCTTCGTGTTGGTGTCTGCGAGGAGGAGGGAGGTTGGAGGTTAGAGGGAGGAAGGGGGTACGCGGAGAGGGGAGGAAACACACGTACTGAGAACCATCACCGGAGCTTGCATCATGGTGGCGGAGGGTGTCGAGGAGCTCTTCTAAGTTACGGGCCGGCGACGATCTTGTATGTGGCTGGCCCAAGGCTACGCTGTGTAGGATGTTGCAGGAAGGTAAGCATTGTTGGTGCGGCATTGGGAACACATGTGACTGGAGGCGTAATGCTAAAGCAACATTCGTGCGACATTCCAACTTCAACGTGCCCTTCCCATTGGATGTCTAACTAGACGTAGACGGCAGCTACCAGTACTGCTTGTTATCTAATACTTCTACTTGGCGATGGCCGCGTAGAACAGCTTGGCGTCCGCCACCTCTTGCTCCAGGTCCTCCTCCCAGATCCAGCGCATGCGCTTCTGCAAGTTGTCGGCGATCTTGTCCACGTCGTCCTCGTAGCCGGGCAGCTCGAAGTCGTAGAGCTGGCCGGCCTCGTGGCTTGTGGCCACCACCTTCTGCGTGCGGTACAGCCGCACCTTCTCGAAGGCCTGGAAGGCCGCCCTCAGCTCCGACGCGTGCTGCACGTCGGCCAGCAGACACGACAGCACGTACGCGTCCTCGATGGCCATGGCCGCGCCCGACCCGTGGTTGGGCGTCGTGGCGTGGGCTGCGTCGCCGATCACGAGCATGTTGCCGCGCGTGTAGGTGCGCGCCGGCAGGTGGTGGAACAGCGCCCAGATGTCCGTGTTCTCCATCATGGAGATGATGTCGCGCACGTGCGTGGAGAAGCCGGCGAAGTCCTTGGCCAGGTCCTCCTTGGTGGTGCCCACGACCCAGTTGGGGTCCTTCCACTCGTCCTTGCTGGCGAACGCCACCACGTTCATGACGTCGCCATGCTGGATGGGGAACGTGAGCACGTGGCCGTGGTATCCGAAGTACATTTGGCTGTTGCGCGCCATCTCGTCGCCCAGCAGCGCGGCGGCCTTGTCCATCGGGATGAGGCCGCGGTAGACGTACTTGCCCGAGAAGACGGCGTTGGCGGCCGGGTCGTTCTCGCCCAGGACCACCTTGCGCGTGCGCGACTTGACGCCGTCGCAGCCCACCACGGCGCTGTGCACGGCCTCCGAGCCGTCCACGAACTTGAGCTTGACGTTGCCGTCGGCGAGCGTCTCGATGTCTTGCAGGCGCTTGCCGAACTTGGCGACGCCCTCGGGGATGAGCTTGACCATCTCGTCGAGGAAGTGGGCACGGTGCACGTAGGCCGAGCCTGCGGGCGTCTCGACGCTGGTGATGAGCTCCCCGGCGCCTTCGTCCACGCCGCTGCCCTGGGTGCCGACGCCCTTGCGGAAGTCGAACCAGACGTTCTTCTTGGCCGTCGAGAGGTTGAAGGTGCCGACGCGGTCGAAGCCGCGCTTGACGTCGGGCGCCAGCAGCTCCATGGCCCGAGCTGCGTTGGCGGCGAGTGCGACGCCGGCGCCGATTTCGCCGAATGCCTTGGCCGACTCGTAGAGCGTGACGGGGATGTTGGCACACACGAGGCCGACGGCGAGGGTGGCTCCAGCGATGCCGCCGCCGACGATGGCGATGTCGAAGTCGCGGGACGAGTTCTGGACCATGGCTGTGGAGAGCGAGGTGTTGGTGGCGGTGGTGGTGGTCGTGTGATATTCGGGTGTTGCTTGAGACCACGCAAATGGGAGAATGAGCTGCCGCCGATCCAACGTCGATGCTGGCTGGCTGGGCTCAGACCGGTGATCCAGCCGGCGCGCGTTGTTCGTCACGGAGACAGGTCCGTCCCACCGAATTGTGTCGTGCTGCACGTGCTGGCCAGCTGACTAAGGCCACGATTGCCCGCTTCGTTGCGAGCCAGGATTGCTTGGGAACTCACACAGCCAGCGAGACCGGCGCTGGGTAATGGATACCGTAGTTCGGTGCGACTACAGTACGTTATACATGTACTTGCTTGCCTTCATGGCATGAAGTTCATGCACACCTTGCACCGAGAGATTGCTCGTCTCAGTTTGCGGGCCATGATGCGGAATGAACATTCCCGGTGCCCTCGGTACATGTTGCAGACTTTAGTGTCTGTCCCATGCAGCCAGCGCGCCGGACTGACGGAGGGAAGCTCCCTCCGCTCGAAAGCAGCCTGGTCTCATCGCGAGACTGTCTGCTGACACTAGGCTCATCACCAGCGTCGAGACGCCCGCAGGCTCGGCCTACGTGCACCGTGCCCACTTCCTCGACGAGATGGTCAAGCTCATCCCCGAGGGCGTCGCCAAGTTCGGCAAGCGCCTGCAAGACATCGAGACGCTCGCCGACGGCAACGTCAAGCTCAAGTTCGTGGACGGCTCGGAGGCCGTGCACAGCGCCGTGGTGGGCTGCGACGGCGTCAAGTCGCGCACGCGCAAGGTGGTCCTGGGCGAGAACGACCCGGCCGCCAACGCCGTCTTCTCGGGCAAGTACGTCTACCGCGGCCTCATCCCGATGGACAAGGCCGCCGCGCTGCTGGGCGACGAGATGGCGCGCAACAGCCAAATGTACTTCGGATACCACGGCCACGTGCTCACGTTCCCCATCCAGCATGGCGACGTCATGAACGTGGTGGCGTTCGCCAGCAAGGACGAGTGGAAGGACCCCAACTGGGTCGTGGGCACCACCAAGGAGGACCTGGCCAAGGACTTCGCCGGCTTCTCCACGCACGTGCGCGACATCATCTCCATGATGGAGAACACGGACATCTGGGCGCTGTTCCACCACCTGCCGGCGCGCACCTACACGCGCGGCAACATGCTCGTGATCGGCGACGCAGCCCACGCCACGACGCCCAACCACGGGTCGGGCGCGGCCATGGCCATCGAGGACGCGTACGTGCTGTCGTGTCTGCTGGCCGACGTGCAGCACGCGTCGGAGCTGAGGGCGGCCTTCCAGGCCTTCGAGAAGGTGCGGCTGTACCGCACGCAGAAGGTGGTGGCCACAAGCCACGAGGCCGGCCAGCTCTACGACTTCGAGCTGCCCGGCTACGAGGACGACGTGGACAAGATCGCCGACAACTTGCAGAAGCGCATGCGCTGGATCTGGGAGGAGGACCTGGAGCAAGAGGTGGCGGACGCCAAGCTGTTCTACGCGGCCATCGCCAAGAAGAAGTATTGAGCTCTGCGGTCTGGAATTCATAGGTCGCTCCGTCTTAGTATCCTTATCAAAAGAATTGACTTGGTTTCACTAACACCAAAGTTGAAGTTGCACTTTGTTGAAATGATACCCTTCTCCTCTTCTACTTATTCTGTTTCATGAAGCCAAGTCTCAGCTGCTACCTCACTTACTCACCTCGAATTTGCATCGTGTGAGGTCTTCACTCAGCGTCCAGAGCCCGGCGGCGTCTTCTATCGAGTGACTTCCAGCGCTGGACTCGGTTTTGGCCGGGTGTTTGCCCCAGATTTCAAGAAATCCGTCGGGGCCAAAGTAGTCTCCACTTTCCACTGAGGCGTCCGTTGCAGCGAAGAGAGACGGGATGGCTCCGCGCCCAGTGGGTTGCATAATGTGCAGCATGTCGAGCAATTTCTTCATGAATCCCGCCAACCACGAGGGCAGGTAGGTATCGAACGCCTTGGGCACGATATCTGACGTGGTGATGCCTGGATGCGCAGCCACCACGATAAGTTTGTCGGTCAAGTCTGCGGCAACAACGCGTCGATGCAACTCGTAGGTAAACAGCAGATTGGCCAGCTTGGTCATGCCGTATTCATCCTGGTAGGCCCGCTTGGGCGTGGACCTGGCGAACGTATTCAGGTCGATCGTCGACCACTTGTGCGATACACTGCTCACACTCACAACACGCGAAGGCTCGTCCCCGCGTTTGAGGAGGTCGAAGAGCAACTTGGTCAGATAGAAGTGACCGAGGTGGTTCACGGCGAAATGCATCTCCAGTCCGTCGGGCGTGTGCGTCGGGGAGGGCATCAGGACGCCCCCGTTGTTCACCAGAATATCCAGACGGTCGAACTTGGCCTGGAACTTCTCTGCAAAGTCTCGAACGCTGCTGAGGTCGCTCAGATCCAGCAGCAAGAACTCCACGCTCGCCTTTTCCGGTTCCAGCTCGGCTTTGATGGCGTCCACGGCCTTCTGCGCTCGCTCGGCATTGCGACAGGCGAGCACCACGTGCGCCTTTTTGCGCGCCAACTCCAGCGCGGTGACGAAGCCGATGCCCGAGTTGGCGCCCGTGACGCACGCCACCTTGCCAGCCAGCGGCGGAATACACGAGACGTCCCAAGTCTCCATTGCGCTCGTCGAGCGGTTAAATGAGCCCAATTGACACGTACAGTATTAATACCACAATTTTGGGTAACTCTAATGATAACTTGACCTATTATAAAACACGGAATCAGAATTAGGGTACACTGTACCTGTTTGAAACAGCCAATCAAACTCGTTCCGTTTAGGCGGGAAATCCGACCAGGGCTTGGGTGCTCCACTGCTGGAAGCGCGCCACGTTCTCCGCAAGCCCCCCATGCCGCGGACAGCCAAGAAGACGTATATCCGCCTCACGCTCGGGCAGAAGGTTATGCTCTGTCAAAGGGCGCACGAGCTGCCTGGCACCCTGAAATGTCTGAAACGACAAGCTCTGCGTGAGTGGGCCACTAAAGAGTTCGACCTGCCGCAGCCCATGTCGGAGCGAACGCTGGACACTATCCTCAAGTCTGAGGCCACGCTACTCCAGGTGTCCGAGACCAACTACCGCAACAAGAGGGTCGCGGACCCGGTGTTGGAGGAGTTCGACCGGGCGCTTCTGGCCGAGTTCGACCGTCTGTGCGAGCCCATGACGGAGAAGTCGCTGATGGCCCGCGGCAAGCTCCTCTGGGAGGCGCGATTTTCCGACCTGCCGGCGGAGAAGCGTCCTGGCTTCTCCAAGGGCTGGGCGTACCGGTTTCGGAAGCGCCATGGTAAACGAAAGCTAGACGAAGAGGCAGAGGCAGCATCCGTGGAGCCGAGCAGTACCGTTGACGGCGCGAATGAGCAGGAGCTCTGAGATTGCTCTCAACCTCCGTTGTAACATCTGAATTGCGCATTTCCAGAGTCATAGACGATGGTGTCAAAATATACAGATTTGTAGGCACAAATATACGTACATGGGGAGTGAATATAAATATGGGTTTGCACCATACAGTTGGAGTGACAACAGGGAGAGACTACCGCAAAAGCCTGATAGATTTGGCACCCTTCACTAAAGCAGTTTTGCCGGGTGCCAAGTCTTTCAGAAAGTCAAGGTTGTCGCTCATTGGCCAATCAAAATTGCGAATAGAGGTGGTTGGATGTGAGCGCATTTCAAAAGAAGGTAGATAAATCTGGGGAAAGCCATTGGCAAAATGCCTCCGCATCGCATTAAGCTCGCCCATACCATCGAATTCAAGATCAAGACCGTCGAGGACTTCGCTGCATCGGGTGAAACCCGAGTGGCCTTTTGCACTGGCCGAGACTTTTCGCGTCCTACGCTACAGTACTGGGAGCACCATTATGACTCCATGAAGGCGGCTGTTGAAGACAAGAAGCGAGCTAAGAAGCTGACTGTAGGTGGTAGCGGGCGCGTCTCGCCATCTGCATGTGTCGAGGAAGAACTACGGGGCTGGATCAAGGACGAGAGGCGTGAAGAGCGGGCCGTGTCGATGGATTGCATCATTGCGCACTGCATGGTGATTTTGCCGGGCTTCCTCGACAGCAAAACAGCCACCGCACGTAAATCGTGGTGCAGCCAGTTCATGCGGCGAAATGGACTCACTATTAGGCGCATCTCGTACTCTGGCCGCAAGAAGCTGCGGGAGCTGATAGCGCTGCGCGATGCGTTCGCGTGCGAGGTGACCAAGGTGCTGATTGACCACTTTGTGGATGCTGTCACGGCGACGCCGCCGCCCTATTAGCTCTACAATATGGACCAGACTGCGGTCTACTGCGACGCGGGATCGAAGACAACGGTGGACTTCGTCGGGGTTACTCGCGTCCCTGCTGTTGGAGGTGGCCAGGGCAGCTACCGTTGCACCGTCGCGCTGCTCGCATGCGCGGATGGCCGCATGCTGCCACCGCGCTTCGTGTTTGCGGGCGAGCCCGACAATGACGTGTACGCCGAAGTGTCGACCTACTGTGAGCCGGGCGTCGCTACGTTTTCGTGTCAAACGAAGGCGTGGTTTGACGAGCGTGTCATGCTTGAGTGGATCGAAAAGGTGTGGCAGTTTGAGGTGAGCGGACCGACCGTCCTCATTCTGGACTGCCGTAAAGTGCACAAATGTGCTGCCGTGCGGCAACGGCTTGCAGAAATGGGCACCTACACTGTGTACGTCCCTGCCGGTTGTACCTCTGTGGCTCAGCCGCTAGATGTGGGAGTCATGTCTCCTATCAAAAGCAGTCTAACAGCCCGTTACACCGCGCTGTACACGCACCGCCCACCGCCACGCAAGAACTGGGAACGCCGCTACGACATGTTCCAGCGCTCCATTCACGCGCTTGGAACTATCACGGCAGCAACCATCCGGGCCTCGTTCGTAGAGGCCGGTCCGTTCTTTCCATTCGGGCCGCCGCCAAGCTCTTCGCCGGTTGTGGTGGTCTCTGCTACGGAAGTAGTTGTGTAGGTACATAATGTATGTGAACCACATCGTTTCAAAACAAGGTGGGTTAATACATTAGGTGTGCACTGATTGGTCAGCTCTTTATACAGGCGAGGTCATCCCTGCCAAATCTTTCAGTGTGCTAAATCTATCAGGCTTTTGCGGTATATTTGTGGGGCACCAATATAACCGCTAACCACTGTGAGGCATATAAATATCGGCTTAATTGTGCTGGCCAAGTTACCACACGGGCGGCTGCAGACAAAGGTTTTCGTTCAGGAGCGGCCATGGCTGGCTGGCATCAGCTAGCCGTGCACAATTCCACGGGGGAATTCGATGACTACCGTGACGAATCGATGTGCTGCTCGGCGATATTTCACAAGGTCGACTTTGACAACTGCCGTGTTTGTGCTGATGAACATACGATGACAGAAAGACGTCTTCGGAGCTTGAGCAGCACTTGTCGCGAGTTTGACAAATGTGGCGTGGTCTGGAAGGTGTTCTACTGCACAGCTCAGGACAAGTGGCAGATAACTGTAAGCGAGCAGGCACATGCCCGTGGTGTTCTTCCCTGTACTGCGGAGCATCGGCCAGTCGTGACTCAGCCGATGAAAGCATTTATCGCGGCACAAGATGAGATTGGGAACGCCCCACGTATTATTCTGGCACATCTCAAGAAGCAAGCAAATATCAAGCCATCTAAAGGCGGATGGCCAGAGCTCTCCCAGATTCAAAATGCGCTGACAGTTCACCGGCGTTCGAAGGGCACCAAAAATTCAATCAAGGCCGTGCATGAAATGGCTCGCGCTCGCCGCTACAAACCAGAACTTCAGCCAGATTCTGCTTTTCTGTTTGGACCTAAGTTGGACACGGATGGCTTTGTTTATGTGGGGTCCGGCGAGGACGACGATCCTTTCATTATTGGGGTGACGTCTCTCACACTTATCGATAGCTGCCTACGGTTCTGCCACTCGGGTGCTTTTGTGCTGTTCCATGCGGATGCCACGTTTAAGGTTAGCGACTTGGGCTATCCAGTGATAACTTGCGGCTTCACGGACCGAGGGCGTTCATACCAAGTTGGTGCTTTTTTCGTGGTGAGTCGGCGCACGGAACATGAATACACCGAGTGCTTGCGCAGTTTTGCTGACGTCGTCCGGCATGTTCGAGGAGCAACACTTCGTATCGATGCAACCATGAGCGATGCTGAGGATGCTCAATTCTTGGCTCTCGAGAACGTGCCTTGTTTTGCGAATGCTACGAAGCTGATGTGTTATTTTCACGTTATGGACAATGTACGTAAACGCACACAGCACCTGCCCTTTGATAAAAGGAGAAATGTGATGAACTCGATTGTCGACATGCATTTTACGCAAAGCTTGTTGGAGTTCGAGCGTACACCAGATCGAGAAATAGCTAATTGGCGCAAGCAGACACATCTCGTTGAATTCGCGGACTACTTCGAGCAGCAGTGGCTAACAGGCCGCTATTGGCGATGGCAACTGTACCACAATCCTGAGGGCTACGCATTAACCAACAATCCCTGCGAGAACCTAAATGGAGGACTAAAGCATTTTCTGCAGCGCCATAAGCATCATATGTGTCGATTACTCGAAAAAATCGGGACCTTCATCGAAACGACGAGTCCCGTCAAGCCCGCGCCAGCAGAATATACATCCACACCAACATCCGAGTTAGTGAAGGCAGCGGCAGCTATGCTTGAAGCTTCTCGAGTTGTTATCACCAGGACAAGCGATGCGAACCAAGTACGAGTCCTCGAGATTCTACGCGCCGACACAGACGAACAAGCTGAAGAAGAAAACGGATTTCTTCTGGAGACAGTCAATGCGGCTCCCTCCACGCGTACCGATACGGCAACAGGACCGAGCAGCCAATTGGCTTTGTTTCTATCATTGACATCCACGCAAGACAACCCAACATCAGATTCGTCCGGTAGCTCGTCGGCGAGCGATATCCCAGCCATACTACGATCTAGACTGGATTCAGATGGACAGGAGGACGACGACACGGTCACGAATTGGAAAAGGCTTTTCGAGCAAGCCACATCATGGTCTCTACGGCGTTCGCATCGCATAGGAATGCCTTCCGATGGGTGGCTAGTTGACATCACACGCAAGCGATGCACCTGTCCCTACTTTTCGAAAATGCTGATGTGCTGGCATGTTGTAGCGGTTGTCCGGAAATTTAACATCACCAGTAGTGTACGCGACCCACTGGCGAAGTTGAAAAACAGAATCGTAGCAAAGGGCAAGGCAAAACGTTCAGGATTTAAGCGTAAGCAATCCAAACCAAAAAAGTCGAAGGGAAAAGCGTCTAGCCGAAAAACGAAGCAGACGAACAGTACATCCTCAGCTCCCAGCTCTGAAGGTCTCCCAGGGCCCGTTGGAAGGTCTGCTCATGCAGCACCAACGCTGACAGTTCAAGACATTCTATTAGAATAGAGAACACTGACTAGGTCAAACCCTCTAGGTGATTGAATACATGTATTATTTGCTTTATCGCTGTGGAAATCGACGATACCCACAGCCTAAATCGCTTCCTCACAAAAAGTTTCGAAGCACTTAAACTCTCCCAAAGAATCGGCTCGTACGATTCCCGATGACGATCTCACCAGGTTCATCCGCTCCAAGCTCAACACAAAGCTTGTACAGGGCGCTTTTGGTATCATCATATCGTCGTTTTGCGCGTCTAATCCGCGCCGCAGCAAACCTTGGATCGGGTTGATCGTACTCAGGGTCCGGTTCGAACTGAGCGGTTCCCATTAGAACCGCCAGTACATCGTCCAGGCGAAGTGCGACGGCGGAAAACGCGTCCTCCACTGTATTAGGTTTGTCCTTGATTCTGGTCAAGACGACCGCGTTCTGCGCACCGGCCACAGCAGCTTCGATAATACCGACCATACTCCCGCCATTGTAAGCTGCGTGGATTCGGAGATCCTGCTCTTTGCTTAGCACTGTGTAGTAGTTGTTACGTGCGCGCTCCATCTCTGCGAATCGTGTTTGCAGCTGAGTATCATGCTGTACAGGCTAGGTTGGCATCGGCTCATCAGTCACTCGACTGCTGTATCGAACACGTTTTGGATTGTTCGTGGAAGTCGGTTGAAAGTGTTGCCGCTTCGTCTTGGCCGTAGTCGTCTTGCCCGTAGTCGTTGTGGCAGTAGACGTTGTGACCACAGTCTTCTTGGCCGTAGTCGTCTTGGCCGTAGTCGTTTTGGCGGTGGCCATCTTGGCCGTAGTCTTCTTGGCCGTAGTAGTCTTGGGCGATGTTGTGCCAGACGTCTTCTTTCGTTGTCCTGGGTAAGCCTTACGTTCGTCTATGATGCCGTACGTATCATTGGGGAAACTGGAATCCGGTGTTGCTTGGATTAGACGTGCGCGTTCCTCCGGCCCAATGTCACGCCAAGCGTCCCGAATTTTATCACAGCCACGGCCCCACAAGAAGGTTGTGTCACGCGTACGCCGCTCCAATTCAGGTAGAGTTTGACGAAAGCTTGCATACCAACGCGCGTATCAATTCCCCACCGCTGCCGCGAAGATCCATACTGCGTTGTGTGCCCTCATACTGAGTGGTGTGCTACGATCTTCTGGGTTGGTTCAAGGATTTTGTAGAATGAACGCGTGTTGCAGTCTGACCTGACTAACAGCGTGGTAATAAGACACGAGTAAGTAACAAACCCAAGGCTTCATTAAAAAACTCTCAGTCTTACCGAAATGTATATTGTGGCTAAGCCAATCGAGGTAATACCTAAGACGAAGACGCTGTCAGCCAAAAATACTGAGGGAGGTATAGCGCGATTCGGCGCAAAAAGATAATCCCAATGATCCACTCTGCGTCATAGGCTTGAATTTCCACCGCAACATTGTTGTCATCGTAAATGAGCTTATCACCACTCAAAACTTTGATCGCAAAGCAGTGCGTCACTCGTAGTGAGCTGTAGGCAGCGCACACGTAAACTCCATCCTCTAGAGCGCATCACACCAATACTTCCGACGCGTCCTTGCTGTTGACACCTCCTATCAAATTGTCATCGAATACGCGGATGCTGATCTGACTTGTCTTCGAACTACCACACCGATCATTCAGGTATTTGATGTAGAAACGAAGCTCTCGAGTGGTCAGACCGTCAGGCGACAAGGGTCGACCCCGCTGGTCGCAGTACTCCACAAATGCACCAAAGCACCCGGGGGGTGCCCAACCAGAGTTACCGAGAAGCGTAACTGCAGTCTCCACAGCAACAACTGCACATTTTCCATTCGCTGACGGCGAGGCACCGATATTGTGCACGTGTCCATTCCTTCGGCAAAACTCGTAAAACGACGCGTACTTAGACGCTTTCCACATGTCCACGACCGCACATGCTTTCTCAAAGCCGTCCTCCAGCAAACGCTTCCTGGGCAGCCATGAGTCGGCCCACCGGTATCCATCAGGCTCATCTCGCCACTGGACGCTGTACCAATACGCAAGCCCTACCGGCATGCGATCCACAATTGCGTACACTAATCCCTCGTCAGCAGTATCATCACGGTTCTCGACTTGCGTACAACTTGAGTCGTCATTTCGACCTTTACCGGCGACGACAGAGACCGATACAGTAGCAGATTCAGCGTATCCATCATGCGAGTTAACCTCCTTGCTTGTTTGACCATCCGCGCTCTGTAGTCTCAATACTACATTCTCGGTGAAATTCATCGGTCGGTCTTTTTTGCTGGCACGAGAGTTCAACAACTTGTCCGCAGCAGGACCACAAAAGCGCTCGCCAGACCTGTACACCTTTTTTGGCTTCCGACACTGCGCCCGAGGACATCCACTTGTTGCCCTGCGACTCGCAGAAGCCAAGCTCGGGAGTCCCAGACGACAGTGCCGAAAACCACTAGGATGCGGCAAGTTGCCTCTGTAGACGAGCATGACCACGCCTATGCATATCCTGGCGTCTGTGTCTTGGCGTGTGTGCAATTGTGCCGTGGATACTGAAGCTGTAGGGTGTCGTTTTGATGTATGTTGACATCGAGAAAGAATACTCCGAGAGACCCTCGGTAGGTCAGCTTCCATCTTTCGTCTTCTGTAAGTTGACCAGGTACTAGCGCCTAGATCAGCACACAACGGTCGGCAGACCGGCAGAATTGCGCTGGTTGCTGTGCTTCATCCTCGTTTGTGCATTGTTACACACGGAACATGTGGAGAGAGTATTTTCTGTGCGCGTATATTATGAACCAATAAGCTGTATGCTGGGCCCGTATACTGGAAACCTTTTGTCTGAGTCATAAGTCGTAACTTCACTCGAGTTATTGGACGAAACGACAACCGACACAGTAATTTGGCACTCGATAACTTGCGCGGCGTGTTGGAATTGGTGTACGTGGTTTCTTGTCGCGACGAACTATCCCAGACTGCTGGCACTGCTTGTAACAGCGGCCATTGACCACTCGTCGAGAAACTCAAGATTTTGGCGGGTGAGGCAGCAGTGCCACGCAGCGGGCGGCATTGCCGATGGGAGCGGGCACCGCTCCTGGAAGGACGAAGCCAATCGAAGAGACCACTTATTGTGCGCGATTCACGTTTTGTAGAGCTCACTCCAAGGTCTCCTAGCGGGGAAGTGTGGATGAGTCCGCGTGGAAGGACGGGTGTACTGTAGCCAGCTTTGCAGGCGTTGATCACGACGCTCCTCGGCAGGAACGCGTTTGCCGCTCCGCCGCTTCTCTGACTTGTCACGACACTCGAGTCCTGCTCTGGCACAAGTCGCATGCTGCGACTCGCAGCCAGGTCTTGAAGCCCGAAGATGCTGGGTCGACCTGCAAATCTGAAAGCCCGTGCACACCAACGTACGATTGCCGAAACGTCTGCCACCCCATCCCTGCTTTCGTGACCGGCTGCTGACGCTGCTGCTCGGTGCCACATTTGCAACGCTACATATCAAGGCACCGGCCGGCGTTATGCAAATCCCTTCAATTGCGACTTCTCCTCACCTCTCCAGTCCAGACCCCGACGGGCTCAGTTGAGCCGCAAAGGTTCATTCCGACATTCACCGAGAGCAAGTGACAGATTGGTCTCTCCCCTCCCCGAAGTTACTCGGTTGATCGTCGCTGGCAATGGAGTTCAGGGAGTTCCGCAACCGCTCGGCGCGCGAGCCCAACACGAGTCCGTACCCGCCGATGGACTTGACCCCCAAGGAGAAGGACCTCTTGCGGCAGTTGGCCAAGGACTTGGTGGCCATCAACGTGGAGGAGTTCGAGGAGTTCCTCTTCGAGAACAACGGATTGCTCCCCGAGCACCAGTGGGAGTTTGTACGTCGTGACGAGCAGGTCGAGACGTTCCTGCGTCGTCGGGAGAAGTACGGATTGCGTGGCTTCGGCGCTACGAAGCGATTCCGTCGAGCCACGTCCGACACGAGCGCGAGTATGAGCAGCACCAAGAGCGACGAGCTGACGTCGCTGGACGTGGCAGATATCCGCTCCGTCGGCTTCAAGGACGGCACGATCGAGGACGGCGTCTACGGCGCTATGAGCCCCACGACCGAAGTCTTCCGCACCAAGTCGGCGTACGTCGACGACAAGATCGAGGAGTGCAACGTGCTGGCGCTGATCGATAACGTGACGGACGCGGACCCGTTCACGTCGCTCACTATCCGCTGGCGAGTGACCGAGAACCCGCCGGTGATGCGGACCTTCCTCAAGAGCTACGACCACATCTACCTCGAGGCCACAGGCTTCACCACGCTGAGCAACGGAGACCGCGTGAGCTACCAGCTGCTGCACTCCATCGACTTCCCGCACCTGACCCCTCCCCTGTCGACGCACTCGAGGGGCCAAGTCGCTGGCATCCTCTTCTTCCGTCAGATTGACAAGGATACTGTGCAGATCCACGGTCGCGCGGTGTTCGCCATCCCCTTCGAGCGAGCGAGAGCTCTCTTCACGCACATGGTGCTGGTCTCCATGTCCAAGTCGTGCATCAACATTTTCTTCGCCGCGCACATGAAAAAGCTGCGTTGGGCGATTCGGGAGCGAAGGGAAAACGGCTTCGACTCGATCTCAAGTTTCAACTCTAACGAGTGCAAGGTCTGTCAGAAGACGCCGACGGTCCGCAAGGGATACAACTGCATGCTGTGCGGGAGCTGCGTGTGCAAGTTCTGTCGCGTATTGCACAAAATCGCAGACATTGGCCCGGACAACAAGCTCTACTGGACCAAGGTGCGCGTGTGTCCATTCTGCATGACGCAAGTCATCAAGTCCGACACGACCGTCACGATGCGCTCCGAGATCGCGGCAGGCGAGTACCCGGACAGAGATAACAAGGTCTTGTAGTTGTTGGATGAAGGTAGCGGTAGTTGGTAGCTAGGTGGTAGATGGTGCTTATGAATCTCAGCCAGTATAAACGTAGGAAGCTGTTTCACTGAGTGGCTTCTAGACATTGTCCCTGTTTGCTGCGCCTTGTTGATGCGAACGCAACCCACACGGGACAATGATCCGACAGCTCGTACCCGCACTGAACGCGAGACATATACGTTTGCAGTCGCGGAAGCATCGCGTCCATCGGGTTCTGCACGGAAAGACGACTGCTCTTTGAAGGAGGGTAGTATCGCCAATCCACGCGGAGGACGCCGCTGTCTACGAGGTAGTCGCGCTCTTCTTTTTCGTCCGGGTTATTGCTGCTACTGGTGAAGTCTGCACGATCGAGCCAAATGTTGTCGTAAAGTTTTCCGAAGACCATGGTTGACAACGGCGAGCGGATCAGGGCCATCTTGTGCGACCCCAGACTACCCAGCACGTCCTGCGGCGACAAGTTGAAGTCGCCCAGCACCACCACTTTCCTCTCTTTGCCAAAGTTCTCGCTCAGCTCCGCTGCCAGTCGGTTGATCTCGACGATTTCGGCGTGGCGGTCCTCCTTCTCACCAAAGGAGACGTGAACGTTCATCAACGCGAGCTCCAGCTGCGGTAATCCCGACGCTTCCGTCGCTCGAAAGGTGGCGACGCACGGTAGTCGGTTGAACATATTCTTGTCACGTTCCAATAGCCAGCACTTCTCAACAAGATGCACAGCACTCCGCCTGTAAAAGAAAGCATAGCGCTCAACACGCTTCTTCATTCCCGGGGTCTTGCGCCCCACCGGCTCCGACACCACGTAGTCCCACCCAGGCAGCATCGTTTTGAGTCTCTTCAACACAATCAAGTCCCTCACTTCCTGCAGCGCCACGAGATCGAACTCGTCCAGCACGTCCGCAATTCGCTCCAGTAGAACCGTCTCCTTGCGTCTTGAAATGTTGCGGATGTTCCAGCTCGCCACGATGAGCGATCGGTTGTCACACCCGTTACAATTCCACATTGAAACACATTTCCACGCACGTCGCTCTCAATCTCCCGACAAATGTGAAAGTTTGCGTCTCGTTTTACCCCCTCTTGGCCACACTCGACACCGTCTTCAACCTCTTCTCCCCCACTGTGTTCCTCGTAGGAATTCACTTTCACTTGAGCCCCCGCTTGAATTTTCGCGTAAGATTTTGCCCCGATGCCTTTCACGGCCAGCAGGTCTTCCTTCCGGTGGAACGGCCTCGCCTCGACGATCCGTTTGGCCAAGGCCGGCCCCACCCCCTTGAGCTGCTGCAGTTGCCTGGCACCAATCTTCTTTTTCACTAAAAGAACATACAAGAAAAATGAATAAAAGAAAGTTTATCATCCCTGGTATGAGTCCTAATGTTGAGTTCACCACGTGATAAGAGCAGACAAAACGGAACTTGGCATCTTTACAAATGCCGAAACAACTCAGGCAAACCAATGCGTTCACTTGGAGCTGCTGCCACCTGTCCGCACTTGTCAAGCAAGACAAGGTTGTCTATTCCAGTATTAAATTACTGAGTAGCTGGCTCAAGTGGGTGCTTCTTTTGCTGAACAATGCGGAAGAAGGCTGTCACACTTTCCGATGCCCTGAACATGCATGGTGGTTAGTCGTGACGTCACCCACAATCATTATCAAGCACGCTTCGAACCTTTGGCACGCCTCCGAGCATGCGAAGTACTGCTCTTCTGACAGCAGACCTGGATACAAAACAGCACAATTCAGCAAGTTAGCCTCTGGACTGCTTTAACACTTGCGCGAGACGTCAAACGAACCGTTCGTAATGCACGTCAGGACCCCCTCGCTTGTACTGGAACGCGCAGTGGTGACCCAAGAAACCGCTTCCTGTGGAAGAGGGGAAACATATCTCGTTAATCCTATTGGGACTCTGTATCATAGCTCGACGTGCCGCACCTCCTCTTCTGCCGACGACGGGTCCAGGTACAGGTTGCCATCCTCGAAAATTCCACACGAAGTGGCGGTGACGACCGAGAGCATTGGGACTCCGGCATCCATCAGCGCCAAGCTCACGGCGTTAATCGCAACTGCAAGGAGGTGCCGATTTCATAAAAAGGAGTCGAATCAAGGTTAAGGACAACCAACCGGCACGTTGGCACCGCTTTGGAAAAAAAATCAACTCCACACCCTAATTGGTACACATGCATAGTAAGAAAACAGTGGAAAGGATATAGAGCCATTGTCCTCGATGACTTGCACGACGATGCTGATGACGGCGCGCGGGAAACTGTCCGTGAGCACCACGGGCGTGAAGGTCTCGCGGATGATCTGCTCGTACTCCCTCTCCTTGGACGCTGTAACGCGCAACAGTAGGCCCCAGAGCTCAATTAGCATCAACAGCATTAAATAAATACTGCAGCACAACCAGCTTAATCATTGCGGCGTACTCGTGATACCCTTCTCCAGCTTGAAGCACACGTCCAGCGTGGCCTTGTCCGTCTTCTCGGCGCGCCAGTTGCGCGCCTGGCCGGGGCCGTACACGGACGCCAGCACCGTGCTGCTGCCGTGCGACATACGCGCAGACCCGTCGGCTCGGAAGAGCGCGCCCTGCTCGGACGCAAAGGGCCGCAGCTCGTTGCCGGCGCGGCCGTCCTGGCGCTGCGGAGTCGTCGCCACCATTGCTTGCAAGCGTATCGAAAATGCGACTTGGCAACAATCGAAAAGCTCAAACGGTACACAGTACCGCCCACACCGTCATCGTACTTAGCACAATCACAAAGCCATTAGTGAAGTACTTAAAAGTACTGAGTAGGAACTTCCTGGGAAGTGAACCCCAGAAAAACAACATGACGGAACTTTTCGGCATCTTTTGCACGTATCTTGAGGGCTTGCGGTCGTCCAAGCACGTTTAAGAACGTGTATGTGCTTACCAAAAAGTGGGAAATTGACTACTATTTTCCTTTTTATACGTTTTCCTTCTTTACTCGATTCAGCTCTTTCACCAGCCGCCACTTCCGCTTCCAAAGATGTTGTTGTCCGTGTACACCGACACGATACCCATACTGCAACAAACCCATGTCAGTACTGGAGTCCTAGATCTTAAACTCAGAATGACAGGGTACGTACTTGTCAGAGACTGCTAGGTGGGCGCCACTTTCGAAAGAGAAGTCACCGCTGGTTTTGTAGGAAGTCGCAGCAATCTGGGTCGGTTGCTGCCGCCTACACATCATTAGTCACCATGACCGCGTCAGTATTGATACTGTACAATACTTCAAGTACCAGAATATCAGAAGATGGCCACTACGCACAGCGTGAGGTGGCTCATACTGCCGTCGTTCAGTCCTGCAGTTGAAAACCTGGCAACGCAACGACAAAACATTACTCTCTCATACCAACAAAATAGGTTAAAAGGATAGCTCGTACCCGCTGCGACCAAACATCGCAAGCTTGGTGCCCGAGCGTCGGATCTCACCGACCGCCGTCACCTTCGATTCTACCAGTGAAGTGCAAGCCGACTGTCGAGGATGGCGGAGGTCCAACATGGCGACGTATCCGCTCTCGAATCCCAGAGCGACAGTGAGGTCGCTCAGGTATTCGTGCGCAAACAAGCCGCCTAGCTTATCGACATTCTACATAACGTTCGAGGTGAAAAAATGTTTGCAAGCTCAACTTGTGTGCGTTCGAAGCAGAAGCACGCACCAGATACGCATGCAGAGGCACTTGGAGCTGAGGCGATGGTACCCGGGAGTCTGCGACTTGGAAGTCGCCCCCGTCCGTGGTCCAGCTCAGGTGTGAGGCGTCCGTGGACGACCACCGAACGCTACTCACAACGTCGTGCGCATCGAACTTCCCGATGATGGCGGCAGCCCTTGGATCTCCTCTGTCCCGAAGATCGGTCACTACCACAGTCTCGTCGAAGCCTGGAAAGATGCAATACACACACATTTAATTAGCAGCGAAGAAATCAAAAACTCTGAATTTCCAACTTACCGCCAGAAACCACATGAGATGGCGTTGTGCGCGAGACTGCAAGCTCCCGAATTGCGTCTGAGTGTACACTGTTAATGGGGTCTACGATAACAAAGAATATCGTTAGACCCTTTTTTTCAGCACTACCGAACTGCAGTACAATCTTCTATGCCTACCTTGCACCCTGCAGGGCCTTCCCACGGTTGTGTCACCTACCTGGATCAGCTGGATTTCCTTTCCGATCGCGATAATTGCGGCTTGCACGTCAATCCAATGGATGTCACGAACCTCCTGCGAAAAGGAAGCAAGCATCGTCCATAGTATCAGAATATGAAATACCGTACCAATTCAGACAAACCAGCGCTGATGTTGTTGTACCTGTTCAATCTCGAAGTGTGATAGCGACTGGTTTGCACCGCTTGGGGCCAGAAAGTTTGCCACGAAAATGCGGTTCTTTTCGCGATGTGGACTGGATGAATCGGCGACGATCTCCGTTCCCACGAGCAGAAGCCCGTCGTCGCGAATAATCGGCTTTGAAAGAGCTGTAGGCAGCAGGAGTATTCTAGTTAGTTCGTCGCAATAAACATAATTACTAAGTACGCAGGTTGATATCCGTACGGAAAGGCGTCCCGTCTTGACGAGTGCCGACCGTGACGTAGTGGCTTGGGCTTGCGAACGAAGAGTACGACGGTACATTGTCTGGCAGTATGGAGTTGGTGTCGATTGTGGGCTGGAAGTTGCTCAGCATTAGCTCCTGGTCACCGTAGCTCTCCAAGTTCGGGTGCGACTGGGCAATGATGTCCCAAAAGGTGCTTTCGGCGTCATCCGCCGTCGCTGTTGCTGGAACTGCTTCCACTGGCGCCGACACCACGGCCGACGGCGGTGGCGGTGAAGAAGCTGATGAAGAAGGGGGAGACGACATGGTCGACACTGAGCCAATTCGCGAATGCAGTCGTCCTCCACTGTTCAGAAAGCCGACTGAAGGCGGCCGAACTCTTCATCCATCATGACGAGAGAATCCAAACTGCAGAAGTTTAGTAATGGATCCCCCCCCCGCCATAGGCTTCAAGCCATTACTACTATGTAAGTAGTTAGTAATGTTTGATGTAATTGTCAAAGTGAGCTCATGTGACAAGATCAGAGGCGAGGGACCGCATGATCTTGCTAGTAACCGGGGTATCGGTAGATCTTCAGCGCAAAGACCCCCCTCCCCCCCCGCCGCTGTGGGGTGGAAGCTGCACTAGTTTAATGTCTGATAAAGAAACGACGAGCTTGAGGGCCGCCGAATTCAGCAACGCTTTCACTTGCACTTCTCGCCTGTTTGTGCTGCACTGTGCAGCCTGCACAAGTCACAGAGATATCGATTTCGAAGAGTGATCGCTACTCCTGGGTGGAAACGAGCTTTAATAAAACCGTTAAAGGCGACCACAAACATGAAGGACAAGAAGGCGAGCTCCGTGGAGCACCACTTCCTCATCAACCCGCTGCACTCGCAGTATGAGGAGGAGCTGGATCGGATTCGGACCGAGGGCGACCTCACGTTGATCAAGGCGCAGACGGAGAGGAAGAAGCTCGTCGAGCTGGAGGCCAAACTGGCGCAGGCCCACAAGCAGCTCCGAGAGCGGAAGAAGACCGCCAACCAGGGAGAAAAGAGACCGGGGACCGCAGATACTACGAAGACCAAGAGGCTCTTCACTGCCGTGGCGATGTCGAGCAGCAAAGAGGCTGCCAAGCAGCAGCTGCCGACGATTCCGCAGGTGGAGAAGGAGCAGGAGACCAGCGCCAAAAGACCGTCCACTGCTACTACTGCGGCTACTACAGCAGCTAGTGGCAGGATGTTGCAGACAGAGGAGCGACTAAAAGTTGCAGTAGCGGAGCGCAACTTTGAGCTGCACAAGCTTCGACGTGCGATCGATGAGACCAGACGGAAGCGCCTGGACGCGCTGGCCGCCGAGAAGGAGATGCTAAAGGAGATCCAGCAGGACGAAGAGGACATGAGAGCGGCGCAAGCTGAGATTGCTGAGCTGAAGCAGCAGGGGATGGAGTTGAAGAGCGAAATCGCTGCTACGAAGCAGGAGTTTGACACGGAGAAGCAGGCGTTCCGACTGGAGCGGCAGAGGCTGCTGCTGGAGGTGGAGGAGATCGTGAAGGTGGAGAAGCAGGGAACTCAAGACCAACCTGCACCCGTGTCGCATGTACGTTTGCATGTGTGGGCGGGTTTCTTGGGCTCGAAATGATCTTACTCGGGCGTCGTTTTGCTTTGCGCAGAAATACAGCATGTTCCACAACAACATTGCCCAGCGCCGAAAACAACACGCGAGGTGCGTTGGATATAACAGTTTTGAACTAGACCATAATAATATTTTCATTTATTGTTTGAGGCTAACGTGGTTGTGGAATGCTTGTCAGATCGTGCAAGTGGAAGAAGGAGAATCTGGAGCAAAAGATCGTGTCTTTCGAGCAGAAGAAACGGGTCCTAGACCGCATCGTAGAGGAGACGAACGTAAAAAATCTGAGCGAGTTCATCCAGAAGTACAACGAGCAAGAGCGCACCAAGGCAGACGTGTTCGCTCGGATCGAAGCTCAGACTGCAGCAAGTACGTTCCTCGTCTTCTTTTGCTTGTGTAGGGGACACAATAGCTAAGCAGCCCACGGATTCCTTCTTCTTACATACGTCCAGACGCTGCGCTAAATGAATTCATTGCGCAGCTTACGCAAGACATTGCCAGACTCAGCGGAACGGAAGAGAGCGATGCTACTGATGACGGTGAAAAACCTTCCGGTACGTTACGTGGTGCTCGAGACCGATCGAAGATCTGCGATTGAGATGAGGCGTTCGTTTGTGTGCTATCTCTTATTAAAGCTGAGCTTCAGAGGCTCCTCGATGCCGACGCAGTTCATATCAAGCGCTGGGTGAAAGACGCCGATATATTTGCAGAAGCGTGGGTCCATAGTACAGTACTGCATCTACAGACCCCTGAACTCTCTCTAACTTGAATCGTGTGTGTGAGTGTGTTAGGGTGAAATGCCTTCGAGATCCCATCTACGATATCTACAAGGAGTTTTTCCCGAACGACCGCAATGAAGACGTGTTCGACAGCAATGTAAGGACGATCGCCTGTATGTCAACCTTCTCACTTACTCACCACTTTTGCTTATACGTTAGGCTACACGGGAGGCGGGTATGATGCGCCGAATTGGCGCGATCGAAGAGCGCATTATGCAGTTCATAATGGCCAAGATCCTAGAGGAGACGGAGGCCTCTGCGACCCCGAACAGCAGTGACACGCTGCGACGTCTAAGGCAGTACCAAGGACGACGACAGCAGCGCGACTCGAACAACCTCCCGCTTTCCAAGCTCTGCGGTGTCGAGCCTCCATCTACGATCAAGGGCGAGAGCAATGCGCAACGCCCCAAAGAAGGCAGGGGCGTTCCCGAAGACGAGGACGAGGAGGACAACGACGACCCAGCCAAGGACGTGGCCGTGGTGCACTCGGACGTCTTCCGCCACAAACTCAACGCCACACTGGCTGCTGAAAATTCGTCTAGCACCACAGCGACAGCAGCATCCAGCTCCCCACGTAAGAACGCCGTCAACCACTAAAGTCGACCTCAACGCGGTTTGATAGCCTGAAAGTCTTCTTTTATCTTCTTATAGCCTTGAGAAAAATCTCATTTTTGATCGGCTTTCTTTTAACATCTCTGGTTCATACTGTAAGATTGAGTACCTTGGCTCTTCGATTCAGCCGTATCGAACCGTGTCATCGACAAACCAGTCAAACTTTTCGCTTCCATATCCGGCTATCACACTTTTGACTTGGGAGTACGAGCGATACGCCTCCAAACCATTCTCTCTTCTGTAAGCCAACGTTAAATGATGGTTCATCGATTAGTACCGTTTTGCTTCTTGATGATAGTAGCAGGTAGAACTTACCCCATGCCGCTGTCCTTCACACCACCCCAAGGACTCGAGGGATCGTTACGATGGTGGTCGTTGAGCCAAATAATTCCAGCTTCCATGTTGTGCGCAACACGATGAGCACGCTTGATGTTGGTTGTCCATATTGCTGCCCCAAGTCCAAATGGCGACTCATTGGCTAGCCGAACAGCTTCATCCTCGTCCTAGAGCCAAGAAGTCACACCCACACCAAAAGATGTTAGGGAATATGTTTACAACCCAGCGCCATGCATACGATATCGCACCTTGAAGGAATACGCGGTAACAACGGGGCCGAAGACTTCTTCCCGGACAATCTCCATGTCCGGGGTGGTATCCGTGACCACCGTTGGCTCATAGAAGTATCCCTGTAGTGCGTTTGAGGGCGTTAGCATCAGTAATCATGTCTATATGAATGGTTGACCACACCTTGAGACCTGGGGCTCGGCGGCCTCCACAGCGTATCGTTGCACCGGCTTGCTTGGCACGCTCCACCATAGCGTGAATACGATCGAGATGTGGCTTCGAAATAATAGTCCCCATTTGTGTTCGATCATTCATCGGATCCCCCAGGCGGATTGGCTTCACTTTCGCCACAAGCTTATCGACCAGCTCGTCAAAAATCTTTTCATGAACGATCAAGCGCGCACCCGTCACGCATGTTTGGCCACTTGCAATGAAACACGCAAACGCTGCGCCATTGACCACTTCGTCCACGTCCACATCATCAAAGACGACGATCGGTGCTTTACCCCCGAGCTCCATCGTCGTACTTGCGAGGTTGCCGGCGGCAGCGGCAGCAACCCGCTTTCCAGTCGCTGTTCCCCCCGTAAAATCAATTTTCTTAATCGATGGGTGTTCTGCAAGAGCCTGTCCAGCAACACCTCCTAGTCCAGGGACGCAGTTAAACACTCCGGCAGGTAGTCCTGCTTCGTGACAGAGCTCAGCAAGCAGCACGACGGTGAGAGGGGCCAACTCCGACGGCTTCACAACCACCGAATTGCCCGCCGCCAACGCAGGAGCCAGCTTCTTCACAGCAATCAGCAACGGGTGATTCCACGGCGTGATCTAGTCACATTACGACAAAAAAATAAACGGGTTAGCTTCAAAAATCAACAAAAATGCCTTTCAATGCACGAATCCACCAACCAGCCCAACAGTTCCGAGCGGGAGACGCTGCACATAGTTCACATACGGCCCCGAGAAAGGTGGAACCGATCCCTCTGACGTTCGCGCCAAAGCCGCAAAGTACTCAAACCATTCTAACACATCAGAAGCAATGCAACATCAGCCCACAGCTTCCTCTCGCCCAGAATCCCTTTCAGCCGCTACCCACCTGGGATCCTCGTCAACTGCGCCCGCATCTCCCGAATGGGGCGTCCAGTCTGCAGACTTTCCTTCTCCGCGAACTCCGGGATCCGCTTGCGCAGCGTCTTGGCGATGTTATTGAGGACGTCGGCTCGGTGAGCGACAGAGGCCCGCGACCAGGCGCCACTATCAAACGCGCGCTGTGCGCTCGCAACGGCCCGCTCCACGTCTGCAGCCGCTGCGTTGGCCACGTACGCGAGCCGCTCCGTCGTCGCAGGGTTCTCCACCGCCACGCGCGAGTCGTCGCCAGTCGCAGAGGACGACGCGAATTTCCCGTCGACGAAGAGGCCGTACTCGCTGCGGTCGAAGGCCGTCGACGACGCCCAGCGCTCCGCCGAGCGAGGGAAGCTGCGCGCAGCGGGCGATGAGCGGGGACGAGCGACCGCGCGCCACATGAACGGAGGTGTGAGCTTGACGCGGTAAAACTTAGATTGAAGAATGATTAGATACTCGAGAGGGGAGAGTGACCATCACTCTGCCAACTTCAATGCGACTGCTTGCGCATCCTACCAATCAGAGGGATGGCGTAAGTATGCTGCTGCTGCCTGCAGTTGGCTTCTCTCTTTCTCATGGGGCTAGATGTATGGTATGACACAGTACCAAGGCGACGGTGCTACGCGAGGACTGGGCGACGGCTGAGCAGATTGAGCGCGTGCAGCTGCAGCTGCTGGACGTTGTGGACTTCATCAACCGATTCCGTACGCCTCTTCGTCGCTACAAGGTTAAGATCTCGCTCATGGCCAATGGAGTAACCTTTGTGCGCGTGTACAGATACCAGCGCCAAGACAAGACTCGCCGTGCTTAACGAGAAGATGACCGCAGTCGAGCGGAGTCTGAGGTGGATGCAGACGACTTGTATTAGATGCCCGAAGAGTGCTGCTAATATGGATGTTGTGGTGGTTAGATACGTCGAAAATGCTGTGCGCAAGTCGAGACCCATGCGCACCACGGATCAAACGCAGTAAAAGGAAGCACATCACGACTCTTCTCTTCTGGGAGAATTCAATGATATGAATGAAGCATTCGATGAGTTATTGAAGGGCGTCCTGCTCCTATAGCTGAAGGCTATCGGAGCTGCTGGGTCGCGAAGGCATTCGAAACGTTCGGTAGCCCGTCCTTGACAGCGACGTCGGGGGCTTGCGTAGTTCAGCAGTCTTGATAGTATCCAGTCGAGGAGAGTCTGACCAGAACTTGGCGGGGTCAACATCTTCCTCGGGTTGTTCTTCAGCTCTCACTTGGTTGTCTTCAGGAGAAGCGCCATCCATGGCATGCTGCATAAGGAAGAGCTTCATCTCAGCCTCGATCGCATCGCCGTCTTGCTGAGGGCCCCACTGAGAGTCAGCCTTCGTGGGCTCGCTTCCTGATTCATCTGGTGTCTTATCAGCTTCGTTGTTCTGCTCGTGTTGCTCATGTTCGGCTTGAGGTAGTCTCGACTCCGAGTCACGAAGAGAGCCCGATTTTGATGCAGAAAGGAGTGGAGCTGGTGGCAATGTCGTCTGTGTTTCCATTTCGCAGGCTCGCCCAGGTGTCTGAATACCGACGGGCTCGTTGTGACTCATAAGCGACTCAAGGGGGTCCGTACCCGCGTCGACACATGACCTTCTGATGAGCGACTGCACGGTTTTCGCTCGATGCACCACTTTAGGAATCCGCTCTGTCTCACTAACAGCATCCATAGACGTTGTGGGCGATGGAGTCGACGGAGCGAGCTTTGTAGGATTACGACCGTCATGCGGTCTAGCCCCCACCTTGGTCGCGGAGTCGCGTTTTCTGGCTGCGATGGCTGCTGCAATGGGGTCTACAGGTGCCGAGGTACGTCGTTGAATAGACTTTGGCTGGTCCGCCCGCTCTTTCTTGTCGGGTGCTGCAGACTCGTCAGTCTGGCTCCCCACGCGATGCAACAATTGCTTCATCTTCTGCAAACGATTGCGAACTTCCTCTTGAGCCTTCACGAGCTCGTCTTCACTGGTTAACTTCGTGAGGTTGCCTTGGCATGCAGACGGCAGGAATAAGTCAGTTAGTTCCTGATAACAGTACTCAACGATAATAAACACCAACCGATTCGAGCTGAAGGGGTATGAAAAACAGGGGCCGAGTCGGGCGTCGCCGGCCTCCCGCTGGGCGTTCGAGCGCGTGCACTTCCCGAACGAGAGGCCGCAGACCCTGGTCGATATGCGGGTGTCGAGGCTCTAGAAGAATTAAGCAACTCTTCTTGAGAGATAAGACCCTTCTTCAGCCTATCGCGGTGGCTCTGTAATTGCGCATCAGTGAAGGCATCGAGTGTTTTCAGCTCTGGAAGCGCCGACATCACGTCAATGAGGTAGCTGGGCAGAACGACACAAGAACTTCACGTCAATAACGCGATAGTGCTGCCAGCCTTGCTACCAACGGTTTAAGCTGCTCACCTGCTCGAATAGCAGCATGGATTTCCTTGCAACCAAATATCTTGTAGCCCCTCGCACGTAGCCAGAATCCCAATCTGGGAGCATGAAGCGATCTGGTTATTTCTCAAATCGACAGACTCCAGCTGTGGGCAGCGAGTAGGAAGTGATTCAATGTCCACGATCATGTTGTCGTGGGCGTAGAGCTCGTTAAGCTTTTCCAGTGGCGTTGCCATGCCTTGGAAGTCAGAAATCTGATTTCCGTTCACTCGAAGCACCTACTCAGGTGTCAAAGCAGTTTAAGTTGTCAGCGAACCCCAACGGCATAAAATAAGGTCCGTGCATCTTACAAGCAGATTCGGCGGCATGATGCCTTGCAAACTTGTGAGCTTGTTCTCCGACAAGTTCAGCTCCTCCAGCTTCGTAAGGTAAGCGAGATTGCCACCCGATGAGAGCTCATTTCCAGCAAGGTTCAGGTGTTTCAAGTTGGTAAGCGCATCTAGTCCCTATTGCAGAACAATCATTGGTAAGCATTTCAAGACGATGGAATGCAGAGACGCACCTCGGATGCTGCACCTTGCAGACGGTTCCGACCCAAATCCAAATGAACAAGCAGTCTGCATCCCCGAAGGTTTTGCACAGAGGCAATGCGGTTGCCGTTCAGCCACAGGTTCTTGAGTCTACCCAGCGCTAAGAAGTCGCTGGAGATCTCTTCAATCTGGTTGTCGTTCATCTGCAGGCCTTCCAAGTTGGAATTGCTTCACCAGCAAGAAAGATAAGCCCCACCGCCAAATTCTATTCAACCACCAACACCATAGCCTTACGCTTTGAGTCCGATAGTATTAGTGAGCTTGTTGTTGTAGATCTTGAGTTCCCGCAACTCTCTGGCCGTGCTCACGTTCCGCAGCGATGTGATCTTGTTGAATGACACATCCAGCGAACACAACTTCGGTAGCTGCAATGCAACAAACAGCGACAAATTGCATCAATAAATCACAAAAGGCAGACCAATGCCGGGCACAAGAAGCGCATTGATTGCACCTCCGACAAGTTGCCGATTTCGTTAATCGAGCGGTTGTGCGCGTCGATGGCGTACTTGCTCGAGTTGAGCTCCGTCGAGAGCGCCCTCTGTTCAGCAATACAAACAGTCAGTAAAAAAACAATGAACATATTCCATCCCAGCAGCAAATACCCACCAGGGCAGCCCCGTCGAGCACTTGGATCTGCGTGGGGTTGACGTCGCCTCTCATGGCCGCCCCAAGGTCTCACTTTGTTGTGTGTCGCTTCGCGCTTCAAGCTGTTTTGTGTACAATCTATGTACATCTATTTTCGACCAATCCCAGCACGCCACTCTGTTCAAACCGAATTCCCGCGCTCATTACCGGAACTCGCCCGAAGAAGCCGCCACCAGAAGGTAATGTAGCTATGTACGCCGCCAGATACTCGCGAGCGCGCCGTATCTGGGCGCTAGAAGTGGGTAGGAGCCATGCTGGAAGAGCTGACCGTCTCTGCATGGGCTTATGCTGCGCGTAGTAGCAACATGGAGGACACTACGAACGCCGCCACGGACACGAAGCTGGTCTTCACCGACTCGGACGCCGCCACGACGCCCAACGACGCGTCCAGCGCCGCTGCTGACGCGTCCCAGGCCGACCTTCAGGCGCAGCTCGCGCTCTTCCAGCAGCAACAGCAGCAGTACATCCAGCAGCTCGTAAGGCTCCGACTGCTCTACCGTTTTGACTCTTGCAGTGTGTGGATGCTGACCCCGATATTCTTCCTTCTCCGTCTCGCTCCGACGCCGCTGCCTTTTAACGTGTGATATGTAGATGGTAAGATGGGAGTGCTTGACCTGTGCGTAACATTAAATGGCTGACGTGTGTGTTAATTTCTCTTCGTTGCAGCAACAAACCAACAGTGAGCAGCTCCGGGCCATGTACAACTCGAGCGCCATGATGCAGCCATACATGGTGAGGCGTAAAGGTGATCCGCCTTAACGTGGGGACATGTATTAATCGTGTTTTTCTGTTGTTGCTGTAGCTGTCGCAGTCGATGTTCCCCCGCCCGTCGACGCCCAACTCGGAGGCGACGGAGGAGGAGCCGGTCTACGTGAACGCCAAGCAGTACCACCGCATTATGATCCGTCGCCAGCAGCGAGCAAAGCTGGAGGCCAAGCTAGGAAACCCTCGTCAGCGCAAGGCGTATCTGCACGACTCGCGTCACAAACACGCTATGCGGCGACCGCGTGGCCCCGGCGGCCGATTTCTCACTAAGGATGAGATTCAGGGATTGAAGGACGGCACGATGGTGTTTGAAGACTTGCCGCGGAAAGCTGCACCGAAGCAGCAGTAGATCGGTGTAGCACGGACGCGTCGACAAACACAACTCCAGATAGCAACGCACTCATCGTATTTGTATTCCGTGACGTAAGTAATGAAGCGGAAACTGCATGTTCTCCCCACTACGCCAGCTAAGCTGCAGTTGCAGCTATTTCTCCAACGCACGGACGTATGCCACCTCACCCGTCTTCGACACAATCAAGCCGCAAGGTCGAGTGCGCTGTGGCTTGTCTTCGAGTCCGAGGCTTGCCCAGATGCGGCGATTTCCGAGTGCTGCCAACTGCGCGCGCTTCGCAGCAATGGTCTCCTTAGCGAAATTCTCGAGAGGCGCGTAGATACTGTTGATATGCAGGTTGTCTAGCAATTCCGAACAAAATAAAAGATGAGTTTCGGAAAGTCACACCACACTAGCCATCGCAGGGATGCAACGCACTGTTGTCGGTCAACTCGCCAGCCTCTTCTTCCTCTCCTGCGGCCCCATCATTCTTCGAATCCCGCTCGAACGAATTTGTGTGGCGTAACGATGGAGACTTGTCAGGTGCTGAACTTGCATCAGCGATCGATGAAGGCGGTACTTCAGGAGACGGCGGAGCATCGTAGTCGTTTCTCCTGTAAGAAGGTCGTTGGCCTGAAAACAAGCAAACCGTTAGCTTCACATACCAGTCATCTTCTCTCAAAACCAGAAGTTGTGTACCGTAAGTATTCTTGGTCGGTGTGCACGAACACGTAGAGTTGCAAGCGCAATGCGAGAAGTGGCAGAACCGACCACGTTGACATACACCCTTGTTCTGGAAGTCGTAACACACGCCTGTGCCAGGTCCTTGACTCCCACCTGCTCCACCTCCACCGCGCTTCTTTTTGTTAGGTGGGGCAAAGTCCTGTAGAGTTCCGGTATTCATTATTAACAAAGTGTCAGTATTTTCATGGAAATATATCAAAACTAAAGTTCAGGAAGCCTTACGTCTGACGTCGACGGGGTGTCATGACGATTCTTCTGCTGCGACGACATCGGCTTCTTGCTTGGGTCATCGGGGAAAAATCGCTCGATCTCCTCCAGTTTAATGTCTTCACCAACCGCTTTCTCAATCATCGTCAGAAAATTGCGCTCTAGCGGCATCCCGCGATCTGGACGGCATCGAATAAATCTCCAACCGCCTTCGCAAGAAGACGAGTGACGTATCAAACGTGAGAAGACAATATCAACAAATGCCAGCAGCTCCACACGATTTCAACGTACCCTTTCGCCATCCAACTCCTCTGTCTGTGGCGTTAAACTCCGTGCTGCCGGAGTCCCATGTGCTTTTGTCGTGCGACGGGATATACGTGAGCCACTCAGGGTCGTACACACACTCCACAATGCGCGATGATGCCTTCTTGTCCTGCCGAAAGGCCTCGAAGTCGTCTATTGCAACACATTCCACCAATGATGAGTCAAGCTGCCTGTTGCTTCCGTACACCCAGACATAGAAGACAAAGAAACTCACCCGGCGCGAAAGTGATCCAGTCATGAAAGACCTGCGTGCGCTTGTCATGAATGACCAGCTTGAATCCCGGTTTCGGCGGTCGGCCTCGCCACTCCACGCCCAGCTGGAAGTCAGCAAACAGCATGGAGGTCGGCGTCCAATGGAACAGCCCCTTGGAGTACCCTGGCGTGTACGGCAGCAGCACGGGCGTGAACACCAGTCCCGCATTCTGCCGCGTCTGCGAGACTCGGGGCAGAATGCTGCGGATCACGTGTCCCACGCGGTTGATGGGGTACATGGACTGCAGCACGAGCTGGAACATGTCGGGCGGCTGTCCTTTGGGCGGCGGCAGCTGCTTGCGCGGCCCCACGACGTCGTTCTGGATGAGCTTGAGCCGATCCTGCAGCTTGGAGGTCATGACGGGGCTGCCGTTGAGCGCCAGGATGTCGTACAGCAGTAGCGTGAGCACCGACTTGCTGCCGTCCTTGTCGCACACCATGAGGCCGTCCAGGATCGTCCACTGGTGGGGCACGACAGTGTTGCGGTCCACGCCCGGCTGCAGGCGGTCGGGCCGCACGGGGCAGAAGAGCGCCACCTCGCGGATGTCGTAGTTCTGCGAGATGAGGTAGCAGCGGCCCTGCACCAGCAGCGCCAGGTAGCGCACGCCCACCGACTTCTCGCACACGAAGTACGGGTGCTCGCCCACCTGGTGCTCGTTGCCGCGCAGCATGGTCTGCGCCACGTTTATCGGCGCGCGGTCCAGGTCGTTCCAGCCCACGATGGAGTTGATCTGGCGCTGCAGCTGCTTCTTCGTGTTGATGTGCACGGGTTGCCCGAGCTCCACGGGCACGCCCGCGATCGTCTGCGTGCCGGCGACCGCCATGACGGGCCGACTCGAGGAATTAGCAAATGCACCCTGCTGTCACTAACTCCCATATTTACCCCCTAATAGTGACGTACCTCACCTTTTTTGCTTCAAGTTCGTTTCGTTAATTAGTACTAAAAAAAACATACCATGCGCTTGCGACAGTTATGCAAATGAAGAACTTACTATTTTCTTTCATATCGTTTTCTTCTAACTTCCTTTGGCGCTTCACCAGCTGCCACTTCCACTTCCAAAGATGTTGCTGTCCGTGTAAACTGACACGATACCCATGCTACATGTATTTATCACCGTGCCCGTCAATGATGGTGGCAGCCTTGGTCCCGGAGATCTATCACTACCACAGTTCCGCAGAAACCTAGAAAGATCACAGATTTCATCAGCATTGAGGAAATCAAAATCAAGACACGACTCTGAATTTCCAACTTACCACCAGAAACCACGTGAGATGGCGTTGTGCGCGAGACGGCAAGCTCCCGAATTGTGTCTGAGTGACACTCAGTGAGTGTACACTGTTAATGGGGTCTATGATAACGAAGAAAACTGTTAAAAAAACAGTTCAGACAAACCAGGCGCTGACGTTGCTTTACCTGTTCAACCTCGAAGAAGTGTGATAGCGATTGGGCTGCACGATGCAAGGACGAGCTGAATTGACGCCGATCTCAGTCGCAACAAGCGCGAGCTGGACGAAGATACCTTACTGCATACAGGTTAGCGCCTTGGCGGCGGATCAATTTTAGCGCAGCAAAAAACAACGAGACATTCTCAGGGCAGTGGTCACTTAAGTTCACCAGTTCTTCCTCCAACTCGTATCCTACCCGGGACTGCGAGTTTCCCCCGACACAATGATGCTTGTCTACATACATGCAGACTGCTTGCGTACGTCCTCCACCGAGTCCTCTTCGAACGCACTGCCGTCCATACTGTTGGTCCTGTTTTCGCTGTCCTGTGTGCCTATCAGTCCACCGTGTCTACTCCACAATTGCATCTGTGCTGCACCACTTCTCAATGCGAAATGACAACTGTGTCACCAGTTAAATAGATAGCTCAGAAGCCGCGAGCAAATGTCCTGTCGGCGGCGCGGGGGAAGCATAATATCCACGTCCGTGGGATCCACCTCCAGGTCACGAGAGCCCAAGCTCTGGCGCGCCTGCGCGCCAAAGTAGCTAGATACAGGCGTCTCATCGAGCGCGTTCGCGTCCCGGTCGAACGGGTAGCACTTCTTGACGCCGATCATGATGTTGTTCGCGAGCGTGCGTCCGTCGTAGCTTAGCGCCTTCTCGGCCTGTAGTCTCGTGTGGTAGCGCAGGTGCAGCCAGTTGCCGCCGCTGCTGCTCGAATAGTTGACGACCTCGCCGACCGACTGGAACTGGTGCAGGATGAAGGATTTGGCGCTCGACTGGAACCCAAACACGGTGACCCAGTACTGCTTGTCTTGGCCCCACTCGTCACTGTGCGCGTTCGGGTAGTACGAGGCCCTCGCTGCGGCAGCACTGCGTCGTGCAGCCGCTGCCGCCTCGTCGTCGTCCACGCTGTGTGATCCGGCCGCAAAGCCCACGGGGTCCAGCAGCGACATCGTCGGTGGGGGCGGCACGTCCTCGTCCTGAGCGTTGCTGCCGTTAGCGGCGTCCTGAGAGGGGCCACCCTTGCGCCTGCGAGCGCCGAGGCTGTCCTGGTAGCTGCCACCGAAGCTGAACGGGGAATCCTCGGGCACCTCCACGCCCTGCTGCTTGGTGCGGTTCATGGACAGGCTCTCGGCGAAGGTTAGGCGCGGCTTGGCCTTGGAAGACAGCACATCCGTCTCGGATCGGGTGCGGGGGACGCTCTCCTTGGACTTGTCGGCCTTGGGCGTGGACTGAAGCGCCGTGAGGAAAGACGGGAAGTATTCGTCGTCTTGTGCGGTAGCTAGGGGTCGACTGCAACAATGCGAGGGTGAGAATGGGCTGGGCACGGGAGTGAACGCGCCAGGGGCCGATGGGGAGCGGGGCTTACCTTGCGGACGCCATCGTGGACGCGGAGGTTTCGATCGATGCACTCCAAACGTTTCCCGGCAGCGATATAGTGCCACACCACGTTTACATAACGGACACCTATTTCTGAATGCAATACAGTAACTGCCCCGAATAAAAGCCAGTGATTCTTTTTAGAGCAGTCTAGAGTTAGAACCCCCTACCCGATTACAAGACCTGTTCTCTGGATTTTATCCAAATTGTTTGGGCGATACGACTGCAGGTGCAATCATTATAAAAAATCCATGCTCCGCTATCGGTTATAAACGAACGGATCGTTAACGTACCCGTTAACTTTAATAAACGCTTATCCAGCGGCGTGTTGCTTGAGTCTTTTAGGGTCGACATTCGCGTGACACGATCGATCGGATGTCGCTCGACCATGACTCCAAACATAACTACAGTTGTGTTTGCAGTACATGTATGTTCAACGATGTTACATCGGTGTCGCCACGTTCAAGTCATGGAACGACACCCACGAACACCCACGACTTCAATTTAAAGTCGTGGGTGTCGTTGAAGTCTTCAAACGATGCTGGTCTCGTTTCAACCATTCTGCATATACTCGTTTCAACCATTCTGCACGTGCATACGTACCGTTACCGCCGCATTCAAGCCTTGACGTGGCTGCATATTATTGCAAGATAGCTAAGATATAGCGAGTGACCAGTACATGCTCGCGTAAGGGCTTGAGATAGTTGGCAGTGCATGCTTTCATGGTTTCGGAACTTGGTAGCAAACCCGAATAAAGACAAAAGCACCAACTGAACCAAAGAACCTCGGGTAGAACTGCTAGGCACATTTAAGATAAATTAACTTAGAATCAAACCTAGAATCAAAACTACATGATAAAATCCAGAGCTTCTCCGTGCTTTAGCACGGCTTAGTGTAAATTATGTCTGGTACCAACTCCCATGCGGCGCTTGCCTGAGACCATCACAGTGACTGAGCAGACAGCCGTAACCTCATCACGTCCAAGAACTGGAATCTGTCGACGTCTTTATGGCCGGCGCGGGAAGGCGAGACCAATGCGAAACACCCAGGGGCGTTCCCGAAGACGAGGACGAGGAGGACATCGACGACCCAGCCAAGGACGTGGCCGTGGTGCACTCGGACGTCTTCCGCCACAAACTCAACGCCACACTGGCTGCTGAAAGTTCGTCTAGCACCACAGCGACAGCAGCATCCAGCTCCCCACGTAAGAACGCCGTCAACCCCTGAAAAGGTCAAGTTGAAGTGGTCTACCCTGTCACTAAATTTCCGCATAAAACCCCGATATTGTGACCTACAACGCTAAAATTGCTGGGAGTGCGGGCCGAAAAGTTGCAGTTAGGTGGTACCTGCTCGGCTCGATGGACCTGAACACGGCGTCGCCTCTCGAGCTGCAGCAGCTGCCGGGTGTGGGCTGCGTCACCGCGCGGCTGATCGTCGAGTCTCGCCCCTTCTCGTGCGTCGACGACTTGCTGCGCGTGAAAGGCATCGGCCCCGTCAAGTTGGCGGCCATCACTGCCCAGCACCAAGTGTGCGTGGGTGGACGGCCGGTCGACTGCAGTGAATCCAATGCAACCCCCACTAAAGTCGACCTCAACGCTGCGTCCAAGAGGCAACTGCAGCAGCTCAAGGGGGTGGGGCCGGCCTTGGCCAAACGGATCGTCGAGGCGAGGCCGTTCCACCGGAAGGAAGACCTGCTGGCCGTGAAAGGCATCGGGGCAAAGTCTTACGCGAAAATTCAAGCGGGGGCTCAAGTGAAAGTGAATTCCTACGAGGAACACAGTGGGGGAGAAGAGGTTGAAGACGGTGTCGAGTGTGGCCAAGAGGGGGTAAAACGAGACGCAAACTTTCACATTTGTCGGGAGATTGAGAGCGACGTGCGTGGAAATGTGTTTTCAATGTGGAATTGTAACGGGTGTGACAACCGATCGCTCATCGTGGCGAGCTGGAACATCCGCAACATTTCAAGACGCAAGGAGACGGTTCTACTGGAGCGAATTGCGGACGTGCTGGACGAGTTCGATCTCGTGGCGCTGCAGGAAGTGAGGGACTTGATTGTGTTGAAGAGACTCAAAACGATGCTGCCTGGGTGGGACTACGTGGTGTCGGAGCCGGTGGGGCGCAAGACCCCGGGAATGAAGAAGCGTGTTGAGCGCTATGCTTTCTTTTACAGGCGGAGTGCTGTGCATCTTGTTGAGAAGTGCTGGCTATTGGAAGGTGACAAGAATATGTTCAACCGACTACCGTGCGTCGCCACCTTTCGAGCGACGGCAGCGTCGAAATTACCGCAGCTGGAGCTCGCGTTGATGAACGTTCACGTCTCCTTTGGTGAGAAGGAGGACCGCCACGCCGAAATCGTCGAGATCAACCGACTGGCAGCGGAGCTGAGCGAGAACTTTGGCACAGAGAGGAAAGTGGTGGTGCTGGGCGACTTCAACTTGTCGCCGCAGGACGTGCTGGGTAGTCTGGGGTCGCACAAGATGGCCCTGATCCGCTCACCGCTGTCAACCACGGTCTTCGGAAAACTTTACGATAATATTTGGCTCGATCGTGCAGACTTCACCAGTAGCAGCAATAACCCGGGCGAAGAACAAGAGCGCGACTACCTTGTGGATAGCGGCGTCCTCCGCGTGGATTGGCGATACTACCCTCCTTCAAAGAGCAGTCGTCTTTCCGTGCAGAACCCGATGGACGCGATGCTTCCGCGACTGCAAACTTATATGTCTCGCGTTCAGTGCGGGTACGAGCTGTCGGATCATTGTCCCGTGTGGGTTGCGTTCGCATCAACAAGGCGCAGCAAACAGGGACAATGTCTAGAAGCCACTCAGTGAAACAGCTTCCTACGTTTATACTGGCTGAGATTCATAAGCACCATCTACCACCTAGCTACCAACTACCGCTACCTTCATCCAACAACTACAAGACCTTGTTATCTCTGTCCGGGTACTCGCCTGCCGCGATCTCGGAGCGCATCGTGACGGTCGTGTCGGACTTGATGACTTGCGTCATGCAGAATGGACACACGCGCTTGGTCCAGTAGAGCTTGTTGTCCGGGCCAATGTCTGCGATTTTGTGCGATACGCGACAGAACTTGCACACGAAGCTCCCGCACAGCATGCAGTTGTATCCCTTACGGACCGTCGGCGTTTTCTGACAGACCTTCCACTCGTTGAGCTGACACTAGTCGATGCTTGCGAAGAAAATGTTGAAGTGCCCTGCATGTCACTAAGTATACTGCAATCACCCCGCTAAAGTGGCATACATGCCACTAAAAGAGTTCATGAAACCTTGAAATTGTGACCTCCAACATACCAGGCGTCAAAAGTCTCAAAACGTATGACGGACAAGGTCAAGCGCGAGGCCGCGGCGGACACCGCGGCAGACGCGGTCATCCTCATCTCCGACGGTACGTCTGCCTGTCCAAGGAGCCTCATCTGAACCGCCAGACTCTCCTCTCTCTCCTCATACCCTTCAACCCCCACAACGCCTCCTACTTACTTGACAATCCCCTTTCAACCACAGACGAGCATGGCAAACGGAAGGGCTCCACTCGACCTCGTCGCGCCGCCTCAAGCGCGCTCGCCAGCATTCTCAGCGACAGTGACAGCGACACGGACGTGAAGCTGGAGGAGATGCTGGGCTCCGTCTACTCTGATTCCAAGTCTAGCGCCCTTAAGAAGGCGGCCAAGACCACCACCACCACCAACAATAACAACAACACCAAGACGCCGCCACGTCCCGCTAAGGGCAAGAAAATGCGAAGTCGCTCCATCATCGACTACTTCTCCACGCCCGAGAAGACGCCGGACAAAGCGGCCAAGCGCCGTGCGACTTCGAGGCCCTTCTCAGCGCCTAGCACGCCCCCTGTCCGCCGACCGGACGAGCTGAAGCCCATCACGCCGTCATCGACGCTCAAGTCGTCCATGAACGCGTCGCTGGTGTTCGACATGGTGACGTCGCTGAGTACGAACGACCCGGGGGTGGCTATCGCTACTCTCCGGAGCATCGTGGTGCTCGGCAAAGAGTACCCGTCAGATCTGCTCTATGCCGAGCTCATTGATCGCATCCAGAGCCACGACGCCATTGCCTACAGCGACGCAGTGGCCATCTACGCAGCGTTGGTGTTTGTGTTCGACAAGGCGGCTTCGTGTAGCTGCGATTTGACTTTCCCGAACCAGTGGGAGCCGCTGGGAACCGCGTTGCAGGAAGTCAGCGGGAACGGACAAGTCGGAGAGGACGGCCTGCCCAAGAAGGACGAGAGCTGGCGCCGGAACTTGCTGGTCGTGCAGTTCTTTATCTACTGCTTCCAGCAAGATCTCCATGCGTGCCGCTCGCGGTATGAGCGACTGGAAGGGAAGGCGTGGGTGCAGCGAACGCGATTGTTCGCGCTGTTGCAGAGCGACGGCGCTAGCACATCGAGCTCTGCCAAAGCTCGCGCCAAATCGCGCGCCAAGGCCAACAAGATGCGCAACAACAACTTGATCTTTCAAGCGATCGGCTGGGCTCTGCAGCTATGGAAGCGAGTCTATGATGAGGGTGACAAACCCAAGAAGAAAAGCGCCAACGCCGGCGAAGATGGAGGCGCCACGCTTTTCCTGCAGCGAGAAGGCGAGCAAACGTGTCTGGCCGCAGTTCGCCTGATCGAGATGTTATATCTGTGCACGGACCAACAGGTCAATGCGCTGCAGCGGATCCAGGTTGGTCTCGCGGAGCTCGCCCAGCCGACGCGGGTGAAGTTTTCGCAAACGCTGCAATCTCCTGCTTTGAGGACGCAGTTGGCGACCACGATGATCGGGTTGTCCAACAAGTCGCGCAGCAAGGAGACGGAGTGGTATGAGTGCAACGCTCTTGGTCGTGTGCAGCTTGCTATGAACCCAGGTATGTGGATATGGATTGCGATATGACGTGCTTGTATTGCTTCTACTGACACTATTATTTTTTTTATTTTGCAGACACAACGAGTGATGTTGCGCACACGGACGGCTACTCCTGGTCACACTTCGACAGCTTCACCAACCTAAAGCCGCAGAGTAATCTCACCAAGCTGCTCCAAGAAATCTCGCGCATGCAGCACCACTAGATTTCCCTGCGATAATGTAAATGAATTCCCTTTATGCTTGCGGGGTGCCTTCAATTTCCGAGTTTCTGTACCCTATAGCAATGACCTGGATATGCCCATTTACACTCGATAGTCGTAGAAGTAAAACACTACTATACATACATGGAGATTCAACGGTGTGGTGTAAATGTATTGCTTCTGTAACATTCATCAACCGACGCACTGCTTTTCGCACGTGCATCGTTTTACCAGGCGTCAACTCCACTCCCATTGAATGCCGTCGATGGCACGAAGATGTCGTTCTCCTTGTACACTGACACGATACCCATACTACCACAATACATGTCAGCACTGTAGTTCTAGCTTTAAAACTCAGTACGACTTGGTACGTACTTGTCAGAGACTGCTAGGTGGGCGCCACTTTCGAACGAGAAGTCACCGCTGGTTTTGTAGGAACTCGCCGCAATCTGGGTCGGTTGCTGCCGCCTACATATCATAAGTCACCATGACCGCGTCAGTATTGGTACTGTACAATACTTCAAGTACCAGAATATCAGAAGATGGCCACTACGCACAGCGTGAGGTGGCTCATACTGCCGTCGTTCAGTCCTGCAGTTGAAAACCTGGCAACGCAACGACAAAACATTACTCTCTCATACCAACAAAATAGGTTAAAAGGATAGCTCGTACCCGCTGCGACCAAACATCGCAAGCTTGGTGCCCGAGCGTCTGATCTCACCGACCGCCGTCAGCTTCGACTCTACAAGTGAAGTGCAAGCCGACTGTCGAGGCTGGCGGAGGTCCAACATGGCGACGTATCCGCTCTCGAATCCCAGAGCGACAGTGAGGTTGCTCAGGTATTCATGTGCAAATAGCCCGCCTAGTTTATCGACCTTCTGCAGAGTATGTAGATCGTTAGCAATGTTCATCTAATGTGTAAGGTGGACAGACGCTTACCAGATACGCGTACAGCGGGATTTGGAGCTGAGGCGACGGTACACGTGAATCTGCGACTTGAAAATCACCCCCGTCCGTGGTCCAGCTCACTTGCGATGCACCCACAGGCGACCACCGGACGCTACTAACCACATCTCGTGCGTCGTACTTTGCAACAATCGTTGAAGCTGTCGGGTCTCCGGTATCTCGGAGGTCCGTGATGACTACAGTCTCGTCAAACCCTGGTTGGAGAAAGCCAGCAAAATCCATTAATACAAAGGTATCTTGAACAGTATGTCCTCAACTTACCACCAGAAAGCACGTATGAGTTAGTAGTGGTTGAGACGGCCAAATCTCGAATAGCATCGGAGTGGACACTACTGATCGGGGCTGTAACACGAGGTACAAATGCTCTAAGATCAATTGCTAGCTCGAACAAACTCTAGATTGAGAGCGCTTTTTCGTTCGTACCTTGCATCCTCAGGGGCCCAAGCTGCATCAGCTGGATATCGTATCCGACAGCAGCAACAGCGACGTCTGAACTGATCCATTGCAGGTCACGAACCTCCTGAAGGAAGCCAAATATTTCGGCAATGTTAGAATCTGAAGAGCAAACAAAACCTTGAAGCATACAGCACCTGTTCTACTTGTATTTGCGTCACCGGATCGTTCGAGCTCAGAAAATTTGTCGTGAAGATACGATTCCTTTCCCCCGTGCCCACGAGCTCCGTGCCCACGAGCTCCGTGCCCACGATAAGAGCCCCATCCTCACGGGAGATCGGCTTCGACAGCGCTACAGACACAACAAGAGTGGATAGAAAAGATCAGCGAGTAAATAAACGCCAAAAGGGTGAAGACGACTGAGGCAGGAGTTCGTACGGAAAGGCGTTCCATCCAGACGTGTGTCGACGGTGACGTAGTAGCTTGGAGATGGCACCATCACACTGCCCATGAGACTAGAGGTGTCGATGGCGGGCTGATAGTTCACCTCCTCCTGGCTGTACTGAGGGTCTATGTAGCTCTCAAGATCCGGGTGGGAGTCGGCGATGATGTCCCAAAAGCTGGCCTCGCTGTCTGCGTCACCTCCCGTGGGTGCATTGGCCTCAACTTTCGCGTCAGCAGGGGCGGTCGATGTCGCCGGTTCAGCCAGCGATGGCGGCGAAGCAGGCGGAGACGAGGAGGACTTTGATGAGGCTGACATGACAATGCAGAAATGAAGATCCTGTGGGCTTTTTCGTTTCTGGCGCCGGAGTCAACCCCGTCATTCTGTCCTCTGTCTATTACTACCCTACTACTGATGGAACCCGTCCATTACGTAAGCTTTGTACGAAGCCATTGCCAATTTAGTAGACACATTTCGCAATACTTACTCAGCAAGCTGAGAACTACATGTAGTGTCAAGAGCGTACATGTCCCCTTCAGCAGCGTGGTCCTTAACGCGGTCCGTGCATCAAGATCATGACACTCACAAACTTCACTTCAACATCAACTTTACCCTGTCACTAAAGCCTCTCCTACAATTTTCCCCACTCCAGTGACCACTTGACGCAATTCACAACCTGATATTCCTGCCAAGTATGGCGTGGGGGACTGCAGCGCCCGCGGCGGCGCCAGCGCCCATGACGGCCAACAACGCTCTCTTCCTGATCCGTAAGCTGCCTCCCGCGTCTCCACCGCCCCCTCTCCCTCTCTAGCCAACGTTACAGCCCTCTAAACTCCTCTACCTTCTGTTGCATTGCAGTGCTGGGCATGTTCCTCATGGCTACACTGCTACCCGTGCTGGTCGCGACGCTGCTCCGCCTGCTGGCGCTGGTCGTGGCCGTGCTGCTCCTCGCCGCAGCCACGAACCCGTCGGACCACTCGTTCGCGCTGTGGCTCAGCCAACAGAACGAGCCGGCGGACCTCGTGCCGGACGCGTCCCTGGGCGTGTCCAAGTGGTTCTCGGCCATGTACCAGACGGCAAAGGCGCTGGTGCGCAACGAACCACTCGTCTGGCGCTTCCACAACGTGCTGGCCTTCAGCGTCGTCTTCATGCCGTCGAGGGAGCGCTACGCCTTTGGGATTTTTGGCACGTGGCGCTGGGCCGACGAGGCCGGGGACTACGTCAAGGCGCTGTGTCGCGCCCCGTGGGTGAATAAAGTCTCGAGGGGTGGAGTCATGAGCAGCATTGAGAAGTATATGGTAAGGGGGGCGACGTCCGCGTCGGCGAGAGACGACGGAGCTGTGAGACGCAGGAGAACAGCAGGAGCGACCACGGGGTTTAATGATTCAGAGGTGAACGAGGTGGAGACCGAGTCCCACCGACAGATCAGAGCCAAGGCCTTGCAGTGCAAAGTGCGGAAGGACTGGAAGCACGCAGCGGAGTTTTTCCTGGAGGCGGCGAAAGCGACGGGGGCGCTGCTGCTGAGAGCCAACTACGAGCTGGAGGCCGCCTGGTGCACGCTGGAGGAGGTCGACACGTACCCGAAGACGCAGAGCGAGTTGGTGCGTAAGATTCGGGGAGTGTGTGACGAGTTGGCATCGGCCGGGTACTTTGACGAGGCGTCGCGCGGGTTGGCGGAGCTGGCCCTGAGGCTCAAGCGCAGGTTCCCGACCGATTGCAAGACCGAGGAGCTGGCAAAGCAGGTGGCGGAGCTCTACGTGCAGGCCAAGAATGTCGCGGAAGCCGGCGGCAGTGTACACAGTGCTGTAGAGAATGGACTGTGGGCGGCCAGTGTGTACGCGGAAGCTGGCTTGTGGGCATCCGCGGAAGGGTGCTTTGAGGCTGTTGGGGACATCCGACGTGTAAACACCCAGTACGACCTTGCAAATGAAGCGTACGGCAATGCTGTCCTCTGTCGCCTTGGTCAGCTGGACATTGCTGGCGCCGAGCACATGCTCAACCGATTCACGGAGCACATGGGCGAGAGTCACCGCCCTAGTGAGATGGATTTCTTCCTCTCAAGTTTACTCAAGGCGTGCAACAAGTGGTCGCCACAGATTCTCGAGACTGCCTCAAAGCGTTACGACTCGTCGCACCGACTGACACCGTGGCAGGTAAGACCGCTATATCCCTTGTTTGTTTCGGGTTCCGATGACCAACTGGTATCGAATTGCAGCGTAAATGCCTTGCAAATTTGCAGGAGAAGATGAATAATGCCGACTTGCGATGAATTTGCAGGCGCGGTGGCGGGCTGTACTCAAGTACGCTAGACAAATGCACACAAAAATTAGATGAATAATTCGCCTCGTCACTTCACATGCCACTGCTTGCGTCTGATCTGCCAGTGTTGTAGCCGCCTGACTGGACTGTCGTGTTCGTGTATGAATGCTTGCATTTAGGTGACTCTTGGTGGCTCGAAAACGGCAGGAAACGCTCCATTAGCTCAATAATGCCTTTAGTAGCCTTCCAGGTGCTCATTGCCGGCAATGGACCCCGTGCTCAAGCGGCGCCCCCTGCTGTTCGACGTCCGGCCAGCCCAACAGCGACCGCCGCTGGGGGTGATCACCCAAGAGGAGAGTGAGAAACTACAACGCAAGCATCGGAGACTTCACCCGTTGGAAGATGACGACTATGAGTACGAACGTGGGGTCGAAGACAGTGAAAGCCAGAGTGGTGAGCCTGTTCTGCCTGCTGGAGCTCTCCCCGCCGTATTCAGCCCGCGCCCAGTTAAAAGACCGTACGTCCCGACGCCATCGGATACGCCCAAGTATTTCAGATGGAAACCGCAGTCGATGGCCCCGCTGAAGTCTCCTCCCGTGTACGCGCAGAGCAAGCCTGCCGCGCCTCCCCCGATCGTGCCTTCTCCAAGTGCTCAGCGACGGCAAAACAGTTGGAAGGCTGCGGTTGATACACGAGCGCCAGAGCTGCTCGGAGATGACGATGCGATCTCCACGCCACCATCAAGTCGAGGTGGAACGCGTGATAATGGATTCGCTTCTGACGACGCAGCGAATGAGTCGCGGGTAGCTCCGTGGAATGAAGAAAACGCTCCAGCCCCAGCTACTCCTGAGAACAACCACTACCTCTTCGATGGCCCAGTTACGTCGCGGTCGGGACTTACAACCCCAGCCACCTCCACAAAGCCGCCAACTCCAGCAGTACCGTCAAAGCCGCCAACTCCTGCGACCCAAACCCAGGATCATTCGCATTTATCGACACCGGTCCGTCCCTCAAGCGCGTCCACTTCCAGTAAAGCGGGCAGCAATCCAGTGAACGTTGAACCTTCGTCGGTGGGGATACTACCGACGGCGACAAGTTTACACGTTGCCGGAACCAGCTTGAGAGGGGCTGTGTTGGATTCCCATCCTCCATTATCAGAGCCTGTTCCGGGGACACCTCCGATCCGCCTTCAGCCGCTCTCACCCCCTTCCTCTGCACCTGGAAAAACTGACGAGCGAAGTGAACAAGGAGCGTATCCGCCTTCGCATTCAACCGACTCAAATTCATTGTCGAGTGGATTCGAAGTTCCCATCGTGGAAGAAGTCCAGACATTTGAGATCGAACCAAAACCAGCGAAGCCAGAGCCAAGCGATGATTGTCTATCCCTTGCAACCCCGATCGTGATCCGCAAACCTGGGGACAAACAGCCAGCAGTGTTCACGCAACATGTCTTCCGTGGTGTTATCCTCCGCAAGTACTTGCACGTGAGCAACATCGCCCGAAAGCTTCGAGAGACCGAGCAGCACGTCCTTCGAGTGTCCGCCATGGCTCCAGCAGGTACCAGCAGCTTCGGAAAACTCTCAATACCAGCGATCGGTACAAACAGCAGCGTAAGATCTCGGAAGTCCTCGCTGGAGCGCGTTATTGACAGCGTGACCGAGGAAGTGGCGGGGTCAGCTGGGGGGCCAACGACTATTCTCCACCGACTAGCGTCCGTGGATAAGGCGATTACGCAAACGGCCCATCGGATGCGGTTGATGTCCAGCGCAAGTATCCCAACGCTTAACGCTCAAAACTTGGGTAAAGGTCCATCGCTGAGGACTATTGGAGAAGGGAAGCAACTTGCTGCCCCCGCGCAGGGACTCGCTCCTCCAAAGGAAAAACTGCAGCGGCGACGGCCGTCAGACGTGTCGAGTATTAGTGAAGACGAGGTGGGGGCCATCCCCGTGCGGGTCAAGCTGGATCCAACATCGGCGCACATGATGCGGATCTGTCGCCACGTCATCGCAAAACGAGCCATGAAGTCGTTCTTGCGTCAAGAGATGTCGGTGATTGCCCAGACTGAGGTGCTGCTGCGCGATGACGCAGCCTTGCAACGCCGGCCTGGGTCATCAAGTATTAGTCGTGGGTCCGATCGACCAAACTCCAGATCCGCGACGGTAGATAACCGAATCCCGATCAAGTCTATGGCGTCCGACCTTGTGGAGAGCTTGGCCGCTTACCTTAAGGAGGGAGACCAGCACATGACGGTTGACGAGTTGTTCCTGAAAGCTTTACTGTCAGAAGCAGAGAAGGACTGGAAGCGCGCGATCCTGTTGGCCTCAGCGTGCGTGATCATCGATCGCGAGTTCATTCTGGCTGCGCTGCTTCGAGCGCGTTGCTGTCGCCGACTTGGGCTTTGGACTCAAGCGATCAAGGATTTGAGCCACGCCCTGCTGTTGCGTCCGGAAGACCAGCGTCTCTTCCTGCTGAGAGCGTGTCTACACAGCAAAATAGGCGACGCCGAGAACGCGCTGGCTGATGTGAATCGTGCGTTGATGCTGCATCCGCAGTACACGGAGGCGCTGTTGCTACGGGCGGAGATTTTCCATCGAGGGCGTTCGATTGGTGCGGCGTTGCAAGACTTGACGTCCGTGCTGGCTTTGGATCGGGGTTGCTGGCGAGCTTACTATGATCGTGCAACGCTAAGATTACGCGCCATTGAAGGGGAAGAGCAAAACCTTGTCTACCATTCGGAGCACCTACGCTACGAGGAGCTCCTGGCCTCTATCATCCAAGACTACGTGAACGCACTTCACAAAGGCTGCACATTGGTTGAAGTCGTGGAGACCGTCGGCGATCTCACGGTTCGTCTTCTCGAGTTCACGGGGGACGCGACTGTGCTACGACAAGTTATCCAAAATCTCACGCGGTTACTTCACTTACTCGTGCTTGACCCAAGCGGTGGACTCGGCATGCCACGAACTCCACAGACTCCGAGTAACAGCAGCGGCTTAGGTGGAGCGTCCTCCTCTGGGAACGGAGAGTATCGCTCACTATCTACGGGGGACCGTGAACTATTGGTGGCTGCTATCCACGCTCAGCGAGGACGACTGTACGTGCTCTCGAAGGACAAAGTCAACGCAATGGAGGACTTTGATCACGCCGTGGTGATGGAGTATCATTACCCTGTTGCCCACTTCTATCGAGGCGCCTTCGCGACGCTGCTGCTTTCCAAGGACTCTACTGGAACAGGTAAAGACGCGGAGACAGCAGCTGCTCACCACGCCAACAACATGCAACACTTATCTCGTTGTCTTTCCCTGGATCCGACGATCGCTGGTGCGTACACAGTCCGTGGTGCATTGCATTTACGAGATCTGCGCTTCAACAACGCGTTGCAAGACTTCAAGGCGGCAGTTGCAACAGACCCGACACTTTCCGAGGTGTGGCTGCAAATCGCCTTGGTCTACCTGAACAACTACCACGACTGCGAAGAAGCCGTGAAGGCGTGTACGAGCGCGTTGGCGAACGACGCCAGTCTGTCCCGTGCCATCTACGTGCGGGGTGAGGCGTACACGCGGCAAGGTAACACGACTGCCGCTCTGCAAGACTACACGCGTCTTACAAGATTCCAGCCTACTGATCGCTGGGCACACCTGCTACGAGGACGGCTCCTGCTGAAGCTCAAGATGGCGCGCCCAGCACTGTACAGCTTCATTTGCTTCGTCGAGCAGGTTATGAAAGACCCTCCGTCAAGCCGTCAAGGAGAGAGACCTCCTGTGGACACTAAAGGAAGCAAGGATAGCAAGCCCAAAGCTGACAGTAAGGGGGCTTTACTGCTCTGTGGACGAGCGTATCAGCTCCTCTCGCGCTTCCAGAGCGCAGTGCATGCGTTCGAGCAGGCCGTTGCTGAGAGTCCTACGAGCGAGAACCTTGTGTTGCTATCCGAGTCTCTGCACTCGCTGGGAGACACTGAAAACTCGCTGCGCGTGAGCGACAAAGTGGTGAATACGGACCCTTCCAGCTTCCGCGGATACGCGCGTCGCGCGCAACTGCTCGTGTCCGTGGGGGAACTCGCCAACGCTATGTCCGAGTACGACAGAGCTATCGCACTAGCACCAAAGGAGGGGCGTGTGTACTACGAGCGTGGCGTCGTGCAGATGCAGATGTATATGCGGTGGCGCGTTGCGTTCCAGCTCAACTTCGCTTCGAGCACTGTCGGAGTACCCAATGCAGTGCAGAATATGTCACGCTCGCAGTTCGCCCCTCAACTCACAGCGCGTGAAGTGGAAAGACACCTGGGAGCAGACGCCATGAAAGACGAAGCGCTGGTACGCAAGATGATGAAGCAGTTCTTTGTGGGCAGCATCACCGACCTGTCCAGATGCATCCGCTTGGAGCCTCTCCTTGCGGACGCGTATGTGGATCGTGCCGAGTTGAATGCACTGGGCGAGGAGTACGACCGTGCTTTCCGCGATCTGGAGACTGCGACCGAGCGCCAGCCAAAATACGCCCGCGCTCACGTGAGTTTGGGCGTGCTCAAGTGCCAATTCGCTGCATACGCCGCAGCTATTGAGGACTTCGACAAAGCCATCAAGCTCGAAGCAGCAACAAGCGCAGAGACGCGCGCGTATGCATATTTCAATCGCGGTGTGGCCTACCAGAAGCTCGAGCTCTGGTCTCAAGCTGAGAGATCGTACAGTCAATGTATCTCGCTATTTGGTCGAGGTCGCGATGTCGCGGCACACCGAAACCGAGCGATCGTGCGCTGCCACTTGGGGAGCTTTGATAACGCGCTGGAGGATCTGGAAGAGGTTCAACAGAGCGCCCCGGACGATGATGAAGTGCATGGAGCCTTAGGGTTCGCTCTACTGCAGCTGAATCGATACGAAGACGCTGCCAAACACTTCGCCGCCTATGGACGACTGGGTCGTGACACGTACGTTGATAGCGGGAACGCTTACTTCAATTTGGCCACAAAGAGCGAGACGCACCTCGAACAAACTCAACACGCTGCGTACCTTGAACGCGCTCGACGATTTTACTTGCGAGCTGCGCGACTGCAGCCATCGAATGTGGACGTTCGACTCAACTTGGCCAATTGTCTGCGCAAGGAGAACTCACTGCGAGCGGCGATTGCTCAGTGCGATGCCATCTCTCGCGACCAGCCGCTCAACCACACGTGCTTGGAGAGCAAGGCGCTAGCTCTGTTCGTGCTGCCTGGGAGAGGAATGGACGCTGTCGCTTGCATGGATGCCGCGGTGCGTACATGTGTGGCTTCCTCCGCCAACCTGGAAAATATTTTTTACGCGTTCTCGAGTGGAACCATTCACCGCAACGCATTGGAGCGCAAAACCGTTAGACGGAATGGAGCCCGTCGGCTATCGAGGGGAATGGCACTAGCCCCGACCTCACCGACCGATGGGAGCAACGCCACGAGTGCAGCGGCCACTCTTCTGGCGCAAATGGAGACGCCAGCCCCCAAGGTGCATCTCACAGGCTCACACGAGCAGACGCTCGCTCTGTACATGCTCAACCGAGGAATTATGCTGGAGAAGATGGGGAACTTGGCGCGTGCTCGACAGGACTACAGCGATGCGTTGCACTTTGACCCGCTATCGGTTCACGTCCACGTGTGTTTAGGCACTCTCAGCCTTCGCGAGGGCAACTTCGAGCAAGGAGCAGCCGAGTTTCACCGTGCACTTGAACTGGACCCGTCGTCTGGAGTCGCGCATCTGAATCTGGGGGTGGTTCGTCTGAGTCGCAACGAGTTGCAGCCCGCTCTCGTCCACTTCGACGCTGCCATCGCACTCCTCCCTCGCTGCAGTTACGCGTATGCAAACAAGGCGGTGGCATTGACTCGCAGTGGGGACACGCAGGAGGCCGAGCTGTTCTTCAAAAAGGCGATCGATGAACTCCCGTCTCGGAAGGAATTTTATCTGGCACGCGGCAAAATCGTTGCCTTACAAAAGCGCGTACACGACGCAATGGTCGACTTCTCGACCGCGCTATTTCTCGGATACGACGGCAAACTCTAGTTGCCACTTTTCCTCGTTTTCAAACAACACTTATCAACTAACCTATGTGTCGCTAAGCTAATCACGAAGTTCCAACTCAACTTCACCATTTTTCAGCACTTCCCACTGCCGGCACAACACGATTTCCAGGCACGAACTCTTCGTCTGGAGAGGGGGATCGAATCTGCCACTGGTCTTCACCGTAGCTGGGGTCGAAGCACGTTTGGCTCGGATCGATCGGCAACATCGAATTGCCCACGATTTCTTCCAGAGCTTCACTCTCATCCTTCGTCTCGTCCGAACATTTGCAACTCGAAGGTTGCATGGCAGACACTGGAAAGATTCTGATTTGGACACCCACACTGCCACTCGGTGGGGACGACGGGGGACTCTCGTCCTCTGTTTCCGTCTCCTCCCCGTTGTTGAGTCCCCAATTGCGACAGCGGACGATGCCCACGCCGAACCTCGCTCGGTTCACGGTGACAGCTCGTCTCCGGCTCAGTGGGGGCCGCGGTGGGGGTCTTCGACGCACTGGGAGTGAGGGGCGAGGTGTTAACGCCTCGGCCTCCTCTTCAGCTTCAACCTCGGACACTTCTTCTTGTTGTGGATCAACTTTTGTCACGATCTTCGGAGGAGGTGCAAGTGAAAGGATTGGCAAACCACTTGCTTTTGCCTCTTTGGCACAAACTTGTTGCACTTGCACCACCACCGAAGCGTTGGACACGTCGGTTGGACTGCTGAGGAGGACCGTGCCTGGCGATTTTTGTTGCTTGTTGCCGTCTTGTGTCTTGGTTAGAGAATTGCCGGCACCCTGTCGCTTTAACACTTGCTTATCCCGGGAGGTGCTAACCTTGCGGCGACGCACTGGGGTCTGCGGCTGTGAGTCGCAGTCGATGCGACGCTTGCGCCCCACGAACGGAGAGGTCGGAGCGGGGAGCGACTGCGACGCCATGCTGCTGCCTGGAGCTGCGCGCTCTTCGGGTCGGCTTGGGGAGTGGCAGGAGTCAGTTTGCCACCTAAATGGGCAGTTAGGCAGAGAACGCGACGATGCGTACTTGACTTCGAAGGCACTGCGAGTGATGAGACTTCAATTTTGAGCACCTGGCCATACATTTTTCAAGTCAAACAAATTGAGCAAAGCTGTATGTGTACCGTATAAACGGTACGTAATAATAATTATTGCATACTGAGCACGTCTTCAACTAGTAGCCTTGACTGGCAACCTCCAGTCAAGGTCTTCGACTAATGGCGTGGTGGTGCAGATCTGCACCTGCACCCAGGAAATTCGCGCTCTAGAGAGAGAGAGAGAGAGCATAACCACCTTTAGTGGATCGTGGTATGCTGATTCGAGGGCGCGATGAAAACTACAGTACAATCAAGGCGCAAGGGCTTCGTGTTGAACAGAGGGTACCGCGTTAAGTACCAAGTCGCAGCACGCACGATACTCATTACTGATCTACGATAGCAAGCCACCTGAAGTATGGGCTTGCACACTGCTGGCGAGTTGGCAGGACCTTACTTAAAGCTTGAGGTAGATCACAGATCACTCAGGTGCTGATTGTGGAGATTGCCAATCTCAGATTGGTGGTTATGTGAGGCATAGGTAACGCATTTCATGTTGACTGGATAGACTACGAGTCAGAGAGATTACGGGTACAGTACTGTACTGTACCGTAGCCGTTATGGTTGCACACTGTATTTTACAGTGGCCGATCGTGCGTTGTTTGAGCTGCAAAGTGCAGCGCGCAAGGTACATGTAGAGGATCGTCTTTGAGTTGGCACGACTTTCCAAAGTTGACTCAACATGCTGACAGCCTGTCGCTGGCATGTAGCTTGCGGCTCAAGGACTGCGAAGGCAGGAAACATTAGTATCTTCCTGTACTATGTAATAGGGGTGCATCACGGTTAGATATGTTTGCCGTAGGGTTTCTCGACCAATCAGATCGCTTCAAATGTATTGTCTTTTTTGCTGTGGCCCGTCTCTCTCTCTCGGTAAAAAGAGGGAAGTTTGAGTTGGGCACAAACAATTCAGTTGATTAGCTGATTAAATGGGCGAAGGTTTGATTCGATTCGCCAAAACAAATCTGTCGAATAGGAGCATCGTGACAACCCCTATTTATATTTTAATACTTTTTAAGAAGTTGGAGGGCCTGTCAGCAGCCATGCATTGGCCCAGTACATGATCCCCAGCACATCCACCCTCTTATGCATAATTGCCGTGTGTGTAGGTGCTTGTAGATAAAAACGGACAGAATTGTGGCGCTTTTAGCGTAATTCTAGGCCTCCACCCATTTATGCACCTCGATTTATCGTAAATCTAGCAGGTGGTCGCTATAAATACAGCAAATCTCGCCAAAATCATTGCAAAGCACAATATATTATAATACTACAATAATACACATCGTTGCTTTATCTTTCATGCTTGTTTGCCTGAGGACAAAGAGCTCTGTGCAGACCCCACACACGCATGTGTCCGTATTTGCCCATCTAGCATGATTGGCCTGAGTAACGCTCGGACGAACCGAATCAGTTATTTTATTAATAAACTTACAGTTTAGCAATGCATGTAATGTAAAATTCAATGAGCAAAAGGGCTCGCACTCGCTAACCTTCGAATTCAGGTGGGGTGTCGTGCTACCTATACTCAGCGCATACAGTACAGTCAGGGCCGATGGCATGCTGTTCGTGTCGATGCACTGTTCGAAGTTCGTCAGTTCGCGACTCGCATCATTGTTGAACCAGCGGGTCCTGAGGATTTGCGCGTGCAAACCTGTCCGCCGTTATCGCAGTATTCTACGCGGAATGTGCCTAAAAGCAAGCTGCACACGTACAGACAACGACTTACAAAGCCGGCATGCTTACAGTAATGCCATCCTCCTACTGTATATAAAAACAACGATAAATTCCCTCACGTCAAATCTGTAAAACTGTTATAAAACACACGGTGTGTTGCATAAAGTACACAATAAAGCATATAAAGTACACAAAACCAGATGGTATACAAAGATGAAGTCATTTGATTGAATCTGATTGGCTGGTTTGCTCATGTTAAGCTTTGCTTGACTTCGTCTGCCGGCTTTTTGTGTCTACCGGCTTTGTTAAGTCGTTGTCTGTACACTGTACTGTAGAAGCATTGCTGAAGGCCGATCCCGCACTGCTTCCTTGCGATATTGTGCACCGACGTTACAGCAGTTGTACGCAAACCGGCGACCTTGGTTCGGCTTTTAATCTGTCCAACCTCGTCACCATTCTCTCTTTCTCCACCATGGCAGCTCGCGGAACCTCACGGATTTTCACGCGCCGACTACTGATCGCTGCGGCCGTTGCGCTGGTTGCTTGCAGCTCCATCACGTCGGCTGCGAAATGCACCATAAAGAAGCGGCCAACCACGTACGCTCCATCAGCCACAACTGCGCCGGGCGTCTCGTTCGACTTCCCTGACACCGACACGCCAACAGTGACGGACTCGCCCGAGCAGCAAACGCCGGACTCCCCTGTCCAAACGACAACAGACGCCCCGGAAAACCCCACGACGGGGTCTTCGGAGGAGTCGAGCAATGGCGGCACCACTGGTTCGATGCCGAAGGCTCAAGACTCGACCGAGGGCTCAAGTGGCGAAACAACCGGCTCGCTCCCGACGCAAGCCTCCACGGAGGGGTCCATCGCCCAAGCCCCGTCGACGGGCAACTCCAGCGGCGCCCACGCCACCTTTGGCGACGTCACGTCCGGCAGTGGCAAGTGCGTCGTTGGCAACCCGAACGCCTACATCTCGACCAAGGACGTGGACTGGGTCTGGACGCAGCGCATGAGCAAGTACGTGCCGGAGTTCAAGAACTACATCTTCGACCAGCTCGTGACCAACAAGGGCAAGCTGTCGTACTGCGTCCGCTGGGACAGCACGAACAAGCTGTCCAAGTCGGTGGCGTCCAAGTTCGAGGCCATGCTAAACCGGCAGTTCAAGGCCTGGAACGAGTGGCTCATCGGATACGACTGCTGGCCGTTCGAGCAGATTGACGTGAAGATCGTGGGCTGGGCGACGCGCGATGCCTCGCTCTTCGACTGGAGCGACGACTCGCTCGGCACCATCTACTCGAGCGAGAAGGACGCGGACGGCGTGCCGCAGTGCCCCGAGGCCTGCTACAAGCACAAGGACTTCGCTGCCAGCGCCGACACGAGCGGCTGCAAGGGCAAGCCGTTCGACATGTCGCTGTGGCCTACGCTGGGCCAGGGTGGCGGCGCCGGTGGCGACTGGGGGCAGCGCGTGGACGCGGAGAACATGTTGGCGAGCCTGGACCAGGAGCAGTTGACGATCGTGGCGCACGAAATCGGCCATGGCTTCGGCCTCCCCGACTTCTACGAGACGACAGACCAGCCGAACGAGGACTTCCCGGTCTGCGTCATGAAGGCCGGCTCTTCGCGGACGGTCACCCCAGGCGATGGCTGGATGCTGAGGCGTGTGCTGGAGCACATCAAGTCCCGCTACAAATTCTAGTGGTGATGGTGAAGACTCTATCATCGGTTAGTTCCGTTTTGATGTAAAGCAAAGAAGGAATTGCGTCGTTGTGAATACCGTACAAGTATTGTAAATTCCGGCCAAATTTGGACTTTTGGCGGTTCTTCCAATCGACTCCCACCACAAAACGCCTATGAAACGCCGACATACCTTATCATTCCGTATAAGTCCGGATTCAGCACCTAAAATAGCCTAGCATAGTACCGAGAACAAACCAAACCAAACCAAACCTCGGCCAGTTCAAACCAAACCAAAATTACCGGCAAACCAGGTTTGAATCGGTTTCATGGTTTGAACACGTTTCATTTTGTAACTCCAAACCAAGCATGCCGTTTTTGCGAACCAGCGCACCGCGGCTGCACATTCGCAGGCAGTGCGGCTTTTACAGAATGGATCGCGGTTAGAATCACTTCACTGTTATTGTGCTCTTCGGCAAGGCCACGACAACAATTATCGCGATTGAGAAACCGCTTCGATCAGTGCGACCACGGGAACGCCCAAAGATAAAGTAGTTGCAAGCAAGCTTACTGTTAGCTTGAGCCAGTCTCCGGCTCATGATAATATGGGCATTTGCCCTCAAACTTTCTTTTGCGGTAAAAAAATATATACACAGGCAGACACGACGTCAGAGAGTATATAAATCCAGATATTCAACAAGTTTACTCGATAAATCAAGGGGGATCTACACGCAAAATTTGCCCGTTTATTAAGATGCCACGGGCCCAATCAAACCTTCGAACGGTCCCCTTATTCCAACTTGGAGCTCCGGAATCCAGGACGAAGGAGCGAATGGAGGATTTAGTTAGGTCGTTCGAGCGCTGGACGGGAATATGTGTTTACAGGTAGGCAAGATCGCATCAAAGCACTAGCCGTGACCAGTGGAAATGGCGAATTTCATGCGAAGTCTCTCAAGAAAGATCAAAAGAGGCTGATGTTCGTCTGCGTGAACAATTTAGCCTGCCGCGAGCTTCGATGCGAAGACGCGTGACCGCAAGCGTTGCGGTCCTCATCCGCAGCATGTTCCGCATCCGTCGCGACATCGAAGGAGTAGGTGCAGGAGGGATGATAATGACGCGACAGTGTTTAGCATCTTAAATAAGTGAGCCTAAGTAGTCTACCCGAAGAGATTAAGCGACTTTGTGTGTGACATGCACTCGATTAGAACCGAGTATGGTCGTAAATACTGAGTGACTTCGGAAATATCAAATCTCCGTTGCTTTGTTGCTTTCCCCACCATTTCATTTTGCAACGAACCAAATCACTGAGTGGGCACAAATACAACAACGAATTTCGCAATAGATCACCTACTCGGTTTGAGTTCTCATGAAAGCGGCATGGGGGCAACCGTCGTCCTTTTGCGTGGGCTGAGGATCAAAACTAGCAATAGCTGTCTATGATGCTGCCTCCCCTGGCGCTTGGCACGTGCAACAAGAATTTCCAGCTTCAAATTACACGAAAAATTTAGTTCACGGGAGTCACCAAGTTACATGATTTACTTTTAACTTGATGAGTCATCAAGTCATCAATGATGACCACAAGAAGTAAATGGATTTAATAATGAGATCCCTAAGTTAGGGATTAGGGACCCTAACAACAGTGCAGCTCCGCCAATTTTGAAATGTTCTGTAAATCTGAAAAAAAAACTAGACGCGTTGTTTGCATACGCTTGGTCTGTTGAGTATCCAATTGTTGCTTAGCAGCGGTAATTCGCTACTTTAGAACAGTGTTAACAACGCTGAATGCCCGGAAAGTTGATCGTGTCTTAAAGATAGTCTCTAGTCTCCCACGCCATCTAATATTATGCGGGCTAGTCGTAGCTCACTTCGAGCAACTTCAAAATCTGTGCCAAACTCTTGTGCATCTTAGGGTGCTCATTAATTGTGGCTCGTACATCAATTCTTAACGGCATACTTGGGTATTCTACAGCCCGAGAATTTATTTCAACAAATGCGGACCTTTACGAAAGTGTGCGATATCTTTGTATAGCCTTTTGTAGCCAATGAGCGCCACAGTAACTCCAAACCTGTAACGCCACATAACTCCGAACCCCCGCTCGTGGTTTGAAAGCTGGAAGGATCTGACCACAAACCAGCGAATGCGGTAATTTTGGCTCGGAAATCTGGGTAGTTTACGAGCAAACCAATTTCTTGCACGTTTCATGGTTTGGTTTGTTCAAGGTGTGACCGGGGCGATTCGGGGGCGGTTGATTGAACCAATCGACCACTCCAATTTTGAGTAGAACCCACAATATGTTTTGCAAAAACCATTTGGTTCGATTTCGATCGCAAAAATCTTCGCGAAAAATATATGTTTTCAGAAATTTACGCGAAATATATTTTGATAATACTAGGGGCTGGGATAGGAGGATTTTGGTATAATACTGTAAACCCCTTATTTTTATTTTTATTAATCACTTTTCTTACTACAAAGTCGTGCTGCGCACGAGGAAGCTCTGAAATTTCCAATGCAACGTTGGCATGGCTAGAAAGCTAGCTACATCGTGAGAGGCAGCAATGATTGCAAGCAGAATAGTGTAGGAGGGCAACAGAACACCAGAAAATAGTTATATTAACTAAGTATTCATGATACTACGTGTACTAGTAGTATGCACTAAGTCCTCGCGTTTGTCCGTCGTAGCCGACTCTACGGTGGCGGTGGCAGTGACGATAGTGTCATTCACTAGCGTGATGCTGAGCATCGTGGCGCAATAGTTCTCCGCGTGTGTTGATGGGGTTCTTGCGCAGCACCTCGAAGTCTTCTTGGGTGTGGATGTTGACTGTCTCAGGGTTCAGCGTCGACATGGGCGCTGTTCAGCTTGGGTGACGAGAGGAGCTCGAGCCCGACAGACTGTAGAGCAGCTCCAGATGGATCTCGTAGATATCGAGGACCTAGTAGAGCAGCGTGACGCCCGTGACGGCCAAGTGATCTGCGTCATCTGGTTCCACTTGCCGATCTTCAACGAGCCGTCGAACTCAACGAGGTCACCGACGTAGTCCTGGCTCATGAAGATGGTGCTGACCGCGCCGTCATTGGGCTGTCAGGCCGTCGAGAACCCCATAGTGTCCGGTGCATTGCGACTGCCAAGGAAGATCAATAGAATGTTGAGCGGCAGCAGCACCGTGAGGATGTTTGTGTACGAGATCTTCTGCGGCTTCAAGTTTTACGTCTAGTAGGTGTCCTTGGTGGCGTAGCTGTAGTAGTAGTAGATCACGTTCAGCGTTTCGACCGACGTCGACGCGCTCTCCTCCTTAGCGTCTACCACCGAGAGACATCAGATGGATACATCCCTGAACCCGGACTTGAAGATACTACAGGAGAAGACCCGGTCGAGATATCCCTGCAGCATCTCGTCGTCCTGCTTCGTCGTGATGCTCCAACTTCGCGTCGTAGATCAAATCTACCGAGTCGCCGAAGCATGACACAAGGAGGTCCTTGAAGTATCACCAATCTCCAAGAACGAGATGGTAGTAATGGAGTGGAGCCACTCGTGCCCACCTGAGCCAGCACGGATGGTTTGCCCCCCCCCCATACTGTGGCCCACGAGGTGAATCTTCTTCGTACTCCTCGCCCCTTTTCGGGTACAGCCCGTAGCAGGTGGCGTAATTTACCGAGTGAGCTGCGCAGTTCGTGACCCCACCTTTGATCTGCGCGCGAGCGCCATAAGCATAAGCCTCACAGCTGCTATGATGATGATGCTGATCTACGCCCCAAAACCCAGCTTTGGGTTGCTCATACCTTCGCGAAACTCGAGCATCTCCTCCACCTTCTCCTCCACCTCCATGCTCTCGCCATGGGTGCCACTGATGGCCGACGCGGAGATCTCAGCCTTGCGCTTGAAGTCGTTGACGATCGACTGGAATTTTCAGTGGCATTTATCCCATGAAAAACTCACGCCATAAATTACCGTTTAAATTACTTACAAACGCGGGTTGCGCGAAGATGGACGCGTCGCCGACAGGGTCAACATTCACATGGGTGATTCAAAACGGCAAGAGGTATACGATATAAAGGGTTTTAAAAATTGATCTGCATCGATAATTGCGTATTGTGTAGTCTTAACTATAAGATTTATGGACAATCAGACCCTTTAAATTACGAAGGCTGTGTTTTTTTAACAAAAAACTTTATTTATGAAGTTTGAGAAGTGGGTGACCAGTACAGCAGATCTTCCATTTAAGCAAAGAGGGTGTCGCTAAACTCTGATACATAAAATAGCGCGGAAAGTGGTTGATCACCGAGAGACTCTGAAATCTGAAATAAATTAAATTTCACAGAACAAAATATACTGGGATAGGAAGCAACGTTTAGTGCTACTATCGCAGACCAAATAAGATTATATCGGAGTCAAACTGTAGGGAGGCCGGCGTCTCCACGACGAGCGAGACGACGAGACAGCAGATGGCGGTGTTGCAGTTCACGGCCGAGTGGGACGTGAATCCAGCTGACCACGCGGTCGGCAGGATCGGCAGCACGGCGAAGATCTGGACCTCGGGATCCTCGGACCCCACGGACGCTGCGATCTCAACGGAGCGAGCTCACTTCCGAACTGGACGACTAACGAGCAAGCCGGCTGGATCTACAACGCGTGCTCGGAGCGAGCACAACGAACGAACGAACGGCAAGCGGGGCGTGGTGCAGATTCACGAGAGACCTCGGTGGACGACTGCACGCGGTGGACGACGGCGAAGGCAACGGATAGGGAGCATACGGCTTCCGAGTCTTTCGACGGCTGCGACGAGTAGGGGAGGAGCGAGTGGACGTACACCCGAGTGGCTAGAGACGGCGTGACGAACGGAGCCCAAGTCGTGCACGGCAGGTAGTTAGACGTTAGCAGATACCGCGACTAGTTTGCCTAAATAAAATAGGTGTGGCTGTCAGTCGGACACCCACCGGCGCAGTGTCAGGCGTTTTGACACTTTCGGCCAGACCGCATCAGCACGGTCACGACCAACCCCGAGCGCGTGGGGCTAAACACTTTGCATGGTGGTCATACAGGGACCTAGACAAAGCATTCGACGAAGCCGGCACCTCACGAAGACATCCGAAGACTCTACGATGGCAAGGACGAAGGCCATGGAGGTCGTCGTCCAGCACGGCTTCCTCCAGCGATTCGGGCTTCGGCCTCTGCTTGACCAGGAGTCGGGTCGTGCGATCCAGACTACGGTAGAATTGTGCTAACAGCACACGTTCGCGAATCCTGTTGTTGCCGCACAGATCTCGCAGAGCAGCTGCGAAATCTGCATACGATTCGCCGGGCATAGTGCGTGGACAAGGCGACCGAGATTAACGACCCGATCGACAACGTGGCCCAGGGCATGGAGAACATTGGCCAAGCCTTCGTGACGGCCCCTGACACCTACGTCGTGCCCGCGAACGGTACCACTGGGCACATGGCGCTGATACCAGGTGTCGGCAGCACCGACGTGGCGGAAGAGAAGAAGCGAAACGTGCGACGGGCAACAGGCCGGCGAATCAGAATCAGGCGACGACGGTCCCAGCTGCTGGAGGGTGATTCTGGCGACGAGCGAATCAGGACGAGGACGAAGAGACGAAGGCGAGCGACCCAGTCGACGAGAACAACGCAAGCGACGAACCCGACGAGGGCGGTGCCGACGACGCCCCAAGCGAGACGCAAGAAGCACCAGCCAGCACCAACGACGACGGCGCTGCGATGGCTCCGCTGACGGCTCTGACGGCCGCGTTGCGGCAGATGGTGACGACGATGGCCAGGATGGACGCTCGGCTGGACCAGCTGAGCACGACGGCGACGAACCCGGCGCAGTCCCAGGCGCCCACGGACTCCGGCACGCAGGTGGCGACGACGCAGCAGCCGCCAGCGCCTGTGACGAACCCGCCAGCTTCAACGAGTACGGCACAGGCACCAGCAGCCCCGCAGCAAGATCAGCCAGCTGCCACGCACCGGCAGGTGGCGTTCTGTGGTGTAGCGGGATCGGCCAAAATCTGGTTAAGGCCTGCTCGAGCTTCCCACCAGCGCCCATACACCGACTAACGGAGGGGGTCCCCCAACGATCCGTGATCGGCTGAAGATGTTTTCACCTTGTGTACCCGTCGGCGGGCTGGATATGCTCTCTCGGGGCTCCGAAGATGCAGCACTTGGTGACGATCGAGTGTCTTAGCGTGATGCGGGGATAGTTTGTGGAGCAGCGCGGTAGTCCTCGCTCTGCGTCCGATCGAGATCGATCGCAGATCAGGAGCCGATCGTGGGTTGATCGTGGATCGTGGATCGGCGATCAACACCCGATCGATGACTGGTGCCGGTTGCCGTCCGCAGCCGATCCATCATCTTCCGTCCTCGGCCGTCCTAGATCTGCGAGATCTGTTGTCGATCGGGGCTTGGGTCGACCCCGAATCACGCCACGGTTCGAGCACGATCATCCACAATCCGGCTTGCCACATGTCCTGCCTTACGCGCCGGCGTCATCGGGCCACTTGAGATCTCCCGAAGAACTCCCTCTGATCCACAGAATCTTGCTGCCTGTCTCTGGATCGCTGATCTCCCATACTTCCAGTCGATCGGCCCTGCCGCCTTTCTCAGAGAGCAATTCTTATTCAGCACTTCTCCACAGTTCGGCGGTGACAGCAGCGACGATGATGACTCGTCGAGTTCCAGTAGCGACGATGACTCCGACGGCAACGACCGTGGTGGGCGACGCGGACGACGACAACCCGCGACGCGCCCAGGCGACGATGACTTCCATCACAACAGACGCAGAACCATACGCGACTTGGACCTGCCGACGTTCCTGCCGACGCCGCAGGAGTGAGGCTTCTTCGCACCACAACTTTAGGGCTGTGCTGTCATGAAAAGGTGTATCACCACCCAAAATATAGTCATATCCACACACATAGAAAAAAGGGACGACCACCAAACAAAAAAGGCCCAACCACCAAGTAAAAAAATCCAATCAAAAGTTGAAGTGCTACCACTTAACCCTTTAGTGATCAATATAATACTTTGATTTTGTATACTGAAGTCCCTATAGTAAAGTGTAAAACATGCATAAATGCTTGGTTTTGCTCCGTACCCCACAGCATAATATATCATTTTGCAGGGGTTTACCAATATTTATTGCAATTATTGTTGTAAAACCTCGCACTATGCTTGGTTTTACGCAAGTGATATAATAGGTGTAACAGGGTTACACGCACAAGTGGCTACCGTCACTTGTAACTCTAACAGACACGACGTCTGTTAGAGGTTCGAAAGAATTTCTCGACCTTGGTGTAGACACACCAAAGGCTACATACATTTACGACCACCACGACGGGTGGTCCATAGAGACTTAGGATTCCTATTGGCTGAGAGCAGCATCTCTTAGCCAATGAGCGACATGCATAGCATTGGAATTCTGCCAACCAGCCGTTGGCAGATTCCTATCTTAGAATATTACATTTAGAGGAAGTCAGAAGCATAAAACAAAAATAGCAGTTCTCATTTTAACCCAAAAACATTATTTGGTTCGTTTATTTAGATTAATCTATACTCGGAGGCCCGAGTATAATTAACTCTAATTTAAACTAAGCTACGCTTCCTCGTACACGTGCGCACACGTGTAAGCTAAAGTAGTTAGCCAAAGTAGGCCCATTACACCTGGTATCACTTTGTAGTCCGTCCAACGACCGACTACCTGAGTTCGTACGTCACCGCACGAACGCGGAACTGAGAACCTTCCCATGGATACAGAGGTGCCCACGGAAAGCTCCACTACGCCTGCAACTTACGTTGCACGCGCTGACTGTCCCCACCTGTCGGATCCAGAGTGGGAGGCCCTCCAACGACTGTCAACAGTCATTGGTGAGGCGGCTGTAGCTACGATGCTGCGTACGCTAACGCCGACAGAGCAACACGGTGTTGCTCTGGGTTTCATCCTGAAGGAGCAACGCGATGTTGCTGCTACTACCGCGATGTCGTCCGGGACGACATCACGCGCGCAATCGCTAAAGCTCGATGTGAGTAACTATGTCGGAAAAGAGGGCGAGCCTCTCCTCCGTTGGCTTGTCAAACTCGACACTGCCATTGCGGCTCGACATATCATCGACCCGTTGTCGAAGGTTGCGTTCGCCATGTCATGTCTTGGCGGACGTGCTCGAAGTTGGGCGTATGGACGCCGACTCTCGGATCCTACGTGCTTTAGCACGTACGAGGGTTTCAAGGAAGAGCCCAGACAAGCGTTTGAGCCACCGCAAAACGAGTTCTGGCCGAGGGCGGAGTTCCTCGACCTGCAGCAGGGCAAGCATGATGTCCATGCTTACGCTCAGAGAGCACGGTACTTGGTCTCGAACATCGTGACCAATCCGATCGATGAGGCGACCAAGGTCGTCACGTTCATGAAGGGACTGAGAGATGGGCCTGTGAAGACCTATCTCTTCCGTGAGTACCCGAGTACTCTCGAAGCTGCAATTACCCTTGCAATGCAGGAGGAGTTTAGCCTGCGGCAGGCTAAGCTGCATGCACATGTGCCGAGGCCACAGCCACGCCCGGTAGTGAGGACGGGAGGCCCAGAACCCATGGACCTCTCGAGTGCTGCAACTGCTGGACCCCAGCAGTCGCAGGGAAACAATGTGCGATGCTACCGTCGCGGTAGAGTCGGTCACTTTGCTCGGGAGTGCACGGCCCCCGTGCACCAGCAGGGTGGCTATCGCGGCGGTGCCGGGCACCGTCGCAACCAAGCAAAAAACGCTGGACGCCAGTAGGCGCGGGGCGCCCTACTGGTAATGCAGTTCCGCGTGTCGACCTTGGACACGCGATACTGAGGACTGCAGCCCCCAGTGAGATTCATTCTCGCTGCAAGAACCAAGATGACAAGCCTGACCTTGGCATCCTGAACGTGAACTCGATGAGAGCAAGCAGCTCTCTCCGTGCTTTGGTAGATTCTGGCGCGTCGAAGAACTTTGTTCGACTGCGAAGTCTATCAAGGCTTGACTTCGAGGATTTAAAGATACCTCGAAGTATGTTGGAAGTACGACTGGCAACGGGTGCCGTCGTGAAGACCGAGAAGCGCATGGTACGCGTGCGCTTCACGTATGAAGATCAAGAGTTTGTCGAGACCTTTATCGTCCTGGATCTGGACGATAAGTTTGACATTGTATTGGGCATGCCGTGGCTTGCCCGGCATGATCCGGTCATCGATTGGGAGAAGCGCACTCTCGTGCGCTTCGGTCGCGACAGCGGAACAGTGAGCGATGGCCCTGTTGCCGCTACGCACGCACCGACAGGTGCGCGCGACTCCCCACTCGAGACAGCGCCTAATGCCACTGTCCCGGAGCGCCCTGGGCGCGCGCGAGCACACGCGCAAGAGCAGCTAGCGTCGGTGTTGCCGCCGACAGCTAATGAAGGAAATGTGTTGACCTCGGAGGTCGACACCCGCTTTTCAGCGAATCAGGAAGAGTCTCCGGCCTCAAGGGGCACGGATGACGCAGGCGCGTCACACGCCTCCACCGTGGAGGCTGACGCGAATCTGATTGGATCAGGTCTGGCCAATAATAAGAGCCAAGGTGACGTAACGCCATCGACTCCGGGAGTCGATGACTTGGGTGAATTTGATTCGTCGGCTCGGGGAGCCGACGCACCCTCCGTAATGGGGGTCTCCGCCAATGGTTGGCGTCGAGGTATTAAAGTTGCGACGGTTCCGGGAACTGGCGCTGCAGGCGGTGCGGACGGTTGCAAACGTCCCGCACCGGAAACACTTGCATGCTGTCGTGCAGCCGGGCAGCACGACGAAGCGTCGGGCGACCAAGCCGGGCTTGAAGTCGCTCGCTCGCGGGATGAACCCGCCGGCGGTACTGAAGAAGAACACCCGCCCACGGCTGGGCCTGGACGAGGTCAAGAGTCATGCGGAGCCGGACAAGAAGACGGCGCATGCGATGGTCGCTGCACAAGTCTCGGCCTGGGGCCGAGACGCTACAAGAAATGTCTGCCGGGCAGACGGAGGCTGAAAAGCCGGACGTCGAAACGTTGAACGTCTTGACGCGTACCTGTGCCGGGTTCCGGTACAGGGAGATGACCCTCGCTAATCCTCCGACGCAAGCGTCGGAGTTGACTTCGCTTCCAGCTCATGAGCTGGAAGCGCTTCGCGCGTGACTTGCACGATGGACGCATCGACCAAATATGCATTCTTTCGGACGCCGAGAGAACGAAGAGCGAGAATGAAGAACTGAGGCAGTTCTTCATGGAGACCACCACTGAGAGCGAGGACACTCTCAGTGCGAAGACGAAGAAGGAGCGCTTTGAAGAGCAGAGCTGGGACTCGTTGAAGACGAGTCCCTACTACAAGATCTTACGCGAGTACGCGGACGTACTTCCGGAAGAGATCCCTGCGGAGCTTCCGCAGGACAAGGGCATCCAGCACGAGATTGATCTCGTGCCGGGGACGAAGTACTGTGTCACGCGGCAGTGGCCACTGCCGCGAGAGCAGGTCAAGGCGATCGACGACGTCTTTGAGAGTCGTCGCAAAGCTGGACAAGTGCGGGAATCGAAGTCCCCGCACGGTGCTCCGACGTTCTGTGTCAAGAAGCCATAGGGCGGCTGGCGCATCGTTCATGCGTACAACAAGCTGAACGATGCGACGATACCGGCGCAGACACCGATACCGCGAAAAGATGTCATGATCGATTCGATGGCCAGGAGCACTATTTACAGTGCTCTTGATCTGCGCGATGGGTTCTATCAGATCCTAATGCGTGAGAGCGATATCCCTCTCACGGCTGTGAGCACGCCGAGCGGCATGCTCTGGGAGTGGCTAGTGATGCCACAGGGTCTGAAGAACGCCCCTGCGACCTTCAACAGGTGCGTGACGCACTTGTTGCGCTCGGTGCGCGACTTCGCACCGAGCTACTTCGACGATGTGTTCGTCCACAGCCGGGCTGCGAACGGGATGAGCGATGTTGAGATGCACAAGGTGCATCTCCGGGAGCTGCTTGCGCTCATGCGCAAGCACAAGCTCTATGCGAACCTGAAGAAGTGCATCTTTGGGGCGAGCGAGATACCCGTGCTCGGGTGTCTCGTCGGGAAGAACGACGTCCGCCCTGACCCTGAGAAGGTCAGAGTGACCAATGAATGGCCGACGCCGTCGAACGTCAAGGAACTGCAGCAGTTCTTTTGTAATGGGCCTACTTTGGCCCACTACTTTAGCTTACACGTGTGCGCGTGTATGTGAGGAAGCGTAGCTTAGTTTAAATTAGAGTTAATTATACTCGGGCCTCCGAGTATAGATTAATCTAAATAAACGAACCAAATAATGTTTTGGGTTAAAATGAGAACTGCTATTTTTGTTTTATGCTTCTGACTTCCTCTAAATGTAATATTCTAAGATAGGAATCTGCCAACGGCTGGTTGGCAGAATTCCAATGCTATGCATGTCGCTCATTGGCTAAGAGATGCTGCTCTCAGCCAATAGGAATCCTAAGTCTCTATGCACCACCCGTCGTGGTGGTCGTAAATGTATGTAGCCTTTTGTGTGTCTACACCAAGGTCGAGAAAGTCTTTCGAACCTCTAACAGACGTCGTGTCTGTTAGAGTTACAAGTGACTGTAGCCACTTGTGCGTGTAACCCTGTTACACCATCCCCCCTCAAGGTTAGACGCGCCGAGTCACGGCACGTCAATAAGGAAATTGACCATTCGTCAATTCTTCACGTTGGAGAAAGAAAACTCGAGCTCATTCCGCAATAAGCTCGCCTCAGAAGAAGACCGACGCTGCAGCAGAGGGGAAGTCCTCCGCCGGGATAGAGACTCTCTCTATCCCCGAGTACCGCGAGCGTCTCAAAGCAAGGCGTGACGCTCTGGCTACCAAGGCTGCGGCGGGGACAACTCAACCAGAGATTGTCCTCGAAGGTTCTTCTGTAGTCAACGACGCCGTTGACTTCGAGGACGACGACGTGGAGATGGAAGAGGGCGAAGCCTCTTGTAGCAAGCGCAAGGAGTCTATCGACAGCGATAGTCTCGACCCGCATGCCGGGTCGAAACGCCCTCGTGAAGGAGACGACTCGGACGCTTCGAGCTCGAAGCGTTCGCGCGGCGAGAGCGACACTCCGCTCTCTGCTGCTGGGGCTTTGAGCTCCCCGCATGAGGTGGCGCCTTCAAGCTCTCCGCGCGCTACTCAGGCAGCGTGCGATCCGTGGATGCCGTCTGCGTCAGAGATCGCAGACCGTGTGGGCAACACTGTGCCTCCAAACGAAATCCCGCTGTACGTATGCAGCGGTATCCACGACGATGCTGTTGCGGAGGAGCAGCACTTTGATCCGTTAACGAATCAAAGGCGCGACTACTACATCGGGCTCTTCCACGAGCTCCAGTACTTCTCCAGCAAGAAGACCTCTTCTCGCAGCAAAGTGCCTGAGTGGCAGGCACTTTGTCAAAGTTGGAATGCTTTTGTTGAGAACTTCAACAAGAAACCGACTGCTTACCGCGAGCGGGTTTAGCATGCCCGTGAGCGCTTCGAGACATTCTCGACGCGCGGGCGGCTGGAGCAGCTCCACAGATCCTCTGTGGACGTTGGTATTCCATGCGCGGTGCCCGAAGGCCAACGGTGCACGTTGTGTCTTCCGGGTGCGGCGCGCTTGAGCGACCGCGACCTAAACGGGTACACGACGATTCGTGTACCTGCGAGTCTCAGGGATCTCCGTGCCAAGTTCCTGGCACGCGAGGAACGCGATGATCGCGAAACTTCGGGCGCTGCAGGTAATTACAGCGCTCGCGCTACATTCGCGTCGATAGTGCGTGGTGAGCTTCGTACGCCCTCACCATTTCTGGAACGTCCTGCAGCCGGACGTCCCGTGACTCCCATGTATCTTGGTGGGGCGGAAACCCTCTCCAACGAATACGATAACAAACCGGCTGCCGGTTTGTTTTCGGGATACTATGGTTCACAATACGCTCAACAATCCAGCGTGTTGAGCCGCGGGCGTCGCGGATCGGAGGCGGCGGTGGTGGGAACACGCCCCAGGTATGGTCAACCTGGGGTTGACCTTGATCCGACGCTCGAGGAGCGGATCGCTGCTGTGGAACAGCATCAGAGCCGGGAGTTCGCCGCTCTGAACCAGGAGGTGGCGATCCTGAGGGCTGAAGTCGCTCAGGGTTCGCAGACCGCGTCGCACGCTTGGCCCAGCGCGTTCACGCGCTGGAGCAGAGGTTCGCTCCCGCTGGGGCTTCCGCTTCGGGCCGGCCGAGCTAGGTGGTTCGTGCTGCCGGTACGGCTTCAACCGCCCGACGTAACAGGTCGGATGGAGGCGCATGCTAGATGGAATGTCTAGCGTGTAGGCGTTGCCATGCCGTGCCAACACCGTGAACGGCCCGATGAAGCGCGGAGCGAGCTTGCTCGCCCCGAAGTCGGAAACTGCCTGTTTAGGCAGGTTTTGAGTTGCTAACAAAACCAATGAACCCTTCTTGAATCCATTAGTGTTGCCCCTACCAACATTGTCTGCGTTCAGCTTCTGTCGACCGACGGAAGCTGCAATAGCGTCTTGGACAAACCGAATGACGGCTTGTCTGCGCTGCACGAAGTTGATTGCGTCCGAGCTGAACTCGTTCAGCTCGTTTCTAGCAGTAGGCCCGGCCTCTGCGTTCGTCTTCGCGGTGTCTGTGCCCTGCACAGACCCGTTCTTCTTCTTCTTCTTGCGCGTAGTCGCGGCTGACACTGTGCAAGTGTCAGCGGCATTCTGCGGCTACTGCGTTGCAGTCGTAGATCCTCCCCCACTTAAGGAAGGAGCCACCATCCCGAGTAGACTCGGGAGGCGTGGGTGCCTGATGGCATTCACGCAGAACGGTGTATGCCCGGTCGAGGCATGAACCGAGTTGTTGATGGCGAACTCCGCCATCGGCAGGCACTCGCTCCAGTGTTGGAACGAGTGAGCGTAGTTCTTAAGCACGTCTACGAGCACGCGGTTCACGCGCTCGGTTTGCCCGTCCGTCGGCGGATGATCCGCAGTCGACATCGAAAGTTGACTCCCAGGAAGTGTAAACACTTCTTGCCAAAGGTGTGCAGTGAAGCGCGGGTCTCGATCCGACACAATGTCGATCGGCATGCCATGGTGTTTGAACACCATGTCAACGAACAGACGTGTGGTCTGTTTCGTAGTCACTTCAGCGGGTACCGCAGCAAGATGTACCATCTTGCTGAAGCGGTCAACAAAGACCACAACGCCCGTGTTCCCCTGGCTGTCCGGGGGAAGACCGAACACGAAGTCCAAAGACATGGACTGCCAACACTGGTAATGACTGCAAGGGAGCCTGCGCGAAAGGCGCAGGCTTCACACGTTGACAAACCTCGCAAGCACGGACGTACTTGCGCACCCATTTGTACTGGTGGGCCCAGTAGAAGTCCCGCGTGAGAAGAAGGTATGTCTTCTCATGGCCCGGATGTCCCGCAGTCGGTGCATCGTGATACTCGTACATGATTCTGAGTCGCAGGTCATGGTCATTGGGCACGACAACGCGGTCCGCGTTGTTGTCGACTGCACTGTAGAGTAATAACCCGCCGTGCACCCGATAACGGTGTGCACGAGCCCGAAGATGCTTCGGCAGCTTCTGACGAGCTTTGTCAGAACGCGCTGAGCCGTAGGCCAGCAAGAGCTTCGCGTCCGCGTCGTGCGCGAACGCGACCTTCACGTCGTCCAACAGTGACGACGTCGGGGTGCTTGATCGCATGGCGTCAATGGCATTGACGTCGGCATCAGTCGTGGCGTAGTCAGGTCGACGCGAGAGCGCGTCGGCCACCACATTGAGTCTTCCGGGTTTGTACTCAACCCGGACGTTATACTCTGCGAAGAATGAGAGCCATCTCACCACTCGTTGCGAGATGTGCGGCGACTTCACAGGCGTCCGCAGCGATGCGTGGTCCGTATAGACCACGAACGGTTTGCTTCCGAGTAGATACACTCGGAACTTCGCGAGTGCGTACTTCATGGCAAGGAGCTCCTTGTCATGTACCGGGTAGTTGCGCTCAGCTGGCTTCAGCTGACGCGATTAGTAGTAGACGACACGATCGCGACCCTCGTGATCGTGCTGCATCAACGCACATCCGATTGCGAAGTCGGATGCGTCTCACACAACGTGGAATGGGCGATCTTGGTCGGCCGCCGCCAAGATCGGCGCCTCAGTCAAGCCCCGCTTGACTGCATCCAAGGCCTGCTGACACTCAGCAGTCCAAACCCACTCGGCGTCTTTCTTCAGGAGCTGTGACAGCGGGCGTATCATGCCCGCGTAGTCCTTCACGTACTTGCACAAGTATGTGGCCAAGCCAAGAATGTAACAGGGTTACACGCACAAGTGGCTACAGTCACTTGTAACTCTAACAGACACGACGTCTGTTAGAGGTTCGAGAGACTTTCTCGACCTTGGTGTAGACACACCAAAGGCTACATACATTTACGACCACCACGACGGGTGGTGCATAGAGACTTAGGATTCCTATTGGCTGAGAGCAGCATCTCTTAGCCAATGAGCGACATGCATAGCATTGGAATTCTGCCAACCAGCCGTTGGCAGATTCCTATCTTAGAATATTACATTTGGAGGAAGTCAGAAGCATAAAACAAAAATAGCAGTTCTCATTTTAACCCAAAAACATTATTTGGTTCGTTTATTTAGATTAATCTATACTCGGAGGCCCGAGTATAATTAACTCTAATTTAAACCAAGCTACGCTTCCTCACATACACGCGCACACGTGTAAGCTAAAGTAGTGAGCCAAAGTAGGCCCATTACAATAGGTCAAAATCAATAGAAGGGTGATTTGATTGGATTAAATGTGTACAACCAAGCATATTGCAAGGTTTTAGGACCACCAGCCACAAAGGGTTAAATAGATTCTCAAGTTCAACGCGTCGTATTTTGCTTAAAATAAATAGTTGTAAGTCGCATGAACCGCTCTCCACGTTTGCTATCGCGCCATCTTCAGCTTTCGTTTTTCGCTTTAAGATGGAAGGAAGCGTCAGTGACGAGAGGAGAGATTTGGATGGGGGGGTGGCAGCTGCAGTCATCGAATTCTGAGGGCGAGGACGCTTCGGGATCCCGACCGCGTCGGCCGTGGACACGGATATGGCGCTCGACTGCTCCTGAAGGTTTAGCGGACTACAGAACAACTCTACCAACTCACAGTATCGACAAAAGTAATAAAGTTGGTTGTACTATTGATCACTTATCCGACAAAAACTACGACCTGCACCGCCGTCGTCACGACATGAGATCGCGGATTGTCTTGTGCGAGTCGCAACGCTGCAAGGCGCAGCTGGAAACAAGCGACGATGGCGACGTCCCGCCTCTGACGAAGTGTCCGTGTCGATACAAGTTTAAGTTATGTCTATCTACAAGCTTGTGCGAGGTGTTTCAGCAAGGCCACCACATCATGGACATAAACGACCCACCGACGCCCGTTAAGCGCAAGTTGACAGAAGAAATGAAGGTCTACATTACGGAGTGCTTATCTACCGGTGAGAAAACGACTGCTACGCGCCTATACACAGTGCTGGGCACGCTCATCGACAATCACGAAATTGCGGGACCGGCGCAATGGCCCAGTCAAGTCACAGACTTTGTCAAAACTGGAGACGCAAGAATCCCAAGGGTTCTATGGCTCCGATGATTGAGTTGTGCGATGGTCGGCTCTATGACCAGCTCGACATAGCGACACTGCCGGCAAGAGACATGGTCATCCTTTGTGACTCTCAGGTTGACTCGAGGCCTGGCGCGTCTGGATGAGTGTCCCATCTTGGAGATGATTCGAAGACCTACCCATTGCGTGTCGGCATGACGTGCCTACAGATGATACAGAACTACGTTGCTATGCAAGAGCGCGATGCCTGCGCCACCATTTTGCACGTAGACAGCACGCACAGCATGGTTATCAATGGATACGTCGTTTTTGCGTTCGGCTACTCAGACCAGAGCGGACATTTTTTCCCGATGGTGTACTTTTGCGCATCCCACAAGCGCACAATCGATATTGGATGGTGCATTAAGTACATTAAGCGTGTTGTGAACGACGAGCCCAAGTCGGCTGGATACGGGTCGGTCTAAGCCCCTCTGGAGGAAAATACCAGGCTCGCGTCCATAATGATCGGCGAGTTCCGCTACCAGCGCAGCTTCTCGCCTCGCGAGTCCTGTGGGCTGTTGCTAACAAATTACAGCCGTGAATGACGCATCAATTTCATTTAACGCATTTGCTCACCCTAATGCAAGGCCCTCCATACAGCTCGGTTGTGGTTAGTACCCAGTAGTTTGTCCCGCGATAATTAAGTAACTGTCGTGTTGGCTTGGGTAATGTAGCACAGACGAACACTGGGCGCAGGTGCTGTTAGAATGAATCGGTCGTCAGCTTTAGCGATCCCTGGACGCGAGATAAGTGACAAACGTGTCTAGCCAATCCCTCTGGACATAGCTACATTGGGGCCGTCCAAGGAGCATCGATCTACGTAGAAGGCATACTGTATAATGGTTGTCTGTTCACGTGTGGGCGAGCTAGCGCGTTTCTTTCGTTTTTTTTATCTCGCACACTGACTTCCAAATACGATACTTCAGTAGGTCGGTTCATCCAGACGTGGAGGGGACTTCGCGGAGAAGCGCTGCTGCTTGACTCCATGTCTCCTTTCTCCTCCTTGCTGTGGTCGTTACGCTGCGCAAAGCACATACGGGTACATGTAGTGCTACCCGTTCTGTGAGTGCACAACTCACGGTTCTGGGTGGCGGCACCCTTTTCCACAGGTGGACAGTCCAAATGGGTACAACTTGTGCCACCTACAGGTTTTCGTGTGGGGTGAAAGTTATTGATAGTGCGGTATCCCATCCTGCCGCCGACAAGGGCAAGGTGACGGACAGCGCGAAAGCGGTGTCGAATGACGGGAGCGTGGCAGCAGTGAGAAGATCTGTCGCTGCTCAATGGAATGATGAGCTCGCGGCTCGTGAGAGTGGACGGGCGGAGCGATACGTTAGCACGGTGAGGCCGGCCATGGCCACACTGCTCTAAGTGCACCAGATGGGCGATGACGGTGGTGACGACCAAGTCAGCGGCGCCGTGACGGACCACTCGACGGTGGAGATGACGATGGTGAGGAAGAGGGCGACGACGGAGATGGCCACGGCTGACGAGAGCGCCGTGACGGCACCGAGCCCAGCCCCTGCGAACACCAATGAGGTGCCAACCTCTGAGGAAGGCAGCGAGACCACGGACGGAGTGCGACTGGCTGAGGAAAGCGGTACGGCAGCCACGGTGAAAACGGAAATGACGAGTATGGAGACCTCGCCGCTCGAGCTCGGCATGGAGCTCACGGACGAGGTGATGGTGAAGTTGGACGACGTGGCGAAGGTGCGCATGGCCGTGAAATGGTCCAAGCGTGCAGCAAAACCGCTGCGGGTGCAGCGAAACAGCTGCAGGTGCAGCGGGCGCGTGAGAAGACCAAGGACAAGCGTGACGATGACGAAGTCGCGCGGGTAGTGGCGGAACTCGAGGCCGGGCGAGTACTACGGCGACAGCGGCAAGCCGCCGAAGTACGTGACGCGCTGGAAGCGCGACGACAGCAGCGTGCTGCCGGTGACGAAGTGCGAGTTGACGAACGGGCCCGCGTGAACCAGGTGCGGTACGACAGCGCCACTATGGACGAGGAGGCAGATGGCGGCAGCGATGCGGACGTGACAGCCGGTGACGGACTGACCACGGCCGAGATGTTCGGAGACGGCGAGCAGCAGCTGGTGAAGATCGACAGCGGGGCGCGCTACTCAGTCGTAGGCACGGACTGGATGGCCCGTGGCGAACGGAAGCGAGTTGACGCTCCCGTGGCGTATGTTGAAGGGATTGGCGGCTTCTTGTTGGACGTGCTCGGCGTGTGGACGTTCGAGATGGTGAACGTGTACGGCCAGAAGGTGACTATCGAGGCAATGCATCATCGAGGGATGTACGAGTGAGTTCCTCGTAGGTGTTGATTTCCTAGGTGGGCGTCGGGCGGCTATGGACTTTGATCGTGGTGAGGTACGGTACGCTGACCGTGGCCGTGACGTGATTATTCCGTTCCGAACGACGGAAGCGGAGGATGACTCAGCAGTGGTGGCCGTGGGGTTGGTCAGCGTCACGAACCTGCAGAGACGCGCCGTACAGACGGTGGACGTGCGCCTGATGGTGAAGAAGGCGTGTTTCAACCTACTATGAACAATGGAGCGGTGCGGTTAGCGGTGGCGGTGACCAAGGTGGAAAAGGGCAAGGCTCTGATCCCCGCGATCAACACATACGGCTGTCGCATCAAGCTACCTAGCAGGAAGGAGTTGGGGGAGTTGGGTGTGCGGATACCTATTAATCAAGACATTGAGCTCTTGACGATGCATGGTGAGCTACAACCTGAGCGGGTGCAGGCGTGGTTGGACGAGTTGGGACGCCGTTGGACGACGAGCATGATGTGGACATCGGTGCTGAGGAACCAGATACCCGTGCCCTTATCCTACGACTACTACGAGCCTATTGCGACCTAGCCAACGCACAGGACGAGTGTCCACCTGCTACTACACTCAATATTGAGCATCACATTGACACTGGGGATGCCGCTCCCATTATGATGAGACGAAGACGACAGGCGCAGACGGAGGACGCCATTGTGGACAATAACGTGGACGCTATGCTATCAGCTGGGGTGATTGAGCACGGTGAAGGAGCCTGGGGCTTCCCCGTTGTGCTCGTTCGCAAGAAAGACGGGTCTGTACGGTTTTGTGTAGACTATCGCGCTCTCAATAGCGTCACAAGCAAAGACGTCTACCCGCTGCCCCGAATTGACGAAACTTTGGAATCGCTAGGATGTGCCGGCTGTTCACTACGCTAGACCTACGTTCTGGGTATTGGCAAATCCGTGTTGCAGAAGAAAATCGCGACAAGACAGCTTTTACGACGAAACGTGGGCTCTACCGTTTCATGTGGATGCCCTTTGGCCTTACCAACGCTCCTGCTACTTTTCAACGACTGATGAACGGATTACTACGTGGCTTGACGTAGATGACCTGCTTGGTCTACCTGGACGATATCATCATCTTTACGTAGGGGGCATTGAACGGCATGTCATCGAATTGGCGGGTGTATTGGAAAGATTACGGGCGGCTGGACTGAGTCTTAAACTAAAATAGTGCACCTTTGCTAAGACGTCCATGGAATATCTTGGAATCATCTAAGCGACAAGGGCGTGCAGCCCGCTGAGCGACTAGTGCGATCTGTGCGTGAGTTTCCCCGACCAGCCGATGCTACCGAAGTAAAGAGATTTGTTCACCTCGCTGGCTACTATAGGAAGTTCATCGCTGCCGTTGGCTCGATCGTTGAGCCGATGACGAGACTACTGAAGAAAGACGTGCAATGGGAGTGGAGCGACGCGCAGGAGTTTGCATTTGAGTGTGTGAAGACGCTCTTGACGACGCGGCCCCTGATACTCTACCCTAACTTTGAACTACCATTCCGCTTGGTGACAGACGCCAGCAAGATCGGCTTGGGTGCCTGCCTCATGCAGGATCACGGACGCGGCTGGCAGCCGATCGCGTATGTCAGCAAGGTCAACGACTCGGCGGAGGCTAACTACTCTATCACGGAGCTCGAGTGCCTCGCGGTAGTTTGGACCGTGAAGCAGTTTCGACCGTACTTGTACGGCCGAGCTTTCACGATCATTACGGACCATGCGGCCCTGAAGTGGCTGATGACGCGACCAAATCTGGCCGGCAGGCTGCACCGATGATCGTTAGTGTTGCAGGAGTACGAGTTTCAGGTCAAGTAGCGGCCTGGAGTGACAAATGTTGTAGCAGACGCCTTGTCGAGGACGCCTGCAGCTGTCCGAGCGGCATTGGGACGGCAGCGACGACAACAGCCGGCGCCGGCAGTGACGGCAGTGAGGAGTGATGCAGCGGACGCTGCACCAGCGACGAAGACTACGGCGGCCGAGACGACGCAGATGCAGACGGTGGCGCCAGACGCGCCCATGGCACGAGGAGATGCAGTATGTGTCTCTTCAGCGGCTGCCGAAGCGACACATGCAGAGGATGCGACCAATGAGCGCGAGGTGGAGCTACCGACGACCGAGCCGGCAGTGCCAGTGCAGCAGCTGACGGACAAGACGACGGAGGTGGTGGTGACGGTGAACGGCACCACCGTGGAGCCAAGCAATGACCCCGCGTCGACGATATACGGCACGACAACGGCCCAAAGGCACGACACGGCCGCGGTGGCCACGACGAACCGCAGCTCAGCGACGGTGGACGGTATGGTGACGGTGCACGACGGCATGGCGATGGAGGTATACGAAGAGAACAGCAGCACCACGCTGGCGCCGACAGCCAGCAGGAGGCGCACGAAGAAGGCAGTTGAGCCTGCCATACGACGAAGTGCACGTATACGTGAGCGCGCAGAGCGCCACGTACACCAGGCGACGACGAATCCGGCCGAGACGACGAGACCAGCGCGATCTCGGACGCTGGACAGCCGGCAGCCTAGACGACAGCCCCTGGTGTGAGCAGCACGACACCAAGTGCGGGGCGACGAACAACTACGACGACTACGACACAGGCGACCAGCACGGACGTGCCGAACGCCAGTGTAGCGGTGGAGCCGAGGACTACGACTACGGAGACTACTGGCGCCCCAACGACGGCGAGTGCAGCACCAGCAGTGGCTACACCAGCCCCACGAGCAAGGGCAGCCCCTGCACCACAACCTACGGCGGCACGAGGCGTCGACGCGAAGTAATAGCGCCTCCGACGCGCGTGAAGAAGGCGGCGGCGACGCAGAAGGCGCCGACGGTGACGACGCTGCCGACGACGGAGAAGCGCTCGACGAAGGGCGTGATCCCGGCGAACACGACGAAGGAGTCGACGGTGGCTTTGGACGCGGCGAACAACGCCGTGGTGATGACGAACGGCGTGGACGACTTGGGCAATGATGACGAAGATGACCCAATGGACGACACGCTCCAGCTGAGCGACGACGAGCTGATGGTGGCGCCTAGGCGCAGCAAGTTCGTGAAGAGACTGCTGACGGACGGCAGGTACGGCAGCATGACGGTCGAGACCAAGTTCGGTCTGGTGACCATCGAGACGGCTAACGGATGGCGAGTGGTGTTGCCACCGACGCTGTGGTCTACGGTGTTTAAGGAAATGCGCGGAACGATGTGGAGTGGACACCTCCGTGGCCCTCACACGTATGGACGAGTAGCTCAGTTGCATTTGTGGCCTGGGCTTTACCGAGAAGTGCGCCGCTGGGTGCGCGGATGCCAGGAGTGCGGCTCACGTAAGGCGAAACCACGTGAGGTGATTCCGCCACTACGAAGTTTACGCGGTGGTGCAGTGGGCACTTGATGTCGCCGGCCCGTTCCCCGTAGCAGACGGTGGCGACCGGTATGTCATCGCCGCCGTGGAGTATGTAACACGGTATGCAGTGGCAAGCTGCGTGACGGAGCACACGGGTGAGAGGGTGGCAACGTTCATCATGCAGGAGGTGGTGTTGCGCTTCGGCGTGTTCCGTGAATTGCTGACAGACGGAGCCCCAGAGCTGGCGGGCAAGGTCATCGAAGAGCTCGTACAACTGCTCCAGGCGCACCAGATCAACCCGGTGCCCTATCGGCCCCAGATGGTCGGACTTGTCGAACGATTTCACCGCTCGTGGGAGGACTGCGTAGCGACGTTCATGCAGGACGAGAGGCAAGCAGATTGGAACTTGTGGGTCAAGTTTGACTGCACGCGGTGGACGACGGCGAAGGCAACGAATAGGGAGCATACGGCTTCCGAGTCTCTCGACGGCTGCGACGAGTAGGGTAGGCGCGAGTGGGCGTACACCCGAGTGGCTAGAGACGGTGTGACGAACGGAGCCCAAGTCGTGCACGGCAGGTAGACGTGTATTGTAGTTAGACGGTAGCAGATACCGCGACTAGTTTGCCTAAATAAAATAGGTGTGGCTGTCAGTCGGACACCCACCGGCGCAGTGTCAGGCGTTTTGACACTTTCGGCCAGACCGCATCAGCACGGTCACGACCAACCCCGAGCGTGTGGGGCTAAACGCGTTACAAAACGATGACCCCTCTTCGGCGACTCGGTAGATTTGATCTACGACGCGAAGTTGGAGCATCACGACGAAGCAGGACGACGAGATGCTGCAGGGATATCTCGACCGGGTCTTCTCCTGTAGTATCTTCAAGTCCGGGTTCAGGAATGTATCCATCTGATGTCTCTCGGTGGTAAACGCTAAGGAGGAGAGCGCGTCGACGTCGGTCGAAACGCTGAACGTCATCTACAACTACTACAGCTACGCCACCAAAGACACCTACTACACGTACAACTTGAAGCCGCAGACGATCTCGTACACAAACATCCTCACGGTGCTGCTGCCGCTCAACATTCTGTCGATCTTCCTTGGCTGTCGCAATGCACCGAACACCATGGGGTTCTCAACGGCCTGACAGCCCAATGACGGCGCGGTCAGCACCATCTTCATGAGCCAGGACTACGTCGGTGACCTCGTTGAGTTCGACGGCTCGTTGAAGATCGGCAAGTGGAACCAGATGACGCAGCTCACTTGGCCGTCACGGGCGTCACGCTGCTCTACTAGGTCCTCGATATCTACGAGATCCATCTGGAGCTGCTCTACAGTCTGTCGGGCTCGAGCTCCTCTCGTCACCCAAGCTGAACAGCGCCCATGTCGACGCTGAACCCTGAGACAGTCAACATCCACACCCAAGAAGACTTCGAGGTGCTGCGCAAGAACCCCATCAACACACGCGGAGAACTATTGCGCCACGATGCTCAGCATCACGCTAGTGAATGACACTATCGTCACTGCCACCGCCACCGTAGAGTCGGCTACGACGGACAAACGCGAGGACTTAGTGCATACTACTAGTACACGTAGTATCATGAATACTTAGTTAATATAACTATTTTCTGGTGTTCTGTTGCCCTCCTACACTATTCTGCTTGCAATCATTGCTGCCTCTCACGATGTAGCTAGCTTTCTAGCCATGCCAACGTTGCATTGGAAATTTCAGAGCTTCCTCGTGCGCAGCACGACTTTGTAGTAAGAAAAGTGATTAATAAAAATAAAAATAAGGGGTTTACAGTATTATACCAAAATCCTCCTATCCCAGCCCCTAGTATTATCAAAATATATTTCGCGTAAATTTCTGAAAACATATATTTTTCGCGAAGATTTTTGCGATCGAAATCGAACCAAATGGTTTTTGCAAAACATACTTGATACGGTATTCACAACGACGCAATTCCTTCTCTGCTTTACATCAAAACGGAACTAACCGATGATAGAGTCTTCACCATCACCACTAGAATTTGTAGCGGGACTTGACGTGCTCCAGCACACGCCTCAGCATCCAGCCATCGCCTGGGGTGATCGTCGGCGAAGAGCCGGCCTTCATGATGCAGACCGGGAAGTCCTCGTTCGGCTGGTCCGTCGTCTCGTAGAAGTCGGGGAGGCCGAAGCCATGGTCGATTTCGTGCGCCACGATCGTCAACTGCTCCTGGTCCAGGCTCGCCAACATGTTCTCCGCGTCCACGCGCTGCCCCCAGTCGCCACCGGCGCCGCCACCCTGGCCCAGCGTAGGCCACAGCGACATGCCGAACGGCTTGCCCTTGCAGCCGCTCGTGTCGGCGCTGGCAGCGAAGTCCTTGTGCTTGTAGCAGGCCTCGGGGCACTGCGGCACGCCGTCCGCGTCCTTCTCGCTCGAGTAGATGGTGCCGAGCGAGTCGTCGCTCCAGTCGAAGAGCGAGGCATCGCGCGTCGCCCAGCCCACGATCTTCACTCGTTCCAGGCCTTGAACTGCCGGTTCAGCATGGCCTCGAACTTGGACGCCACCGACTTGGACAGCTTATTGGTGCTGTCCCAGCGGACGCAGTACGGCAGCTTGCCCTTGTTGGTCACGAGCTGGTCGAAGATGTAGTTCTTGAACTCCGGCACGTACTTGCTCATGCGCTGCGTCCAGACCCATTCCACGTCCTTGGTCGAGATGTAGGCGTTCGGGTTGCCAACGACGCACTTGCCACTGCCGGACGTGACGTCGCCAAAGGTGGCGTGGGCGCCGCTGGAGTTGCCCGTCGACGGGGCTTGGGCGATGGACCCCTCCGTGGAGGCTTGCGTCGGGAGCGAACCAGTGGTTCCGACGTTACTTGAGGATCCTTGCGTAGTCGGATTAGTGCCGCCGTTTGTTTCATCTGATGAGCCTTGGGTTGTCGGGAGTGAACCAGTAGTGCCGCCGTTGCTCGACTCGGTAGGAGTGGTAACCGAAGGCGTTTGCGGGGGCTCCGTAGCTCCCTGAGTGGGGTTGTCCATCGTTTGCTGCTCCGGCGTGTCCGTCACCGTTGGTGTAGTGTCAGGGTATCCGAAGTTGACGCTGGGCGCGGTCGTAGTGGTAGGCTCTTCCTGGTTGTAGTCTGGGAAGGAGGTTGCGGTAGGTGGAGTTGCCTGGAGCGTCTGGTGTGCCGCTGTCAGGATAACCGAAGTTGACGCTGGGCGCCATGGTAGGTTCCATGGGGTACTGTTGGGCCGATGCCGACGAACTGCATGCTGCCAGCGCAATGACGGCCGGAACCAGGAACTGCCGCGAGGAAAATCGAGAGGACTGACGAGTGGCCATGATGGAGAAATTGACAATGAAAGCGAGGAGGGACCGGAATCAAAGCCGCAAGGGGGCGCTCGTTCATCCACCGGACTACACAGCAACAAGTGCGCTCTTCAAAGAGCTCATTGATCGCCGTTATATTGTGATTGCTCCAATCCCAGATCTTCCGGATGGGCCAAATGCATGTCCTCTACTGAACTTGCCCCCACAAATTGGATGATGATCCGCCACGCCTTCTGCTTCAATGAGGTAGGCTCACGCATGTACGAACAGTCCAAACACTCATCCTGCAAGACCGCGGTCAGCAGTGTGTAGCGTAAGGGCTGTCTAGATGCACACCTATTAGTGCTGTAGATGTCCCCCTTGCTCCATGTTGATACCAGGAACAAGCCCAACTCGCACATGGACACAGGATGGACACAGGTTGTGGTTACCTCAGGTAACTTACCTGTAACAGACGACCAAAATCATCTGCTGGGGGATTCGTTGCCTTGATCTCAATCTTTCCGAACGAGAATTACTATTGTGCTTTGCACCGAAATATCCGCTCCATAGTAAGTTTTCTCGATTTAATATAGTGAGATCGTTTTAACTTTATAACAAACACATAATCCTGGACGAGTTGGGGTAACGCCCTCTCGGGAAGCTAGGGCCAGCCTGATGCTAGCCCAACGCTTTCGGCAGACACTCCGCAGTGTCTGTCAGTCTGTCACCGGTCTCTCTCTCTCTCTCTGCACGACCTACTAACCCTCCCTCTCAACCCCAGCTCCCGTCGACGCTAGCCGCATGCAAGCAAGGCCGCTCGAGGAAGTCGACGCCCTATCTCCGGCTAAGTACGTTCAATGTGCAATCCCTGACCTCACAGCGTAGGCAACATGAGACCCTTCCCGCGGATCTATCGACGTACAAGATCGACATCTTGGCGCTCCAAGAAACCCGCATCGCCTATCAAAGCGAGCAGAAGGCTGGTACGTACCATTTACTCATCTAACCCCCGCCATGGCATCGACTTCGCAGTCGCTCCGTAAGTTTTTGTACAGGTTCTGGTCCCAATCAGACCGAGTCGGCGTCCTGCAGATCCGCCTTCCCAAAGCACAGCGTGCCAACGTCATCAACGTGTACTCGCCCCACAGTAACTATCCCCTCGACGAAATCGACAAGTTCTACGCAGACCTCAACACCTCATTCACGCGACTTCCATCGCGAGATACGACATTCATCCTTGGCGACTTCAACGCGAAAGTCGGCCGACGCCGTGATGAAGAGAGCTTCCTCGGGGACTGGGGACGCGGCAGACGGAATCGCGACGGCCACGTCCTCGCTTCATCCTGTGGTGCTAACCACCTGTTTCTGACTAACACAGCTTTTAGGAAACGTGCCTGCAACATAACAACCTGGACGCTTCGGCTCGAAAACCACAGCATCTTCAACCAGATCGACTACATTATCTGCAGCCAACAAAACAAACGACTGTGCGTCAACGCGCAGTCGTGGGGCGGGACGCTCACCCCTTCGGACCACAAGCTGGTCACGCTCGACTTCAATCTACGTGCGCTTCGAACTCTACGACGGCAACACAGACAATGGCTCAACGACCGAGAGACCCGCCTCGCCACGCACCTGCTAGTACACGATGGCCAAGCCCATCGCAACTATCAAGAACAACTTGCTACAATGGTTGGCGATTTACCGCCACAACAAGGGACGACGAAGCAGCGCTGGACGGCCACGCTGAACACGACGATCCAAGCCGCAGCGGACTCTATCGGCTACTTGCCGCACGTCAATCACGCCAAAGTAGTTGACGCCGAGCTAGCGCGGCTCTCACATGAACAGCACCGCCTACGCCAACTCATCTACAACGACCATTCAAAGGACGCCACGTACCTCCGCAAACAGCGCAGCAGACTACTGCACCAGATACGCGAACGCAGCAAGATGCTCAGCAGTGCACTTATCGACGAGAAGCTAACAGACCTTGAGCAGTCGAGCGAATCCGCACGAATGTTCGAGGTCACCCGAGCCCTATTTCGTCGGCGCTCACCGCTAACATCTCTTTGCGACTCCACAGGCCAATTCATCCTCAGTCGCAACGAAACAGGATCCAGGATCAAACGACATTTCCAGGACCAATTCAACGACCCTACCCAACTCCTGTCACCGACGATGGCATCCAGAGACCATTAAATCATCCGATCACTGCCGAAGAGATCCGGCGAGCGTTCAATCGCCTACGCAACAGACGCGCAACAGGTCCCGACAGCATACCCGCCGAGCTGCTCAAGTACGGCTCAACCGTTCTAGCTCAACCCCTCGCCGACATCATCAACCAAGGCTTCGTCACCGGAGATAACATCCACCTGGGCGACGGAATCCTGCTTGGACTTCCGAATCCAAACAAGCCGGCTGGTCAGTGCGCCAGCCTCCGACCCATTGTACTTCTTAACAGCATCCGCAAAGCAATCTCGCTGGTGGTGCTGAACCGAATCTCACCGAAGGTCGAACGCTTCCTGTCCCCGCACCAAAGCGGGTTTCGGCCCAGTCGCAGCAGTATGGGCTCACAGGTGGATAGCAGCACGCACTCAACGATACAAGTAAAGGTTCCACATCCTTGGAATCGACCTCTCACGTGCTTTTGACACTGTCAACCGCGATAAACTACTCTCCGTACTCGAAGAAATCGTCGACGAAGATGAACTACGGCTGATCCGACTACTACTTCGCGACACCAGACTCGCACTCCGACTCGACAACCACCTGCTGACACCATTCGAGAGCAACACAGGTACTCCCCGAGGTGACTCACTTTCCCCTGTTCTCTTTGTTGTGTACCTAGAAGCAGTTCTCCGAGACTTAGCTGACCGCCTCGACGTTCTCCACGATCTTCTCGCCGACATGATCGTATACGCCGACGACGCAGACTTCATCTGCAGCAGCGAAGAAATCGCCCATTTGATCGAATCCCAAGCGCCGTCCATTCTGGCAGAGTGGTCTCTTCAAATGAACACGTCCAAGACAGAACACACCGACGTACACCGTAGTTCGACTGGATGCATCAACAGAATTGAGCGCGCAAAAGAAGAAACGTGGCGAAACTCACGCAAACTGAGTTCTCTCCTAGGCGACTGTGAAGACATCTCCAGGCGTAAAACCCTCGCAACTGCAGCACTCCACCGCATGTGGAAGCTGTGGCTTCGGCCATCGAAGACATCTGAGGCAACGCGCGTCCGACTCTACAACTGCTACGTGCTCCCGGTCCTACTATACAACTTTGGCACCTGGGCTCTGACTCGCTCGGCCTCGAGAGCTTTCATCGGCAACAACTACGCACAGTGATCGGCCTGAAATACCCGCACAAGATCTCCAACGACAAGCTTTATGACCGGACCGGGACCGACCCACTCCGCTACCATCTTCTTCCCAGCCGATGGAACCTCCTCGGCCAAATCCTGCGCAGACCGGCGGGCATTCCTGCGTACCGCTTCATGTATGCCTATTTTCGATCCAGTAACAACGGCAGGTGGCAAAGCAGACGACGACTAACGCTAGTTCTCGACGCAGACCTCCAGACCCTATCGTCCGGGTGACCTCTACCTTCTCCGCCTCTGTGCGAAAGACCGGAAGGGGTGGAAAGCACTCGTTGACGCGCTACTTGCATACGTGCCACACGACGGGCTGTGGGCGAGGGCAGAGAGTACGACAGAGAGAGAGATAACCCGGCGCATGCGAATGTTGAACTAAGGTAAGGTGCAGCTGCGTGCCTACAACCAGTTCCTTGTCTTAGCCAATTAGCATCTTCTCCTTGTTAAACTCTCGTAGTCTATTGGTAGATTTTTCCAGCGTCACATGCAATTTCCGGTGATGAGCCTCCTAGGACAAAAATGCTATCAAAAAGAGGCAGGAAACTGGCAGCTCACTCCAAATCAACAAGCTTTTCAAAACAATAACAAGACGTTCTGCAAAATTTACACGGACCAGCGTGAAGTACATAAAATCAGCCCAATCGCGCAGATTTAGCGGGTGCAATCAGATTTCAGAATGGACAATTCAATGAAAAGTTATGCCACAGCAAGTCCGCAAGTTCGAAGGACGGCACGAAACTGGCAGAAGACCTTACTTCGGTAGCGAGACTGACCGCGAAACGCGTTCACAATACAATACAACAAGCACATAATCCGTGCATCAGCCCTGATTTGTTGGCTCAGCTTTGGTCCGCTACGCCACATCGAGATCGATCTAGCGCCTATTGCCTGGGATTTTCCACATCAGATATAGTATCTGCTCCTCGTTAGAACGTGTGTGCACACGTTCAGTCTCGCGAGAAATTCGAAGAGGATCGATTTATGGGTGCTGGCCTGCTTTACACAGTTACTTTTATTTGGTGAGCCAATTTGATTTGACGGTTAAATCGGGGCGGCAAAATGTGTGCAAGGCACAATACATGACCGTACTTATTGTAGGATAAGGAAGCTTTCTCCCAACTTGGCATTCCTTGCGCTTCTCTGTCATTGCATCTATCCAATCAGGACAAGTTCTTCAATGAATTTAGCCAATCACGATCGACTCGTGTGTATCCCAACATTTTCCCAATTATTTTGGGAATTTACAGTCTTGCTAGAATAATGTCCAATACAAAGTTTAGTGTAATTGTTGCATTACTCATATTTGACCGCAAATTCCCAATACAAATCATGATTGTATCGTTGGTGGCTGTGACTCGTCTGCTTTCTCTCCTCTCCCATTTGAAAAGATGCAGCGGGCGCCGAGAGGGCTTGACATCCCGCAAGGGACAGCAGGGCAGGAGGCAGCGGCGATGAAGTGCTTCAGCGAATTCTTAGCTCTTGCTAACATGAATGAGGAGTCAATTGCTAGTATTGCGAAGTCGCTGTCTATTCCTGATGCTCTACCAAGTCAAAACTTTTACTCTTTGCTAACCGCCTTCTCCATTTTCTTGCAAACTAAGCCAAGTGCTCGAGGAGGCCGTCTTGCTAAGGCTACTGATGTGGGCTATATGTCCCAAGTTGTGAACCTGCTCCGAGAGCGGTACCCTCTGTACTTGTCAGACAGCAAGCGAATTGCGAAAATACGCGACAAAATGGGTTCAACTATTGAGGAGCGAAATTTGCTAGCTGGCGTGCAGACTGGTGAAGCTCCAGGCTGCACGCTCAGCGACTTGCGTGTTCTGGTGCAGGAAACTGCGATTAAGGGGGTTGGCTCAGGTTATAAGAGTTTGCATGACGCTACTGTACTAACGTTAATGTGGCACACGTTTGGTCGAGCGATCGATACTTGTTTTGCTAGGAAGAGCCAGCTATCTATGGCGATATCGGGGGAGCTCTTTCTGCATCTAGCTCGAATCAAGACTTCGGTGGTTCAAGGCATCTCAATTTACAAGGCCGCGACTCACTGGGAGCAGTGTATGCTGCACAGCCTCGGAATGCTGTTCGTCAGAGCGTCGGAGCCTTCCAGCTATGTGTTCCCGCTAGTGCCGCACGCGGCGGCATCGGATTTGCCAGGGGAGAAGACCTACAGCCACGACGAAGCTATACTTTACTGGGAGAACCTTGAAGAGAAAGCTGAACCAAGGAACGAGAGAGAGCCACCAACAAAGCGCGTGAGACCAACGTGTCCAAGTATATTAACGGCGTCATCACCATGGTCTACGAGCGCCAAGCCCAGGCCTCTTCCCCGCTGCCCCCGACGCTCACCGCAGGGCTGAGCAGCCACTCCTTGCGCCGCGGCTCCGCAGCGTATGCAAACGCCTCACCGCAGCTTGCGATCCAGTGGATCTCGACCCGGGGAGCTTGGCTGCTGGACTCGCTCACGAAGGCGTTCGCGTACGTGGGTACCACGACACGCGAGGACCAGAGCCCTCGCTGGATACCGAGACCCGCACCTGCCATGCGTCACGCCCACGATTGCCACCTTGAGCGAGCTTCTTCCTGCGCTCGAGTACGCCCAGCTGCTAACCCTGCGCGGCCAGCTCTTCAAGAACGTCAGCAGCTTCACGGACACCACGCTCAACGTTGATGCCTTAGTCCTGGATGCGGCGCTCGCGTCCCTGCTCATCCATCTTGACGACGTCGCGACGGCAGTCCAGCAGGAGCAGGCTGCCACAGGCTTCACATCGCATTACCTGTACCGCTTCCACGAAGGTCTGGACGTAACCAACGTAGCGCTGGGAGCTCGGCTCTCGCCGGACACGTGCATTGGTTGGGGTCGGCAGCTTCGCGCGGCTTGGCAAACGGAGAACTTCGGACAGCTGGGTGAACGCAGCAATGGAGACACCACCATACTTGCCGCAGCCGTCACCCAGATGCTATCGGCCATCGCAGCAATGCAGCGCACACTTCAGAAGCTCGTCGCGGTCCACGAGAGCAAGTCCACCAGCGCTGACGGTCCTGCTCCTTGTCGCTGTGCTGGCCAGGCCCCGCAGGCGAGCACTGACACCGTCGTTGAAGCGCACTCTCTTGCTGGCTGCTTCTACAACTGGTACACACTGGAGCTGTGGCACACGGCAACCCAAAAGAAACAACAGTTTGTTCGTGCTGACCTCAAGGCAGGCGTCAACATCATGATCATAGCAGCAGGGCGAGAGGTAAACGTACCAACGGCGCCACTGGATCGGGACGGCGTCGCGTATCGGCTGTGGAAGCAGCGTGTCTGGATGCTAGCGGAAGACTTGGACAAGAAGGTCAACGCTGCGCTTGGGAGTATCGACGGTAAATGCCGGTCCAAAACCGCGGGGTCGCTACGGAAGCGCTGGAGAAAGCTGCGCGTTGACCACCGCTCTTCGTACGACGCGCTCTGCTCAGCATTTATCACCCCCAAAGCGAACGGTGGCATCGTCGACCGCTGCACACCAGCTAGTCACCAATGGAAGCAAAAAGACTTGGAGTCGTAGGATCACGCAGCTTGTATTAACGCTTAATATATTCCTATTCATACAACATGGATAATCGAATTCAAGGCGCAAATGCACCCGTCATCGCCATCCCACAACTTACGCACAGCGTATGCATTCCCGTCAGTCCCGATACAAAGTCATACACAATAGAAAAACGCTCACATACCGTCAGCGAGTGCGCACGACCTCGTGCTTGGCCGACAGCTATCAAAACCGGCAGCATAACACCCGCCCTGCCGGGTTTTGTAGCTGCTTTCGACGGGTCCTTGCGTGGGGCGCGTGGGGCGCGCCTGGGGGCACTCGGGTCTGGGGTGGTCGGCGGGGGAGGCGTGCGGCATGCTCGGAGCGCGCTGTCGTGTTGGAGATGCGGGGCGGAAAGTGTGAAGGCGGAGAAGGCTGCGCAGCCGGCCAAAAATAAAACCTTAAGGTTTTTCTTGGCTTTGGAGCCGATAAACCAGTCCATACTTTGTTGAAGTCATATGGAATCTCACTTATGATTTGCTCTCCTCATTGGGAGCGGCGTTTGGGACCTGGTCGATTAATGTAGTTACGCCGCCTTTACCTCAATTCAAACAGTCATGTTAGGACTTTCGTACTTAGTCGGGAAAATCCTAATCTAAAGTTTTTAGAAGTCCTAATGGAGACGATGGCTACGTGTGCACTTGAAGGTTGACAAGGGCGAAACCCTTGGTTTGAACGACATCTTGATTCTTGTATGGGTCATGTGGCTCCTTTTTTGTCCTGGCTCATTTTACCGTAGGTCCAATACGGATAGGACTTAGGACTAAAGTCTTAACCAGACGCACGTGCAGTGCACTTTCGTAGCTGGTTAATCCATGCAGTACTATTCATGTGCATGTACACGCGCTAGGCGTCCAGAATGTAGACGCAGTTTGCGTTACGGTACATGTACCGTAGTGCTATACGGTATTCGTCTTCTGTCTCTGTAGCACGGGCTCTGCGGGTTCCGGACAACCCCGTGAGTTGGAAAACCTTGCTTGAGGTTGTGGCTACAAGAGTGCTGTCAGTACCGTAGCGCGTCAGCAGCGCAGAACAACACGGAGCTCGTGCCGAAAAGCACGTCAACGGCGCAATTCCGACGCGGGGAGAGGCCACCACGTAGTCGTTCTCTTCGTGTTTGTGCCGGTACGTAACTTAACAGCGTGGAAGCGCAACACACAGCCGCTTTACTTCGGTATAATGCCGGGTACATGTGAGAAGGATGGCGGGACCCCGGGGTCTCATCACATATCGGTATGATACCGACGGTATCAAATCATCAGATGTATTGAAAAATGTATTGTGCCTTTCACTTATTCTGCCGTGGCATAACTCTAATTCCTTATCGACCTTAATTATGCCCCGAGTTAGCTAATTCCCATGTTAATTCCGGGTCGTCCCTCCGTGGCCGAATTAGGAGCGGCGATGGTGAGGCCGAGTCAAGGCGGAATAAGCTAATCCAGCCTGCATTAGGCGGAAACAGAGTGATTGGCGGTACCCTACCCGCCAATCCGCTCGTATCTCCGTCGATTGGCTCTCAAATGCTGATCGCGGAGGGGAACAATCTTAGCACTAAATAAGCGGTGATCGCCCTTTTATGACTCTAATTCCCCCTGAATTAACAGCTCACCCGCCAAAATACGTGAAAGGCACAATATGTGTTAGCTAAAGGAAAAGCAAGTCTCCTTCTCTCCGTTCGCCTACTTCGTTGACGAGCTAAAGAACTGCAGGATAGATGGCTGGTTAGATTTCAGGCCGGCCTTCTTCTTTTTAGGCCGGCCAGGATTCCGCTTCGTTGAGGTTTTAGACGTAGATTTGTTAACCGCCGCGCTAGAAGGTGAAGCTGCGTTCATGATCGTCTCAGGTACATCGGGGTAGTAGCTCAGGTACTCTTTCGGGATAGAAAAGTACTTAGCTTCGCCGCTGAGCGATTGCTTCGTTAAGGTGAGTTCTCTTTTCCAGTAGTACAACCTCGCGCTCTTCCTCGGAAATATTGGGCTGCTGAAGCAAAATATCTAGGAGAACGCAGCAGTCACAGACATCCTCCGCTGTTCGTTTTAGATGGACACCAGGAAAGTAGTACCGCTTGTACTGGGTGAAGCGGGAGTAGCTTAGTGTGTGGGCATCTGGGTTGATTCGGGCGATATCGTCCACATAGCGAGTGTGTACAATCTTCCACGTCAGCTTGGGCTCAGTGAAGTACTGCCGCGGGTGTCGGTGGGCGCACGGAAACCCATCCTCCAATATCCACGTAGTACAATGCGCTTTGAGACGAGCAACATCGTCCTCCGTGAATGCGTGCCAGGGTGTAAGTTTTGCGCGCCTTGTGAGCAACGACTCAATTCCAACCTCTAGCACCTTCCTTAGTCTTGCTACGCGACTTCCACCGACCGGTATGATCGCTCTAATCACACGTTCCGAGAGTCCTAATTGTAGAAGCTGGAGCACGACACCTTCCGACTGCTGTCACTCTTTTCCGCCATAGCTTGTGTCCCATGAGTCCCAGTCCCGACGGATCTGCTGAACTCGCTCCTCCCCCAGGATGGCTACGGCCCGCTTGTACGCTGCTTGCTTCCGATCAGAGGCTTTTTTCTTTTACGTATCGGTCTGAGGCTCTGGGAGCCACCTCCGCGGCGTCGTGCCATTTACTTACGAAGCTTAAGCGAAAATGGTAAGACCCTCGATCGTTTCAACGCTGCCCTTGATAAAAATAAATAATTGCCGATACCGATTATTTCGGATGGGGGACACCGGGGTCCCGCCAACTGTTTCATATGAAGCGGCCCGAATTGGCAGCACGTCCATCCTGTATATGATTTTGCATTAAGCACACCGTGCCTGTTTTTATGGGTTACAAGCTACGAAATAGCCCAGCAAATCGGAGCTTTCCAGTGGTACCAGTGCTATTTCCTACTTTTTCGTAAAGTAAAAACTACAATCACATTTCTTGAGGACTTGTTTTGCGGCCCCTGATTGACCCAACAACACTTCAAAGAATATTGTGGCTTGCAGCGATTTTGGCAAATCAGCGCCTCATATGTCCGATATATCGGGGCCGATTTGTTAAAGTGGCCCGATTTGATGGCATTGCCATTCCGATTTGTTAGCAGCTATACTGCCTACGGTAATAAGTCTGTGTGCGGAAATAGTCTATGTTCGAAAATAGTCTTGGTCAGACTATTTATTGTACTGGTCAAATTGTAGAATTCATAATTAGTCTGACCACTTCAACTTCAAAATTAGTCTCTCCTGTGTCGTGCGGGTAAGGGTGCAAGGCTCTTATCGGTTCGAGTCACACATTACATTTTTTTCTCCTTTGCAAGTGTTTTTATTGTTTGTGGTTAAAACGAAGTGGAATGAGAAGAAGTTGGAATTGATCAAGGACAATTGGCAAAACAAAGTCAGGAAGAAAGGCTCATGGTCTGGTGCTGGTTAAAACTTCCTAAAACCGAACTAAACTGTCCTAATTTTCCTAAAAAATATTAACTTGACTTTAGTAGGCACATTTCCCAGTTAACAGTCAGTACTCGGGACCAGTCTTCCTGGAAGAACGGTCTCAGCAACATGGCCAAAAACTCTAAGGGGGCGGACACTCGCCCGTTGGCTCTCACCTGCGGACTTAGCGACGGACTTCGGGGGGCCCGCCCCTCTCTCGCTTCGCTCGGGGAGCGCCGCTGCGCGGCCTGCCCCACCCCCTCGTGCCTTACGCTAAGTTCTCGGCTCGGCCAGGTGCGGTGTCTAGAAAAAAAATATCGGGTTGCAGCGCTCGCGTCCGCTCGCTCGCGCACCCCCCCCCCCCTGATCGGCGGGTGTTGGCTATCGGTGAATGCATCGAGTGAGCCTCGCGCTCGCATCCGCTCGCCCTCGTCCGAATAAATTACCGGTATTTCTACTTAATTAGGTTAATATACGTTAGGACAATTAGAGCAGTTTTAGAACACTTTTTATGAACGTTTTCGCTGCTACCCATGGTCAAAATCCAGGGAAAAAGTTCTTCCTCCAGCTTGCTGCAGAGGCGGTGAAAGCCGTCAACCTTAAAAATGGCATATCCTATGCGCGCAAGGCGATAATTCGATGTGGACTTTCACTTGGAATCGATGGTACCTGGTCGGTTGGACAGCTCTACCCGCATCTTCAAGATATTATCGCGAAACACCGCGACCACTTCAAAGGTAAGCCGGCCGATGAAAAGTCCGAGTAAGACTCTTTTGTGTGTGTTGCTTCATAAATAGTCTTAGCAAAAATATAGTCTAGGTCAGACTATTTATTGTCTAAGAGCAATGAATCATTCAATCAAAAATAGTCTAGGTCAGACTTAGGCAGTGTACCCGAATGGCCGCTATAATGTTGCAATTCTGAGGGGCAGTGATTATCTCAGTTCAGCAGTAGCAAATCCACTGCAATCAGGGGTGCATGCAGGCCAGCCTGCCTTAAGCTTACACTGGAACGTAGTACGGTACTACTAGTTCAGAAATACGCCATGTTTATGACCGTAGTTTGTGTGGGTTTTGGCTCCATTACTTGACTTTACTATGGATTTCACTAGCTTTGAATGTTCGATCCCTATTTCAGACTCCTACAGCTCCGATTTATATAAATTGGGGTCCGATATAAAGTTGTAAATGAGAGGGCAAAATCCCTGCAAGCCACATCTCAATTTGACCCACACCAAGCAAGTCGTTCCCGTACCATATTACTACACTGTGGTATTATGATCAATCACTTGTGTCGAGCATTCGTAAGACAGTTAGTTTGACGACAAATCAAATCTAGTGTTTTGATTGGCGAATAGTACGACTTGCAATTCTGTTGGCACTGCCAGGCGCAGAGTGCTCGCAGGCTCTGCTAGGAAGGCCCGCGTTCCTCTTCGCTACTCTTTTTGATGCATTTCGTTGCACTTCGTATCCTGACTAATATCGGGCGCAGCATAGTAGTGGTAGTAATGATTGGCGGTTCGATAGGACTGTGCGGAGGAGCGCTGCGACACCAACAAACTCCCTCTACATATTTAAAACACCACGGCGAGCTTAGATCGTTTAGATTTCCTAGTACTACAGTAGCAGGCCGAGCAAACTGGTAAGCGCCTTCAGCCGGGCTGATCAATTACTTTAGCTTTGGCATTTTTCATGTATTCCCGAGAAGTTTCGCCGCTCATTTGACTCTTAGAGGCCCTCACGTCGTTTTGTAGTTATTTGTTTGCGACACCACCAACAGCTTACCTACACGTGGCCGCGGGTGAGGTCGGTGGTGTCCACTACCGACGTAGGTGGAGCTGCAGCAGTGTGCGCCTCCGGGAGTAAGGTAGCCAAGCAAACCGCAACAAATACAAATACAAATACAAATACCAAGACTGACTGACGCTGCCTTGTTGCTACTACAAAACAGTTCATTTCATGACTTTGGTAAGATCCCATAATGTATTGATTGTCTACTCCCTCGCGTCCTCCGACAACGCCTCGGTGCGGAGCATGTGTGCGCGCTCGTCGTGCACTGCTTCGCTCGGAGGCGTCCTCAGAGGACACGACAGGGTTCGTGGGCCGCACTACCGGAGGAAGAGGGGCTCTATTTGGTTATGCATTAACTAGAATTCACTATAAAGCCCTGAACGTTTTGTTTGTCAAGCTGGGCTAATGGTTCAGGTGCATTTATTTCTTAACCATTCTCAAACAAGCGTGTACATTGTAGTTGGCAGTAGGGCCGCACTACCGACTACATGTTCGTGCTTGTGAGCGCCTTATTTCGTCGGCTCGACTGTAGGTGGCACGAGCAATTCAAAAACAGCAAAGCGGTTGTCCTCGGGTTCCTACATGCTCAACGGAGGAACGCACGCAACGACACTACCCTCTGAAAGTTTTGGCCAATCGCATGGTGCAAATTGTTGTCCGACAAACTGTCTTACGTTTTGACGGACAAAATACAATGTAGCCACTGGTATACTAAAACCAAGATGTAGCCAAAATGCGTTTGATTGCAAAACGTAAGACGCTTTGTCTTACGGTAGGCTCTCTGGGGCTAAGTATCGTCTTACGAAAGAGCATGAATCTTATACTGCAGTAACTTGTATATATATATATATATATATATTGTAATCCAGGGGCCCCTAGTGTCCCTGTGGGTAAGGCCAACGAAGATCAAGCGTTCCACTGAGGGTTCGAGTCTCGCCCGGAGCGATTCCGATACAAACGCCACGTAAGTCTATTTTCCGACCCCCGACGACCTCCATCACTACATCCCCTGGAACCCCCTAAGTCACCCCCCTAATGGAACTCCCGATTAACCTCTGCAACCGCATCCCCTAAAACCACCGCCTCACCACGACCTCAGGAAGGGAAACCGATCAACTAGGAATAATTTAGGGTAACTCACTTAGACGTCAAAGTGCCAGCTTCCAGCAGGCTCCGAAATAAGGGCCTAAATATACGCCACCAGGTCAAGTACCTGGGACCTTCTATATATATATATTATAATCCTGGACGGATCCCGGACGGGAAACATACGAGTCCTGGCACTTGAAGCGGCTTGCATACACGTGGTGTGAGCGCGAAGCGAATGAGAAGTTGCAATTGAAACACGGGTACATAGCTACTGTCAGACGTACACGTAAAACCCAGAACTTTGTTTTTCGAAGCAGTCGGCGTCTGAAGCAGGTAAGAACATGCATGAATCCACTTGAGGCCACGGCCAGTAAGTTTGACGAACTACAGCAACGCCTCGAATTAGTTGCAGTATTGCACAGCACGCCGTTCCGAACTGACCTAGCATCCTGCTGACGGTAAATTCACGCATAATTACTCATCGACTACGAAATCTAATGCTTTAGTGTTTGTATCCAATTCTGTGAAGGCTCGAACCGCCCAGGACCGCGGTCGTTCGCTGACAACGAATCGTTGTAGACGCGCGAATCGACTGGCGACCGCACTGGTGGCCGATCGACTGGCTGGCCCGGTCCACTTGAAAGGAGAGAGTATCTCCACTCAGCCCTCAATGTAACGGGACACGACCATCGTGATGCTGTCGTACGACATGAAGATAACACCTTGGCCGGGGATGACGCGGCCTAGCCGTGGCACCACACCAGCGTAAAATGACCCCACGCCTTCATGCACCAGCATCTGGCGGAAACAGTCGAAGGTGCTCTTGTACTTGTGTGCGTCTAGACCCTGCATCCGCGTCTTCACCACGTCAAACGCTGTTGTGCACAACCCAAGCCGTTAACAGTTAGCTTAGCACCAGAATCCACAGCGACCCACGTACGATTGTTGCCGAAGACACTGAAGATTCCCGCCGTCATGCCACCGATGAGGCTTAGAGACGCTCGCTGGCTGCCCGTCATGTTCTGCGCGTCGTGGATGATTTCATGACGCTCCAGAAACTCGGGGCTCATACGCTTCTGGAACTCGCTGAACCACATGAAGCGCAGGCCTTGGTTGGTTGACTACAGTTCAAAGTACACGAATACAAAGCAACCGTTCCGTTAACCGATCGGACCCACGAGAGATATCTCCTCCGTCACTGTTACATACCTGCTTGAGAATCGTAGCCCAGAGCCCCTGATAAATACCACGAATGCCCTCCTTCGCGAGGATCATCTTCGTTCCTTCCCACACACCGGCATTGGCACCAATGAGCTTGGTCTTGAGCGTCTCAATCTGTATCGCCACACAACAAAAGTTTGTAAGACTCGGGCGCGTACCTACTGCTGCTGTCATTGACCTACCGGTGTCGTGGTGAATGTGGCCTCGATGGCACCGGCCATCATTCCAGCCGCGAGGTTGCGCACGGCTGACGTCTTGCCGTCCTCGTCCGCTAGCCTCCGCTTAATGAAGTCGAAGGCTCCGAAGCGGATACCGGCCTTAGGGATGGAGCCTACGAGCACCGGTGCCAGTCCCCGGTACAGTGATCCGACACCGTCGGTCTGCACGTGGTAGCGGAAGCCGCCGATCATCCCCGTGTACTGCGCGCGCATGGTGCCCAACTGCAGGTTGGTTTTGATCATCTCCATGGGCCAAATGGTGAGCGTCTCGATGCCGCCGGCGATGGCGCCCGCCGTCGTGGCCACCATGGGGTTCTTGGACTTAGTCACCATCTTAGTGAACTGTACTGTGTCCGTCGACGCACGACGCCGACGCTCGGAGAGATTCGAAATGCCGTGTTGGGCGTGAGACGCAGCAGCTTCAGTTCTGAAGTTGCGCGTGGGATAGCCACAAGAACTCGAGCAGAAACAACCGGTTGGTGGTGTAGCACATCTGGCAGGAAATTGCACAAACAGTGCGGGTGATTTCCGTTGCCGGACGTCGTCTCTCTGTTGGACGATATCTACCAGCATCGGCTGTACACAGCACGAATGATGGCAAGGTGAGTGTGTGAAGCTGGCAGTGTACATGAACGACGTCCACTGGTGCCCAATGCAAGTGCTTTTGTGCGCTGCGCAAGACACGTCCTTGAAGTTTCGTGCTTTACCGATGATGTCATTTGTTTCGGTGGTCCTGCACTCTCACCCCCTAGTCTACCACACGCATCAGTCCAAGCTGTCGAGTGCGCCCCGCAGCCGCTGGACGCCCGTGCGGATCTCTTCTTCGTCGTAGAAGGCGAAGGATAGGCGCGCGGAACGCGTCATGGCCTCGCTGGACGGCACTCCGCCGTCACCATCGCCGTAGAGAGTCCCGAGCGAGCACCGCGTGCCGGGAGTGAAGGCGACGCCGTGGTGGGCCATTGACTCCTTCAGCAGTGTGTCAGCATTCACGCCGTCGGGCAGGTGCACCCACACAAAGTATCCGCCACTCGGCTCCGTAAATGCGACCTCGGGGCAATACTCGCGTAGAGCATCGCACATGGCGTCTTTGCGAACTCGGAAAACGCTCTTCAAATGGTCAATGTGAGGCAGTAGCAGGTCTTGCTCCAGCACTGATCGTATGGACGAAAGCCGCGAGCCATGGCACGCAATGCCGCAAAGTTAGGGAACAGGTTGAGCAGGATACCAGTACCTAGGGGGCCTGCAAAACACTCACCGCTATGGACGAGGGCTGCGGTGACAGGGTTCTGCCCACCGCCGCTACGAAGCGCTCCGATTGTTGATAGCGTCTCAATAGTGTCCTCGCTGCTCTGAGCCCAGCCTGTGATACAATACGTCGTAAGTGAGTATGTTGCGCGAGTTCTTGATGAAAGAAATGGGGTTCTTCTCACCGAGACGAAGTCCAGGGGCTAGGATCTTCGAAAAGCTGCCTAGCGACACAACCAGACCGGAATCATCATAGGACGCAAGCGATGGCAACGCACCACCGTCCAGGTGCAGGAGGTTGTAAGGTTCGTCCGAAATGATACGGAACTGGTATTTCTGCGCCAGAGCAACAAGACGCTTGCAACGGTCGGGCAACATCACAGCCCCCGTTGGGTTGTGGAAGAACGGGATCGTGTACAGGAACGCAGGGACGTCTCCACCCGCGAGTTTGTCCTCCAGCACGTCCAGCTATCCACACAACCCCAGCGCATTTTAGCCTCTCATCGCCACAACAACACCCCCCTCGTCACCCAGCCATACGATACGTACGTCAATGCCGTCCTCTCCTGCGTGGACGCCTTTCAAGTCCAATCCGAGCTCACGGAAGATATCATGCGCCAGAAAGTAGGTCGGTTCCTCCACAAACACGCGCTTGTTGGTCTTGGAGTACACCATTGCGGCGTGTGAGATGGCTTGCGAGTTGCCCGCAGTGACCATCAGCGTCTCCGGGTCGACAGCGTCGGCTCCTAGTCACGGCAGCACAGCACTCAGTCGATGTCCTCCGTCGTCTCGGTAATCATTTCGGCGATCTGTCTGTTACCTGCCACGAGTTTGGCGATCTCCTCTCGGAAGCCAATGAACCCTTTGGCGACCCCATACTGCAGCATCAACGGGTCCTGGGTCGGCTTAAAGCGAGCGGTTGCAGTGACTCGGAACGTATCCAGAGGTAGCAGCGACGCGGAAGGCTGACCCAGGCCAAAGTTGATGACGCTGCTGGTCGTGTGCGTTTGTGCGTAGGGCGACGACTGCACTGAGCTCACGGGAGGGGGGTCCGAGCTAGAGTGCAGACTGCGATACAGACCTGCAGCTTGCCATGACGCGCGGAGGTGCCGTGCACTGAGAGCATTGCGGCCCCCGCGGCGGAGCAGCGCAGCCATGTTCCGATTTTTGCGGATACCTTCGAACTGAGCTTCAGGCTGTGTACAGCTGGTGTGCGGGTTGTGGTATTAGCGAGGTGCTTCAACTTGGACCATGACTCGGCGATTGTTTTGCCAAAGCTGCTTCGGCGCACTGCAATGGCGGCAGCAATGACGAGAGCTGCAAGGGGTTGGTTGGGTCCACCACTCGGTTAGCGCTTGGCCAATGTTGTTGTAAGTTGCCGCAATGTGCTCCGCCCGGGAAAAGCAAGGTTTGATGAAGTACCACAATCTCACTTCAAGAACGACACTCCAACCCGGCGCATTTTGGCCCATTCATTACCTTGGTTGATGATGCCTTCGAACAATCGTTACACTGCTCAGCATCCTTTAGTGAAAGGAATTACTGTTGTGGGAGCAAAATACTCCAAGCAGCTTGATAGTGCCTACCGGTAGTCGCGCAAAACGAGTAAGATCCGAGGGGACCATGTACGTTCCCCATTCAATCAAATGATGAGCGCCTCTCACTTACTGCGCGCACCCCCGCTACCCGTTCTATACAACTAGCATCGGACAGTTAAGGGGTTCCTTGCATTCGCCCGACGTCGGAAGATCTGGCAATATTGCCGATGCTTTTCGTAGTACCCTTCAGTTGACAGCTCTGCATACCGCTGTCGCCGGCGCCGCTATCGCGAATTTCGGGTTTGAAGTTTCACAATAGCCCTTAGCCCTACCCGCTAACCGGCTTTCGGACCGCGGACCGTAACCGAACCGGCTGCGCGTCCGAAGTAGCGCTTAAGTGCCGCTTAAGTAAACGCATTTCAACCAGCCAATTCGCAGCGGCGACGGTGAAGTAACGGCAGCGCGCCGCGGCTCCCTTGCGGGCTTTGGAGCCTGGAAGCCCGTCCAGCGAGTCAATTGGCATAAATTCTCCCGAGAAGACTGAAGCAAAATGGTGATTAAGTAAGTGCGACACCTTTTCTATGGATACATGCATGGCTATGAGCTCCGGTCTGGAGACGCGGGCAATACAGCGAGTGCGGAGGCGCAACAGACATAGGCAATGGGTGTAGCAGTGCATGCACCCACACAGGCAGGCAGGCAGGCAGGCAGGCAGAGCACCAGCAGACTCGGATGACTACAGTCGACGAACAGCTCCACAGATCAGCAGCTTTCCATCCAGCCTGAGCGCCTCTCGCTCCGCCTTCAGCTCGTGTTCAATTAGCTCACTAGCACAGCAGCAAAAGACAGCGAGCGGTGACCCTAACGACGTGTGCGGCGTTTTGACCTCAGGACCGAGACGTGCTCGTTCAGCGAGAGCCGCATCTACCCCGGCCACGGCTCGCGCTTCATCCGTCGTGATGGCTCGGCTTACGTGTTCATCAACTCAAAGAGCAAGTCGCTCTTCATGCAGCGCAAGAAGGCCACCAAGATCGTGTGGACCCTGGGCTGGCGCCGCATGAACAAGAAGCTCAAGGTTCGTTGCCAGTAGTCATCGGCAGATGTTTTAGGTTGATACAGATCAGCGTCCAGAAGCTCACGTGCGTTATCTTCGTCGTCGTAACAGGTTGAGGAGGTCGCCCGCCGTCGCGCTCGCAAGACCACCAAGATCCAGCGTGCCATCGTCGGTGTCTCGGCTGAGGACGTAAGTTGCCGCTGCTGTTTAACTACGCGTTGGTACGATTGAGCGTGACTTCTGACATGCATGTATCGACAACAGATCCGCAAGAAGCGCAACCAGAAGCCGGAGGTCCGTGCCGCCGCTCGCGCCGCCCTGAAGGAGGCTAAGGAGCGTAGCAAGGCCAAGAAGTCGGTGAACAAGGCCGAGCACGCCAACAAGGGATCCAAGGGCGGCAACGCCCCCCGTGCCCAGAAGAAGTCGGGCAACCGCGGTGCCATCTAAATCAGTTGACCTGATCGACTGATCGACGTCGCGACTCGGGAGTCTCGCCACCTCTTGAATGCCAATCATCGACACGGGAATTTCCCTCTTTACTGCTTTCGGGCAATGGGCGGGCGCTCTAGTGCCTCGTTTGCCAGTTAGTTTGGACGCAGTCTGTGCTGCCGAGTTAAGTGGAACGAACACAATAGAGGTCAGTCTTGGAGGGGGAATCTCGCTTCCTATGCCAATTTGCCATGTCATCCTCGATCCTCAGTTGTGTCTGTGAATGTGCTGCGAGTGTCAAGCCAAGATGGGCTGACGAAGATGAATGTCGATGGGCCCTTTGGTAAACTTGGTCCACCTTGACCACCTCTATTAGCTTACGTCTAGACAATAGCCATGCATGTGCCAGGGCTACAGTACAGTACTCTTCACCGCATGGAGGTTGTGTTGCTTCATGCTGCATATGCGTCGACCATGAGCTATAGGCTCCGTGTACCAATCAAATCTCCATACGGAGCGCAAGGAGCTACGCACCACCAACTCGAGTGCTGCCTTTTTGGGTTTGTGTGTCAACATAAAGAGGCTTGCGGCCAACCAGCTCACCCCTTGGACTCAGTTGCGAATCTCTCCTTGTCACCATGTCGACCGCCACGCCCCCACCCGCCCCTGCCGCCAATACCGAAGCCCCCAAGGAGCTCACGAGCAAGGACTACTACTTCGACTCGTATTCGCACTTCGGCATCCATGAGGAGATGCTCAAGGACACGGTGCGCACCAAGGCGTACATGAACGCCATCCTGCAGAGCAAGCACCTGTTCAAGGACAAGGTCGTGCTGGACGTGGGCTGCGGCACGGGCATCCTGTCCATGTTCGCCGCCAAGGCCGGCGCCAAGCACGTCTACGGCGTCGACTGCTCGGGCATCCTGACGCAGGCGCGCGAGATCGTCAGGGCCAACGGCTTCGCCGACAAGATCACGCTCATCCAGGGCAAGATGGAGGAGCTGACGCTGCCCGTGGACAAGGTGGACATCATCATCTCCGAGTGGATGGGCTACTTCCTGCTCTACGAGTCCATGCTGGACACGGTGCTCTACGCGCGCGACAAGTACCTGGTGCCTGGCGGCCTCATGTTCCCGGACCACTCGACGCTCTACATCGGCGCCATCGAGGACGGCGATTACAAGGCCGAGAAGCTCGACTTCTGGGACAACGTCTACGGCTTCGACATGAGCTGCATCCGGGACATCGCCAAGGTCGAGCCGCTCGTGGACACGGTGGGCAGCGACGCGCTGCTCACGGACGTGTGCCCCATCCTGGACATTGACCTGACCAAGGTGACCAAGGAGGAGCTCGCCTTCTCGTCCAAGTTCAAGCTCACGACCTTCCGTCAGGACTTCTGCCACGCGCTGGTGGCCTACTTCGACTGCACCTTCTCGGCCACGCACAAGAAGCTGAGCTTCTCGACGGGCCCCAAGGCTGAGTACACGCACTGGAAGCAGACCGTGTTCTACCTGGAGGGCGAGCTGGCCTGCAGCCCCGGTGAGGTCATCGAGGGCGAGCTCACCTGCAAGCCCAACGCGACCAACCCGCGCGACCTGGACATTGACATTAACGTGCGCTTCGACGGCGCCAGCGGCTCGTACAACAAGCTGCACGAGTTCAAGCTGCGCTAAACTGCAGCGGCTACCTACACCTTCCTACCTGCATGCATCTGAGTAGACTAGAAACTTAAACGCACCCTTTGAAAGAAAGATACTCAAACATTTTCGTCCTCCTCCTCTTCCTATATGCAGCCAGCCGTTGCGCTTGCTTTCACCCCTTCCTTCGCTCTTCAATCTCGCTTTTTTCTCTATAAATACAGTATCTTCCTCCTGCTTGCTTTCGTCTTGCTGCCTCGGTGTGCCGGACGACTTTAAACCAGCACACCAAATTACTGGCGCCCCCTACTGCTCGATGTCCTCCATTTCCATGTCGCCATCAGCGTCTTCCTCTTCGGCTTCTTCGACAGAGTCAGCCTCGTCATCCTCGTCGTCCTCTTCTTCAAGGTCGATGTCCTCTTCCATGCCCTCGGCAGCGTTACCGTCAATGACAATGTCCGTGTAGTTGTGGTCGAGCTGAGCAGCGGCCTTGACGAGCTCCTCGTCGTCCACAAAGTCCATGTCGAGGTCGTTGCCAGCGCCGGGGGCACCAGGAGCGCCAGGCTGCGCGGCACCAAAGCCCGTGCCATTAGCCGCCTGGTTGTTGCCGTCCTCCATGGCGTTGGGGTCCTGCGCGCCCGCCGGCGACCAGTCAATGGGGAAGCGCGTGACACGCGGCTTGTCCGCCAGGATGTTGCGCTGCAGCTTGCTCACGTCCACGCGGGCGGGCGGGTTCTCCAGCAGGAACGGGTCGGCGTAGTCGTTGTTGACGTAGTAGCCCACGCGCACGAACTCGCGGCCGCGGTACGAGCAGGTGACGAGCGCTACAGTGACGCCCACCTTGTCCTCGTCCGGGATCATGTCCGGGTTGGGCGGGTCCGACTGGAACACAAACTTGTTGGTGCCCACGGGCACGGGGCCCACCAGCACCTCCTCCAGCACCTGGTCGCGGCTCTCGTCCTCGGCGCTGCCCACGTACGTGATCTTCCACTCCAGGTCTGCAGCGAATACACCAGAGAATTAGTGTGTTGTATAAGTTAATGCTGCTGTTGCGGTGGTTGACGGACGTACCGGCCTCGAGGGGCTGCGCGCACTCGAACGTGACCTCGAACTGGAAGGGGTTCGTGAAGGCCGTGGGGTTGTCCAGCACGGTGATGTTGGTGAGCGTGACGTAGGCCATGGTTGTGGCTTCTTGTCAACGGAGCGCGGGGAGGTTGGGGAGTGAGTGAGAGGGGGGCAGAGCCTTGGGTGGGTGGGTTCGCGTGGCTCGCACTTGGGGGCACTCGACGAATGAGTTGCGTGGCGCCAAAACCAAATGCGGCGTACCGTTGAAGTCAGCGCTAAGTACGATCTTACCGCGCCACTATTTCCGATCTTACCCATGAGCCTGGATCGAAACGATCATATCAAGCTCAACGAAACTCAACTCAACTCAACTCGCCTGAGTGCATTACTTGCCTTCTTCTGTTTCATTCACTGCTACAAAGTTAACTTTATCTTACTACCTAGTGTGCTGAGGCTCTATCTGCACAGGAAAGCAATATTCAAAAAGCTGCCAAAATGTCATAGAGACGCGATCCGAAAGCTCGTTGGTGCCTTCAGGTCGAGTTGTCGTATTGCTGCTGGGCTGCCAGCCATCATTGGTAGCCAGCCCGCGGTGTTGTATCCGCTCACTTTCGGAAGAAGCCGTCCAGCGTAAGCTGACCGACCTTCCTCCGCTTCCGAACAAGTCGCGGTTGGAAGGCTGTCGGGAGGCTCGAGGGTCCGGATGCGAACGACAAAGACATGACCGTCATCGTATCCACTGTAGCTGGCACCGACGACGGCACACTGCTTGAGACCTCGGTATCTGGCATCGGGGCTTGTTGCCAGGCGTTTTGGACGTCGTCGCTTGAGTCGAAACACCCATCTTTGAGCTCGATGACTCGGTCCGACGACGCCTCACTGGCCTCACTTGCGGTTGCCGGTGTCGGTGACGCCATGAGCAACAGCCGGCCGTTTACAGAATAGTTCGAGTTGTCTAAGAACGAGCAATCTCGTTTGACGGAGCGCCGTTGCCTCCATTCCGGCTACAATAACACAGATAGATTGTCACTACTGATGGACGCGGGGGAGACAAAAAGATACGATTTGCTCACCTTGGGCGCTTGCTTCGGGCTTGTTCCAGCATTGGTTTCCTCTACTCTTTGTATCTTGCCGGTAAGATTCGTCGCTACGTCAAAGCCATCTGATCAGGAAAGGTCACCAAGCACACACACATCAGCGCCTTGATAACAACGGTCCTGTCCAACCTGTCGAGGGATCTCCACGTACCGCTCAACGAGCCCTCGCTGTCGTCAGAAGGCGGACTACACACGGCCCTCTTCTCAGGTATAGCTTTGCTGGCAGATAGGAACGAAGAGCAAGCGATCCCAAAGCTACTCTTCCCTTGTGGCCGACAGTAAGTAGATGCACTACTAGCTGTAGGGATCGAAGCGGGCCGTGGGGCATAAATAACGTCTGCAGCAGAACAATCAACCTAATGAGTGTGTGGGCCGGCAAATTTTGAGCGGGTCTGCAAATCAACTCACTGTCAAAAACTTCCGACGCCTCCTCCTGAAACTGGTTCACTGCAATCCACACACAGAAACAAGCATAGTGCTTAGACGCCTCGCCCGCTACAATACCATTTTCTTCACATCAGGTGCAAAAGTTGACTACGCAGCACCTTACCATCCGTGACGTCCTGCCAGCTACACGTCTGCATATGCTGCGAGGCTTGGGTCGCTGTTTCCTGTTGTTCCTCGTCGCCTGCAGCGTCGAGTCGACGATACAATATACAAATCGTCAGTTTCACGAACACTACGAAACCCCTGCACGCATGACCAGCATGCCCATTTCCCACACACCGTCAAAGTCTTGGCTCGGGTTGATGTCCAAGCTGTCCATATCCGTAGCGTTCTGCATGCGCCAAACAGCGCCATCAGTCCACATCTCCAAACGCTCCCCCTCTCCACACCAATCTGAGAAACGCACGTATTCCACAAAGGCCGTGAGCTGCTCCTCCATGTCGAGACTGTCCTGCTCGCTGTCTGCTGCCGTGTACTCGCTGCCGTCGCTGTCCGTGCACTGCTTCTTGCCGTTCAGCAGCTTGCGCTGTTCGTCGCGCTTCCGCTTGCGCGCCAGCACCATGGCGGACGCGGACGGCCGCGCCTTGCGCCGCTGCGAGTTCCTGTTCGTCCACTCGCTGCCAGCGCATCGCGGCGGTTCCGCCTCGTCCCGCTGGATGTGCGAGCGCTGCTGTAGCCACCCGCAGTTGCTGGGCCCTCGGAAGGCGGCGGCGGTGGCGGCTGGGGCCTTGTCCAGCGTCGGCAGGCTCGGGAGCTCGGCGCGCACGGAGGCCATCATCGCGGGCTCGGAGTCGAACTGGGAGGAGGGGCAGCTCTCGCCCACCACGTCGTCCGGCGGCTCCAGGAGCATGCGGCATGCACGGGCGGAAGAGAAATCACAGGCGCGACCGTGCCTCGGCCTCTCGGCTTGCTCACGCAACGGTCTATTACTTGGCTCAACTCGTGTCTGTGACGGGGAGAAACAGGCGCGGGTTTCAGAGCCGGCGAGGGAGGAAAAGAGTGACGCATACAAGGCGCTAGTGAAAAGGGCACTCGAGCGGGGACAAGATTGTGCCTTTTCGGCTGAGTACCTGTCTCGGCGCCCATTGAATGCTCACGCTCACACATCCAATGCAAGCGCAAGTGCGGCCCGAACAGTTCAACCACAGCGCCGTGCTTGTTCCAGAACGTTTACTTAAGCTGGGGTGTGCAGTGAAGTATCTTCCTCAGTACATTTTCTCGTCGCTCGGGTCGAAGCCGCTGTTGAGCGCGGCGCGGAACTCGTCGTTCGCGCGCAGCAGCTCCGCGATGCGGTCGTAGCGCTCCGGGTCTTTGCGGATGAGGAAGATGAAGCACTCGGTGTCCAGCTTGCCCTTGATCGTCGCCAGCTCCATCGCCTTCTTGGTCTACCATATATAGCGTCACTTGTTAGATACTATTATGTAGTAGTACATCTCGTTCAGAAGAGTAGCGCAACTGCAGCCTTACCATGGCGTGCACGTACTCCACCACCAGGTCCTCCATGAGCTCGGCCGTTTCGTCCAGCGGCTCGGCTTCGTCGCCAAAGCCGAACAGCATGTGCTTGACTACGGCGGCGTGCAGGTTGACGCAGGTAGGGATCAAAATGGAGTGGCAGGCACAGAAATAATAAGGTATTTTAGTCGCCTTGTTCCTTCGCAGCAGCACTCTGCGTGCCGATCTGCTGCATAAGACGCGGCACCTACTGCTCTCGACCAGCTCCCCACGCACGAACGGCTTGAGCTGCGCCGCTTGGGCCGCGTGGGCATCGGCGCCAGAGCCGTTCGCCGCAATTGCCGCCGCGGCGTCGCCCGCCAGCCGCTTGGCCGGCGATCCGCCGGCTCTGGAGGTGGCGCCCACGTCGCTGGTCTTGCGCTTGCGCGACTTGGGCGCCGCCTTCTTCTTGGCGCCGTTGGCGTCGGCCGCGGTCTTGCTCATGGTGCCGCCAATGCGCAATTGCACTGTGGCGCTTTGGTGTTGCAACGCCTCGTTGCTATTGGCCAAAACGCGGCGAGTACGACCACTTGGAGAAAGTATGCTGACGCCGCTGATTGGCCCACTAAACTTAGCTTCAACGTTAACCGCGCTTGATGGCCACCATTGCGCATTTTGCAGCGGAACACGCACGCGGCGCCCATGGGGAACAAGCCGTCGGTCCTGAGGAGCTCCTCGCGCGCCGAAGAGGCCAACGCCACGCCCCGCGTGGCAGCGAGTGGTCCGTCGGCGGCGCTGGCTGAACCCCCGCAGCAAGGCGAACCTAGCGGCTCCGTGGCCAAGCTGCTGACGGGCAACATCGCGAGCGTTCGACCCGTCGAGCAGGTGCCTCGAGGCCCCACCGCTCTCGACCAGAAGTGCGTATTTCAGGAGTTACATATTAATGCATCGTACTTGAGGTTAAGTAGGGTGGCGCTGACTTGTTGTGTGTCGTGTGAAGGATCACGAGCGCGCTGAGGGAGCGCTGGGAGGCTCGTGCGCAACAGGACAAGGACAAGTACGGACGGTTAAGGAGGTTTAATCAAGTTCAAGTTGGTGTGGGGTTGACAGGAGGTGTCTGTGATTGTTGTTGCTGTTGTTGCAGCCAATTCACGCGGATTCTGCTGAAGTTCCCGCAGGCGGCGGTGGGGTTTCTGAAGTTGCAGCTTCTGTGTTTTCCTATGGATACATCTAACTCGTTACGGGACGTTGCATTACGTAGGAAGCATTTGACAGTGTCCGCTCAACATTCCGAGTGTACGATAGGGAGAACAAGGGCTACATTGAGTTTGCGGACCTTTCGAGGGTCTTCGAGCAGCTGGGCGCGAATTTCTCGTCGGAGGAAATTAGTATGGTGTTCCAGGAGTCCGACATGATGAAGGATGGCAAACTCAATTTTAAGGAATTCCTGGTGTGCCTCGCGATCGGATTCGTGCTGCATGTATGTATTGAACAATCCGGCTGCGTTATTGCACGAGACACTGACCGACTTTATCCACTGCTGCGTGCAAATACAGAAAATTCCCTCTCTCGAAGGAGAGCGACTGAGCATCTTCTACGCTCCAATGTAAGTGCAGTTCAACCGGCGAGCCGATCATTGTTCATGTATCTAACCCTGTATTTTACTGCGTGTGAAGCTCTCGAACCGGTAGTAACAGTACTCCAGCTTCAGCACCCACACAGTTCATCTTATTTGGAGAGGTGAGAGAGCATACTAAGCGTCCATCGTGATAGTTCTACTACCTTATGCTAATAAAATTTCTTGTACGCTACAGGGAAACAAGCTTAGACTCGCATTCCAGCTTGCGGTGGACGCCTTCCTATGGTTCGATGTTGACGGTGATGGTGTTATTAATCGGTACGTTCGCCACTCGTGCACAGTCTCCAAGCAATGCACTGTATTTTGACGTTTGTCGTTGCGCGTGCGTAGGTCGGAGATGTCCACAAAACTCCAACACTCCATGGCTCTTCACTCCCCAACAAAAAAGATGACAGCGGATGATATGAACAAAGGTACGACTGTGCTGCATTTGGTATGGAATCGCCGCAGGTATTTACAGTCAGGGATATTCTCTTACGCTGCAGACACGAGCGACGACTCGAGCAACCAAGCGATTTGGGAACAACGGTTCATGGAAATGGACTGGAACGGCGATGGGACGATCCAATTCAAAGAATTCCTCATGGCGTTCGAGTCCTGGGTTGGTCTGGAAGACGATGACAGCATGAGCACCAGCAGTTTCCGTTATGCAGGATAGTTGTCTGAATATTTGGTTGCAGACAATGAACGTCATCTCGACGTGGTTTCATAATAAAATCTTCATGCTCGTAGAAACGTTCGCTTGAAAATAGGTTGGTTCACGGGGGTCCTCGCTATCCTGGCTGAGAAAAAGCCTCTGTGGATATCCTCTGGAAATGATGGAAGCGAGCTCCACTTCGAAACAACGTGCGTTCTTAAAGTGTGGGTTTAGCTTGAATCATGTTAAGTAAGTTTTTTATTTCAGTGAAGTCGGATGATAGTTCGTGATTGAAGTATCAATCAACTAAGTTTGTGACCTTAGCTCGAAACTTGTCAAACCAGAATTTGCCACGGAGAGAGGAGAGATGCTGCAGCTCTTTTGTGCGATCGTTGGCGCGGCGACAGACTCGTTCTCTGTGAATATTGACGCGGATCAGTCGGTGGAAGAGTTGAAGGAGAAGATCCAAAAGAAAATCCCAGTGACGATCAGGTGTGAACTCACGAATCTGCACCTCTTCCTGGCGAAGAAGGAGAACAAGTGGCTGCCTGACGACGAGGCTTTAGACGCGACGCTTCTGGGCGAATTTAACTCCTCGATGTATTTGAAGATGCGAGGTGGAACTCTTTGGGCCGCGTGTTTCGCTCGGAAATGAGGTGGCGCATGTACTGGTGGCAGTTCCGAAGCAGGAGCAAACGTCTCGAGGTGAGAGCGTCCGCGATTCCTTTTCGATGTTTCGAGAAGATCGCGTACGTCAAATGCGGATTGAGCGGATAGTTGAGCAGAAGATGGCCTCGTTACGGCACAAGGAGCCGTCCTACTCCGATAAAACATTGGGGGAACGTGAGCTTGTTAGGTTGGAAAAGGACGGACTTATCAGCGATGTTGCACCAAGGGAGGGCGAAGAAGCGTTTTGGGCGATGGATATTCAGACTCAAGCTGATTCTATTGCGAATGAGGTTGAGGTTGACGCGTTCATTACTCCTCATTTCAGCAAAAAATTGGACTTTTGGGGTATGGTATTCGTCAATAGCGAGGGGCATCCATGGTTGTCTCCGTCTATACGTTTCACCAATAATGCAGACCTTGAACCGGTTGGATTCGTGACGCATCCTGGAATGTTTCGCTTCGGGACAGTGCCGAACAATGGAGTGCAATGCTTGAATGGACTTCGCTTTGGAGTAGCAGAGAAAAAAAATTTCGACTGCCTTATTTTGTTCGAAAGGCAGCTCACTATAACTGATGCTGCATTTGGCCGAGTGGTGCGATATCTGCAGCACCTTTGTCCCGAGAAGCCGGCGTGCGCTATTCTCTTTGACCATCGGTCCTTTTGGTTGATCAAAACCTACAAGGCTGTTGTCGTCAAAGTGCAAAAATCGAGGTGGGTCATGGACGGCTCGAAACTATTGTTTCAGAAGTTTATCAACGACAACATTTCTCCATGGGTAGAGCGCTTAACCATTGCCTGCTCTGCGTTCGGTGTTGATGTGGTGGAGGGCGACACATTCCTCGGCCGTGGCGCCTATGGACGCGTTTTCAAGGTGGTTGGTGAAGGCGGAGAGATCCTCGCCCTGAAAATCGTGGAAAAACACTCGGCTCAGCGTCTTCATGAAGAAAAGAAAGCGTTGGAGAACGCCCAGCATACAGGCTTGACGATTACTCCTGTGGGAAAGATCATCGAAATTCTCGATAGTCCGGCGTTGTTGCTGTCTCCTGTTGGTAGACCTCTGCCTCGACCAACGACACGGCAGGAGGTACGGGACCTCTTTGGACTACTATGGCAGCTGCATGATAAGGAGCTGATTCATGGGGATCCTCACGTGGCGAATGTAATCCTCGTTGAGGAAAAACCTCTCTGGATCGATCTTGTGGAAGTGGTTGAAGCAAGTCCCATTTTGAAACAACTTGACGCTGAAATTCTCACCTCAGTGTATCTCGGACCCGGCCAGTGAACCCGGTAAGGTTACTGGAGTAGTTGATCAAGAACTATGGCAAAAGCGCAACGCAAGAAAATCTTGCTCGTCTGGCCGAAGGAGTCGGTCAAATTTTGGAGTTTTCAACTTAGTTCGAAGCCTATTCAGCAATGTAGTGATCTCCATTCGCACAACAATCGATAGTATATTGAGAGAGCTTTTCCAATGAGAAATAAATATACTATCGGCGAGCGGAGTTCTGTATGCATAGCCTTGAGACTGCTCACATGCCATGAGGAGAAGTGCACGTAGTGCTTGAGCTTTTTCCGTAACGGTTCTAGTTGAAGACGATCTTGAACGGCCGCAAGTGCGTATCGCTGACGCTAACGCGTTCGTTTTGCCGGGCAGGTAAAGGACGCACTTTGGGAAACACCATGGGAACCAAACACTCGGCCCACAGGCTTCACAGCCACGGCCACAAGCACTCGTCGACGTCTCGTGCGGATTCATCTCACCAGTCTACGGGTGAATCCTGTGCTTCACCGCGCGATGAAAAGGTTAGCACCCACGCATCGTGCGGCCCAACCGAGTCGTCTATAGAAACAACCAAGGAGCAGCTCCATCGCCACCCCACGCACACGCACAAGGACAGCCCCCTTGATCGAAAGTAAGTTGCCAGTGACAATAGGAGCATGCCGTGGACTCACTGATCAATGCTTCCTTCCTACGTCAGGGTCACACTAGCGCTCCAGAAACTCTGGCGTTCCCACGTTCTGAACGACAAGAAAGAAATGTAAGGTGTCGTGAGTGTTTGACTTAGTTATATAGCATGTGCGCTAACCTCTCTTCATCTGAAGCCCGTTCACTCGCATCTTGTTGAAGTTCCCGCAGGCTGCGGTTAGTTTTGGCGACAGCGCTTAATATCGCTGACAAGATGCTAATGCTTTTGTGTGCTTCATCGTGGAATTGCAGAAAGCCTTCAACGGTGTGCGCTCGACGTTCAAGACATTCGACAAGGAGGGCCATGGATACATTGTGTCCGACGATCTCCCGGCCATCTACAAGGAACTTGGTGTGAGCTTTTCGGAAGACGAGATCAACCAAGTGTTCGAAGAATCCGATATGAAGGAGAACGGCAAACTCACCTTCAAGGAGCTTCTCGTCTCTCTCGCCATCGGGTTTTTGCTGCATGTGAGCTGGAAACATTCATAACTGCGTCTAGAACTGCGTTGTACTGACGGCTTTGTGTACTGCAGCGAATCCCTTCACTAGAGAAAAACCGACTCAGCGTCTTCTACACGTATGTTGCGGGATATCACTCTTGCCCCTGTGACGCACTTTATCCTAATCTTCATCGTGCTACTTAGGTCTCGAAGTGGCAGCATCAACGGCAGCATCAGTGGAAGTGTTGGCAGGAACAACAACATCGGTGGGAATAGTGTCGGTGGATCAAGCACCTCCAGCACTGCCATGGCGATGAACGGAGATGTAAGGATCTACTGGTGCCCCGTACCATAATCTGCCGAAGTTTTGACTTCATACGCTGTTGTAGGACGTCGAGCTCCGAAGCGCTTACCAACTGGCAATAGATGCATTCCTCTGGTTCGACACTGAAGGTAGCGGATATATCAATCGGTTGGTGACATGACGCTCTTCTATTATCTTCATCCACGGACCTCTTCCTAACACCTTTTTTTTCCTTTTCTAGCAACGACATGTCCGTGCAGCTAGAGGCCTCCATGGCGCGTCATTCACCGACGAAGAAACTCAAAAGGCGCTCGGGTGGCTACAAGGGTAAGTTTATAGTGCATAGTTTCCGATTTAAATTGCAAGACTGAGCGATTTCATTTTCCGTTTGGAGCAGACTCGGGTGAAGACTCCAAGAACTGGTCGATCTGGGAGCGTCGCTTTGCTGAGATGGACTGGAATCACAACGGCATGATCCACTTCAACGAGTTCCTCATGGCGTTCGAGTCGTGGGTTGGTGTCGACGACGACGAGGACGAAGAGGATGAAGAGGAAACACGCCACGAGACTGAGAAGGAGACCTCAACTGCCGTCGACTCCTCCGCCCAGTAGAACGATCGTGCGTAACAAGCCCGGCTGGAAGAAGCTGCAAGGCGAAGAAATGCATTCTTTTGCTTTTAAATATGTTATTTGCTAGCGATCAGATGCTTTAAAGTCAGTCGTGCTCCAGCCTCCTTAGGCACGGAGCCATATTACATGATTGGTGCCAAAGGTACGTACACAAGGCGGCGATCATGGGTGCCTACCGCTTGAAGCCGAATGCTGTATAGCGAATTCGCTCTATCCAACGAATTGGAGGAACAGATTACACACACCGGAATACTCGCCGCGGCCGCTTTGGGATCTGGGCAGGCAGAGGGGGAACAAGAGCATCGCTAGGCAGCTGAGGCACATGCTCCAGCAACCCCCATGGATCCACGGGTGCGTACTCCGGCTTTATGCTCGCAGCAGCGTCCGCTTGCGCAGACGTTGGCGCGGTGCGACCGACAAACACATTCGCTGCGCCGAACATGTTCATAGGTCGTGGTAGCACCGACCAAACACGTCGCTTAAGCTCGTCCGGTAATTGTAGAGCTTCCACAAGTTCCTAAAAAGTCATTAGAACCAAACGTTAGTCATCACACAGGAAGTACACAGCGCATAGGCGTTCACAGAGCACTTACAAATTGCTTGTCGTGGAGGACAGACGCGTTGACGACTGGAATGAGGTCCAAAATCCAGCTAAAAAGCGAAAGCCCAGGGCCAGTCGAGACAACTGACGTTCCTAGCAGCGCGAACAAAGTCTTCACGATGCGGTCACGATAGCAAATGGTCAGCACAGCGTGCTTGCTGGGTCCGATCACGCCAACGAGCTGCAGCCGCACAGCCAGTTTGCAACGCAGTCGCCGAAGGAAGAGACTGTTACGCAAACCAGGTTCTCCCGATGAGGATTGCTGCTGCTTGTCGTAAAGCATACACCCCTCGTACAGCCACTCGAGCTGGGCAGCCAGCGACATCATGTAGCGGGGCAGAAATGCATTGCCTGGTGGAGTGCACATGATGCCACCCACGAGATGCACAACTGATGTAGTGTTCAGCTGGCGAGCAAACTTGTCCGGGAGCGTGTGCTTGACGTCGTCCTCCAGAATCTGCAGGATCTTCGCAATCACGGACCCCATTGCGCGCCTGGAAATGCTGCAGACGGTTGCAGCGTAGAGGGATGCCACCGCTGAGTCTTGGGCCTCCCGAGCAGCCTCCAGCATGCGAGCTTCGCATGGGGTCAACGCACTCTGCATAGCGGCAACAGTCATCGGTAGTGCAGGAGTCGGCGCCTTCTTCTTAAGACCGTCGCTTGGACCTGGTGTACCCCCGCGGTGCTTGCCCTCGCCCCCCTCTCCGGGATGCACATGGTGAGGTGTACCATACAGCTTTGGAGTCGCAAGGGGGGACGACGATGAGAGCGTGGTGATAGTTGCGGAAGTAGTTTGGGGCACTGGCACGGTTGACGACGTCGTAGAGGATGATGACAACGAAGTCGATCCTACCCCAGGAGGCGGGCGCGAGCTGCGCTTGAGGGTTCGCAGCACGATCAGACTCGATAGAATCTCCGTGGCACTGCTCGCCTCGTCGAATCCCAACTCCAGCTCAAGGTCCTCCTCGTCGGCATCTTCCTCTCCATCTGAGAAGTTGTTTCCAAGCAGACTGCCGCCGAAGGAAAGGTCTTTATCTCCTTGAGCACCGAGATAAGTCTTGTTGTCGGTGAAGCCATTGACTGCGAATGGAACCACGCTCTCCACAGCTGCTCTCTTGGTGGAACGCGTCGACAGTTCTCCTGCCGGCGCCTTTCGTTTATTGGGTGCTGACTGCTGCTGGTTCTGTGCCTGTTGGCGTTGGTGTCGTGTGCGTCGCTTGGAGCGCTTGACCTTCTGTTGCTGCCTGCTCATCTGCAAGTCTAAGTAGATGGAGCCGCCACGATGAAGCGTCCAGACGTTCATCTGATCAATGATCTGGTCCACCTTGAGTAGTTGCACCTGTCCATTGCCGTCTTCTGCCGGCGACGTCGGCGGCCGGAAGAAGTGCGTCAGCAGCACCGCCGTGTGCCACTGCTTCTTGTGATACACCGGAAGAATGTGCTTTTCGCGGGCCTCTTTCGTGTCATGGAAAATCGTATCGCGAACGATGCCATCCGATGTCAAGTTGAACAGTGTCGTGCTTGCCAGTGTGCCACGTTCCTCACGCTTGCGTAGTAAGAAATTGTCTTCCATCTGATACGAAATTTGGCACAACAAGAAGCACAGTGGAAACATCAAGCACGCCGGCACTTGGGTGCGGAGGAAACGCAGGTGATACTTGGTCTGCAATGTTGTCACCACAATTGGCCGTGAAAAAGAGGTCAGAACGATATATAACCAAAGCGAAGAGCAACGCGCAGATGTGACAACTCACCAGAGGCTCGTCGAACATAACCACCTTTTGGGGATCAAGTAGCAAATTCTGAGGGGGTTCTGAAAAGAGCTGGAAAACGAGCGCCATAGCCAAGAGTTGTGTCGGCAGGTTCGGCGGTGGGTCACGTGAGGCACGACGCTGGTAAAGCAAGACAAAAGAGAAAATGAGCATCTAAACCGTGACCAATACAAGGGAGGAAAGTACCGATGAAGTTCCTTACCAGTCGCGGGAAGAGCGGAACAAGCACTAGTCGTAGCACCTGGGAGAGATCTAGCACCTTGTGCACAACAAGAGATACGAGAAAACTCTTGAGGCCGTACTGCAGTCGATCTAGGCGGCCCTTCTGGTTGAGCGCGAACGCCTCCTTGCTGTTGTCGGCATTCAAGAACGGGTTCCGCGAGCGCTTGGGCGTATCACTCCCGGCGAAGCCTGGCAAGACTTCCTTTTGCAGCCACACAACCAGCGTGTTCGAGAACTTCTCATTGAACTCCTCACCGTTGTCAGGGTGCTGCTCCACGACCTCACGAATAAGGCGCACACAGCGGTGCACGTAATGCGGTGTAGTGATGGGCCGCTTGCAGTTGGACTTGATGCGCGCGGAGATGTTAGCCATCCACTTGTCCATGGCTTCGGTAAGCACAGCCCGGAAGAAAAATACGTAATTAGGCGTGCGCCGCTCCCGCGTGGCATTGGCGTTTGTGGAGCCCACAGAGGACGACGTCATGCTCATATTGATAGTGGACACTGCGAAATCAATCGCGCTATCACGGCACTTGGCCTCTGCAGTAGGGGTAGCCTCACTAACCACCTCCTGCCAGGACAAGCTCGCGTAATTGGGTTCGAACGCTGCCACTGATTCAGTAGATGTAGCGTCTTGACTCATGCTGTTAGGGCTCTGCAACGGCGTGCTACTGCCAGCGCCAGGGGTCGCTGGCGTCTGTTTTCCGTCGGCGCCAGGGCCATCAAAGGCACGAGCCTGCAGCGCTTTGAACGACTTCGCTAGAGCGCTTTTTAGCTCCGGGGGCAGAACTTCGCGGGGTGGAGGGATTCGCACGATCGGATTTGTCGCCTCCAGTGACAGCTCCTTATTCTTTTGGCCATTTCCATTCGCTCCATTCCCATTTGCCGCGGCGTTTCCATTTACACCAGCTGCAGCAGCGTCCTGGTTCTTTCGAGCGGTCTCTGCAATCGGCTTGAGCAGAGCAAACGGCAAGTCCAGCTTCGCGATTTCTTTCTTCTTGATATGTGCGTAATACATTCTGCAGAAGAACTGAGCCACGTTGCCAGCCTTGTCGTCAGCATTTTTGGGGATCCGATGGAAACGGTCCACGAAGGACTGCAGCAAGAACGGAATCTGGTCGGTGGCGCAGAACGCTAGCTCGTGACGTTCAATCATCGCCAGAACCACATTCTTCACAAGGAAGCAGGGCGAGCGTCGCAGGAAGTGCACCAGTACCTCGAGCAATGCCAAGATGTCCACAATTTCTAGCACCAGGCACACAAGCCGCATCACATGCTCCACACTGCCATAATCCGAGAATCGAAAGAACGTAGCCTCTTCGTAAATGTTGTGCAAGAACCAGCGCGTGAACCGACCCTTGTCGTGGCCGCACATGGTCTTCACAGCTGAAACTAGCTCTCCTACCTTGCCCTGGTATTCCACTTCCTTCATCACACGACTGGTGTCCCCCGAGCTAGCGCTACCAGCAGCAGGAGTTGCACCTGCAGCACCTGGTGTCCCAACCATCGGTGTATCGTTAGCCTGGCCATGCGTGTGAAACACGTAGATGCACAGTGATTGGGCGCGTTCAAGTGTCTTCGAGTAGCTGAGATGCTCGCGACGCAGCTCCATAACTTCAAGCCAACGCAGGTAGTTCACTTCGCCATCGTAGCTGTCATCCGGAAGCATGGGCACACACGTCGGTAACGGGAATGCGCTACGGGGCAGCTGCCATAGGTACAACTTCAGTCGGTCGCTCGAGGAAAGAAGGTGAATATCACTCGACTTGTACCCCCTTCCAGGTGAACACTCGATGTTGTAAGCTGTGTGAACCACGGGCGCCGATTCCTTGCGCTTGGCGATCCCATTATTGCCACAGCCTCCTGCCGCAAGAGTGAGCAACGGGCTGTTGCTCATACTGGCTGCTGCTTCATTACAACAGGACGCGAACTCGACGAAGCTTGCAACACTGAATAATCGCCGCCGAACCAGTAAACAGAAAAGCTCGATGACTTGTGTGACTTCAGTAATGACCTTGGGCTCATAACGGTGCAGGAAATTCTGCAGCGCGCTCTGAAGAACTAATTGGTGATCCTTTGGTCCGCAATGAGGAAGCAGCCCTTTGCTATAGAGCAGATTTCACGATACATAACATGACCGTTAGTAGACCTGGATTGCACAACAAAAAGGCCTTTGGGTCCAAGCACTACGTACCTTTTGCCGTATTCTAGAAGCGCATTGCTGTGCATCTCGATTAACGCAAGCGCTGACAAATACCGGTACTCCGCGGGTCGCTGGTTCGTAACTGCCCATTCACACACGAGAAAGAGTGCAGCTACATCGACCGGGAGCTCTGCTGGGGACACACTACCACTTGAGCTTACAGTGGGAAGTGGGCTGAATACCTCGCTGTATACGCGGTGCAAATCTGAGGTCGAGTCCACACGATGGAAACGATCTAGGGTCTGCAGGATCTGTGCCTCGTTACGCATCGTCGCTGCAAGAACCTGACCTCCACCCACAGAGCTCAGCGACGGACACGCCTGCTGTAGTCGTAAAATACGACCAGCAACCTCTCTGTTCTTTCGCTGGCAACGTTCGATGCATGCCTGAATAGCGGTAGCCCCATATGCGTCGCGATTGAAAAATCGATCGGTGAACACGAAGGCTGGCCATAGCGGAGATGCTAAGCGTGCGAACCATCAAACGGTTAGAGCATTATTCTGTTTCCTCGCCAGTAACAAATTCGACACAACGTACCATTATCTTCAAGACGGACGAGCACGTCATTCCCATTCAGCAAAATATCACGTAGCAACTGGCACAAAGCAACCAGAATCTCCTCCTGGAGTGCACTTCCTGTAGTTTCTGCGGGCACAGGTCGACCAGGCGGCAGCAGGTAGCGAAGATGCTGCAATACTGTTTTAACCAGCAACAGCACGGCATCCGCGGACAGCAAAATTTCTGGTAGCAGCTTTTGTACCACAGAGATTAATTCCATGATCCCGTTCACCCCGAGGGCCAAAACAGCCGAGCACCGGGTGCCATTCGACCGCGACCGTGGAGTGAGTGATTTTTGCAACAGCGACAATAAACCATCAAAATAATGCACCCGGTCCAGTAGCCCCATCTTGAACTGATACTCCGATAACTTCAGCACGTATGACCACTTCTCGTGCCACGTCAGTGGTGATGGTGGAGACATGTCCACTCCACCGCTGTTAGGAGCCGCAGGGACACCTGAAACAGCTCCAGCGTTTGCTGTTGCCGGTACTTCACCATGCCGCAGCCTCGGTACCAATTGCGCGCGTTGTGCGAACCCTCCACTACCGGTTGTCGGAGAAATTGCCCCCGCACTGTTGTTCCCAATTCCCTGGGTGCTATTTACTGCAAGTCTAGAATTCTGCGGACCGTCCTGCGATCTGTTTTCTGCCCCTGTTCCAGTATCCAGCGCCGCCTGCCGTGCGATTGAGTGCAAATAATCGATTAGCTTGTCGGTCCACCCTTGATTCCGCCGTTGGTTCCGTCGCGGGCTGAAAAACCAGTCACCAGTCCGCAAAGCGCTGTCTCGTTCCAGCTCCCGCATTTCCGTGTATACTACATTAATTCGCACAAACCACGTCGCCTCGGCATATCCAGGTCGGTACTTCACCACAAACTCCAGCAAAGGGCATTTGGACACGCCCGGAACAGCTCGCCACTGCTTGAACGGAACTCCATAGGCCTGCGTAAGCTCCGCTGCACTGCGCGCACCACTCGCCAGCTCGCTCATCCAGATGTGGCTCGTGCGGTCATCTATCCGTCGCACGTGCCGCATCAAATAATTCGTGAACGCGCGCTGCACAGCCGCAGTCGCCGCCACCGCTGCTCCATCTTCAGCACCAGCAGCGGCGGGTGTGGCCGCATCCCCACTTCCACTTTTACCGTCCTCCGCGCCGTCACGTAACCGGAGAATCGCGCGCGTGGCCCTCGTCAGATCATCAAAAATGGCCAGCTTCTTGTCCGTGAACGCCGAGTACTGCAGATGCCACTGCTGGTTGAAGCCCCTGGGCAGCGGGCTCACGAACGCCGCGTTGCGCAGCGCGTGGAAGCGGAACTTTTCCTCGGGAAAGTTGGCGTTCGTCGGGAAGACACTCGGGAACATGGCCAGCTTGTCTGTGATGTACGGGCGCTCCGGGTCCTGCACTCGACAAAGCCGTTCATCAGCAACAAAAAAAGCCTAGGGACTGAAACCCTACTGCACTTGAGACCCTAATTGTTCCTCACCTTCATGTACTTGACGTCCATGCCGACCACGCGCGTGGCCGCGTCCGCGGGCGTCAGGTCGTTGCGGCGCGCGCTCGTGCGGTGCATCAGCAGCAGGTTCTTGCGCTCGCGCAGGCGCACGGCCGGGCTGCTGCCCGCCGCGAAGGAGCTGCGACTGCCGCCGCTGTTGCGCCGCTCGCGCGAGCTGCCGCCCGCGTCCCTGGAGCGCGAGCGCGGGCGGCTGCGGCCGTCTCGGTCGCGCTCCCTGTCGCGCTCGCGGTCCCGATCCCGGTCCCTGTCCCGGTCGCGCTCCCGCTCGCGGTCTCGGGACGACGCGCCGCCCACCGAGTTGGACGAGCCGCGGCGCGGCAGCCCGCGCCCCGAGGACTGGTAGCTGCCACTGCCACTTGAGCCGCCGCTGCGCCCGCCGTGGGACGACGACCCGCGCTCCTTGTAGGCGCCTCCACCGCTGCCGCTTGCGCCGCCGCCCGAGCCGCTGCCGGAGCGCGCGCCGGCCTTGCCCGCGCCGTCGCCCGCGTGGTAACTCTCCATGACCCACGCTCCAAGCGTCTCCGCAACAGGCCAAATGTAAGCGCCACACCTCTTTTTATCGGCCCCCCTCCGCGCCACACCAATGGTACATCATGGGCTGACTTGCGTGTGATTGGTGGAGAGTTTTAGCTTACGAGTTTTGTGAGGTCTTTTCGTGAAATTTGACTGGGGATGAAGAGGTTTCTTAGCTAAAGAAAATACCGTAAGACCAAGCATGCTGCTCGATCAAGAAGAGATGACGTATGTAGTTCATACATGAGCTTCGACTGTGGTTCGGTAGTTCGTACGGATGGGTTACGTTGCAAGCTGGGTTTCTGAGGGCAATGTAGGATTGTACTTCGAAGTACGACTTACTCCATTTTCGGTCGATGGTGGCCAGTCTATTGTCAGCAAGTACTCACGCATGTCGTCTACTAGTACACTAGTGGCGTGCCTCTTGGCGCCACGAGATATAGCTAATTAGTACCTCTTCGCCCAGCACTCGTGGTGTCTACTAAGCTGCCACCAACTTTTTTCACCGCGCGTGTACTTGTGTTTTTTTGCCGAGTTTCAGATCCGCCCGTTGTGTCGCGTGCACCGAAATTTCATTGAAATATTCTGGCAGATGCAGATTGGAGAGCTCATTGTCCAAAAAGTATCCGAGATGGCGCGAGGCGAGCGGCAGCGGCTGCTGCCTCGCGAGGAGGACGGCCTGGACGTGGAGCTGTCGGTGCGAGACGCGCGCCCTGCGGCCATATCGACGCCCAAGCGGCGGCCTCTGCGGACGCAGCGCACGCGCTCCTGGGCCTCGCTGCGCGCCGACGTCTGGACGCTGCTGCACTACCGCACGTCGCTCAAGCAGCGCTCGGGGCTGCAGCGTGCGTCTTACGTCTTCGAGGTGTGCGTGCTCGTGCTCATCACGCTCAACGTGGTGCTGGCTATGTATGTGTCGGCCTCGCCGATTGGCGCTGAGCGTACGTTGAAGCTGGGGCGGTGGAGTGGGAACGGAAATGACACATGCACCCAGTGCTGACAGCGTATAACTGTTTTGGTTGCAGCGGTGACGTCGTCCAACTGGTACGAGATGTTCCTGTACATGTCGACGGCGCTGTTCACGGTGGAGTACCTTCTTCGACTCTGGTCGTGCGTTGAGGACGATCGATTCCCGCATCCAATCTTTGGAAGGTGAGTTTGCTGACGGAATGGTCAACTCGAACATACTGACGGGGGAGTGACCGTGTTTCTGTTGTCTAGGCTGAAGTGGATGTTCCGGCCCATGTCTTTGATTGACCTCGTCGTGCTGCTCCCGTTCTACCTCGAGATCTTGCTGGAGAAACAGTACGTGGTTTTATTGAGGTGATGCAAAGGTTGATGCGTACGATAACTAACTCTGGCGATGATTGATTTGTGCAGAGTGGCTGTGTCTTCACGCGGTGTGCTAACACTGAGAGGCTTTCGACTCTTGCGTATCATGTCGTTTTTGCACCTGGAACACTCGTACCAAGCTATGAAGAATCTGCGCGAGATTTTCGCGCTGAAGAAAGAGGAACTCGGCGTCGTGAGCTACATGACCATTGTCATTGTGCTTACTTCCTCTACAACAATGTAAGACACTCGCTGTTTTGCCTTATTTCTGCTACCCCTGACTCCAGTCTGTATCCTGGGGTTGTTTCCTTAGCTTCTTTCTGGAGAACCCGGCACAGCCTGAGGTATTCTCGAGCATCGGCACATGCTCTTGGTGGGCAATCGAGACCATCACGTCTCTCGGGTATGGCGATATCGTCCCCATCACGGCAGCAGGCCGGGCCTTCTCGTCTCTACTGGCGCTCTGGTGCGTGATGACCAAACGATGTGGATCTACTCTCGATGCTAACTTACTGCCCCTCATTTGTGCTGCGTGCGTACAGGGGAATTATTCTGTTTACAATTCCTGGTAAATGCTCTAATCATACATGCCAGGGTGGTGAATCAACACTCACTCGATCGTACTTCACGTTCATAAATTTGCAGGTGCCATACTCGGAAGTGGCTTCGTCGAAGTCATGCTGAAAAAGCAAGAACTTAAGAACGAGCAGGCGATGGAAGAGTCGATCCGCATTTCACTCACTCGGGAGCTGCGATCGCTCAGCTCGAGCACCATTGCCTTTACTGGTACGTTCGCCTATTCGATTCTGCAGTTACTGTACTTCTGGATATTTACACACGTGCTGTCATGCCAACACAGGCAATCTCGACTCGCCGAAGACAGACTTGGATTCGCCTTCAGCGACGCCGTCTTTCGCAGTGCCGCCATCATCCTTCTCCACCCCGCACAACTACCCGTCGTTCGCCGCTCCTGCGCCTCCGATCGTGCGACTTCAAGAGCAAGTCGACAGGCTCACGGCAACGCAGGTCCAACTCCAAGCGCAATTGAGCCGCCAAGAGACTCAATTGCAGGCAATCATGACACTACTGGAGGAGTCTCTAGCCAAGACCCGTCCAGACGAGCAGACTATTCCGCCTTTCAGCGCCATCGTACCACTCGAGTAGGCATGCAATCGAAGTTGTAGTGCTGCAGACTCTCAGCTAGACATGGCTACACTCTCAAAATGTATCCATCTGTTCTGTTTCGTCCAATGAAACCGCTCAAATTGATTTCCTTGTCATTGCTGAACTTGCCAAGCGTGATGCAGAGTGCGCGCTCGTCTTCCGCCTGTGCTGCTGCTGCTAGGAGCTTATGTGCTAACGAATATGCATGCAGACCCCCACGAAGAGAAGCAGAAGGCGCTTCTGCAGCGCATCACAGGCTCCGTGGCTCGGCTGCACGAGGTGCTCAAGGAGATCAACACGCAAATCGAGGTGCGCCGCGTTCAGTTCCCATCTATTATGTATTGTTCCCCATTGCGTTCTGTGTGCATAATGTCTCTTATATAAATTTCCCTGTGCGTGCTTCCAGAAAAGCGACTCGTTCCGGGAGGAGCTGGCGTTCACGTGCCAAGTGTGGAAGGGCTACGAGAGTCGCGTGCAGTCGCACTGCGATACGGCCATCGCTGCTCAGCAGCAGCAACAGCAGAGACGGTAGTCAGCGAGGCACCAGCAGAAAGAATCGTATCTACACTGCAATTATTTTTTGTCATTTGTTTGACGGTATTTGCAACTCTTTGTTGTTTTATTTGCGGGCTGTGGGGGCAGCTCCAGTTGTTGGTCTTGTGGGCGACAAGCCTGCGGCTTTGGAGGATTTATTGGCTGCGTCCAGATCCCGTTGAGCCACAAGCTCGGCGGCACGTTCTAACGTTTGCCAACGCTCGCTGAAGCGGTTGCGGATGTTGCTCTCTTCGACGTCCAGCTTCTTCTGCGTGTAGCTTTTGACGACTTTGTCAGCGGACTACAGGGTCCAGTGTCCATTTCAAAAGGTTAGTAGGAAGAAATACGTGACAAAAGGTGCCAGGAGCGATGCTAACCTTTTTGCCTGTCTGCTTGTGTAGGGTCTTTGTGGAGATACTCCTTACCAACGTAGTGACCGCGTCGTGGCGCTCTGCGATCAGCGAGGACTGCTCCTGCTCCCACAGCTCCTCCAACGCACTCTTAGCTTCATCTCGCCCTGGACATTCATCAAGATAATGTCTCTCTTGTGAGTAAAGGGCAATGGTGCAAAACAAAAGCCGCAGTAGTTCGTACTCTTAGTTGAGACTGCCACCGTGTAGCGTAAGTCGAGCAGAAGCTGGTCTTGACTGGGAGTAGCTAGTGCTTTCTGTGACTGCTCTTTTAAGCGAGCTTCAGCGACATACGCTTGGCTGAATGCCGTCACGTACGCTTGAACAAGGGGCTCTTTGTTCGCCTCCACTTGAATCCATGTCTCCAGAGACTTTTTATCCACTGGACCAGAAGGCTGTTCCGGTATTTTAGGGGAATGTGTATCTGTTGCACTCAGTGAAGATGCTGAGCTCGAGGACAGCTTGCGAACAGGACTCCCCGATAAAATGTTGCTTCGAGACGGAGAACTCCCTGGTTGACCGCGGATAGCTTGAAGTCGGTTCGCTGCTAGTTCAAATACGTCTTTGTCTCCGCTGAGTATTTTCGCCCTCTTCTTGCTGGCACTTGACCAATAGCTAACCCCCAGACTCTTTGTGCGTGCCCTTGTTTGCAGGTCGAAGATCGGTTTGAACAAATTTGCTTTACTCGTGCACATCGCCAGAAATTCGTCTGCCACAAAGGATAATAGGATAAAGACGTTAGGCGCCCCCCGTTCATACCTTTTCGGTGCTTACTAATACGAACCAAGGGTAATTGCTCCGCTATCGTTTGAAGTCATGGATTTTAGCTGATTCTTCACTATACTGGGGAGATTTTCTGTGTGATACAGGAGACGAAAGAGGCTTTCGCACTCGGCAGCATCGAGAGTTCCGTTGTGATCATCGTCTGGTGCGAAGAAGAATTATGTAGTTAGGCCTACGTCATCGTAATAATTTGTGGCCGCATGAGCATACCGTAGAGCCGAAAAACGTGAGTATAAATGTCTTGAGGGGACATGGTGCAAAAGTTCCACAGGTTTAATACGAAGTCTACACAGAAGAATTAGTGTCATAGCCAGTGGGACCCCCAGGAAATACGCATTGTGGGCACTACCATCAAATGTGACACCTCGAGCTGGAGTTTGCTTGCCCAAGTTGCTAAACACAAGATCGGAGAATGTTGTGTGCGATAGCTCGAAAAACTGGTGAAATTCTTCCAAGTCGATCGATTTACTTCCACTGTGCAATGTAGAGAACACGAGTGAGCGTATTGAATCCGGTGAATCCTTTTGTGTTCTTACTCTTTATCCATCGCAGCGAAAAGCTGGTAAAACTTGAGCCCCGTGGTCGCTTTGTCGACTGCAACCAAGCCGTGAGCTCTCAAGCAGATTAAGTAGAACGACTATTAACTCGAGGGGCTTCTTACTCTCGAGCGCTTCGATGGCTGCAGCCACCGCTGGATTCTTCATTTGAATCGCATACTGCTCTTCCTGCTGTGCCTGAGCTTGGGCACTGAGTTTGCTGTCGCTGCTTCCCATCCACCACCCGTATATCGCTTTGAGTGGACTCAAACAGCTCCATATCTGTCCGTCATGAATGTTGCAAACCTATTTTTTCGCTCACTGAACTCACCTATCGTGCTGCTATCCTTGCCTTGCCAAGTACACGAACCCAAATACACATGAGCTTCTGCCCCTATATCTGGAAGTCCGCCAAGAACCGTTATATTGAGAAGAGCACCGCTGTTTGCACAGCCAACATAGACTCAACCTGGGGTGCATGTGCTCACTTGGACTATCCTCTTGGCTCCCTCCAACATCGGAGGAAAACTCACTGCAACGGCGGCTCGAAAACTTGCGTACGCCGCGTAAGTTCGAATTGCTGGAAGGGGACGAAGCCGTCATGTCTTCGAATTCGTTTGTGAGCAGCATCAGCCACATTGTCATCTCGTCAAAGCCCGGCGCTAATAAGGACTCTGACGACCCGGACGCCTTCCGCTCCGTCCAGTTCGGCACGAACGAGCAATCGCAAATCTTCCCGTCAAACGCTGTCAAGACAGCCATCTACACCGCGTACAACTTTTTGCCCAAAAATTTATTCAAGCAGTTCACACGTTTTTCCAATATTTACTTCCTGGTGATCACGGTCTTGCAGTTGCTGCCCCAAGTGACGTCTTCGAACGGGGTGCCGACCATGGTCGTCCCGCTGATGTTTATCATCGTAGTCAGCGGCGTAAGAGATGTCATGGAGGACGTGCAGCGACATCAAGCCGACGCCGAGCAGAACAGAGCCCAAGTGCAAAAGTTCACCTTCTCCGATGGAAAAGCCAGGAGCTTCCACCCCGCAACGTGCGAAGAGTTGAAAGTTGGGGAATTGGTTCGGGTCGGAGAGAACGAGGAGCTTCCTGCCGACATCGCTTTGGTCGCGTCGGGCTCCCCAAACGGCCAATGCTACGTGATGACTGCGAATCTAGACGGCGAGTCTTCATTAAAACCGCGCTTCGTGCAGCCGGAGCTCTGTCGTCCTCCCTATCGCGACTGTTTTCCCAGCGATGGCCAGCAATTGACAGCTCAAGCGACGACGCTTTTGTCCAGTGTATTCATCGAGTGCGAGCCCCCGAACCGATCGATCGACAAGTTCAAAGGAACGCTGGTGCTATCGGAGACTCGCTCTCTAAGCTTGGATATCTCGCATGTGTTGCTACGAGGCACGCATCTAAAAGACACGCCCTGGGTCATCGGCGTGGTCATTTACACGGGAGACGACACGCGTGTGCGCCAGAATGCCTCCGAAACACCCATCAAGGCCAGTTGGCTGAGCCATTTCATCAACCAAATCACAGTCTGGATTGTGGTCGTGCAGGTCGTCATCCTCATTGTCGCCGTGGTGGTGGAGGCGCAGCTTGTGGGCTCATCAAGCGTACAGCGCAACCCGTTTATCCCTGACGAAATCAAAGACAGCACGTTCGTGGACTTCGTGTGGCTCTTCCTGGCGTACATGCTGCTCTTCTCCAACTTTGTGCCCATTTCGTTGCAAGTCACAATCGATTTCACCCGCTACTTCCAAGCTCGAGCAATTACGAATGACCCAGGCATGCGCTTGTCCCCCAGCAGTCCGTCCTTCTCTACGTCTTCCAACACGGTAGACAAGAAGCACGTCGTCTGCGTCCAGTCTTCCGAGCTGAACGAGGAGCTTGGGCTTGTTGAACATATTTTCACCGACAAGACGGGAACGCTCACCTGCAATCGAATGGCCTTCCGCTCGTGTCATGTGGATGGGGAGACGTTCGACTTTGATGAGAAAGATGGCTCGCTGTTGATCTTGGAGAAGGCTGTTCACGAGGTTATCGTAGGTGCATTAAACCCTGAAGAAGCGCCAGACAAACCATCACGCCGGAGAAATACGATCGCTCTGTCGTCCTTCCCGTTCAAGAGCACGCCCATGCAGAGGTTCCTCATCAATCTGGCTGTAAACAACTCCATCTGGCCTAGTGCGTCGTCCACGTCTCAAGCTTCGACTAAGTCCTCAAAGCCTGTGAAGAAGGAATACGCAGGTCCGTCTCCAGATGAGCGCGCGTTGGTGATTGCGGCAGCACAAGCGGGTGTGGAGCTCTGTGATCGCAACAACACGCGAGTTGTGGTGCGCGTATACGGTAAAGATGCTGAATTGGAGATACTTCACTTGTTCGAGTTCACGAGTGACCGTAAGAAGAGCTCGATCCTGTGCCGAGAGCCGTCCGGGAGGATCATTCTCATGACGAAGGGGGCAGATTCCGTGATCATGGAGGCGCTGAGCGAGTCGGCCAATAAACCGAGTACGGTGCTGCAGGCGAAGGAGCAAATGAAGCTATACTCCGCGAACGGATTACGGGTTTTGTGCATTGCTGAACGCGAGGTGAGCGCCGATGAGTATCGCGCTTGGAACGCTCGCTACTCGGCGCTCAAGAACAACACCACTCGGGGGGCATCAGAGGAGGAGCTAGCGAAGATCATTTCAGAGCTCGAATGTCGCCTCACATTCGTCGGAGTTTCTGCCATCGAGGACAAGATTCAGGAAGGCGCCCCCGAAGCGCTAGAGAAATTCCGAGCCGCCGGCATTAAAGTCTGGATGCTCACGGGCGACCGAGCCGACACGGCTACAAACGTAGCGCACGCTGTGCGGTTGGTTTCGGCCGATATGAGACTTCTTCGGTTATGCGAGAGCTCGAGCTCGTGGATGGAAGGATCGAAGCAGGACGCGATTGATTTCCTCGAGAAGGAGCTGCGAAGAGCTCGTGAGGAAAGCGAACTGGGAGGAAGTGACAGTAATTCAAGCTCAATAACGTTCAAGAGTGGAGCAGTACCGCTGCCGAAGGCAAGAGCTGGACTTGCCCTGTTGATTGACGATACGGTGGTCGAAGCTGTTACGGGCTTTGGCATCGAGAAGGAATTCCTCGAGTTATGCATGGAGTGCGAATCTGTGCTCTGCGCTCGCATCAGTCCGAAGCAGAAGGAGTTGATCGTAGGGATGGTACGCAACTTCTGCCCTGACAAGGTTACGCTATCGATAGGTGACGGTGCAAACGACGTTCCGATGATCCAAGGAGCACACATCGGAGTTGGCATCGCTGGTGAAGAAGGACATCAAGCCTCGGACGCCAGCGACTACTCGTTGCCAGCTTTCAGATTCCTACAACGGCTTTTACTGGTACACGGCCGTGCCATGAATCGGCGGATCGCAGTGCTGACGTTGTACGTGTTCTACAAGAACGTGCTGCTGGTGCTGCCGCAGTTCGTGTACGGCGCTTACTGTCTTTACTCCGGACAAAGCACGTATTTCGACACGCTCCTGCAGCTGTTCAACATTGGCTTTACGGCACTCCCGATCCTCGTCTTCTCCATCAAAGACGACGACATCTCGGCACGCACGGTGCTCTTCTACCCAAGACTCTACCAGGATGGGTACCACCACGTATTCCTCAACCGCAGACGCTTTGCGTACTGGATGTTCGAGGCCGTGGTCGGTTCTGCTCTGATCATCTTGGTACCTGCAGAGTTATTGCCGCTCGCGCCGTGGTCTGGAACAGGAAGAGACAACGATTTATGGGCACTTGGCATGGCCCAAAACCTCGCGGTTGTAGTGCTTGCCAGTGCACGACTACTCCTCGAAGCGACCAGCAGTTCCAGGATTCTGCTGATACTCGCTTCAGCCTCCGTGCTCTTTTGGTGGGTCGTGACGTTCGCCATCTCCTCCATGATAGCGTTCGGACGGGAGTTCTACGGCATCCTGTACGTCGGTGCCATCACGAACGCACTCCTCCTCACGTTCTTCTGCTGCATCACCGGGCTGACTCCAGCGTTCTTGCCGAAAGTGTGGCAAGTCTTTTTCGCGCCAGACCCACGGACAATCTGTCGTGAGCGTGACCAGCTCCTGGTCGACTTCTCCAAGAAGAAGAGCCACGAGACCATTTTCCCCATCGACCAAGAAGATACTATCTAACCTAAGTTGCATTCAGCGTAAATAGGCCACATAACGCTAGATGTCGGAATTGAAAAGCGAAACAATCAAGAATAGCCCCCTTCAACCTCACTCCAAATGCAGTTTTTAGCTTTCGTGTCACGAAACGACTCGAAACGGATGACGGATAGTCCACCACAATATTGCGTTGAGCCCGTCCAAGGCAGGAGTGCAAACGGCGACAGCAGCCGAAGCGGAGCAAGACTTGACAGGAGGCAGCGTGAGCGGCGTTGGGCACTGGATGACGTGGTGGAGCAGAGCGTCATGAACCAAAACGGACCGCCACAAGTCCATACTTCCATGCCCACCGGACCGCAAAGTTCACTCGCCAATGACGCGAGACCGAGTATCCCAAACGCCCACGTATTCAGCAAGGTTGGGTCTCGCAAGACTTCACGAGTCGCGCCTGCATCTGAGAGCGAGAGATTCCCACGGGGGTCCCACTTTGAAGAACGTCGGGGCTCTACCAGCACTCCGATTACCCCTCTGGCCGCCATGGATCGAGCAGCTACGCGACGCGGGTCATTCACAGGCACGATTCCAGTACCCAGCCACGTGCCGCCTCGGTTGGGATCCGTTGGACGAATGCCCTCGACGTCTTCGATGATAAATAACCCCCGAGGATCAGCAGGACGAATATCCCAAGAGGGGAAAGTTCTTCCGGGCTTACGAAAGCAGCGTTCAGCGTTAGCCTCACAACCAGGGCCCCCGGGACCACGCTTACGGTTTGTCATTTGGCTTTCACAGGTCTACCATAACTACAAGCGGCCTCTGAGCTTCCTGCTGGACCCTCCGATTCTAGACCCACGCAGCAACGAAAAACTCGCGTGGGACTCGATAATCATGCTCGTTGTGCTCTACAGTGCCGTGATGGTGCCGTTCCAGATGGGGTTTCCAGAGGTTCAACTGGGCTTTGCAGTGCGGGTGGTAGCTATTTTCTCGAATATCTTGTTCTTTCTGGATGTGGTTCACAATTTCTTGGTCGGGTTTTACCCGGACGACGACGAAAACATGGCTCGGGACCGTCGACTTATTGCGAAGCGTTATCTGGCGTCGTGGTTTCTGCCTGATGTGTTGGCCTTCCTCCCGCTCGACTATTTTCTCGTCCAGTCCACTGATGCCACGTCAGGTATTGGCAGCGGAGAAGACGACAGCATCTCGAACGCACAGGTTCTCTCGCTCCGGCTTGCAAGACTAACGCGACTCCTGCGCATTACGAAGCTGACTCGGTTGATCAAGTTGCGCCACTTTGCCGCAAAAGTTGAAGATGCGTTCGATTTGGACGCTGTTTTGGCCAGGCTTACGCGGCTTATTGGCCAAGTGCTGCTGGTGACGCACATCTTCTCGTGCTTCTGGCATCTAATAGGCTATACCACAGAAAATGAAGGTCATACGTGGATGAAGGACGCTATGGTACAAAATGACAGTGTCAGTGAGCGCTACATTTACAGCTTCTACTGGGTCGTTGCCACAGTGTGTGGAGTGGGCTACGGAGACATCCACGCAACCAATAAAAGCGAGAGACTCTTCTCAATGGCCGTCTCAATTGTCGGCGCAAGCGGATTTGGCTTGATCATTGGTAGCCTGACCAAAATTCTCGAGAATTGGCACCGTGAAACAACGACACGAGCGCGGAAGCTCAGCATGGTGCAAGCTTTCATTCACAAGAAGCGCCTCCCTCGGGCTCTAAAGGTTCGACTCATGCGATATTTCCGCCACTATATCGCCAAGACGAGCGCGTTTGATGAGCGTGAGCTGCTTTGTGAATTTTCGCTTTCTTTACGGGGTGAGATTCTCCACGAAACTTATAAAAACACGTTTTTTCGGATCCCAGCGTTCAAGCGGCTCAGCACCCAGTTCGTGCTGGATATGGCAATGTTTATTAAGCCCCTCATCGTCGTCAACGGAGACGTGCTTGCCAGAGAGGGCTGTGTAGGAACCGAAATGTTTATTCTCAACACAGGTATCATTGAAGTACGACGAACCCCGCCCGAAAATCCTGACTGGATTGTGGTCCTAGAAATTCTTACGGAGAGGGGCGTATTTGGCGAAGCATCGCTCCTTCAGTACGCTCCGCATGCTAATACTTACACAGCAAAAGCTACGAGCGATCTGTTCACTCTACCTAAAGAAGATTTCGACCATCTCATTGAGGAATTCCCAGACGCTGAGCACGCAATGATCGACTATCACGGCGAGAGGAGTGCAATGTACGACCTCGTCTTCGAGCAGACAGTGGCTCGATATCGCGTGTTCATTGTCTCTCAAAACAACGACCCCGTGTCTGGAGTTGCCGGTCTCGAGAACTTGTACCCTACGTTGACTGTGCTGCTCGATGGTGTTTTGAGAAGTTATCGTTCGCTGCCACTCCCCCTTCTGCAATCTCTCGATCTCCAGTTATCTATGGGTGTATCGGTTTTCAACTCGGCAACAGAGAAGATGAATATGACTTGGCTTCTCTCTCAAGATGCCAAGACCACCAACGCAATGTCGAAATGGCAGCTCATCAAGTGGAAGCTGCTGACACCGATCAATCCGTTCCACTGGTGTAAGCTTGCGTGGGATATCTTCACCAGCATTCTTCTCGGATACTGCGCGATCGCCATCCCGTACGAAGCTGCTTTTCTTGGGGACGAAGGTACTACACTGAGCACAGGCATGGACGTTATAGTCGAAATTGCGTTTGCCATCGACATCGTCATCAATTTACGCACTGCCGTGGTCGTCGATCTGCCTGGTGAGGGCCACACTGCCGTTATTGAGCGACGCACCAAGTGGCGCGAGTATGTGCGAGGTTGGTTTTGGATGGACTTGCTGTCGGCACTCCCCATCTCGGTAATTGTGGCAATATCAGACGAAACGTTCCATCACATGGGCGCGCAGTCGTGGGTCTTGAGCTTGGTGCACTCTCTCCGCTTGCTTAAGCTAGCGCGTGTGTTCAAGTTCATCCATACACTCCAGCGAGAGGAAAGTTCGACAGCGTTGGGGGCGGCATTATCCACGCACCATAACATCGCCCGCGTGATGCGCTTGATGTGCCGTGTAAGCTTCATCGCACACACCCTGGCATGCGGCTACTTTTTTGTTGCACGCGTAGCACGGGATGCGAACGAAGGACGGACTATCAGATCGTATTTTCCTGACGAACAGAACTCGAATGGCGATATGTACGTTTACTTCCTCTACTGGGCCGTGACGACCATGACAACGGTGGGGTATGGAGACAGCCCGCCGCTTACAGTTGCGGAAGTTGGCTACGTTTCCATCGGAGTCCTCGTTGGCGCCTCAACCTTCACCTATGTCGTGGGTACACTCTCTAGCGTGGTTGAAGAGCTGAACGAGGCTTCGGACACGTTTCGCACTCGAATTGACCACCTCAAAGCCTATCTCCGTGAACGAGGAATCTCTGGACCATTGGCCGACCGTCTCCGCCGCTACTACGAGTACTATCTCCTACAGCGTGACGACGAAAATGAGGAAACCATTCTATCGGCGCTGTCAGACGATCTCCGTAGTCAATTGGTGCTGCATTTGAACCGCGATGTCGTGAGTAAGATCGGCTTCTTCGCCACGCAAGATGATGCGTGTGTGAGCTACCTCATGGGGATCTTAGATCCTGAGTTCTGCACCCCAGGCGAGTACGTGTTCAAGGAAGGCCAGGTAGGCCGTCACATGTATTTCCTCGTCAAAGGCGCGGCCGAAGTAGTCTTCAAGGCTGGAACGAGCGAGGAGCAGGTGGTTGCAACGCTGCTCGAGGGGAGCTACTTCGGTGAGATCGCGATGCTCACGCGCTCCAAGCGAGCTGCAAGTATTCGAGCCAAGACGTACATGAGCCTCTTCGTGCTCAGCTTGCACGGGCTCGATCGAATCTCGCTGCACTACCCGGAGATGGCTCACAGCATCATCCAAGAGTTCCGCAACAAGATCACTCACATCAAACGGACATCCGTGAAGCAGCTAGGCTCGCTCGTTCAGGAGGATGTGAAGCAAGCACGAGAGCGTAGCGGGCTGCTTGCTGCCCCCGGTTTCAACAGTTCCGGTAATGCCATGGGTGTAGGATCGGGCAGTGAGTCAGAGTTGCGCAGTACGCTTGGGGAGTTCGAAGCCATCTTGGGCCGCATTGTCGAGATCTACGGCGGAGGCGACAGGGGTAAGCGCAAAGCCCTCACTTGCGTCATGCAGCACTTGCACAAGTACGAGTTTTCCATCGACGACTTCCTCCAAGCCGCCGAAGAGCTCAATTACTCGCCTTCCCAGCCTCCCATCCCAAAAATCAACGCGTATTCTGCCTCAGCCAGTGCAATGCTCAACAGTCTGCAGCTACGGATGCGCCGTCGGTCATCGTTCTCGTAGACGTGCAGGTGCTCATTATGCAGTAGTATGAGCTATGGCAGCAGAATAAAAAGTTTTGGCCTCTGTTGTATTCCACTCAGAGTTTCCCTTCATGTCGATGTATTTTCGAGGAACTCGACAGTATCTACACCTCGTTATCTCCCTCTGGCTTAGCGACGAGCACCACGACGCAGATCAGACGAGACCCAGGCCACCAAGGCGTGGAGAAGCTCAGCATCGTGCTGTCTGAGCTGCAGATCTGCTTCCGACAATGTCTTTGCACTACTACCTGATTGCTGAGCATTGGCATGCAAACGCTCCAGGTGTCGGATGAACGTAGCGTGAAGGCGTTCTCGCAGCAATGCGAGCCAACGCGCTTCATCCGCACTGCCCAGCTCGAACACTATCCAGTCGTCCAGCACAAGAAGCCACTTACTTGGCACCGCGGAACCATCGTCGTCAACTTCTTCGTCAGCTTTTTGCTCTTCGACGGTCTGCGACTCCACGGAGCCCATAAGTAGCGCCTGCAGCAAAAGTGACGGGAGCTTGGTACCGTACTTAGCGACACGCGTACGCTCCGACTGCATCATTTCGTGATACACCAGCCACTCGTCGGGAGGACCAATGTCGTCCTGCTCCGATGCTTGCTTCTTCTTGTGCTTCTGGGGATTGGCTATGCTCCACGTCACCATAGACGACCCGTCCATCTTCACTTTCACCTTCTCTTTGGAGGTCCAGTTGCGGCTCACACCGCCGGAGCGAGTAAACAACGCGTTCGGGTACATGCCAATACTCAGAGCCATCAGGTAGGGGGCAACACTCTCCACGGTAGGAGGAGTCCTTGACACTGGGGTCGACACCAGTTGAGTCGCAGGTGAGAGACCCATCGATTCCATGTCTTGGTGCAGCTGCTTGTAAATGGCCAGGAGTTGCTCTAGCGTCTGCCGGTGCAACTTGTTCCGAGCACAGAAGGCGTCCTTTGTCTTGAATGAGGAGCGCGCTCGTGCGTCGAGGTAAGCCTCAAACGCCTTCCACAACACAAAATGGTCGCTTTGTAGGATGAGCGATGGCGGGGACCCATTTCGTGCAAAAGCCTTCTTCGAAGCGTCCACCTGGCGCTGCTCTTCAGGTGACATGCCGAGGAAGCTAATGAAAGGGTCTCGATATCCGCTCAGTGTGCACGTGGTCTGCAGGATTGCGTCGAAGCAGCCGAAGGTGTGCCCCCATAGGAGCAGCTTCGCCATTTGTACAGCCACTCCACCCGAACAAATGTGTCCAAGATGCCAACCAAGGAGTGTGAGTGCCTGGTTGCCATTTCCACTGTTTGCGAGGGCGCGCATGTCTTCCAGTCGCTGCAACGAGGCATCAATTGCAGTCTCGCTGGGCGCATCCATAGCTTCCAGCAAGAACTCCTTAGCATCGCGAATGTGCAGCTTCTTCTCTAGCTGAAGAAGCTTAATCTGCAGCAGCAGCTCCTCCAACGGCGTGGTCAGCAACTCGGGCAACATAAACTCCTTCATGGCGTTTTCGTATCGTGCCTTCGAAAAAAGACGGAAGCAGATACCGGCACGGACACGGCCAGCACGTCCTGTGCGTTGCACACAGTTCGCGCGTGCCACCCACGTGGTTTGCAGTCCCATTACGAAGGATGAACTCGAGGTCGCAGCAAGGGCATGCGCTTGCTTCGACTTGCCACAGTCCACAACAAACACGACATCCTCGATCGTAAGACTCGTTTCGGCGATGTTGGTCGCCAAAACCAGTTTTCGCTTTCCATGCGGAGGTGTCATGAATGCGCGGCGCTGCTCCTGAGCTGACAAGCGCGAGTGGAGAAGAGCAATCTCGTACGTCGCTGCCGTTGCCGGTGAGTTAAGTAAGGCCCGTTCCATAAACGAGATTTCTTCCCACCCAGGCAAGAACACGAGAATGGCTCCTTTTCCATCATCATCCAGTGGGAACGTGCGGTTCACAAGGAAGAGTAGCTGCAGCAACAGATCGTAGTCCACTGCTTGATCCTGCCGCAGAGCGTCTAGTTGCTTCATGTAAGTCGAAAGCAGTGCCTCCTTCGCAGACTCGTCGATCTCACTCAGCGCGGCTTGCAAAACGTCTCCCATAGCAGCAACAGGAACTGCTATGGGGGTGATCTCAGGCTCCGGAGTAGGTGCAGATCCAAAATCCGCACTAGGTTCGCCAAAACAGGTTGCCACGTGCATACCGAATGCCTCCTCATCAGCAATACCTGAGCCACCACACAACGGACATTCCAGCCCGTTATTCGTTGCTCCTCCAGTTGAACTGCTGGAATCGCCTCCAATACGACCGACTCGTGAGTCATCCATAATAGGCAACGGTGAGCTCCGGTCACTCTCCAGCAACGCCAACACGTCCTCCAGGAAAAGCGTGGTCACAGGAAAGTTGGTGCCACCGACCATTTGCAACACGGGCGCTGGGAAGTCAGGTTGAAAGTACTGCGAGAATTTCTCCACTTGGATAGTAGCACTCATGAGGATCACCTTGAGGTCTGGTCTCTGCTTGAGAATCGACGTCTTGATCAAAATCAGCAAGAAATCCGTGAACTGGTCGCGCTCGTGCACTTCATCCAAAATGATGTGCGAAAATCCACGAGCAAGTGGGTCATTGTTGAGCCACTTCAGCAGCGTTCCCGTCGTACAGAAAATGAGCTTGGATCGCTTGGCGTCAAAAGACGAATCGAACCGAATCGCATGCCCCACCTCCTTGCTATCTTCCCCACGCGGCCCTGATCGTTCGCGCGCAACTCGCTCCGCCAGCGAAATCGCACTAATTCTTCGCGGTTGCGTGCAAATAATCCTCGTCTCCTCTCCACGTCCGCGAGCCAACGCATCATCCAGCAGAAACTGCGGGATCTGCGTGGATTTACCACAACCAGTGTCTCCCGACAGCACGACGAGCTGGTTGCTCTCCACGAGCTCCAAGATCTGCTCTCGGTATCCATACACCGGCAACCTGGTGGCCTCAACGGGCGGCGTCCTCACGGTCTTGACCCCCTCATGCCCCTGACCCCGACTCGGAAGAGGCTTGAAGAGCGGTGCACCGCCTCGTCCTTGGTGTCGCTTGGGCACGGAGGCCAATGGGCTCAAGTCCCGCGCACTCCACGGGTCGAGCCCGGCGTTGGGGGCTGGATACCTGGTCATATATTCCCTCACAACGGGAGGGAACCACTCCACGGTCGACGCGTTGAGCGGCGCGGCCGGCAGCCGCAAAGAAACCTCCTGCATGGCCGCGTTCTTCTTGACCTTGGCCACGTGGATGAAGCGGCCGGCGCCCTTCTTGCCCGAGCTCTTGGAGAAGAGGCCGTACTTCTGCGCCATCGAGTGGATGTAGCGCCGCTGCGTGATGTCGTAGCTGGGAGGGAAGCTCATCTCCGACCGCTCGCCGTCCTCCACCAGCGCCTGCAGCGCCGCGTGGATCTCCATGCAGAAGCTCTCGTCCAGGCTGATGGCGGGCTCCGACGACGACCCGCCGCGGTTGCTGGAGCCTGGCGCGTTGAACCCGTTGGACGGAGGCCCGCGACCTCGACCTCGACCGCGGCCGCCACCTCCGTCTCCTCCTCCTCGACCTCGCCCACGGCCCCGGTAGCCGCCGCGACCGCCTCCGCGAGCTCCGTTGCGCTGCATGTTTTGGATAAAGGGAAAATGTGATGCAAATCGGATTCGTTATTTTCAAAATAACGTTTTTATGAAATATTGCGAGAACGATTAGAATATCGTGTCCGTTCAAGGAAATTAACAGCTAAATCTTACAATAGGAGTTGCCCAATAGTATTCCGCAATGTCATTAACACCAACCCTCCCTACTTAGACGGAATATAGGTCAGGTGTACCGCATAACTGAACTCATAATTCGCAGATATCTCTTTATTCACACCTGGGCTGACACATAAACTACACACCAAGAAAGTACATGCCCATACAAATCCTAGTATATTTCAAGGTGATCCCTTTTCATGTTGATGCCGCGTACACAAATAATACTCAATTCAATGTTTCTGGGGTATGAATAATGAGTTCTGTTATGCGGTATATACAGCGGAAATGTATGGAATACTGCGGAACGCTATGAAAATTGGTACCAACATAAAGTACATTACTTTGTTATCTTTCATGTGGCAAAGTTTCGTGACTGCACCTTCAGTTCTAGCGTAGATAGAGCTCCTTGTAACTAGCTATATCGGCCACTCGACGCATTCTCGAGCTCGAGTGGCCGCGACGTCTAAGCAAGGTATCTCGACCCACTAACCTACCCCTGTATGTATTATATCACGTAGACTTGAAGTACCCTGATTTGTGTTTTTGATCGGCAATCACAACCGCCTCAATAAGGGGCACTACTGCAGCACAATTTTACCATGAAAGAGCTTGTTCTTCATAGTTCAATAGCACCAAAGAAGTTGTAATGCATATAGAAACTAAAATCGCTGTTATCCCCGAAGTTACTGTTGTTTTTGGTACATGGCATGCAGATAGAGAATAGAGATTTCAGCAAGTGTGCCCAACTTTTGTTGGTCGGCCTCTACTTTGTACATAGCAGACACTTCAAGACCTTGCTTAGGAGTTGCGGCCACCGACGCGGGGGTGCCGTGTTTGGGCGAAGTTCTTGCGAATAATGCTATCCTAAGCTTCATTCACGTAGCGGCATGCATCTAGATCGAACCCAGCTTTCTAAAGATGTTTTTCAATGATAAATTGGCCAATTACCGCACTTAAACTTACCCAAAAACACCCGGCCAAACGGCCCTTTTGGTCCTTCTCTATCCAGAGGACCTGTGTTAATTTATTCAATCAACACACTGTATATTATACTTGTTTGAGAAAGGCCAACTGTCGCCGAAACAAATCCGGACATATTTTGTCCGAACATCATAAAAATATTTACTTCCTCCGGGCGGAAACAATTGCAATTTTAGTGAAAGACTGTACAATAATGGTCAAAAACCGTGTATATTTACACCAGAAAGAGCAAAACTCACACAACAAGGTCCTAGCTAGGCAAAGTCCTCTAACTTCGACAATTACAAAGTGCCCGACGCGTGGAAGCACTCAAAAGAAAGCGCAGAGTCTAGCGGGTTCACCATGATGTTCCTCTCTGTTTGACAGCATCTACTTCGGCTAGAAGGTTGAGGTGTAAGTTCCAAGATGCCGACCGTGGATTTGCTGGTGCCCTTAGAAGTAATATTTGTCTACAAAAGTCAGTAAGTCCAACATTGTATAAATAGAGAGATGTAGTTTCTGGAGCTGGAGCTAGATATAATCCGGATTATCCGAAAATAGGGTTCCGCAAAGGCTGGGATAGGAAGATTTAGGTATAAGCCCCTTAATTACTTTTCTTATTAGCTACGGTCCTCTCCTGCGCCTGCTTCGCAGCCGCAACATCTGCCCTTAAAACGTTTCCTCAAACTGTAGATATATTAACTGGCAATGTTTTATAAAATTAAAAATGTGAACCTTGCTATCCGCCTCAATCGTTCTCTTTGCTTTACTTCGTTCGTCCGTACCCAGCTCAATATATGCACTGATCCATACCAGTGTCGTCGGTAGCACACCGGTTCAATCTGCCCACGCATATAAACCTTTTGGAGGGATGTGGGGCACCGGGGTCATACCAGTGTGATGGGTACCCTACCGGTTCAGCCTGCCCACGCATATAAACCTTTTGGAGGGCCCAGTGCGGCACTGGGGTCGTACCGGTTTCAAGAAAATATACCAGTTAAGGTACTCGCCCTATTAGAGCCCGGACTTTATTTTATAATACCGGGCTAGAAGCTTGAAAATTTCAGATATAGTATCAGCTCCAAAGCTTTGAGTTTGTATGGACTAACCGTTAAGTACCGGTATTTCTCGGTACGGGCTTATATTCGGGCGAGTACGTTAGATGTCAAGAGGGGTTCATAGTTTGACTTGATGTACCACGGATATAATCCTATTTGATATCAGCACTAACGTTGCTTTCTATCCCAGTATAACCCAGAAATATATTACGGATAAAATACCGGCGGATACTCCTATACTTAACTCCAGTGAAGCTATCGGGTACCCCAGTACCTCCAAGGAGTCTATTTCTGGAGCAACGCCATTTTAGCTCCGAAACTTGAGATAGCTCCAGAAACCACAGTTCTCGAATATCGTCAATTTCGGACACCTTACACTCCGCGCCAAGTGCAATCACGCACCCGAGTTTGTAGCTATATCTCAGTCAATATTTAGAGTTAGGAGCTGCGCTTTAGATATGTTGCTGCTACTACCGTTACCGACCCCGCTCTTGTGTTAACGATCGGCATTTCCATGGCTGTGGTGGGGCTCACATACAAGCAGACAAATATGGCTTAGTGACACAATTATCACGCAGATTGGACCATACAAAAATCCATATATTATGAATGATTGTAACATGTGGGTCAACTAGTAGTGCGTCTTTCCTCCTTGCTTTTCCAGTACTTCGACGAGCCGCTTGGGCATGGAGTCCACCAGGGTTACCAGGGTCGCTTGGTCGACAGATTCCCACGCCACCAGAACCGCTTCGCGCAACTCGGACACACTGGAGTACTGTTTCTTGCCGTTGTCGTACACCGTGCGCGACAAAATGGCCCACAAGTTCTCTATCGGATTAAGGTCCGGAGAACGAGCGGGCCACTTCATCACCATCACCTCTTGCTCCTCAAAAAATTCGGCCGTGCACTTCAACGTATGGATAGAAGCATTATCTTGTTGAGAGATATACTCCAGCCCAAAGTACTTGAGAGCGTAAGGAAGCATGTATTCAGAGAGAGTATACACATAGTCATCTGAGTTTTGCTTACCCACAAAAATGGCTAGCTCCGTCTTACCACCGCGGCTAAAGCCACCCCAGACCATAAGCGAACCACCGCCGTTTTGGCGCCGAACGGTTTGACGCCTCGGAACCCGCAAGTCCTACCAGTAGCGCTGATACCCGTCTGGAACATCCAGGTTCCATTTCTTTTCGTCGGAAAAGACGATGCACAGCCAGACATCCTTGGAGTAGAGTAGCCATTCCTTCGCGAACTCATGGCGAGCGATCATGTGCTCAGCCGTGAGCTCCAGCGTGTTGTCCATCTTCGCGTACTGCAACCAATCCACGCTCGCAAGAACGCGCTGGACGGTGCGTAGAGAGGCAGCACTGCTGACGAGCTCCTTGATCTGGGAGGCGGAAAAGTCACCGGTTGCTGCCTTCCGCACGACTAGCCGCACCTCGCGGTCCGACATGACGGGCGGGGGGGCCGAGCTTCTTCGGCTCCGTCGGCGCCTTCGGAGCGACGATGCGAGCCACCGTTTGGTCGCTGCGACCGACACGGCGTGCAATAGCACGGTTAGACCACCCGGCCTCGTGCAGTCCTTGGATTCTCCCGCGTTCTTCGTCGCTGACGCGTGGCTTGGGCGGCATCGTTGCGAATGCCGTACTGGTTGGGATTTTTACGGCCCCACCACTAATCTTAATATATGAATTTTTGTATGGTCCAATCTGCGTGATAATTGTGTCACTAAGCCATATTTGTCTGCTTGTATGTGAGCCCCACCACAGCCATGGAAATGCCGATCGTTAACACAAGAGCGGGGTCGGTAACGGTAGTAGCAGCAACATATCTAAAGCGCAGCTCCTAACTCTAAATATTGACTGAGATATAGCTACAAACTCGGGTGCGTGATTGCACTTGGCGCGGAGTGTAAGGTGTCCGAAATTGACGATATTGGAGGCAGCATAGCCACTCTAGAAACGATTCATGTCAACGAAAGCGCTCATACCTGGGACGGCTCTCAACGGCTTCGAGCACTTCGCGGCCGCGAAAGGCTTCAGCGTCAACACCATCTATGAATTTGTAGGTGGGAACTTAACTGGGGACATTTCCTATATTGCTCTCGACAAATTTGCAGTGTATCTAGCGTTCACGGAAAGCTCAAAGGGCTCGCTGCTCCCATAGAATTCGGTGGTTAGCTACTTTGCCAACGTCAAGACACCTACTTGGGCCTTTTCCGGCTCTAAGTGCTGTATCAGGTCGGCGGCTATAAAAGATTGCGTCGATCCTCGATAAGTACTGCTCCAAGCAAGGCATAGACTTCATGCACCAGGCACCACCACGCACTAAACGCGATCTGCGCTCGCTTAGTTTGGTGATTTTGAAGGGGGCAGCTTCTGCACAGGATTACCAGGGTGCAGTCCTGTTTAACACCCTGTGGTATTTGTTGGGTGGTCTTCAGACACTATGTGTCTCGTGAAAAACCAGGTCGCCGTTTATCCTGGTAAGTACTTGTGCTATTAATTTGCCAAATATTGTTTTGACCTTGTGTATTGTGTTCGCACCGGTGCACAGGTGGGTGTCTATTCATCACCTTTAAACGTAAGAAGGCCGCTTCGTACCAAGGAGTGTCCATATTTCACGACCCAAATGATTTTACGTCCTGCCCATTTCACGCTCTAGCTGTGACTACAATTATGCAATCGACTCCAAGTGGTTCAGTTTCCCCGAGATACACAAGAGATCCTGCCTACTAAAATGGGGAAATACTCATTCGTGAACTGCCCCATGCGCGTACCGGTCCCCCCACCAGCCCCAGCAATGAACCACCGATCAAGAGAGCACATTCAAAAAAGGTAAGTGTCCCTGGAATCCACGCGTACGTGAATCGCGTGCTGCACAAGTGGAGTACAATTTGGTGCGAACCCGACCCCAGGGCTGTCATCGCATTCGTTTCGTCGTGGGGCTGCCTAAAACGCGATCAGTGATGGCAACATCAGCACTCCTTGGATTCTAGACCGTGGAGGGTGGAGCATTAGTGCTATGAGCAAAGCGCTCAACTAACGGAAATTACCGAATAATACCCCGGACACTATTTATTAGGACCCTCCCGTTTTCAAACAAAATCTGATAAATTACGTATATTATAAAGTATTTCATGCATAAATATGCTTTCGACAATAAATCCACAAAACATTATTTGATATTTGTATTGATGTAACCATGTAACCCTGGGACACACAGTGGGGTTACGTTTTAGACGGTACTATACGGGTAAGGGGCATTATTCGGAAATTTACATTACATAGAGGGACGGCGCAGAAAGATACACTGCCGGCAAATCGTTACCTGGATGGGATCCGAAAGATACGTCGCGGCTACCTACTCTTGGGGGCATTGATCCTCTGGATCTGCGTCAGATTCGCTCAAGCCAAGCTTTTCTCGGCTGCGACGTTTTTTACGGACAGACTCAGCTTGCAAGACGACGTAGTCGACGTCCTCACTGCTACCGTCACCATTCCCTACCCGGACATGCTTCGTCTATCGCTGGATTCGCTGTACATCAACGAGTTCAAGATGCATTGCGTCAGGTACCGAAGACGGAAGCAGATATTTCTGCGTGGGCAATTGCTATTCATCGTACCTTACAGCAGCCCGCGAAGGACACTCACAAGCAACCCAGCTGCACGACGCACGGGTGCTGCCGAGCTTTTGCGGAGACAAACCTTGATCTTCAAGCGGCAAGCGAAGCTGCTGGGTAGACTGGCAGGTGAAATTAGAGAGTTGGACCAGCGGGTGCAGCGGCTAGAAGGGACGCCGGCAGCAACCACCATGCAGCCAGCATCCGCGGCTGCAGGCCTCTCAAACTCGTCAAGCACTGCATTCGATACTGCAAGCAGACCGGCATCTAGTGCGCATTCTCGGACGAAGCCGCTCACAACTGTTGGTGCGAGTGGTTTCGTCTCCCTCTGCCTAGTGCACATCCAAACCGGCGGTGCTATCACGAGTGCAAGGTCACGGTCGCCTCATGCGCATTTTCCGTCCGACTGGATACGACGTGACAGGAGAGGCGGGCGAGGCCACAGGACGTAACCTAAATTCGGGTCGGGAGGCTGATGCGAACGTACTTGTGTTTCTGGAGACTGGGCATGTCAAAGCAAAATCGCACGGCACAATCGTCAAGGTACTGAAGTGCATGTACGCAGAAGGTAAACTGAACGACCACATTAGGAAATACCAGCACCTTTGGCAAGAAGTTAGAGCTCTGGAAGACGCACCAGCACATGTGCTCGAGCTCTACAACGGTGGCAGCACGACGTAGAAGCATACATTCATTGAACCAACTGGTTATCTACTTACATTAGTTTCGGTATCCCCAAGCCGCCACCCCGCCATCTCCTCGTCCTCTGCGTGCTGCTGCCGCTGGTCATCTGCAAGCTCTGGCTGTGGCGCTGGTTATGCAGAAGGCACCAAGTCAGCGCATGTTCCCCCAGTTCATCGCCAAAAAGCGCAGCACGGATGATATTGATGATGTACAGGAGCTTACATTAATTGAACTACTCGAAGTTGACGACGATCAGCCTTCTATGGAAGAATCTGAAGCTCCTTCGACAAAGCGGGTCGTACCTGGTGTGAAAGCATACGTCAACGGATTGCTAGTTAGAGTTAAAAAAAGCTCGCCGATTTGCGAGGCATTCGCATGACGCCAGATCTTACCTCTCATTCATTTCCACGTGGTGGAGCCATGCATGGCAACGACGGTACCTTGGCTGAAAACTGGATTATTGAGCGCGGCGGCTGGCAGCTGGACCGCGTCAACAAGGCGTTCGGGTACATGCTTGATACAACCCAAGCCGACCAAAAGGTGTCCCGTGTTCTGAGCGGTTGGAAGCCTAAGGACGGCGCACGGCTACCAACGCTAGCCGCTCTGGACACACCAATCTTGGCCCACGCTTGCGAGTTGCAGCAGCTTCTCGTTTCCAGCACGATGGCGTTCGCTGACGCTGACTTGAACCTCGACGACGACGTCGCTCATGTCCTTACGGCTACCCTGTTCATACATTACCCCGACATGTTAGTGCTCTGCCCAAGCAGCCCGCACATCACGAAGATACGTGAGCTCCTAGCAGAACGAGCCATCGGTGAGTCTGAGCTGCTGGTGTGGAGCGTGGCAATCAGCCTGGCATTCGCGACGCCTCCTGCATCAGAAGCTTCTGGAAGTGGTGGTGAGGAGCCGTCTCCTGTGTTGATTGATCTCATCAAGCGCCAGTCCAAGCAGATCGATGTTTTATTCATACAGAACAAACGACTCGACTCGACGAGCGCATATTAGCTGTTAAAGCACACCTCAAGACACTTACCAGCACAGGCGCGACTCAGCCAGCATACACCGACGCCACGCTTCCTGCCCCCGAGCAACCACCGCCAGTAGGGGCTACGACGACACACCCGTAGAAGAAGGGAGCCCAGTCATTGTCGACGATCTGGTTCGAGTGGTTTACAGCGGAGCCTCGTGTGTTCTGCAATGAAGACAGCGTTGTACGAGAACAGGCACATCGCAGGGTATCTCATGCTCTTCTTACCTGAAGGTTTCGCGCTTGACACTTCGTCGCCTGCATACAAAAGCGAGGTCCTGGAGCTTGGTGATCAAGCGCAGCAGAACGCACTCACCTTCTTGAAATCACACGGCCCCTCCACGGTTGCAGCAGGTTCGGCGTTGAAGGCTCTTCGTCAGATGCAAAAGGTTGGTAAGCTCGACACGCTCATCGCCCAGTTCCATGAACGCGTTGACCAAGGTGTCATTGTCGATCCGACGCCACCATCAGCACTTCCATCATTCATTCGGCTGAAGCCTGCGCAAGGTTGATCTGCTACTGTAACACATAGCAAAATACACTAACAAACTCAAAGTTAAAGTGACCCACCGCACACCAGGCTCGCTGAGCAAGGGACAATACCACCGACATCCATAAATACATGGACAACAACAGCATAATTTGGGTAAACCTCTTTGTATATTTTCTTGCACTTGTTCATTACTACAGTATAAACAACACTACACAAAACATAACGTTAGAATAGGACATCCACAGGGACGACAGGACATAAAATGTTTACCTTGTATCTTGCAGCCCTCGGCGGCCATCACCCGCGCGAGACCAGCCAGCTGACCGTGTCGCCGCAGCCGCACTCATTGGTCCTGCTTATGCTGGACTCGGCGGCCATCACACCACCCCAGGTCTAACCACACTCCACGTCCTTCACGCGCACCACGTTGTTGTTGCTGCTGCTGGCCCCGAGGGCCATCACACCGCCCGAGGCCAAGCAGCAGTACACGACGCCTCCCGTATGCTCTTTGCAATACCGGTCTCGAGGGACATCACCCCACCCGAGGCCGAGCACCCGTCCCCGTTCCTGCCGCGCTGCTGCTTGTCCTGCTCTTGGTAGTGCCGGCCTCGAGGACCCCCATCTGCCCGAGGCCAAGCATCCGTCCGTGTCGCTGCCTCCCGCTGTGCTGTCCGGCTCGAAGCTGAATGAATGAATGAATGAATGAATGAATGAATGAATGAATGAATGAAGGGGATTTGTAGCGTCATTAAATTGAAATAGATGTCACTAAAATGATTTGCTTTAGTACCGGTACCTTGGTCGGACAGTTGGAATTTTGACGGTATGGATGTAGTTGTCCTACCCATGGCCCATCCATTTGTCCCAATAGAGCATTTTAGCCAACAGTATTTGACGTAAAGCTATTCCCAACCTTTTCCCAATTATGTTGGAGCGAGCTCACAATTACAGAATAATGACCAATGCAATTTTCAACTATGATTATTAACTTATCCTTAAACATCAATATTTCCCAATCACATTGTTTGAGTAGCGGCTGGTGGAGAAACTATCTACGCTAAGAAGGCCCCGGCCACAGAGCACTCCACAACATGCAGCGAGCAGCAAGGGTGCTTGACGTCCTACAGGAAACAGCGGGCAAGGAATCGACAGCCTTGAAGTGCTTCGGTGACTTCTTGGCTCTTGTTAACATAAGCGAGAGCCCTTCAGAGTGCAAAGTCGCTTTCTGAGCCTGGAGCTCTACCTAGTCTGAATTTTTACTCCCTATTAACCGCCTTCGCTATACACCAGCAAATTAGAATGAGTGCGCGTGGCGGCCTGTTGACCAAAACTGCTACGATGGGATATATCTCGCAGGTTGTTAACCTATTGCGAGAGCGTTATCCAAACATCATGATAGACGCAAGCCAAGATTCGCGAGAAGATGGTAGCTGCCACTGACGAGGGAAATCTGCTTGCCGGCGTACTGACCGAGGAGGCTCCTAGCTGTACGCTGAGCGATCTGCGCAATTTAGTACAGAAAACGGCGGTTGTGGTGGTAGGATCTGGGTTTAAAAGTTTGCAGGACCCGGCTGTTTATGCCAAATGTTACATATGTTTGGCCGTGTAATCGATATTCGATTTGGCAGAAAGTACCAGCTCCTCATCGCGCTATCGGGCGAGCTGTTTCTACAAGTGGCACGCATCAAGCCATCAGTCGATCGAGGCATTTCTATCTAACGTACTCGCCCTATTAAAGTCCGGACTTTATTTTATAGTACAAGCCAAGAAGCTTAAAATTATCAGATATTTTATCAACTCCTAAACTTTAATCTTGGCGTTTTTATGTACAAAACATTAAGTACCGGTTTTTATTGCGAAGGGCTTATATTCGAGCGAGTACGTTGCAAGTCAGCGGTTCACCGGACAGATGGCCGAGGCATGCTGCATCGTCTGATCATATCAGGGGAGAAAATCAACAGTCAAGACGAGACGATCATGCATTGAGATAGTTTAGAAGAGAAGTCCAGCGCGAAAGAAGGACCAACCGCAAAAAGAGTGCGTGGCCGTCCAAATATATTCGAATACAGTAACGTCGCCATTACGGAGGTGAGTGCGCGTTTGGTATGCGACGCCATCGGTCGGGACGCTACAGGAGGTCTTGCCTGCGCTGGTGTTCGCGCAACTGTTCTCTCTCCGGACCCAGCTCTTCAGGAAGGTGAGTGCCGTCTCGTAACACTCATCAATGTAGACGCGCTTGTGATGGCGTCGCTGCTCATTCATCTGGAGGAAGTACCGGCAGCAGTCGCGAAGGAGCAGGCTTCCTGCGGCTACACCGCACACTATCTCTACCGTTTACATGTCGCGCCCGACACCACCAATACCGCCCTCGGCACTGGTATAACGATGGCGACATGCATAGGGTGAGGGAAACAGCTTCGAGCCGCTTGGGAGACAGAGAACATCTCTCAACTCGGTCGGGGCTGTGGTGGTGCACAGCTGTCTTGGCGCCGACTATGACCTATATGCTACCATCTCTTGCTGCGACGCAGTGGACCTTGGCGAAGCCGCTAGCCATGAAGGAGAAGCGGGACGCGCAAGTTGTAAAGGATCAAGCATCAAGAGAGCGATCCGCGCCAGTCGCCCTGGTGACAACATACAGCATCATCATCATCATCATCGTGGAGGAGCACATGCTTGCCGGTTGATTCTACATTGGTATGTCATGCCACTCTGGCACAGCAACAAAAAATAAAAACATTTTTTTGGATCTCAAGGTATGCTAATTGCGTTAGATACCCACATCTCAATACCTGCTGGACCCGATAGAGTGTCGTATCGCTTCTGGAAACAAACGCTATGGTCATTTACCGAGGAGCTGGACAAGAAGACGAATCAATTTTGTATAGTTTGACCTGGTTTGTATAAATTGGATATGATTTGTATAAGGAGTACTTATACTTGCGTTGGATTCTAAAAGCAGAGAAGAAGATTCTCCTACACAACGTCCACAATCTCGCCGAGCGCTTAAAGGCTGCACGCCGCTGTGCGCAGACAGTGGAAGCTAGACCCGATATCGTGCTTCGGGCATTTTGAAGTTGCAAAGTGTTGCGGATTATACTGATCCCCACTATACTACTTGCAGTTGGAGTAAGACAAAAGGTGAAAGAGAAGAATCTAGGCCTCAGTTGAGAATATACACACGACCAACAAGGTGGCTTTTGCCGCCCAGCTGAGTGTTGTCGTTGCTTCCATCTCTGCGTGAGCAGCACCAAGAGGACACTCCACTTCAGGTTATGAGCCCACGGCTCACGCGTGGGGAGCACAGCAACTAGGACGTCACGGCGGATCAGAAGAAGACGCCCAAGGAGTCACACGAGGAGAAGAGGACGATCCCGCCGTTTAACGGCAAGGACTACGAGGTCTGGCACGAGCGAGTCAAGCTCAAGCTGGAGAGGAAGAAGCTGTGGAAGTACTGCATGGAGGACTTGGTCGAGCTGGACGAGAGCAAGGAGGCAGAGGCGCACGCGACGTGGACGAACGAGATGGCCCACGCCAAGGAGATCATTAACGACGCAATGACGAATCACATAATGAAGACTGTGAAGTATGAACCCACCCCGTTTCGTGTCATGGAGCGCCTGAAAAAGAGATTTATGGGCAAGACGTACCTGAAGTACGCTGAGGAGAGGGCCAAGCTCAGTCGGCTACGGCTCGCTCCCAACGGCAATGTGCCAGATCACCAGAGCGAGATGCGTCGGCTGATGGAGACCATTGCTGGAGTCGGGCGTCCTGTGGACGAGTATGTAAAGCCAGCACTATTGATTGGATCTCTGCCGCGCGAATATGATCATGTTGTACAGCCGTTTCTCGCCAGTCACAAGCCCCCAAATGCTGATGATCCTCCTAATTATGAACAACTTGAACTCGCATTGGAGATGGCTTACGACAATCGCCAAGGTCGGAAAGCAGAGGGCGCCAAGGACAATGATGATGAAGAAAAGGCGTTCTTTGCTGGTGGAGGAAGAGGTGGAGGACGTGGTCGCGGCCGTGGACGTGGTGGTCGATCTGGAGGACACGGGCGCGGTTCCGGTGGTGGACGTGGTTCTGGCGGTCGCGGCAGCCAAGGTGGTGGACGTGGAACTGGACGTGGGCAAGCCGGCAGTGGACAAAAGCCAGGTGGTGCTTGTTATCACTGCCATGAAGCAGGGCACCATGTGTTTGATTGCCCGTTTCTTGGCAAGCGACCTCCAGCCGAGGATCGCAGCAGCACCCAAGCTCAGAAGCGCGTGAAGATGAGTGGAGGAAAGAGTGCTAAGGCTGCTGAAACGAGTAGCTACGCTAATGAAAGTGATGACAGCGCGTATGTTATTCTTCAAGTGATGAAAATGGAAAAGCCGGTCGCAGACAAACCCCATGATAACTGGTATCTGGACTCTGGTGCATCGAGTCATATTTCGAACCAGCTCACTGATTTCATGGAGCTCACGCCTCTTAGCGCCCGGATTCGAGTTGGAGGAAAGAACTCACTGGGTGTTGAGGGTATTGGTACTGTGGTTAAAGAGCTGGAGACTACTGGTGGGAGGTGCTCACTGACGCTGCGAGGGGTTCGTTATGCTCCAGAGCTGCAGTGCAGTCTCTATTCTGTGCGACGGCAACTGAACCAATATCTGCCTGAACGTGATCGTGTGAAGGTGCACTTTGATGAGGCAGATCGCGCTGATGTTATCTTACAGGCTGGTGTGACTACCGCTCAAGTTGATTATACCAATCTCTATCGCTTGAAGTTGGAGAGACCCCAAGAGGTAGCCATGGTGGCGCTACCAGCTCGAGTGAGTAGTTTGGAGCTGTGGCATTCGAGATTGGGGCACCCTGGCAAGAACGCGTTTAATGCGCTATTCAGCCATGATCAGTGGCCGTTGCCACATGTGAACTTGCGTATCCCGGTGGGTTTCAATTGCGAGACCTGTGTGAAGGGGAAACTTACGAGGAAGAGCATGAAGAAGTCTCGGACACAGACCCGCGAGTGGTTAGTTGGCGAAAAGGTCCATGTGGACGCGTGGGGTCCGTATGCAGAGCACTCCTACGGTGGTAAACGGTACTTTGCCGTGTTCGTTGATGATGCGAGTCGGTTTGTCACCGTGTATCTTCTGGAGCATCGTTCGGAAGTGTACCAGAAGTTTGAGGAGTACTATCAACGCGTCAAGACGCAGCAGCATGTCAGAATGAAAGCGCTAAGGTCAGACAATGCAAAGGAGTTCAAGAAGCTGCAAAGTACGTGTGACACGAAGCATGGTATGGAGTTTGACAGCAGCATCAAGCATACTCCGGAGCAAAATGGTGTCGCGGAGAGAATGGTCCGCACCATTACGGAGAGAATGCGATGCATGCTCGTGCACTTCGACCTGCCTGAAGCGATGTGGGGTGAGGCAGCGATGACAGCTGCATACTCCGTGAACATTATGCCAAGCTCGGTTCGAGGCATGGAGGTACCGTATGCAGTATGGCACCGTCAGACTCCTGCTTATGAGAAGTTGCGGACGTTTGGCTGCGCCGTCCTGTCGTACATCGACAAGGTGGAGAGACGGAAGATGCAGGCGAAAGCACGGGAGGCGGTCTTCGTTGGATATTCGCGAGAGAAGCGAGGCTATCGCTTGCTCGATAGCAAGACCAACAAGGCCTTCTACAGCCATACTGTCGTGTTCTATGAGAATAAAGCTGATCGATTGCTCATGGCCTCGGCATCAACGCCAAGTGGAGCCTCCGGTAAGGAATATTTAGGCGTTGATAGATCAGTAGAGGATGACATTGAGCCAATGCTGGATGAAATGCATGATGACTCAAATGATGGAGGTAGTTATCGTGATGATGGAGATTGCTGGACTGGTGGGGCCAGCGACTCCAGAGACGGAGGTGATTATCGGACTGGTGGGGCTGATGACACCCGATGTGATGACCGACCAGGTGGGGCAGTTGAGCAAGATGTCCGGTCAGATGGGACATGTGGGTCCAAGAAGAGAGGCCCCGGTGGTGATGCCGCAGCGCCTCGACCAAAGAGAGTGCGGTTTGCGGTGTTTGAAAGTGGACGTTCTAGCAAGGTGGCAGAACGAGATGAAGGACGTGGAGTGAGCTCTACAGCATCTGGATGTGATCGTTCTAGCAAGGTGGCAGAACGTGATGAGGAACGTGTCAATGGACATGAGGCAGACCACCTGCGAGGTGAGTGCGTGCCAGGGAGAAAGAGGAAACGCAGCAGTGGGCGGCACAAGGGACCGGCTGCTGACGAGACGAGGGCTCTACCAGGGAGTCAAGAGGTGGAAGAGGTGGACAGCAGGTCATCGGCTGCTGAGCGGGCCGACTCGGACAGCCAAGTGTCGAGTGATGCTGCGAGTGTGGGGCGTCTATCAACGCCTCCTTGCACAGCACTTCGTGAGTACACAGGCCCGAGAGGCACTCGCCATAAAGACCCTCCAGTGACACGGAGCGGTCGGGTAAGTAAACCGCCCACGTGGTTCGGTGACTACGTCTACATTGCCTACGAAAATACAAATCCAGATGATGATGTGAACTCGTTGCCTGCTGGATGGAGGAAAGCACGAGCTGAGTTGCAACGTGCTATGGCGAACGAGTTGATCCTTGCATGGTGGGAGGACTATTGCTGCATGAGTACTGGCGAGTTTGAAGAGCCAGATACTTTCGGTGACGCTATGGAGAGTGAGCACTCATTGCAATGGAAAAATGCAGCTGATGATGAGTTTGATTCGTTGATGAAGAACGATACCTGGGAGTTGGTGCCGCGTGAGAAGCACGTGAAAGTGCTGCAGAATCGCTGGATCTTTCGCGTCAAGTATCTAGCGAACGGAGAGATCGAAAGATTCCAGGCGAGGCTCGTGATCAAGGGCTTCATGCAGATTGATGGTATCGACTACCTAGAGGTGTACTCGCCTGTTGTGAGGCTGGAGACACTGCGTGTTCTCTTGACACTGGCGGCTGTCTGGGATTATGAAGTGCATCAGATGGATGTCACTACTGCTTTCTTGAATGGGGCGATTGACGTGGAGGTCTGTCTGGAGCAGCCTGAAGGCTACAAAGTGAAAGGCAAAGAGGACTGGGTGTGCAGATTGAAGAAGAGCCTGTACGGCTTGAAGCAGGCGCCCAGAGTGTGGTTTCAGCTGCTCAAGTCGTTCTTGGAGGAGCAGGGCTTCACGATGCTGCAGTCGGAGGCCTGCGTGGCTGTTAAAGTAATTGATGGGCAGTTGGTCTTCATCCCTCTCTATGTTGATGATCTGATTTTGTTTGCTCCGTCGATGGAGCTCATCAACAAGATGAAGATGTTCGAGGACCGGTTTGCGATGAAGGATCTCGGGGAGTTACACTACATTCTAGACTGGGAGATCACGCGGAACCGGGCCGAGAGAACGATGTTCATTGGTCAGCAGAAGTATGCCGAGACCGTGCTCAAGCGGTTCAACATGCAGGACTGCAATGGCTGCAAGACGCCGAGCACGGCGGATCTGAAGCTGAGCAAGGCCATGTGTCCGACCGAAAACGATGAAAGGCAACTGATGAGATCGAAGCCATATCGTGCTGTGGTTGGCAGCCTGATGTACCTGATGCTCGGTACCCGGCCCGATCTGGCCTACCTAGTTAGAGAGTGCAGTCAGTTCTTGGAAAACCCAGGTCTGTTGCATTGGAGAGCTGCAAAACGTGGATTGCGCTACCTGAAAGACACAGCGGACTGAGGGGTCCAGCTTGGTGGCCTAGCGTGGTCAGATCAAAAGCTGGATGATCATCTGAGAGCATACGCAGATGCGGATTTTGCAAATCGAGTTGATGATCGAAAGTCTGTTGCAGGCTACGTGACTCAATTTTGTGGGAGCATCATTTCGTGGAGCAGCCAGACGGAGAAGACCGTCCCGCTGCACACGACCGAGGCCGAATATATGGCTCTTAGTCTACTGGTGCAGGAGGTGGTGCACTTGCGCCAAATGCTGAAGGAGCTGCAGGTGCAGCAAATTCAGCCATCCCAAGTCTTTGTTGACAACGAAAGTGCAAAGAAGCTTGCCAGCAACCCTGTGTTTCATTCTCGGGCCAAGCACATCGATGTGCGCCACCACTTCGTGCGTGAGCGCATCGATATGAAGGAAATTGACGTGCTTCGGGTGGCAGGAGTTGATAACGTGGCCGATGCGTTTACAAAGCCATTGGCACGTCCGGCATTTGAAAAACACAGAGCTGCAATGGGATTATTACCAAGGGCAAGATTTGGAGATGCAAGTTGATGGGAATCCGTAGGTGGGGCTGTTGCGGATTATACTGATCCCCACTATACTACTTGCAGTTGGAGTAAGACAAAAGGTGAAAGAGAAGAATCTAGGCCTCAGTTGAGAATATACACACGACCAACAAGGTGGCTTTTGCCGCCCAGCTGAGTGTTGTCGTTGCTTCCATCTCTGCGTGAGCAGCACCAAGAGGACACTCCACTTCACAAAGGAAACAGCTTGGCGGTACCAAGACGATACATACCATCACGCTGCAGTCGCATCAGATTTTCAAGGCTTTCCTGAGGTATTTGTATTCTACTTGTAGCAATGTCTCAGGGAACAAACTGTTTAGTTTCATGGTAAATCGTACTTTTTGGTCGTACAAGTACTTTCACGTCGGTCTATTTAACGAAACAAAGACATGAGTTCTACTTCGTGTGTTTTTAGGGACAATACGTTCAGCACCTTTATTGAAAATGAGAGCCACGATTGCATGATAGACGCTATCGTAGTGCTCAAAAAGGTAACTCAACTTGGATAAACATTCGTGATTTTTTAGGTTTCATGATTGACAAGCATTTCACTGAATTGTCATTGTTGAAGCGGGAGTTTCTGAGAAGTATGGTGTTGGTGTTGCTTTGTTGGTTCCATGTAAAGAAATTCTTGCGCACGGAAATGGCCTAGAGTGAACATGACGACATGGACAAGGTGAATGCTAGTGTAAATTTAATAATGAGTGTAGAATGCGAAACGGCGTATCAGAAAGGCTTCCGCTACATGTTCTACATCCTCGATGATTTCGATGGTCAAGGTGATCTTGATGACCTTTCCTACCCGTTGTTGAAGTACTTCATGAAGAACTGGAATAGCCGTAAGCCCTGCTGAAGTTCCTACACGAGGTCGGGTTTGTCGCAGTTGAAAAAACAAACAAACAATAGTTAGAGGTCTACCAATGGCTCATAAACGATCCACTATACTAATTGTTGTCGAGGTAGGCTTGAACCTTCTTGGGGAAGCCTCAGACGAACGGCAGCCTGACATGGGCGTTGACGAGTGTGTATAGACAGTATTTCTAAAGAATGCTGCCGAAATGGAATACGCTGCGAACTCTGGCGTTGCTGGAAGTTGAAAAATTCCCGGTAGTGATGAGAATCTCGATAATGTGGCCTCATTGGTCAGAGCGCGGCTACGACGGCCGTCCTCAATGTGTCACGCTCCACCCCCAAGGTAACGTGTTGGGCAAAGCGAAAGAACCCACGAGTCGACATCGTTGAAGACGACGAATGAGATACACCGGAAAATGGGGAGGTTTTGACGGAGACCGCGATGATGAAATCTCTGAGAGGTTCGCGTCTGAGCGAATTGATACGAAGCAAGGTGAGACCTGCCATTAACCGCGCTCATAAGGCAGGGAACGAAAGCAAGAGAATGAAAAGGTCCCAAGAAAAAGTTACACACCTCATCCTCGGAACACTAGAGCCTGTCAAAGACCTGAAAGCCATGTGAACCATGCTTGCAGAGGCGTTCAACATGGTGGGCGCGATCGTCCTGTCTAGGCTCAAGCACACGCCATGACTCTCGAAAATGGATTCGTCAACGCGATACAACGCATATCTCTGAGATTTCACCCTGGCACCAACTTATTGCGTCAACGGCGCCGTTTGAAAGCGGTATTCAGAGGGTACTCATGCCAATCATGAATTATGAAATTAAAGCTCTTTCACGCCCATTGTGCTACGTTAGCGCCCCCTGTGGAGGCACTTGCCGTTGCCGATCAAAAGCTGATATCATGGTACTTCAAGTCTATGATGATATAATTCACACTGGGTTAGGTTAGTGGATCGAGATACCTTGCTTAGGCGTTGCGGCCACTCGAGCTCGAGAATGCGTCGAGCGGCCGATGTAGCTAGCTAAAGTGAGCTATATCTTCGCCAGAACTAAATATGCACTCCTGAAACTTTGCCACATGTAAGATAAGATAGTAAAGTATGTACGTATCAATTTTCACAGCGGTTCACAGTATTCCATACATTTCCGGTGTATATACACCTGACCTATATACTTTCTAAGTAGAGATGGTTGGTGCTAAGAAGCATAGTTATTATAAGAAGTTTGCGAAGTTCGCTCTGCGAAGGAAGACTCTCATATAAGAACTGTATTGTCGCGCCGGAAACAATATACCGTAAAACACGGATCAAATCAGACACACGGACCAAATGCGACACACGTAAAAAATAAAAAATAATCAAACGCGAGTGCTCATTAAAGGTGACAACCCCTCTCGCTCGTTTTCAGATTTACCTACTGGTCCTCTAAAATTGGCGCTTCTTCTGCTACTTCTGCGGCGACGCAGAAACGCCCAAGGCGGTCCCTCGGACCTATCAGGATGATGCCGCTCTTGATGAAGCCATTCCGAATGGTCGCAGGCGAGACATTCCACCACGCTTCGGCGACAAAGCGTGAGATGAGCTCCCGCTTTTGGTCTGGCGTGTCGGGAAAGCTGTTCTCTACGTGGTAGGCAAGGTAGCGCTTCCTACAAACAAATGTTAGCGGCAATAATAATAGGATGATAATTGAATGGCAGTGATGTCACCCATACCTGACGTTATCTTTGAACGACTTCATCACTGCGACGTCCATCGGCTGGGCAATGCCAGTAATTCCAGGTGGGACAAACTCGACTTGGGTGCAGCAGTCCTCCTCCATCTTGTAGACTTTCAGGCTGTCCAGCAGCAGTAGCTTGCAGCCATTTACACTCGGCTTCCAGATCTGTCAAAGTATGTCATAACAATAGATGTAAGAATATTATACATAAGCACCAGCAATAAAGTTGACGTACCCGTTGGATCCACTCGAGCATGACCTCTTCGCTGCGGTATGCCTTGCGCTGGACTGTATGCTCACAGTCTGGGGCCCCGAAGTATGGACTCCAAACCGCCTGCGAGACCGGCCCGCCGGCGATTCCAGCAAAGACGATCAGCGGGGGCAGTTTTTGCCCAGTCGCAGACGCGAGGAAGACAGAAGCTCGGAATCCGTTCACTTCACTACCTAAAACGTAAAGATCAAACCGTAAAAATGTAAGATCAATCATAATATTTAAACCCTTCAAAATAAAAAAATTCCTTGGACTACATCCACAGTTGGAACTCCCACAAAATCGATTGTGGTTTTACCGTTCATGTCGATAAAGATGGCCGTCTGGTCCATGTTGAAGACCGATTCGTACTTCTTTGCGCCCTCGATAAAAGCTAGCGATGCACTCTCCTCGATTACGTGCTGGATTGTGTGGGAGAACACACCTGCAACTCGCTATAAAATAAAATAAAACTTAGTAAAAATCCAATAGATAAGAGAAAGTAAAAACAATGTAGCATACCTCCATGTCGAAACGTTTCTTGCGGTCTTTGTGCGTGATTCGTCGGATGGTAAGACGATTGCGCTTAAGGAGGCGCCGCAAAAACTCGATGTTTGCTGCTCGCGATCTCAAAGAAAAATGGCGAGCGTCAGACCTGGCATGCATAATTAGTAGACACTCCACCGAAACACAGAAATATCGATTTTTACGCATATCCGTGATCCATTGAAGGAGTCTGCAATAGCGCACCAACCCAACCGTCAGATAATTATTTTCAAAATATATAAATACAGGTTCAAACGTACCTTTCTTCTAATTCCGGGCTCGTGGCGAACGTCTTGGCGTGCTTGTTAGGATCCAAGAAGTACTTGTTCGGCGCTGCTTTCCTGCTGTCCTTCTCTTCTTTGCGCCAGCGGTAAATTGTGGAGCGATGAACCCCCGCGGAGGCAGCTGCAGACACAACTTTCCCCACCGCGAGGGCCAAAGCACACAACTTGTGCTTGTTTTTCTGCTTGGGGCGCATGGGCATGACCGACGAGGAGTAGGAATGATAAAAATCAAAGCAAGGACGGGTGTCATTTTGGCGCGCCTAGGAAATCAATGGCGGGAAGAGCCCAAATCCTTTTACCACCGTAAATAATAACGCCCCGTCTCTCTTTTTTGACTTGGGTGCTACTTTTTACTAGTGTTTTATTTGATCCGTCTTTACGGCACGACCAGTGGGATGTAGCACCTTGAGCTTTCGCCCTTGGCACTCCGCCAGTTCCCGGGTTGCGTTCCTAGACTAAGAATGTAGGGAACTAGAGAGAGCGAATCTCCTAGTAGATAGACGGCCCGCCCGGACGAGGGATTTATCCGGGGCCGTGAGTTCCCGGGACCTTTACTCGCTGTGGGAAAGCAAGGGGTCCTTGGACTCGGTCAGTAACCTCACCTTGTGTATCTCCTTCGAATCGGTTGTTTGGATCAGAGGGAAGGTCAACCACTGAGGATCTCGTGGGAGTCCCGACCTTATCAGTACGCTGGTTCGGTAGCAATACAATCAATCGCCCGGGTCGCTACCTGGTTCCCGGTGCGGAATTAACACGCAACTAAAATATGCAATCAGGTCCTTCGGAGCAAGACTCCCTCGGCGACGGCCGCCATGCTTTTCGGGGCGAGCCTCCACGGGCGAGACCCTGAGAATATGGAATGCCCTTACCCGTGCCGGCTACACCGCAATCCGGGGGGGGGGAGGGGGGGGGGCAAATATGAAATGCCTGGGGTTTCCTCGAGGGAAACCCTGGCAAATATGTTATTGATTTACCTGGGGATAACCGGGTCCCAGTGACCGTGACCTTATTTCCTTGGCGTTCATGAAGCGAAGGCGACTTGAGCTCGTTGGGGAAAAAGTTAGACTGAATTGCGCACTTCCCCAGGGCCACTGGTCCTGGGGAAATGCTTGAGTATGGGTTTCCTCCGGGCATCTTCTAATCACTTGAGTTCACTATGGGCTGACCCGGACACGCCCGGGGTCAGCTCTTCTGACATCGTTACTCGTCCCACGCTGGCTCCCCGGGGCTCTTTTGTGTGGGGGCACACCCGGTACCACCCGGATGGGTACACCTTCTTGGGAACTGCACCTCCGGGGTCGGTTGGTCCCCGGAAGCCCGGGGCACTATGCCACACCAGTCTTACTCCTACAAACATCAAGCCGAATGATGTGAAATAAATGTAACGCTAACTGAAGACGAAGCGCTCGAGGGACTGCGTAGAACCCGGCGCTGAAGTCAAGCTCACACAACTATGTCGAGCGGAGAAGGCCCTCGCTTCCAAAGGGAAAACCTCGCCGCAGTCGCCGTAAGACCACCGCCAGGGAGTACAGCTCTAGACACCTGAACGCGAATCTTCTGCTGGGGTGCACTGAGCGGATGATCCGCTGCCTCCTGGCCGGTGTCGACTGACTCAACTATGCCATAACGGATAACCCCCGACCCCTCACCAAAGCCGAACAAGGTTGTTCGTCTCGGATGGGCGAAGCGCATGATCGTCCAATCCGACATGTGGCATCACATTGAGTTCTCTGACGAGAAGCAGTTCAATCTCGATGGTCCCGATGGTATGCACTGGCGTGATTTCTGGCGGTCGACAAGACAGAGTGTGCGTCGGTAAAATGGTGGTGGGTCTGTCGTGTTTTGGGACAGCTTTAATGTAGCCGGAATGTCGAAGCTAGCGGTGCTCCACGAGCGGCAGGCGTCAGAGCACTATGCTTGTACTGTTTCGGAGTTATGCTCCCATTTGTGCGCCTGATCCATGACATGGACTACATCTACCAGCAGGACAATACTTTCATCCACCTGTACAAAGTTCTTGGAAGAAGAAGAAGGCATCCGATTCCTCGACTGGCTTGCTCGCTCACTTGACTTGAGCCTTATTAAGCACGTCTGAACCATGATCATCTAGCGCAATGGCAAAGAGTACGGCACAGTGGTGGAGCTGACGGCTGCGATTCTAGCTGCATGGTAGGCCTTTGACCTTACCTACTTGCGAAAGATAGTGGACTAGATGTCAGGTCGCTGCATTGGAGTCGTCTCGAAGCATGACAATACAACGCACTGCTAACTGATAATGAAACAATATCCTATTATCAATTGAGTTGAAATGCGTATAGATAAGAGTTTGTATGTGGCCCCACAATACCTTTTTCTGCACGCCACCTCACAATGCGAACGCCTCACGTTTCTCAAATAATAATGATATTTGAGCGTGTAAACAAGACATCTCTAAATAGCAAATACCAACTTGGTAAAGAACATAAATTATGTGCCAAAATCTAGGTGACCGCAATATTGTGCCCAATAGTATAGTAAACACGTTTTCGCTTCCTATTTCCTGATTATTCGAGATTTGACGTTTGAAACCCGAATTGTTTGTAGCTGAAATGTGTATGTGTTAGCTTACAGTGACAAGGATCACTTGCTACGTATTCTATATTAGTATACGAGATTTTAGAATCCCGACAGATATCCGTGCAGGTATTTTGATATAACTAACTCTTTCCCCTTATTTTGCAAATAAAAACGCATTTTTTTTACGTTGGTTTATGCAGCTACAGCTTGCTACTTGCAAAACGTTCTCGTTAATTGCCACCCCATTCCCTTTTTTATGGCCTGTTATTCATCCTTTTGGGAGTGTGGCGCAGTTCGGCGTGGAGTGGACCCTCGACAACCATCTTGCGGGCCGTGGCCTCTTCAACGTTTATGCGAAACCCGGTTATCGTGTTGAGCCCTTCATCGCTACAACCGTTGTTGTGCAAAAATCAGCGCATAACAAGCCATGCCAGCGCTGTTGACCTGGTCCCAAACGTCTCTCCGGTAGCGGCCCAAAGTGATCTCGTCGGCCTGTTTTGCCAGAAATCTGGCTTGGTGCAGACCACGAATCCTAGTCCTTAACCGTTGTGCAGCTGTCCGAATGACGGGACTTTCTGCGGGGTAACTCTGGCGCAAACTCCATTCAATGCTTTCGCGGTCTGTAAGATACCAAACGCTTTTTACAAGACCACCAAGTTTGTATAGACGATCATCATAGAGCAAATACTTGATCCAGGGCTGAGGCTCAGTACCATTAGAGTTTCCGTTCCTGTTCGGTTCGCGTTGCATACAGTCGTAGTACCATGTTCGATAATGTCCGCATGGACGTCTGCGACGAACCTGGCCAGGCAGCTTTAGCATCTTGCAGCGTGAGTATCAGCGGCCACCTCCCGTTCCTATTACCGCAACATCTGAGAGGAAACAGGGCGGCCTTTTTTGTGCATCGTGAACAATGGTGTCTTCAGCATCAAATGAAAACACCGCGGTTTGGCCAATGCTGCGCATGTTCTTAAGATGTTCTTTGCCGTTCCTGCATATCGAGACAATGTGATCTTCCATTTAGAAATATGATTTGGTTTGCGCGTCCTCTCTTCGACATTGCAAGCTAGATAGCAGTGATCAATGTCTGCATTCACTTGGTGAGCGGCTGCTAGAAAGTCTAGTACGAGGTTCGTGTGGGTGTAGTCGGCATCAATACAAGTGCATCGCTTTTTTTTTACAGTTCCAGTGGTGCCCACTTCCCTTATCGTGCTTTTATTATGTGTTCTATGTACTAGCTACCGATGTACGCTATACCATAGCGAGCTATTTAAACCGAAACAGGATTAAGGGGATATAATTAGGGGGCTTGCTACGGTATTTTAGCTCGGAACATCCACCAATAAAAAATCCCTTAGGACAGGGGCAATGTGGTATGATGCACACACGAAAAAGCAGAGTCATTTATTTCGTCCTTTATTATTTCTTCGCTCATACTAATAATCACATGTATCATAGATGTAGCGCTATCAAGCAACACGTTTGAGTAAAAATATTATGTGTGATTATCGCGAATTACTGTCCCTACTCCACACTACTTCTTTCTTACTGTTCCAACTTGGCCTTGTCGATGTTCTATCTGGCATCAATTTCTTGCTGCCTGAGGGAGACAATCTGGTCGACGATGTTCAGCATCTCCATATGCACGTTCTGCGTAGCCCTGCGAGCTGCCAGGGTTTTCATCGATACTTGGCGCTGGTGCTTGTGCTTGGTAATTTCGCAAATGAGGCTTAAGAGCCGTAGCTATTTGAAAAGTTTCATATCTATTTGAGTGGTTTCGGATCATTAGTGGTTACATATACTTAGTGGGAAATATCTTTAGCTGTTATATCGCTCGAACGCCAACGGAAAGATTTCAAATACTCACTAGTGCAACATTCCGAGTCTACTTTTGTACCACATGGAGCATTGACCACTATACATAGCGCGTTTAGCAGTGTATATAAGGACATCTTGAAAGGGTGTAGACCGTACAGGAGGGTGCGAGAGCGGCCTTAGTGAACCGTACTGAAGCCTGGATTCTAAAAGTCTCGGTGTAAATCTTAGTTTGGGCCAGTCCAAGTATAGGCTTACAGAGGTGGTCTATGTAATAGGGTAATATCCTTAACACACACCAATATTTTTCTATCACTTCCTGGTGGAGCCATTCCATGAAATTCGTACTGATTGAACTACTATAACAAATAGGTCATTACCGCGGTGACATAACGAGTTAGCGATCACTGCGTTTGTCTCGCTGTCAGTGTACTGCCCACTCCCAACACTATGAGATGGAACCGAATTTTTAAACCAGTACTGAGAGACAAGATCTAACGGTGTTGTATTGGCTCAACCCAGTTGATGTAATCCCAACGTTATCCTATTGGACAGGCGATTTTAATTTTAACTGTGGTTACAATGGGATTGCGCTGATAAGTACACCTAAGGCGAGCTGCTATTGCGGTGGTAATGTGCATGGAATGATCGATGTGGTGTCACAAAGGTCTGGTGCAGGGGGGGGCTTTAAACTTTTCCTCCATCACGTGTTTATGGAGGGCGAGTGGCTGCAGCGTGTGCTTGGTTGGGCGGATTCTCGTCTGATGGAGTTACGTCGGTCGCAGATTTTCGTCGATGGAACTTTTTGTTGCGTCCCAAGCTCGTTCTACCAGCGTGTCATGTTGATGGTAGGTGACGCAGCAAGTGGCTTGGTCGTGCCTTGTGGTTACACTCTTACGACTGGCAGAACCCATCAATTCTACCAAACGTTGATGAGGTTCATGAAGGACTGCACGGGTAATCGAGTTCAACGTGGAAGTGTAGTCTACGACTTCGAGGTTGCTCTAATCAATCCAGCGACTGACCAATTCCCGCATATCAGGGGCATCGGATGTTTTTTTTACTTCAAGCAAGCGACCAGACGATGAATGATGAAGTTTTGTAGCCGACCACAGCAGTACCAACCAGGATGGGTGTTGCGGGGAGATTCTTGAGCACGTGGAAGAAAGGAGACTTGAGGAAGAGGTAGAAATAGAAGTTGTGATTGATAGAGCTTAGTGTCGGCTCCGGTGTCGGCTCCGGGGCCTCTCCTCGGAGCCATTCATGTTAACCCTGCTAGAAATGTTAAGCAGGTGTGAAAGGTTTGTGTACAACACACATACTGATAAACAAGATGTAGATTCTATATGATGGGATGTCCCGGCTTGGGATTGTTCCCTTCACAGCCACTCTCAGTCCCAAGACGGGATGAGGCATGCGAGTCCGCTAAGTGTCGGCACGTATGGCTCAAGACAGACGCAAGAAACCGCAGGAGCTGTACAGGTACAGATACCCCAGTCCGTTATCAAAGTTGTAGACGCGGTTTTCCGGGGCACACCCCAAATAGGGTGGAATGCTTCAACTCGGCTCGATTATGCACACTTCCATTTGGGCATAGGTACAGGTCTTTGTATGACTATGCACATCTTAATATGGACTGGAGGTGACAGCTGATAGGACGCCTTTTGCTGAGGCTTGTCCTTTTGTAGTCCTTGACAACTTCCTACTTCTCAATGTATTATCATGGAGTTTGGTCATTTCTCACGCTGCTCCATGCATTAAATTTTGCGGTTGTTGCTACAGGGCAAATTTTAAGCGCTAGTATATGACTCCACAGTCTCAGTCGTTTTACAATTGCCTGTATGCGACTATGGTTAGCGAGTACATTATCTCACTCTTACACTGCCGCGCATAAGTATCTCAGTAGGCACTATGCATACATTTGTAGCTGCCACATCAATGTCTAGATAGAACTGCATTTGTCGATGGCTTTACCCAGTTAGCCTGTCATTGTCAAACTTTCTAAGTCCTGCAACTTTCAACGGTAAGCTACATGCATATTATGCATTTTCACGCATGTGCGCTCTTCGAAAATCATGATACATACTGCACGCTCCCTGTTGGCCCTGGCCGGCGCCGCAGCAGAGCTAGGTTGCAGCAGCAATGCTGTATACCGAAAATGTCAACACAGTGTGTGGGGTCGTTGTTGTACTGAATTGATTTGCAATATTTGACGTAATATTGTATTTTAATTTGAAGCTAACTTTTTGATACGTTATGGTTTAGATGCCTCGTTCTCTTCGCACCTCTGTCCTCTGCCAAAACCAAGAGGCCCTGCCCGAGCGGGTATCCTTTTGTGGGCTTTTCTCGGTTAACAATGCTCTTCAGCGCCGGGACTTTTTGACGGCCAAGTCGATGAGGCCTATCCTACTGAAGCTCAAGATGGAGCGCCCCAACGAGGACCACGGACATCTACGCGACGGCGCCTACACCACGCACGCTATGCAGTTGGCGCTGAAAAGTGCAGGAAACAGCTCCTGTACCTAAACAGGAAGCTCAACTGCGGTCAAGATGACCGCGCACGGCGCATCGCCCGGTCCCGGAAGCCAGCCCTGCTGATCATCGGCCGTCGTCCAGGCCAGCAAGAGGGTACCTGGCATTGTATCGCGCGTGCCAACGTAGGAAAGAAACATTTATTCATAGAGTCTGATAACTACATGTACTTTGCTAACGATGAGCGTAAGCTCAGCTCGTACTTCGAGCACATTGATGGAGTGTACTCTATTGAGGACATTCCTCGTGCGAAGACAAAGAAAATGAAGAAGTCGAGGTCTCTTAAGTTAACAATGAATTTTCGTTAGTGTTGTTTTGGTCGTTTTATTGTCTCTTTTGTCTTGTACTGTGTATTTGTCATGTAAGATGACTTGTAGGGACTTATTGAGTACAAATATGCTTGTATAAAAATCATTTTATAAGTTTTGACAGTGATGTTGAAAATTGTTGACTTTTGGGTTAGTTTTATTTGATTTATAGGGTTTGATTATGAAGATACTGTTGACTGCTATTTAGTATGCGAGTAACTCAAGGCGTAATGTATTGCATTACTCGTGTGTTTGTGTGTTAAATGTTTAATATTCTTAGTATTGGAAGTTTTGGCTTGGTTATTTGTCAAGAGCGTGGTATTTATTGTATTTTACCTCTTCGTCTTCAGGTTACATAGTGACTCTCTTAGTTTAAGAAATGTGGGCTTTGATAGAGACTTTGTGAAGATATCTGCTACATTTCTTTGGTGTTGCAGTATTTCACTTCAAATTTTTTTCTGTCTACTTTCTCTTGCCCAAAACAATAGCGAATGTGAATATGCTTGTTTCTACCATGTAGTTCTGGGTTGTATGAGAGTTTAATTCAGCTTTGGTTGTCCTCATATATTGTGATAGCATAGCATGTGGCCTTTTGTGGTTCAGTTCCAACAACAGTAAGTTCCGGGATATGAGTTCCTGCATGCAGTGGCACAGGCCTATGTATTCATGCAGTGGCACAGGGCTATGTATTCTGCCTCCGTAGTGGAGAGCACGACTGTGTGATGCTTTCTAGATTGCCAGGAGATCGGGCTGCCACACATGTATGTGATGTAGCCTCCAACAGATCGTCTAGTGTCTAGGCAGTTAACATAGTCTGCGTCGGAATACGCCGTAAGATAGTGTTGCAGGTTGTACGGCTTCACGTTTTGGATTCCTCCGAGGGTAATACCCAGTTTGCGAGTACCGTTGAGGTATCTAAGGCCTCTCTTAACAGCATTCCAGGGGGCCTTACCAGGGTTGGCTAGGAATTGGCTGACTTCTCTCAGAAAGTATGCCAGGTCAGGTCGAGTTCCCATCATCAAGTACATGAAGCTACCGACTGCCTCTCTGTACGGGATCGCTTTCATCTCGTTCTTTTCAGAGTCTGTTTTGGGGCACATATCCAGGCAAAGCTTGATGCTCTTGTCCGTGGGAGTTGCTACTGGATGTGCATCGAGGTGGTTGAAGCGGTCCAGTACTTTGGTGCGTACTTCTCTTGGTGGAGGAAGATGGATCTGTTTTTGCGATCACGAACAACCCAAAAGGTACTGGGCTTCACCAAGATCATACATTTTAAAGCGCTTCTTGAGCGCGTCTTTAACGTGGTTGATGATGCAAGTCGTCGGTGCAATAATGAGGAGGTCATCGACATAGACCAAGACATAGCATGTCTGACCGTCAATTTCTCCGATGAAGACACACTGATCTTTAATCAGCTTACGGAACTTCATGGTTTTGAGAAATGCACACAGCGTGAGGTACCAGATGCGGGGTGGTTGCTTTAGGCCGTCAAGGCTCTTGAGCAGTTTGCACACGAGATGTTCTTTGCCTCGGACGGTGAAACCTTCAGGTTGTTCCATGTAAATTTCTTCATCTAGATATCCATTAAGAAACGCTGTCTTGACATCCATTTGGTGGATTTCTAGGTCAAGTAGTGCGGCGGTCGTCAAGAGAAGGCGTAAGACTTCCATGCGGATGACGGGTGAGAAGATCCCATCGTAGTCAATGCCATGCCTTTGGGGGAAGCCTTTAATGACAAGGCGTGCTTTATAGCGATCGATGGTGCCATTGCCTTTGTATTTGACGACAAACAACCATCGACAGAGGAGTGCTTTCCTTCCTTTTGGGAGAGCTGTAAGAATCCAACTGTTATTGTCTTTTAAGGACTTGTATTCCGATTGGGCAGCCGCCTTCCAGTGGCGGGCTTCAGGCAGGTTCATTGCAGCAGAATAGGGCTTTGGTTCTGAAATATGCCTGATGGCCAACAATGCGTAGATATGCGAGAGGTGCGCTTTGCGTTCTTCCTGGTCCTCTTTATCGTTAAGTAGTGTCTTTGTTGCATCAATTGCTGCATCAAGATCAGCGATTTTCGATTTCTTGAAATAGGTCGTGGTTGTTTCCGCCGTGAGTGCGTCAGCAGTTCGTTTTAGCATGGCAGAAAGTGGTGGTAGCGCATGTGGTGTTGGTAGAATGGGTGCCCGTTCAGTTGTCGGGTTGAGCACATTCGGGGCGGTGGTTGGATTGAGAAACTCCAGTTGAGGGGATTCATGTTCCCGGAAAGTGACATCTCTGCTGTATATAATGCGGTTCTCTTGGGTGTCAAGGAGTCTGTATCCTTTTTTGTTGGATGGGAGGCCCAGGTACATGCACTTGCGAGCTCTGGCCTCAAGTTTGTTTCGGTAAAGTTCCGGAAGTGGGCGTAAGCCGTGCAGCCGAACACCTTAATGTAGTGAGCGGATGGTTGTTTCTTAAACCACTTTTCATGAGGTGTGATATTGTGCGTCACAGAGCTAGGTGCGATATTGAGTAGGTTGGCAACGTGTTTGATGCATTCCCCCCACAGTACCTGCGGCCGGTTGCCATCAATGAGGAACGCTATTCTGCGCTCAAGTAGAGTGCGCATGCGCCTCTCTGCCACTCCATTTTGTTGTGGAGTGTAAGCGTTAGTGAACTGAGCATGGGTATTATATTTCTTAAAGATGATACGACCCAGTTTCTCGTATTCTCGGGCATTGTCACTTTGCAACTATTTGACTTCGTCGTCATGCAGGTTCTCGTGGTAGTGGATTTCACCCACTTCGGCACGGAAAATGTTCTGGGCTTTCTTCCTAAAGTCCTCGTAGGACTCGTACAGATCTGACTTTTATTTAATGATGTAAATGAACATGTAACGAGTGTAGTCGTCAATGAAGATCAGGAAATGTTGACATCCTGAGAGTGTTGGGACTGGCAGGGGTCCTGCCATGTCAGTGTGCAATTTTTCAAGAGGAAATTTCGCCCTTTCAACGGTACGTTTATTGAATGGGTTACGGTGGGACTTAGCGTAAGTGCAGGACGAGCAGAAGTAGTCTTGCTTTGGTTCGACGTTCGACTGTCCCATGTCCGTGACGGTGTTCGCCTTAGCCAGATCCTGCATAATGCGGAAGTTAGGATGGCCCATTCGTTTGTGCCATAACAGAACATTGTCAAACTTACCTGAGGCGGCCACATGGGCTCCTTCCTCAGAGTTCGTTGGTTTGGCTTGGAACTGGTAGAGGGACTTGCCGTCTCCAGTCTTGGCTTCAAACTTGATGCGGTGGGCGAAGAACAGTGCGCACTTCTTGGCGTTGGGGAAGTTGATCTTGAAGTCATTTCCAACCGCTTGGCGGACGGAGAGCAGGTTAAACGTCAGCTCCGGTGCATACAGCACGTCATTGAGAACAATGATCCGCTCCTTTCCCTTGGTGTCGTTGATCTTCAGCTCCACATCACCAGCTCCCTTGATTGGAATTTGGTGGTTTCCACCGACCGTGATGGCCTTTCCCGCCATTGGCTTGAGTGTTTTGAACCACTTCGAGCTCGAGGTGACATGACGGGTACAGCCAGAGTCGACAGTCCACATGGGATCATGGTCAGACTCATGAGCAGTGAGGCTCACCGCTTCGGTTTCTTGGCTGAGGTCCAGTGTCGTGATGGCGATGATGCCGTAGTCGCTGTTGTCCTCATCGTCACGGTTGCGGCGTCCATGGTACTTGTTGCGTCCTTGGGACCTGCCATTGCCGTTGCGGTTTCTATTGCGTGGCTCGCGGTTGTTATTGCGAGACTGGTTTCCGCTGTTGCCATTGTAGTTGCCCTTGTAGGGGTGTTGGCGCTGCGACGTTTTTGCTGTCGCTGGTGTTGCTGTTGTTGCGACCGCAGTTCCTGGGGTGGCTTCAGCTTAAAATTGGCTGGTAGTACCGTGCCGGCCTTGACATGTCCGTGGTGGAGGTGGCGTTGCAGCACAAAGCACTCCACTGTGTCGTAGTTGTCTCGATGGCAGTAGCTGCACTTGAGCGATGCCGCCAGCGCTGTATCCTCCTTGGGTGGAGCCGCCACGAGCACTTGCTCAAGTGCTGAGGCTGGCATGGCTGTTTCAGCACGGGTCTCCTGGGATTCTGGGGTCCCCTGCTTGAGAACGTAGCGATTGCGCAAGTTCGTTCTGGACCTTGGTCTCGATGTTGCGCTTGAGGTCGGCGTACGGAATGTACTTCTTGCTGCCCTTCCAGACTGCTAGGTTGGGCTTCCAGTCCGTCGGCAGAGAATGATACAGGTAGAGCGATTTCTGCTCGTCGCTGAGCACGCTGTTGGTTGAATTAGCGGCTGCCGTCATTGCTTCCTCCAGGCCGTAGACGAATGAAGTGAGGTTGCTTCCTTCCTTGTAGTTCAGTGCCATCAGGTACGAGTGGATGAAGTACGGGTCGCCGTGGATGGCTGCATCCTCGTACTTGCTACAGAGAGTCTGATAGATCTCATACGCTGTAGGCTTGACCATGAGGACGTGTTGGCCGTCGATGGTCTTGATCAGGAACACATCGGCTTTCGCTTCCATGTGGCGTAGCTTCTTGGCGCTCAGCTGTCGGCTCTTGGCCTTCAGCTTCTCAGCTTGGTCCAACTCCTGCTTCTTCTGGCCAGTGAATTACAGGAGCACGGGAGGTTTTTCCTTCTCCATGTCCACATCGCCGTCGTCTCCGGCGGAATCATCCGAGCTCCCATCAGAGGACACACTTGACGAGGAGTCTTGCGGCGAGTCGGGCTTGGCCACACCGTGGAAGTCCGGATGACAGGCCTGGTTGAGTTATTCGCCTTCGCCGAGGTCGACGTCCGAGTCCCCAGCGTAGTCTGCTTGAGTGACGAAGCCGAGGAGGTTCTTGCCGTCGAGAGCTGCGGTGACACGGGTCTTCCAGATGACGAAATTCTTGCCGTTCAGGCGAGGGAAGTCGCGGTCGTTGGCGGGCGAGGCTTGCGTTGGGCTCATAACCTGTTGCGGGGAGATTCTTGAGCACATGGAAGAAAGGAAACATGAGGAAGAGGTAGAAAAAGAAGTTGTGATTGATAGAGCTTAGTGTCGGCTCCGGTGTCGGCTCCGGTGTCGGCTCCGGTGTCGGCTCCGGGGCCTCTCCTCGGAGCCATTCATGTTAACCCTGCTAGAAATGTTAAGCAGGTGTGAAAGGTTTGTGTACAACACACATACTGATAAACAAGATGAAGATTCTATATGATGGGATGTCCCGGCTTGGGATTGTTCCCTTCACAAAGGGTGCGTGCTGGACATGCTAACCGTGGTCGTACCTGTCCGCCCCCCCCCACGGAACCAACTATGTCTCGGAGTTGATTATGTCTCGCTGTCACACCGAAGGACTTGCGTAGTCCGCGGGTTGGGTGTACGTTCGCACATAGATCAACATGTTTCCAGTCGATGTATGGAATGTTTACTTCAACTCGCGGCGGTCGGGCAACTTTAACTCACGGTGACCCGGCAATTTCAACTCGTTGTGACAGGGATGTTCATGGAGGGCGAGCATCGGTGTGGTCGCAAGAAGCATACGTGAAGTTAGACGACCGCCAGGGTAGCTAGAGTCGTGCGACATACAAGCCGGGTTATCCGTAACATGGCTGGCAGTTAACCGTTGACAGCAGGTTAAACGAGAACTCAGTGTAGATGTTCATACAAAATTCACACTAATATATAATAAAATTAATCTCCATTTGTATAATTAATTACAGAGTTAACAAACCTGTTTTCTTTTTGGTCCCATTTGGAGGCTAATTTTATTTCGATCCTGGTTTGGTCCTGCGGACCAAAACGGCCATACCTACATTAGACCTGTTTAAATAGATTCCGCCATGAATGGTTTAACGGACTGGGCGTTCAACAAAAACTTAAACTTCCACTGTAATGGGTTCACCAAGTGCGAAATCGCTATTTTCAGTTCAAATAGTGATTGGCTTGTTCAAGCTGTGAGGTTTTGTCTAAAAAGAACAAGAAATACGTGTTAAAGCACTCTATTTGAACTGACCAAACAAGTGCACCGTTCGGTATGCTGCTACATGGTCTGCATAGGGTTCATCTCCGCCGCATCAACCAGACCCGAATTCGTTGACGCATGCATGGAAAATAAGGTAAGTAAAATCATCCTGTTGCTCTACACCACTCGTGGTGGTCGTTTCTGCGACGAAGGCTAGCGAAGAGACGCGCGGATAGCGAGCAACTTCTCATTCGAAGATATCATGAGCCAGGAAAATACGAGGGGATAGAAGCGAGATGTCGAACGAGCTACAAAATGAATAAGACCGGCATCACGAGCGGCTAAAGCACGCACGGAAACAGATGGTGCGTCAAATGCTAGCATTGTCACGACAACAATCATGCACCATACCCAGATCATAGCGCTGATGAACACTCACCACGTCGTACAAATGAAGCTGCTGAGGGGTGTGAAGGGACGCTTAGATAATACCATGTCTCTTAACGGGGATGTAATAGACCGCCTTGAAGGAACTGAAAATGGTCTAAGGCCCAGCGGTATTTGGCGAATATTGCCGGCACTACGGAGTTGTTCCGGAGATGTTGCGCCAGATCTCTTTAAACGTGGTCAAGGAATCTATGGTATGTGTTTCAGGCCAAGAAAATGTGAGTGAATAAAAACGGCTAGTAGTTGTTCGGTCTTGCGAGATGCGGGGCCCCAGGTCTATTAGTGTGTTCTCCTGTCCAGTGACGTGTCGTGATGAAAAACGCAGGTTGAACTCCACTTCCCACAGCGCTAGTAATCTGAGAACCGTTTGTGTCCGAGGATTTCGACTTGGAAACTTGGGTTGTCACGAGGTAGCAGATATGTTAACGATGATGAAGCCGATGTGCGTTGGCGATAAAGTTATTGGCCGCTTCTACTCGGGTAACCACAAGCAAACGGCGAAAGTAAGAGACGCGAGCTCACAAACATTGATATCAAGGCGTTGGAAATCAGCTGGCGTACCCCAGGTAAAAACTCGTACGTGAGCAGCTTGTGTCTTGATACGTCGGCCGCGCACAGACTGTGATTTGAAGCATCCACGAACATATCGAGACCGGCCGGTGGAAAGTCGCCGAAGGTTTGTAACGGAACGCCATTGAGGTTTCCCGAGTCGAGTATACTAACCCATCATGCTAGATCGCCCGCCATCGAACACGAGATGTGGACTCGGTGTAGGCGGCACGACCCGAATTCAGCACTACGCAGTCGTTGCAGGAATATCCTGGCGGGGCGGATGCAAGTGGCGACGTGACGCAGGGAGCGATACTCCGTTTGCGTCAGGGATCGTGATTACAGAGCTTGTATCACTCGAGTCCGAGCCTTTAAGACCTTTTACTCGGGCATCGAGACTGTCGGTGCACAAGACCCAACACCTTCAATCGTTGGTGCCAGCCCGTAATTTTTTCTTCGTTGATAGACATCGGGCCCGAGATTGCTATCATTGTGTGACGAAGCGAGCGCTCGGCTTCTTCGCACACATCGGGATATGCGTTTACGGTGTTGACGATCATGACAACCCAATGGTAGGTTTACAATGGTTGTCTGGTGTAGGTTCACAGTGTTGAACCATGTACATCCGAAATCGCTCCGCCCTAGAAATCGTATTCTGCCGGGGACAAGGTCCATCCAAACAGAGCAAATAGGTCGAGAACGAGAGCTTTAGCTTCTGGTATGCGACAGACACTACCCGCGTGGATACCCACCTTGCGGGCAGCCTCGGCAACGTCGCCGTCCATGAGGGTTGTCAGCTGAAGTGGGTTAGATTCTTCGGCTATGGAAAGCACCTGTCGGACGACCGAGGTGCAAGGTTGGCATGTCAGAGCTGGCTTGTCGTCCGTTTCGGTTGCGTCGTTCACCGAATATGCTTTTGGACAGGACAGATCGTGTATTGTTCTTCCAGATATGTTAGGGTCCTTGTCACCTTTGGCAACAAACCCAAACGGTCTAACAATGATTTCAGTCCCAATTTCGAGAATGTTAGAGTCCACGACAAAACGCCTGCAGGCATCTTGTTCACGTCGAATGTTTGTGATGTGCACATTTTAATACCGGGAAGCAGATGAATGATTCTCCACGCAACAATATCGCTGTGATAGATTGACATCGGGGGACACGTGGACGCTGATGCCTTCAGAGGCAATCTGCGTGATTGGTCCCGATGTATGTACGTAGCGCAATACTGGTCCACATGCTAAAGGTTAATAGCCTTGTTGGTGCAATAGTCGTCGCTAGTCTGGAAGCGCCAAAGTTCCACAAATTGCCCCAGGGGCATGCGTGTGCGCCGAATAAATTCGGAATAAAATCGGAAACAGTACATTGCATCTCAACGTCGAAACATGTGGGGATTCTCGTGGATTTGTCAACACCAGATGATGACGACCGACCGTGATCCTCCAAGCCCGATCCTTCGATTGACTCTAAATTAGGTCGGCCGATAGCTGGGTAATACACTGGACGCGCTTGCTAGTGATTCGCCGCACTGGAATACAGCATACCGGAGTGCCATTCACGCTATTTCGGCTGACTCTCCCCAATGGATCGCATACCTGGTGCCTGAGACCAACCGCTACCGTGATGAACGAGACCAGCTGCGCACGGCGGTCAAGCCTGTAGGGCCTAGATGGGTCGTACTTGATGCGTAGCTATTAGTGTTATACAAAAATGGGCAAGGATTTACCGAAGCTCATATTCGTAGAAAATCCCTCAATACAGGTAGCATTGATTATTCCCGCTGACGCACCGGTCGTAATGGATGGGCTAGAGCTGTTGTAGTTAATGTAGATGAACCCTTGGCATACCGACATGGGGTAATTCTTAAAGTATCGTGGTTTACCATTTCATGACCTCTGACCAGTTCATGGACTAAAGCGACTATTATCCAATCCAATCTTCTTATTTGGACTAATATTGCTCTGATTGGCTCAATACTTTTTTAACCAGATCTTGGCCCTCACTTTTCCTTACGCTGATCCCGTCAGATATCGAGTCGAGCGTAAGATGAAGACGGCCTTCACAGACAAGCAGCTAGAAGAAGCTATCGACCGCGTCCACGCAGGAGAGAAGCTCGCAGCCGTGGCCGACTCGTCACCAGTGTCGTTGTCAACACTAAAGCGCAAAGTCGCCGCGCGCATCGAAGGTCGATCTATTGAGCGCCAACGGCCCGGACCTGCCCCCCTGCTGCCTCCCGAGTGTGAAGCCGATCTAGTGACATGGATCGCTGCAATGCAGCGTCGTCTGGTTCGACATGCAATGGTGCAGGAGCTGCACTCCAAGCGCGTGACAACAATGGCGCCGAAGTGCCTGTAGTCGAGCCGCTGTTCATCATCGAGAGCGCGGTTTGAGTTTGGGATGAGATTTTGTATGGGATCGCGTCGGTCCAACATCTGGTCAGTGCGTCATAAAAAAATAAATTTCCGCTTTGTTTGATTCGCTGTTGCTTGCTCATATTTGCTCATAAATTGGTGCGAGGACCCTCAAAATTAAGCGTACCGACTGCTTGTATGAATGCTAGCGTTGTAGCATCGCTGCTCTAATATTGGTGTCGTCATCGACGATTTCGCATGAGGTGCTGCTGGCGGGTCATGAATTGGTAAACCACGTTAATCGCATACATCAGCACGACGGATTGTAGTGATGTAGTGAGCTACATAAAACGGAGCACCGGGCTCTACCAGCGCTCCCCACACCCATTTGGGGCAAGCAAAATAGCAGACGTACGCTAGTAGAAGTTTGTTAGGGCGGTGGAGAGGAGGGCGCACCTTCCGCATGTCTGGCAGCTCAGACAAGGGCCATTTTTCCATGTACAGCGCCGTGTAGGTCAAGAACGGCTTGAAGGAGGGCCCAAGGCCCTGGCGACATCAATAATTTGTTAGCATCCCCAGTCCGACATCAATGTTCCCCCAAGCTATCGCTGTGCACCTTGTAGACAAAGTGGTGGCGCCCACCTGCTGGCGCACAGGCGGGTGAGCAGTGCGGAGAGCCTCCATCACCGAGAACGGGAGATGACATCTGCGGCTCAACGATACCTCTCTGTGTGCGCACCTATCGCATACTGCGTTGTCTGCCTCGGCGTCTTGCTGCGTTCTTCTTGTTGTTTCGATCTCGTAGTATCGGGAAATACTGCGCCGGAGGGGTATCGGAAGGTTCGGTACCAACGGCCTAACGAACCTTGGCTGAAGATCAGCACTGTGACGACCTAACTCTCGCGTGCGGAAACAACCAGCACGCTGCAGTTAAACCACCCCTAGCTCGGTCAATTTCTCTGTTGCAGCGGCTGCATAGTGGCACAAAGCGGTGTCAATGATATCCAGTCCTTATCGGGCCAAGTGGAGGAGGGTCGTTTAATGTGGGCTTTGCCTGCATTCCCCACTCGTCTAAATCGTTATTGTGTAATGTTCGATTGGATGCTTACATCTAGTAAATTTTGATGTAGCAATTGAATGACCGTTCTGCATCTGAAGTGTTAGCACGAGCAGCAGCGCGTGCAGTTTCCGTTTCATGGTCTACATGTAGTAGCCTTCTCGAGTCTGCTCCGCATGCACACAGTATTTGCAGACGCTTTGTAGGCGGCGTGGCCACCAAGAGCTGCATCTTTATACAGTATCATTCCTAATCAACGTTGCACTCTTGCATAGTTTACTTGTACGAAGGTCGGCTGCGGATATTGGAAATAGTAGTGATTTCGAGGCACGCTTACCTCTCCTACATCTAACAACTAGTCTCAAACACTACGGCGACGGGAAAATCGAGCCACTATGGAGATGCCGCAATGGCATCGTAAAGTGCCAATGTAAAGGGCCCATTTATACGTAGGTAGAAGTTACATAGGTACATACACAAAATTAGGTGCAGTCACACGGCTAGCGTGTGACCTGCTGTCATGTTCTGATTGGTTGAAAGTGGGGAGCCAGACCCATTTCATCCAATCAGGTGCAGACTTAGATTTGAGTGGTTCACAAGGGGTAGGGGGACTCCGTCCCCGACCCATACATAAACAGAGTTGATTTTACCCTAAAGACAAGACTTGAGCTTATTATTGCAAGCTTCCTCTTATCTACAGTATACGCTAGTGACGGTATCTCTTACCCCGTTACACATCAGCGTACAGTCAATATCACTGTGTTATCCAGGGTTGCATACTAGCTAAGTTCGCAACATGAACTATGTAAACTGGAAAAAAATATTTACTGGCTCAGTAGATTCGATTGACACATCAGTGGGGGACAACTCAGTACATACCTACTGGATTATCCTGGTAGTGCTACTCTATAGTACAAGAAACCCAATAGGGATTAATTCGGGGCTTCAAATATGTGGTCCACAGAAAAGTAGATATCGAGCCAATACAAATTTCAAGTGTAAGGGTCTTATAAATCTAATATTTTTTTTATCAAAAACACAAATCGGCTGATTTACACGAGTTTTATTACAAAGTATCGCAGGATCCGATCGCTCATGTTAGAGACTATGGGTTTGAATTGTTAATCGAACGTTTACGTAGGTGTATTGCCTTACAAAGGTCTATTCGTTGAGGCGAGGCGGGTGAACGCCTTTATCGTCCAGGGTGTATAGCGCACTATGCTGGACCGAATGAATTCGGGTTCGGAGTACCAGAGATTGTCCACGCGATAAGCAGCCCACGGGACACTAAATGACCCGGGCCTGGAACCGCTTGGACGCACCGAATCGCACTAATGCGGTCCGGTGTTTGGCGTGTGTCCTTGTGTCAACCCCTATAGGTATCGTTTACCTTTGGCGGACCGGATTTTACCGAGTTGAGTTGTTGCGATACAGAATAAAGTCTGCTGGGTGTGTTCCTGGGATGAACCACACCGAATCAACAGAAGGTCAGACCGAATGAAAGGGACCACAGTCAGATCCGTAATTCAGAATAACCAACACACAGAAATACAATGCCGAGCTGAACGTCACAAAATATACAGCCACCACTTGTAACAGGGTTACACGCACAAGTGGCTACAGGCACTTGTAACTCTAACAGACACGACGTCTGTTAGAGGTTTGAAAGACTTTCTCGACCTTGGTGTAGACACACCAAAGGCTACATACATTTAGGATCACCACGACGGGTGGTCCATAGAGACTTAGGATTCCTATTGGCTGAAAGCAGCATCTTTTAGCCAATGAGCGACATGCATAGCATTGGAATTCTGCCAACCAGCCGTTGGCAGATTCCTAGTTTAGAATATTACATTTAGAGGAAGTCAGAAACATAAAACAAAAATAGCAGTTCTCATTTTAACCCAAAAACATTATTTGGTTCGTTTATTTAGATTAATCTATACTCGGAGGCCCGAGTATAATTAACTCTAATTTAAACTACGCTACGCTTCCTCGTACACGTGCGCACACGTGTAAGCTAAAGTAGTTAGCCAAAGTAGGCCCATTACACCTGGTATCACATTGTAGTCCGTCCAACGACCGACTACCTGAGTTCGTACGTCACCGCACGAACGCGGAACTGAGAACCTTCCCATGGATACAGAGGTGCCCATGGAAAGCTCCACTACGCCTGCAACTTACGTTGCACGCGCTGACTGTCCCCACCTGTCGGATCCAGAGTGGGAGGCCCTCCAACGACTGTCAACAGTCATTGGTGAGGCGGCTGTAGCTATGATGCTGCGTACGCTAACGCCGACAGAGCAACACGGTGTTGCTCTGGGTTTCATCCTGAAGGAGCAACGCGATGTTGCTCCTACTACCGCGGTGTCGTCCGGGACGACACCACGCGCGCAATCGCTAAAGCTCAATGTGAGTAACTATGTCGGAAGAGAGGGTGAACCTCTCCTCCGTTGGCTTGTCGAACTCGACACTGCCATTGCGGCTCGACATATCATCGACCCGTTGTCGAAGGTTGCGTTCGCCATGTCATGTCTTGGCGGACGTGCTAGAAGTTGGGCATATGGACGCCGACTCTCGGATCCTACGTGCTTTAGCACGTACGAGGGTTTCAAGGAGGAGCTCAGACAAGCGTTTGAGTCACCGCAAAACGAGTTCCGGTCGAGGGCGGAGTTCCTCGACC